CTTTCCCTGATTTCGGTGCCACTTGGTCATGCGTGACGTCCACCCGCAGCCCGCTGCACGGCGGGTTGCTCCTCGCCCCCCCGCGTCCTCCCCTTCCCCATCTGCGACCACCACCGCGTGCACCGGGGGTGCTATTCCGGCTGGGGCCCTCGGTAGAAGACGATGGCTTGCCGACTCGGGAGGAGTTTGGCTTTCTTTTCCTCCTTTTTTCCTTTCCTTCTTTTCATCTGTCCTTGCTCCCCGTACCTACGCGCGTTGGATGTCTCGGACAGTGCGATTGCACCGCGCTCTCTCTATACACTCATACCCTTCATTGGCATCCGTACATTACTTCATGCGCTCTACTATACGACCCCGTAGATACCTCACACGACAGGGGTGCCGCCGCCCGCATTTCGCGGGCCGGCGCCCGCCGCGTCTTAGCACTATATGTGTGCTTGTTGCGGGATATAAATGTAGATTTCATCACCATCATCACCACATGTACTGCAGCGTCTTGCAATTTTCGACGCGGGCGGCCACGACTTTCAAAGGGCTCGGAAGCATCATCGCCTCTCCAAGAAACGCGACGTTCTGTGGAAAGGTTCCCCCTCTCATATAGTCCTCCTTCGGACTGGCTACCGGAGTCGTTTACCTTAGGGGTAGACTCTCGTGACGGATATTGAAGTAATTGCGACATCGCTGAGTTGCTGGCAGCACTGATATTGTCGCCTTGGTCTTCGTAATCCTCCACAGCATCAAAGCTGCCGTTCACTGCCGCCATACCACCTGGCATGGTGAATGAACGCTGACCCGAAGAGCTGGATGGTGAGCGTCCTGCATCACGCAGTCCATTAGCACTTCGCCAGCAACGAGAGTACGGAGACCAGATAGTGAGGTTCAAATTCGTAGGAGTTAATTGAAACATAAGTGCCATTTGTCTTGAGAGGATGCTCCGCGTCCTTTCTGACAAAGAACCATACGCACCTCTCGTTGCATCCCAGCCCAAGATCGAGCGCATTCTTCGCATGTTCAATGGAGTACGAAATAAGTTTAGCTGGAAGCCTCTGCATGGCGTCGATTCAGCGGTAAGTAAATCACTACGATGAAACATGGCTTACCGTTCGGGAGCTATTAGAGCCAAGGACGATACAAATTAAGACGCGATTCGCGCGCTAATTGGTCGCGTCGCGTCGCACCCAAGCGCCTAGCGACTTGCTTTGAGACTTCTATACGCATGCCTCTCGGTCCTAGGCAGCCGTATCGCGGCGCGCACCGCAAGTTGGTCCTTGCGTTTGATATTGGGACCACATACAGCGGTGTGAGTTACAGTATCTTGGATCCAGGCGAGGTGCCACAAACTCAAGGCGTACGGCGGTATGTTCAACCCTATTATCTCAGTCCTTCTCCGAGACTCACATGTAAATATATGCCGCAGGTTTCCAGGTCAGGAAAATAATGCAAGTGACTCGAAAATCCCGTCCATACTTTATTATAACAAAAACGGTCAAGTAATGGCTGTGGGCGCCGAGGCTTTGCTTCCTCACATCATGGATCAAGCCGAGGACGAGAACTGGACGAAGGTCGAGTGGTGGGTTTATTGATGAATCTAGCTAGTTAAATTTGGATCAATTCAAGGTTTCTTAGGTTCAAGCTCCACCTTCGTCCTCATGCAGCAGTTGCGGCATCAGAAAACAACGTCGCACAACATGGCCGTTTGTGACCACTCCCAGTGGGCAAGAACATTGTAGATGTCTTTGCGAACTTCATGGAATACCTATACAACTGCGCGCAGACATAAATCACGGAAAGCCACGCGAACGGTCTCTGATTATGGCAGTCTGTTGAGGGCAAGATCGACTTCGTGTTCAGCCACCCGAACGGCTGGGGTGGTGTTCAGCAGAGGAGGATGAGGAGCGCCGCGGTTGCTGCAGACCTCATCGAGGATACACCACATGGCCATGCGCGGGTCACTTTTGCTACCGAGGGAGAGGCGTGCATACACTTCTGCGTGCGTAGCGGGCTAGCTGCGAACGCATTTGAGGCAAGTGAGCAAAGAGAAGTTGCATCGACGATCGTCTCACTGTCTTGCTAGGGCGGCACAAATATCATGGTCGTCGACGCTGGTGGAGGAACAGTAGATATCAGCACATATAGGATGGAAGGCAGAGACAATATCAACTTGGAGGAAATTTCCGCCCCGGAATGTAATATTCTGTTTCTCTGTTTAGTGGCATCGCTGACATCATATATCGCTAGGCCTTTTTCAGGGGTCCGCTATTGTTGGCTTCAGAGCTCGTGAATATCTGAAGCGTACGTGTGACATTGACATGCTCGTTACATTGATTGACATGTCCATGGATATGTCGCAGATCAATTATCTGGATCACGCTACGGTCAGGATCAGGATGTGGACGAGATGGCGAGGCAGTTCGACAAGACTACCAAGACTATCTTCAGGAGCCCGGAAGATACAGCGTACATACGCTTCGGTTCCATGCGTGATAAAGACCCGCAGTACAATATCAGAAACGGGCAGTTGACGCTGTCTGGGTATGTCTTGGAATTGGCTGTAGCGGATACTCTAATTTACTACAATCATAGTGCGGAGGTGGCGTCGATCTTCAAGCCGTCCATCGAGGCTACGAAGGAAGGGATAAATCGGCAATGCAATGACACAGCAGACTCGATCTCTGTGCGTACGCCTGATGCTCGAGCAGGGTATCTAATGATGTTGACATAGATGATTTTCCTTGTCGGGGGCTTTGCTGCAAGCCCTTGGTTGTTTTCTCAATTAAGTGACTATGCAACTAGTCTCCACGTTGGCCTTTCCAGACCGGATACTCATACGTTTGTCTTTTCTATGCTCCTCTTGATGGTATCATGACGGCGTGCAGAAACAAAGCAGTAGCAGAGGGCGCAATATCTTTCTACCTCGACCACTTTGTGTCTGTTCGCGTAACCCGGTTCACATACGGCGCGAATGTTCGTATATGCTACAATCCGGCAGATCCAGAGCACCTTCGACGAGTCGATAAGGCTTATGTCGACGATGCAGGTATCAAACGCGTCAAAGACGCCTTTCAGGTTGTCTTGCCCAAGGTGCGAGTTTCCGGTCAATGTATCATATCATAGCCTCAGATAACATGTCCAGGGCACAAGAGTCTCCGAACAAAAGGAGTTCACACAACCGCTCACAAGATTGTCTCGACATGTGCAATCTCTGCAGACAGTCTGCGCGAGCGTCATCTGCTATACAGGACAGCTTAACCACCCCCGGTGGACAGACTTGGAGCCGGGTATGTGACCCCACCATCCGACGCACTCAGCGTTGACTCGGGCGACATCCTCAGAAGCATTTACGTCCCTGTGCACTGTCGAAGGCGACACATCACTTGTTCCTCACGTGCCGAAAGATGGCCCGAACGGGGTGTACTATACGCAAGACTTTCATCTAATCCTTTCTTTCGGCCTGACGGAGCTCAAAGCTCAGCTGAGCTTGCGGGAAAATGTACGAGCTATCGTTCCAATCTGTTCTTGTAATCTAACGAACAAATGGCTCAATTACTATAGAGCGCCGAAAAGAGGTAGGAGAAGAGTCTTTCATCATAGCAGGAGCGGCGAACTCATCTTTTACGTATTGGATCACATAGATGCCCAGCGAAGACGATCTACGCGGAATGAAAACTGGCAAATCGGCATCCTTCTGACCAATAGCTTACGGTCGTGGATGGCCAGAGCCTCTCCCGTATCCATGATCGTAGGTCGCACCTCACTGATCGAACATATATGAGCACGATGGCATAGACTATTCATGAATTCATTAGTTAGAAATTTCCGCGGATAGGATGAGGTAGACGACGCATATAGGGATTTGAATCCGGGCTGAAGTACAGGACACTTCATGTCCGCCGTCGTGCTTTTGCGTTATGTACAAGTATTGATTCCAAGCAGTAAGCAGCCTGGGGGATACGACGCAGCTTTCTCGCTTTGCCGTCGAGACCAATATATGGGGCTAAGCAGACAATGCTAGCTTAGCTAGGTGGATTTTGTCCGTCCGGACATGTGCAGGTATGTTCGTCATCTCTGACAGCGTCAAGTCCCATTTCCTGACCTACGTGAGGTCATCAATGAGGATGTGCTTATTCGTGTTAACCCTAAATCCTGCGCTGCATACCTCATATCGATCTACTTTAGTTGGCTATGTAAAGAAAGATATGCTCAATGTGTTCTATATTTCACGAGACACGATGGAAACTACACGTGGATCCCCAGAGCACTTCACGGTGAATCGTCTGGGGGTCCCTTTGTGAACCGCTCCCACATCCGCGAGCACACGTTGCGCGCGAGGACAAACGGCTCGTTCGTCCACGCCTTCTCCCACATGCGCTGCATGAGCTGCACCTGCGCGCCCGAATCCACGCTCTCGTGCGTGAGCGCGAGCAGCCGCCGTGTTGGCGCCAGCAGAGTCGCGACTTGCTCGCCGATCGGTGGGAGTGACGGCGGGATCGGAAGGAGGATCGACTCGCCGCTGCACAGACGAGTAATATCCGCGTCGCCAGTCAGTCTCAGGTCGGTCCAGAACAACGGGGCACGCACATGAGGTCGGGATATGGCCGCTTGGGGTACATCACGTCCTGCGGGCGCCCGCGCCCCTGCTGGGACGCCGCGCTCAGGTCTGCCTCCGCCTCCTTCGCCGGTGGCCCGCCTTTCGCCGCCGCCCCGCGCCGCCGCTCCTGCTCTTCCCAGCGCTCGGTCGCCTGCTGCTTGTAGCGCTGCCACCACGCCTGGCGCTCGAGGTCGCTCTGCATCAGGTCCAGCTTCTCCTGCGCGGCCCAGCGGCTGCGGCTCAGCCAGAGGTAGTAGCCCTCTTCCCAGCGGCGCGCTTCCGCGTCCATGCGCTCGTGCTCGCCGTCGCCCGCGCCGACAAGCAGCTGCGCGAGGCTCGGCGTGCGCTGGCCCTCGGGCGGAAGCGGGATCTTCGTGCGGGCGGCCGCAGGCTGCTCTGACGCGGTCTGCCCGGACGCGGCGAGGACACGGGAGACTTCGTGCGCGAAGACACGCCGCAGGCACATGCTGCGACACCAGGGTTCGCGCTGTTCGGTGCGGCCCCGCACGGTCTGCGCGCAGTACATCAGACAGCGTTCGTCGACTTGGGGAGAGTATCGGCCTGCGCAGGGAAAAACGGGGAGTCAGAGCAGGAGCCGAAATGAGAGGAAATACAGTTCCGGGAGACTTGTCGCGCTCTGTAGCAGCTTCGGTCTACACGGAGTACGTTCGATCGCTCATCACCCGTTCATGCGGAGCATAATAAATAAGCACCAAGACCATTCGCTACACGAGGATACGGGTGTAGGTGAGCAAGTTACTAGAGATCCTGCACCGGGCGAGGCAGGGTTTCGAATGTATTCAACGGGGAAAGCTCGCGGACATGACCCAGCATATGCACCCAGAATGACTGGTACTCAGGAAGCATACACGAGGCTGCACCGCTGGACCAATAAAGACTAATACCACCTACCAAATCACGTCAGAAACGTATACGCCGGACCGTGCGCATACAAATCAAGGTGTTCGTCCTCCTATATAAAGACAACAGAGGACAAGTCGTGCAAGAGCGAGCGCGAGAGTTCCCCGGAACAGTGATTTAGGCCATATCAGAACTGACCTTTGGGCTGGCGGACAATCTTGATGGAAGGGACGCGCGACCAGTATATAGGGAATGCATGGCCTGGTGAGGGTGCTTTTGACCCGTCGGGCTGCGTCGTGCTCGAGCTGGGGGAGCTAGAGGCAGAGGACATAGGCGGAAAAGAGAACGAGCGGAGCTAGAGAATGCGGACAAGTCTAGAGTGTTTCGTCGCCGTCGTGCACGATGAGCTCGACGAATATGCCAGCGACGCCACCCATCACCAGATTCGGTCGGAGTTTGAATCTGCTGGCTACAAAGTCTGCAATTTTGAGGTCGGCGCTTCTTCAACGCGCCGTCTGAAGAATCGCTGTCGCAGCTCACGCACAGGGAGTCGTCCTCTCGTTCTTCAGCTGTGGGGAAAGTCCCCGGAGATGCAGAGCACGTCCTGCCTATCTTGGAAAGCAGCCACCCCCAAGCACGGTGGCCTGGGCAGGGCAGGAGGGACATCACCGCGCGGGCGTGAGCTCGCGCGCCGTTCCATCCACTCTGCCGCCTGTCGCGTTCGTGCGCGCGTCCAACCAACACGCCGGCATGCGGAGATACGAGCACGCTAATCGTGGGGTGTGTGCACGGCGCGCGGGCGATTTGTTGCTCATAGACAAAGTTATGCGATCGCGGGACACGCTCTCGCGTGCCCGTCAACGGAATGGGGCTTACTCTCGGTCGGCTCGTCCATCTCAATTTTTTTCTATCCTCGCGCGGTTCGCCCGTTCGCTGATGCCCGTGCTGGCGTGGACTGATGTGTCTTGGTGAGTATATGCATTCTTTCAATCTACTTTATGATGCTTGTTTGCTTTTTTGAATTTCTTCAGGGAGTATACCGCGTGTTTCATACGCGCGGGCGGGCTCCAGAACTTGACACCTCTGATCTTTCTGCACTCATTCACTTTCGTGTTCCTCATGCTGACTATATTCTGTCAAACAGATACACAACAATCGTGGCTATGACCTGCTTGATTTTGCATGTACTCAGTCCCTATTATGTTGAATGCAGCAATGCGGTCGTTTGTTCTGTCATTCAATGTGCTGCAATTGTTTCGTGCCCGCTAGGTTTTCCGTCATCACGCCTCGACACCATGTCGACTGGGTGAACTTGAATCGTTCGAGACGTTCATTGCGAGCGAAGCGAGCATCTCTCGGCTGAAGGGGCTGAGGCCGGGCTTTCAGTTAAAACAAACACGTACAAAAGATGCATGCAAGCGCCCGGGGTGTTTTTGCGTTGAAAGGACTGTAAGTCACTCAAATATCGGGACAGGCGGGGACGATTCTACAGAGACTGAACCATCCCCCGGGAGCGGAGATCTAACCATCTCCCTCCTCGGGGGATGCCTCAAGCGCCCCCCACAATTTCTGGCAGGGGCGCTTGATTTTTCGAGCAGATCACGTGACATACGCACTATCGCTCTGTTCCTGTTTTGGATTTCTGGGCAATAATCTTATCTGATATGGATAGCTGCCTAATCCGGTTATGCCCCAATAAGATTAGAAGTCGCGTTTTTTGCCCTTCTTGGATATTGCTCCCGCCTGCTGTTCCCTCAGCGCCCAATTTATAATATATTTCCATTTGAGGCCATAAAACGACAGTGAACCCCCCTAATACAGCAGGAGGCAATTCAGAGTCTTCCTAAAATGGAATACGCACGTGATTAAAGTATTTTTCTCGTCAGGAATGCACGTGAGGCCATTCCTGTTTTGGAGGGTAAGCGCCCCTGCCAGAAATTGTGGGGGGCGCTTGAGGCATCCCCCGAGGAGGGAGATGGTTAGATCTCCGCTCCCGGGGGATGGTTCAGTCTCCGTAGAATCGTCCCCGCCTGTCCCCAAATATCCTTCAAACTTGGTCATCAAGGTCCCCAAACACTCCCAGGCATGCAGCAAACGAATATATGCAAAAAGAATTGCATAAAAGTGGGACTTTGTTGCGAAATAAGTATAACTGTATGAAAAGCAATTAGACGCCTGGCCGCTGGTGTGGCCCCCTGCCATACAATCTCGTCAAATGTTCTGACACCTGAGTCCTTTCTCTTGGGGATTTCACTGATTTAGACATAACTAGATGTCCTATCAATACATTTTTGTCGGTACTGCGACGTAGGAATCAGCGCTTCGCGAGCCACTTCCCGTGCAGCGGGTGCATATTAATAATATTGTACCATTGGACAATACAAATGGTACCGGAGGAACAAGTGCGGTGTGTCTATCATGTGCTTGTGTTCTTCGCTAATACCGATTAGCAATACGCTATGAAGGTTTCACGCAGCGCCAGAGGCCCACACTTCCTGTGATGGATACGGCAAGGCGGCAGACTGTCTCTGCGTTCACAGCTTGTCTGCTTTGCATCGGCGCAACTACCTTTCAAAATGCTTCACTCCGAACGAGACGATATCAAGGTATTATCTATGTTCCATGCCACACGATCTGCCGATCCTTGCTCGTGGTGATACGCCCCAGATGATGTCGAGCAGCATCATACTGACGGCCTCGGAGAGCCATCGAAATATCATACAAGACTGATACAGACATAGGACCACCGCATCGCTAGCGGAGCAAGCTGAATACATATGAATACATAAGCTACTGTACTGTGCCTGGCTTCATACGACATCAGCATCACTCCCATACCCCAGACAACAGTGGCGCTCACCACCCACACACATCTCAAGGCTCTCCGTGGCCGCCAGCATCGTCACTGCTCATCTCCATCTCTTCCTCCTCTAACAGACCAAGCTCATACACGAACGTCTCTAGTACGACCTTGGGTTTCACTAGCACCGACACCTGCAGCTCGTCCCCCAGCCCCTCCCTCGGCTTCTCACATCGCCGCAGCCCCAGCGCCGCCGTGCACAGCACGTGCAGTCTCTCATCCTCCGGCTCGCCCCCGCCCCGTTCCACATGTGCTCCCGCTGCCCCCTCGCCGCCGTCGCTATACACATCCTCCATCCGCGACGAGTCGAATACCTCGTCCATACGCACCAGCACCACCTCGAGATCGTGTGAGGTGATGCCTTCGCCTACGGCCTCCTGCAGCGCGAGTGCACTGCGCACTACCGTCTCGAGGCTCTGCTGGGTGGACGGCGTGCGCACCGCAGCTGGACTCGCACCGGCAACGAGCAGGATGTCCGCAAGGCGCTCCGCGAGCTGAGCTGTGAAGCCTTCGGCGAGGTCTCGGCCATTGTACAGGCGCTGCTTCGAGTACTGCCGTGTGAGGGAGCGCCAGCGTCCGGTGACGGCCTGCGACTCTGCTCGCGCGAAGTCAGTGTCATTGGGTCGCGACATGGAGGCTGAACATCGTACCTGACTTCAGCATCTGCTTGTGTATGCTCGAGAACGTCGCGTCGCTCTGGTGCTGGAAGTCCCAGGCGGAGACGATCCCGGCCGCGAAGCTGACCATGTCGGCCTGCATCGCGACGTGCACCAGGATCGGGTCTTCCTCGTGTTCGATCGACTCTAGGAGCTCCGCCATGACAGGGCCCACGGCGGTCTTCGTGCGCTCAGAGGCGTCCGCAAAGTCCGCGCCGCTGCGGCCGTCGTCCTCGACGTAGAAGGCGTTCGTCAACACGGTAGCCGCCCGGGTGATCTCATGGTTCAGGCTGCGCACCATCTGCATGACATCCGCGTCGCTCTGAGTGTCCCCGGGCCCCGCCCACGGTTGCGCCTCGGGCAGCGCCGCCCGAGACGCGCCGAGCAGTTCCTGAAGACCGGCGCGTTCGTCTGCGAGATGGCGCTGGCGTCCCTGCGCGAGCAGGGTCGACTCCTGCAGCTCGGCGTCTAGCAGCTGGACGCGCACTGTCTGCGCCTCGAGTGCAGCCTCGGCTCGCCGCAGCGCGTCCGCTTGCCGCCACAACTCCCTCCGCGCGAGCCCTTCCATTCGCCGCCAGAACTCCACCTCCTCACTCGCGAGTTCCATGACAAGCTGCACCTGTGCGGTCTCTTCGCGCAGACGCTCGCGCAGCGTGCGTGTGGTCTGACAAGCTTCGTCCAGCTGGGCGCGCAGCTGCGCGTTCCGCCGGGAGACGACCTGTGTGATGCGCAGGCGCCCCGACGCGAGCGCGCGGAAGATGATGTGCGCGCATTTGACAGCGGTCAGGGTGAGCGCGACTTTCCAGGCGACGTGGAAGAGCGGCGTCAGCGTATGCAGGTTGAGCGACATGGCCATTGAGAGGAGACATTGGGGGGCCCCGCGCCGCGCAGGCTGTGATGATATTGGCTGGCGCCAGCGACACGCCTTGACGGGTGGGCGACGCGGTGAGGCAAGCGGGCGTGGAGCACTCGTGGATTATGATGATGGACACGAGTTGCGTGCGCGGCGAGGGCTACCGCGAGCCGGACGGCTGGAGCGGTGCAGCGTCGCGCACAGCCATAGATGATGGGATGGCCATAGCGGGGGACAGCGGAGGCCGTATAGGAGTAGATGTTGTTCGGCGGGGCTGCGTCGGTGGGAAGCCGGCATATGAGTGCGGACGGACATGCGCTTCGCTCGGGGGCTGTAGAGCGAACATGAGGTCACCGCATGGGTGACGCGTGGAGGCGACAAGCACTAAGTCGTGGATTGCCCGCCTCCTGCGATGCGTGCGCTGCGCACGTTCCACGAAGCGTGTTGATTCCGTTCTATTTGCAGCACCAGATGTGTTCTTAGCACTTACATCTTGTGACATCCTCAGACGCTCGATATTCGAGGAAATCACCAGCCTGATGCTACAGGCAGCGAGGGAACTCTCGGCATCGACAGGGCTGTCAGTCCATTCAGTCTGAGAGGGCACCCAGGAGGCAACCGAACTGCTCAGCCGTGCCGTGGGCGAGGTGGGTCCAGCTCAACGCGTCTCGTCACGTATCGGGACGCGTCCGGTCACATTCGTGTCACGCGTTCCTTGCATCTTAAGCGTGAAATGGTACGCTCCATTAGATCTCCTGGTGTTTAATGATTTGAGTCTCGCGAACAGATATACAACTCCTCTGGAGGAATAGACATTCTCGAAGACCTACATGTTCGACCCTGATCCCGTCGCTTTTAGTTTTTCGACGGCCCACTCCCAAGTGTCGCCCACCATTTGTCCTTCTTCGCCTCTCCACCTCTGCGCTTGACCACCGTAGACAGACCAGAGCTGACACCCTTGCGGCCGCCCCCCGGGAATGCCTCTATCACTCGTTTGTCCGTCACTTCAGACGAGTGCACTCGCTCCTCCGCCTCTTCCGATCGTTTTCTTTTCTTCTTGCTGCTAGCGGACGCTGCACCCTCTGGTTGCTGTCCCTTCTCCCATTCCTTGCGGTGCAGGCGGTAGAGCGCCATGGTCGCGCGCGCGTCTGTCACCTGTAGACGCATATCTGGATATCAGCCGCAACCGCGAGGGAAAACAAATACGTACGCTAGAGTGCTCGCCTGATTGGATGGCCACGCCTAGTTCTTGTTGTACGAGATGGCGCAGTGCTGCTCGCCGAGTGCGAACTACCTTGTGCTTATGTGCGTAGATCTGGGTATCGCGGGTGAGGTGTCGTGGATGTGAGAGAAGTAGAGCCTGAACAACATGATGTTGTGAGTAAGGATGGGGTAGAAATATGGATCGCTCGAAAAACCTTAAGATCGTTGTGGACTGCGTGTCCAACGAGTATACGGTCCTTCAGCAATTCGGCTATTTGCTTTTGAACCTCAGCGAATGGTCGTGCTAGATGCAGAGCCTCTGAGATCCTGCGACAAATGAATACATCGGAAGGCTCACCGTCGATCATGTCCTTGGGACGGACACCACTAAACTCTGTCCTATAGTCCACGACACGTTCACGCTGGCGAACGAATACGTCCAACTGGATAGCTCCGTGATAATTCACAAGACTAGCCCGCGCGAGCGACGACTCTTTTCCCTCCGGTCCGACCCCCACCATCTCGCAGTCGAGCGCGAGATATTTTCCCGGTCTAGCGTGATCGAAAGACGAGCCGTCAGAATGAATGGATCTGCGAGTACATGAGTAGGGTCGGCTCACTGTTGCTGGTGAGGGGAATAGTTCAGCTCGCCTGATATCATGCTGCGCAGCGCGGACAGGGATTCTCCATTCCGCACTTCATCCGCCAGTGGTGCAGCGCCCTTGGACTGCTGCTCTCTTATGAAAGATGTTTCCACAAACGTCTGGCCAACGACGGTAGACTCTGCTGGCGAGACATTGGTGTGCTCGACTTTGCGTCGTTTCCGGGGTGCGTTGGATGATTCTGCACTAGGTAATTTCTGAGCGGGAATTTTGAGTGGGCCTGGCAACGCGAGCCTAGCTCTTCTTACCTTCTGCAAGGCTTGCCAGTTTGAAGAAGGTTTTTGGTGACTGCTTTTGGCGGAGTTCGGCATAGGAGTAGTGATGATTTTGAGTAAAGCCCAAGCGAGCAAGTATTTCCGAACGGTAAGGAATGATTTTAGAACCGGGAATGTACAGGTAAGTGTCTTATCCCCAGCAACCATTATGAGCTCTGACATGAAGCGGCTGCATCTGCTGCGAGCAACACACGAGCAACAGCAGTATGAGATGCAAACTATGTAGTGTACGTAAATTGAGCAGAGCCTTCAACAGAGCAAGTGTAGTTTTGGGCCTCACTGCACGCCTGCTTTCCAGGGTTTACCGCGTCTGAAATGCATAGATAAGTGGTTATTTCCAGCTATGAGTAATTATGGCGATCAATGTTGTGACCGCTTGCAGACGCTCATCGTCGCTCCCGCGAATGTCGCGACAGACAATTACTGTTTCTCTGTTTTTGCCACTGCTATGGATTTCTCGACTGTGAATGAGCTGCTGGCGGGCAGCGTTGGCGGCGCTGCCCAAGTCCTCGTCGGGCAACCGCTGGATACCATCAAGACACGCGCGCAGGTTGCGCCCAGTTCAGTCTTCCTGCCTGCCTGTGCTTATGACGGTACATTGCTTATAATTTCCATGTGTTCATGCAGGAGGCATGTTTGTGAGTTATCTGCTTGGTATCTCTTTCCCTCGATCATGACGTGAGATCGCAGAAAGGACCTATGGATATCCTGGCACAGACTATTCGCAAAGAGGGATTCTTCGCGTTGTATAAAGGTTATTTACCCTTCGCGTGGATTGGTTCGAATGTTGTCTTGACAGACATATGCTCAGGCATGGCTAGCCCACTTATCGGCATCGCTGGGGTCAATTCCCTACTGTTCGCTGCGTATGGACTGTCGAAGCGGGCCATCTCGCCTTTCCCACAGCTCTCGTTGAAGGAAATAGCAGCGGCGGGTGCTATGGCTGGAGCAGTGAACGCTATCCTAGCTAGCCCAGGTATGTAGAGGCGAGTGTTTACCTCTGCGGGTGCTGGAACTGCAGGACACAGTGGAGATGTTTAAGGTCCGCATGCAGGGTCAATATGGTTCGGCCACCGACAAGCGGTTGCGCGAGGTTGCGCGTGAGATGTGGTCGCAGTGGGGGATTCGTAAGGGCATCATGCGAGGTTACTGGGTACGTAGCTGTCTTCTCCTTCCTTCGGCTGAGCTGACTGTGAGAGTGTAGATTACCGTTGCACGAGAGATTCCTGCCTATGCGGGGTACGTCCTTCCAGGGTACGTTGGTACACCCCTCTGACAGGTGTTTCCGTCAGGTTCTACACTGGTACGTGCTTCTGATTGCTATGCCGACCATTATTTATCTCCGATGTCTTCAGCTTTCGAGTTTTCTAAGCGTAAATTCACTGCTATCTACGGCGACCAACTGCCTGTGTGGGCTCTTCTTTCGAGTGGTGCCACTGGCGGGGTAGGATCCTGCAACATCGGCAAAATTTAGTTCTCACGCAGCGTGTAGATTGCTTACTGGCTGGCATGTTATCCACTGGGTAGGCTCCCGTTAACATTTCTAAACGTTTCATCGCTGCATTCTGACGGAGGCATCTCCAAAGATGTTGTCAAGTCGCGCGTGCAGCTACGTGATACGCCGCCGACCGGAACGCCCGTTCAATATATCGCCCGCGAGTTAAGAAACATCGTTGTGGAATCAGGATGGTGAGTTAATCATGGCCAGGGTTTGCATAGCCTGCTTCATCGAATGCTGACATCTGTTCCGTGCTGGCAGGACTGGGTTGTTCCGAGGGCTGTCTCCGTCTTGTGCGTACACTAGAACGAGTAGACCTAGCATGCACTAACTGCACATGATCTACATCGTCTAGTGCTGAGGAGGTCAGCAATACCGTGCGGCACAGCTCAAATATTACTGACACCCCCACCTCACAGTATACCCGCTGCGGCGAGTACGTTTGCAGCATATGAACTGACACGAGGTATGTGTTCTCACCGCTTTCAGTCCGGGTTTTGTGTCTCAATCAATCTCACATCGGCAGAATACCTCAAGGAATTCACCGGCGTGTGAGAGGTAAGTGTGTGCGCATATCCCAAACGTTCATTCCCAGTCTAATGGCGGGCTATTGCCAATTCCCTAGTCATTAGGATGAGGCCATGTCATGTGCGATCTTTCTCACATACCAATGTTACGACCGCGAGAAAAGCGACAGGTTCTCCATAGCCCTGAATGTTGACATCCGAAAGTGAAGACGCTAATCCCTGCGTCGGGCTCGGGCTTCAGCCTGGCCGCGTCTTCGCGGTACTCTCCAGACACATCTGTCGACTAGCCGTCTCTATGGTGAAAGCGCGCTTTGTGTCTTTGAAGCAACGCAGTCCCAAGTCAGGAAACCGAATATGAAGTGCGTCGATGATCGGCACATATATGTATAACTGGTATAGACCTGGGCCAGAGGCAATAGTGAACATCCGTTGATTGGTTCCATCACCTTGGTTTGGGTTCGGTTTGGATACAGTTGGTTGCGGTTTCAACGAGTGGAACGCTTGCCTTCTATGTCTTAAGAGCGCCCGGACCCTCCGGCACATGGTGTTGACCGCAATAACGATGTGATTGTGTTCAAACAGTTTTGTGCCGGTAATATTTACCATTCTCTTTCGTGCACGTACCCAAGCAGTGCAGGGCAGATTTCTGATTGAGAGATCGTGGCGTAGCGGGTGTCCAGCTCATGTGGACATCACCTCGATGAGGTCACCCGCCCAATTACAATTGGTGCATTTCGTCTACGGTGCGTAAATCGGTCTTGAAGTTTGTTCGTTGATCAGAGCTACTTGATGGACGCCCCGGGTCCTTCTCATGTGCGCCTTCTGCCCGAGCCATCTCCGTCCATCGTGTCCCAGACCACGACCCCGTCAATGCTGGCCACGGAGCAAGGCGGCTGTCCATCAGCGCGCCTGCATCATCGTGCCGCCGCGATGCTGATGAACGCGCGTACGACGCGTCTGGTCGGTGAGTACGGCTCTCGTACAGGCATTTACTTCGTCAGATTGACGCTTCTCGCAATGTGGCACATTGCATTTGTACCCAGATGTCATCCACTTGGGACTCTCGTATTCCTGTACCTCTTGGATAAGATTTGCATGTCGAATTGACTACCTACTTGGGCATGATCCCAAGGCACGCGCTCCACCTTCTCTCCTCACCAAAAGATCTGTGTGTCAGAACCTAGAGGGGGTGGGCGCCTTAGGCCATCACAAGATGATGCCATATCTGGAAGAGTAGCCGCATTTCCCGCGTCCCACACTCCCGTCCGTCAGCCGTGCCATTCCCGCTCTCTGCTCCATCCATCTGTGTCCTTTGTGGAGACAGGTCCTCCATACCCATCTTGGCATTTGGGCGTTCTGAGATCCAGCTGCAGGGGCTTGACACTTGCACGCGGTGGGGAAAAGTGGGGATGCGGCCCTTCAACCATGCTTCATAGATGCGTGCTGCAGCGTGTTCCTTGCTCTACCAGATATCACGACAAATATCTAGGTCTGTACTGCGCTCGACGTCCAGTTGTTTCAATCACTCGCGATTACGTCGATGATCAAAGCTGACGGCTCTAACTGCGTGAGCAAGCCTTCCCATATAGCAAGTCCACAGCGCTAATCATCACGCTCAGTCCCCAAATGATGGAGACAAATCGGTCAATCTGAGCGTCGTCGCCGGTGTCTTGGGGGTTGTGGCGCTCGTTGCCCTTCTTGTTCTGATCGCTGTACCTCTTGCGAGACACCACAAGAAACGAAGGGTCGTCAATGCCCGAGAAGATCTCGAAAGCGGTTTCTTCGGGTCTCGGCGATCGTCCGACCGTCATCAAAAGATGCAGCATATAGAGCACACTCTCGGACCGGACCTGCTTTTCCCCCTCATCGATCCTGCGTCTAATATTACCTGGTCAGATCTCCGCTCGAAGCACTCGAATACCGAATCGGTAAACGAGGTTGAGTACTCCTTCCGCACCGATAACGCGACCACCTCGCACGCTACGCTCAGGACATCCTACGTGGACGAGATGAGCCAGGACATCGTTGACGCGCATATGTCGCCGTCGCGCTCAACGCAGGGTCCGACACCATCGGGGTTTGCGTCCAGGATAGACGCCAGCACAGCTACGGGAGGTGCTGCATATTCTTCTACGCACCCTGGGAGTGCGGGTCGACCGCTCAGTGCTAGTATGTTCCCCCTCTCTCCCGTGTCTCCTGTCTTCGCATCTGGCGTCGGCAGGAGCGCGAGCGGCCGTGCCAAACCCGCCGTGCATAGACCAGGCATGGAGCCACTCATGGAGGACAGCGATCATCAGCCACAGTCGCGCCAACTGCCCTCGCCGCCCGCTTCGCCGGACCAGCCGCAGCCGCTTTGGGCAAGTAGCTCATCAAGGCGGCGGCCAAGTGTGGCAGGCTCGCACTCATCGTCGTCCGCACTCCCCTTTCGCCCACGCTCATCTACAGGCCCGTCCTCCGTCCCTCTGACCGCCGCCTTCCAAACGAGTATGCTACGATCCTCGTACGCTTCCTCCTCGCAACGATATCCTTCTGTCGTATCCTCGCCTCGCCCCGACTCGCGCGGGCGCGCCAGCTCTGTAGCTCTCGAGTCGGGCTCAGAAGGCCAGCCGCACGACACACGGCCGGTGGACGCGTCCCGCCGCATGAGCGCCACGGACATTCGGCACAGGCATCCCACGGGTATGGCTTCAGGCAGCGACGAGCCGCGTGCCCTCCTGCGACCATCTAACGCGCTGCGCACCCCACAGTTGCATGAGGCAGGGCCCTCTTCCTGGCAAAGACGCGAGCAAGTCGCAGCAGCGTCCTCCACCGCTCGCCCCGCATCCCTATCTCCCATGTCGCAATCGTCCGGGCGCCCGGTCTCTGTGGATGCCGCTCGCTCGCCGTTGTCACCTGCATTGTTGCGGCACCCGCAGCAAGACCAGACATCCAGTCAACAACCACCACAGTCACCGCTCGTCCGGCGCAAGGACAGCCTTGCTCTCCGGCCGCTGCCGACGTCGCTGTTTGCCACTGCGCCATCGCCATCGCCATTACTCTCACCTCCGTACAGGCCGCTGCCACGCACACCGAGCAGTACACGCACGCGGTCGCACAGCGTGATGAGTGAGCGTTCCATGCCACGACACCTGCCGCCGTTGGACCCGCTACCGCCCCTCGAGTTTGAAAGCGGCGTCGTCCCGAAGGGCGATTCGCCCACGAACAGATCATGAACGTCTGTTGCCGTAACGATGTCCTGCTGAACTCAGTCCTGTACATCACGAGCGGCAGAAGGAACCGCGATACCATCTATTTAAAATGCAGGGTCTGCTTGTTGATAACGTTTATATCGCTTTGTGTCTTGCGTCTGCTGTCCGTTTGCTATCTGTATTATCCGAACCCCCAGAATCTGTATCATACATAGTATAGTCACGTCTAGTACAATGTAGAATGATAAGCAGGCAGACATCATATCTCTTGCCCCCATGAACCTCGATGTGTTTCATCGTTGCTAACTCAGTGTCTGTGCCAACAGGAGCTGATGAAATCTCAATTATAGTGGTTGCAACGAGATTTCGGAAAGTGATCAATTCAAAAGATAGCAAGGCTGCAAGTTGAATGGTGCTGCTCCAGAATCAGGAGGAGTGGCGTACCTAATGTTCGTCCACGAACAATCTGATACGTACGTGTGGGAAGCACGAATCCTGACCTGGCATCCCAACCTCAAAGCGCCCTATTACATCGATGTCTTCCAGCAGAGCAATGACCATCGTGCCCATGGTGGGTACACACCCTAAATTGTCATACGCGCTCAGAACCTGATATCTCACTCACGACATACGGTCAAGTAAACAATGACCAAGACCAAGCAGGCTGCAGCGAAGAATCCTGCGCCCCGTTCAATACTAATAGGTTTGAGGCGCCACAACATGGGCAGTATGTTGCGCAGTGTTTGCAGAAGCATAGGGAGATGACCTGACCGCAGCAGAAGAGCACATGGGCCGCCGCACGAGAGCCCCGGGAGGTGGTTGTGGGGCAGGGTATGCTATGCAGAGTGCCCGGGCACGTTCTCGGGGCGGCCACGGGCGCACAAAATGCGACCGCGGTGAGAGCGAGGGCGTGCGGAGACGCCGTGCGGACCCACACAGGAGAGTCAGATCGTGATATAGCGCGCGGAATGCGCAAAACATATCTGTGCCGTCCACACATGCTCTCACGCGGGGTCGGACGGCATGCTGAAGCGCTGAGTACTGGCGGTACTCATCACGCTTGAGGCGTCCTACAATCAGTGGGTGCGCATACATCAAATCCACGCGGCGGCGGCCGACTCATTCAACGGGCCCGACGTAATGGCGAAACGCCGCATGCCGGGTTGTACGGGTCAGTATCCCAGCTCACGCCGGGCGACGCCGTCTGCTCCCTCTGTGTCCGCAAATGGGTTGAAGGTGATGATTTTTCATGAGCCGATATATTGCGTCGGCCCTGGGGTGTTGCTGCTGCATACACGTGTACGCCAATGCAGAGCATACTAGAGTATTAGTGTAGCATCGGGCTCGATGAGCAGCTTTTTGAAATTTGATATACTCGGCTTGATATTGCTTACAACCAGGTATCAGAGCTCGCGATGGCCAACAGCCATATCGAGTGTGGAACGACTGCTCCAGCCTTCAGGCAGAGAAAAAGATCTGGGAGAATGTGAGTGGCAATTGACACGGCACACATTGTTGCCACTTCTTGACCAGCTTCAAAAACGCGAACAAGCCGCTAGGTTAGCCGAGAGCTCAACAGAGCACACGTGACTCCTCGAAGCGATCAACCAGCTCAACATCTTGCAGGAGAGCAATATCCATCTTTATGTTCTCCTTCTGACTTATTGGCAGCTGGTGAGATCCCTGCACAGTGCAATGCAGTCCCTTGGACGTATCATCCATCGAACATCCCGTTACCATCAGTGCTGCATTCAACAAGGCGACGGAGACCACGTTCGCTGTCACCACCGCATCCATCAGTAAAACCCCACATTTCCTGCACGGCCTTAATCTTGCCTTGGTCTCTGTAATCAAGTTGATTAAGGCAAGTAAGCTGAAAACAGCCTTATTTTTACTCCTGAATTAAGCTGAAAACTACCCTACTTCCTGAATTAAGGAACATTGAGCACATTAAGTTGCTCAAGGAAAGTTGGGGTTTTACTGATGTCTCCGTTCCTGTTGATTTGTATAACAATGATGAGTGCCAGCTCGTCAAGACCTTGACCAGGATGAATCTCGTCATGAGGCTTACTGGCAGTGCGCACGGTCGCGCAGAACAACGCTGGTTTCGGGGGTAGATGAGATTAACTTGATCGCGATCTAAATTTGTGAATTACATGCACATATATCCGATATATCCCGGGGAGTATTGCTCTCTTACCATATTTGGAGATATCGGTAACAGAATGACATGGAATACTGCCAAAAGTGGGACATTTTGAGGAGATTTGCCAAGTCCTGCTACTTGTAATAAACGACCTCGTGAGTGTCTCAATCGACAGACGCATCGACACTAGTCTGCGTTGCTAACCATAAACGGACATGGATGGCAATCGATCCATGTCTAGTATATGGTCTGCCGGAAAGCGCGCCCACTTAACTGGACCATCGCCTTACGTCCCAAAAAGGAAACGCGGCTGCAGCTTGCTGCCTTTAGTGTCGACTTCGACCTATATTCTGCATCCTGTACTATCAAATTGTGCACTTAAATTATTATTATTATTATTATTATTATTATTATTATTATTATTATTATTATTATTATGCACTATATTTGACTGTGGTAGACTTTCAGCAAGGATTTGTTCTCTACTGCAGCCCAATCCCATCGGACAAGCAGTTTGAGGCAGATTTAGGGCCTCTAGTGGAATAATATACTCAAAATTTAACAAAAATGTTACCGTAAACGAACAGAACACATATCGCACTCTACCAGCATGATGTACCCTCAATTTAACTGTGTACAGTATCGCGACGCGCTCTATGAGAGGCGCGATTGCACTGCGAAACGCGCTTCACGTGATCCGGAAAGTGCCGTAAGCGGCTTGTCCTGCAAACCGGGTCAGGTTTCATGAAGACTACATCGACACATTCCATGATGAAAGCAGCTCAGCGATCGCTGTGCGACCTCGACCTCAAGCACGACGGTCCTAGCCATGCGGACACTTCGAAATTGAGTTCCAGATCTCGTCTCTTGCGTTCACCATGGTTGCTCCTCGCGATGGTGCTGTTCGCAACATCAAGCTGGTACTGCTGCTTGATCCGGGAGAGCCCGCATGCGCCCTCAAGGGCAGCCTTGTGTCCACAAACATCTCCTCTGGTTCCGCAGGCGAACGCGGGTGTTTGGAGCGATGTGAGCAAAGCGCTCGAGACAGACGCTTTCATAGACAGGGCAGCGGACCTTCTGGGTGGTGCCGTTCGTGTTCCGTAAGCTTTCGCTCGCGCTGTCATCCTTACGCACTCATGCATTGCACATTAGAACGGAGGTGTACGATGAGATGGGTTCAATATCTGAAGACGCTCGCTGGGAGGTCTTTGCCTCTTTACATGAGTATCTAGTACAGGCCTTTCCACGGATGTCAGTATTTTGGACAAATATGTCGCCAAATGCGGAGTTTACATCTTTCGTTTATTGTCAGTCACACTACTCTGCAACTCACAAAGGTGAACACACATGGGCTTGTGTACACGTGGAAAGGCTCCGATGAGGTCCTCAAGCCCTTATTTCTGACTGCGCATCAGGGTACCGCCTATCTAAACATCTGGAACAGCATGGAGCCGCTCACTAACAATTGTGCAGATGTGGTCCCCGTCAATCCGGACACGTACGATCAATGGGTGTACCCACCCTTTTCGGGCCATTACGATGGTACGAGCGTGCCTTTGTGTTTTACCTATGATTCTCACATCACCCTCGCTACGCTTAGGAACATATGTCTGGGGACGCGGCAGCGAGGACGATAAAAGCGGTTTGATCAGCCTGATGTGTGTATAGGCTTGTTCCATTTCTTTTCACAACCGCGACTCTGAAACCCGACAGGACGGCAGTTGAAGTACTACTTGAGCACGGCTTCCAACCGAAACGTAGCGTAATTTTAGCCTTCGGTTTTGACGAGGAGACAAGCGGAATGCAGGTGCGGCCTAAGGTCTGTAGGAGGGCATGTTCTGAACGCGCACTGCACACAGGGTGCACATGCGATATCGGAGTATCTTCTGTCAGAGTACGGCGAGAATGCATTCGCAATGTTAGTTGACGAGGGCGGTGAGATTGAAGAGCAATTTGGTGCCCTGTTCGCGCTCCCTGCGATCGCAGAGAAAGGCTACCTTGATGTTCGCATCGATGTCGCGGCGCCTGGTGGCCACTCGAGTGTGCCGCCCGCGCATACGGTGAGCATGCCTATCCCCTACCGCACTATCGTGAAGCCAACATATATATAGACAATTGGCATGCTCGCAGAAATGCTCGTTCAGTACGAGCTGCATCCGTTCGAAGTGCAGCTTAAGCGTGACTCGCCGATGTACCACCATGCGCAGTGCCTCGCTACATACGCACCGGAGCTTCCAGGATCGTTACGCGATGCGGTGCTGGAGTCGGTCAGCTCTGATAAGGCTCTCCGGCGCGCACAGGATCTGCTCTTCGAGGACGATGTGTTCAAGGCATTGGTCGGCACGACACAGGCTGTGGATATAATCGGTGGCGGTGTCAAGTCGAACGCGCTGCCCGAGAATGCGATGGCATTGGTGAACCACCGCATTGCGACTGATAGGTGCGTCTGTCTCCTATCCAGTTGTGCACATGTCTCGATGGTGTTTACAGTTCCGTCGCTTCAGTCAAGGAACATGCCATCGGTTTAGTGAAGCCCATTGCGGACAAATTCAACCTCTCGCTCACGGCCTTCGGAGCAAGCCTTACGGAAGTTCAGGATTCCCCGGCGCATGGTTCTGTAACGCTCAGCGACGCGTGGGATTCAGCCCTTGAGCCTGCGCCGATCACCCCCACTGGTCCAGATGCTGCTCCATTTCAGCTTCTTGCTGGCACCATCAAAACCGCGCACCAGTCTCGCCGCTCGAATGTTCAGCTTGCCTTCAGCGAGGACTCGGAAATACATGTGATCCCAAGCTTGGGGTCGGGGAATACAGGTGTGTGTTTTACCAACCGCGAGGATCGTTATCCTGGATTCATGGTCCGAAAGATACCCAATTCTACTGGAAGTTGACGCCACACATTTTCCGTTACTCTCACTATTACTCTGGTGCGGGGCCCCGTGCGAGCGGTATGCATACGGTGAACGAAGGTGAGCAATGGTACGTCTGATATGTCGCCGGTCTTGTTTGAACTTTCCTGGTGTAGCTTGCCTGGCAGAGGGTCTTGTCGAGATGATCACATTTTTTACCGCACTAATTTTGAACGCCGATGAGGCCTCGTTATAGCATCATAATCGAATACCCTCTGTGGTGTTCAGCCACGCCCTACCATTTTATTACCGCAAAAGGGTGCCATACAGAGGCACGCAGACCCGCCATCGGTCGTGTGGACCGGCTAAGGGGTATCAGACGTCCTACTCGAATGCCGGACCTCGATGGCGTGTTGCGCTCTAAGTATTGCGAGTAAGCTTACTCCGTAAAAATGCTTCATCTCGCCCGCTTTTCCCGTGATAATCTTATATGCTGCGCTACTTTCAACGGATTCGCTGAGCAGTTCAATTCCATGCATACTAAATATTAGGTCTCGGGGTTTTATCGGTGGTCTGACTACTCTCCGGTATGGGATCGCTATCTGGATGAGTCACGATAGGACACAGGATAGAATGTCTCCGACGATGGCTCTCCAGAGCATTAACTTAGACATTATCCTGCATTCACTCTTCACCGCAGGAAATGACACTCCCAAGAGTAATACTTTGTGGTAAGGGTATAAAGACTATAATATGCCTGTTTGCTAAAATCTAGATAGATGTGCCAGTATGGACCAAAGCAGAAGCCAAAGAGGTGTTCAATGGCATTGCGGATGTTGTTGTGAGTGTCCATGTTCTTTTCTGTAAAACTAGTCTTATTTACGAGCGCTGCGTTCGCCTCGTGCTGTAGCAGCTGGATGAGTCGACGAGTCGTGCCGACTTCCTCGCAAGCTTCCAGCCTGGGGGGCCGTTCGAGGGTGCAGTAGGCTTTTACAGACGCAATAATTCCACCGCGCGAATCGGCAGGTTCGACAAAGATCTCGTTAGCGCTCTACCATCGAGCGTGAAGTGGATTGCGCATAACGGTGCAGGATACGACCAGGTCGACGTTGCGGCTTGTCAGCGAAAGGGGATTTATGTGTCGAACACTCCCGGAGCAGTTGATGATGCAACAGCCACGACGGCACTGTATCTCCTCATTTCTGCGTTCCGGTCCTTCTCCAAAGCGGAGCGCGACATTCGTGCAGGCGCTTGGAAGACGCTACACCCACCAGCTTCGGCGCACGATTTAACCGGCAAGGTCGTGGCGATACTAGGTCTGGGAGGAATTGGACTGCGGTTCGCCGATCTTGTTCATGCATTTCCAATGCGTGTTCTCTATCACAGCAGGCGCAAATTTCCTCACGCACCTGAGTGGTGTGAATATTATAGCGCGGATCGTCTCGACGAAATGCTGGCTACTGCGGATGTGCTGAGCATACATGTACCGTTGAACGAGCACACGGTGGAGCTGGTCGATAAAACAATGATTAGGAAGCTGAAGAAAGGCGCAATTATTATCAACACTGCGAGGTGTAGGGTCATTGATGAAGAGGAAATGATGAGGGCTTTGGAAGATGGACACGTATGTCTCGGCTGATAATTTCCTGATGACATTGCCTTTAACTCTTACCTCATAGCTGGGCGCCATCGGACTGGACGTCTTCTATGACGAACCCAACGTTAATCCACGCTGGTTTGACTTTCCAAACGCAACTCTGCTTCCCCATGTTGGCACCGCTACATGCGACACAATTAAGAGTATGGAGCTGCGTGCTCTTGGTAATCTGAGGAACTCTTGACGGAGAGAAGGGGTAAAGATCTAGTGTCCGAATACATGGGTCTCGATATATGATAGACGTATTCAAAGGGGCGAGCGGATCTCACACTATGCATACAATGTTGACATCCGGCTACTATAGAACTCCTGAGCTATCACCAAGTGGGGAAAATGCATGCCCGGATATACATGTGCGCGCACAGCGTAAACATGCTAGACGATGTTGAAGGGATCGCCCAGAAATGTCTCAGAATAAGGACCTGGGTGCGACCCTGTTGCTAACACATGTGAACGCGCTAAGCCACTTGCAGACGAAACTTTATACAGCGCTTGGGATTGGTGCTAGTAAAGATATCGGAAGCCTCTCTTGCGCTCTAATGCTTCCTCGAACGTGAGGCCTTCCAGCCTCGCAGCCTCTTCGATACGCTCGCGTCGAGCGCCCTTCGGGTCTTCTGTTTCATCTCGTTCCAGTTGTTTGTTCTCGTGGACCAGTATGCACCGAATGACTATGTCCGAAGTTCAGACGACTGCGAAAGGATTGCATATGGAACGCACCAAACGCAAGGATCGTGCTGAATGTCAGCGAAGCGATCCCGATGAACATGGACGGGTGGTAATCAGGACTCCACTGCGTGCGCCACGTATACGAGCTAATTCTAAGGCAACGTTGAGCGAGCAGGCCAGAGCATACTACTGATTGAAGAGCATACAGATTTCCTATATTTCCGATACCGTTGACAATCCCAATCGCAGCAGAACGCTTCGCAGGCGGCCGCGGGATTGCATTTGCCACCCACACCGCCGTCAGGGCGAAGCCTGTTCACAAGATGATCGCCCTCAATATCATGTCTAATGTATCAGATGGTCAATAACTACCTGAGTATCCAGCTGCCATCAGGAACATTGCGAAGTAGCGCGCCCCGATGGACGTCGTAGATGCGCCGATTATGTAGGCGACGAGGACGCCCCACCAAGGCCAACAATGGTGGAAGAATCGTTCACCGGTCCTGTCTGTATAAAAACGTTAGTAGAGCTAGCTTTATGTACACACCACTGCGTAGGACATACCCGCACTCCATGCGTTCACAGCACACACGATAGTCGCGAAAATCCATGGCGGCCTGACAGGGTCCCTACGTTGTAGCACAGCAATACAAGGAGAATACAATCTACTCACGCGCAAAGCAGCAGCGTGACGGTAGTGGAGAAGCCCAGAGTGTCAGCAATCCTGCCCAGATTCTTCCGTGTCAGTACCACCCAGTCAGTGACGCCTGTGAGCAAACTCACGTCGGGAAGAAATTGATGAAGCCAAGCCCTAGAAGCTGCGAGCAATTCATGATGGCGAAAATACCGACCTTCGGGTCCTTCAGTGCTAGCTTGAGACCGACGAACGCCCTGCATATGGTACATGCACAGGAGTTGCGAGAAAAATAGCACTGAACGACTTACGATTCACCTGCTGCATCTTCGTCAGCCTCACCGGCGTCTTCTGCGAGACGGACCTGAGCTAATCGTAGCTGTGCCGGAGTCAGCCACCGAGTGTTGTGCGGCTGACAACAAAGATATCAAAAGGGCGAGCGATGCGCCAAGGGAGATCAGACCTACGTAATCCGGCAAAATGAAGCTTAGTAGTACACAATCAGGATCAGTGCATGTGTTGGATTACTGTAGAACTCACATGGCAAGAATACCAATGAAAATAGAGATAGCGCCCTGAGCGATAGGTCAGGGAGCCATGTCAGTGTTCGGGACAGTTGTCATAAATACCTCTATGAAGAAGAGCCTACCCACGAACAGTATGAGCACAGATCTAACGGATAAATACGGCACATCACCATCGCCAAGCAGCAATTCCTCGCCTGCCCTGCATCCCCGAGAGAATGCCCGCCGCCATTAGCTGTGACGGTAATTTAGAGCGACGTCTCAACTGCATCCGAGATGACCGCTGACATTTCCAAACGCGTTCGAGATGAGGAGACCACCATAGATCACAGCCGAGCGGAATGCTAGCTCCTGGAGGGCTGCAATGAGGGAATGAATATGGACGGATAGGGGGCCTCATGCCTTTCGAGTGTACCACCTTGAAAGGAGATACATAGCGCCGGGGTAAAACGCAGCCTACATACTGATTAGATCATGTTGAACGATTCAACTGCGAGTGCATACCTCTGGAAGCCCGATGAAGATTCTACAAAGGACAATGCCGGTGTAGTTCCTCGTCACCTATGGGCTGTTGAGTCGGATTGCAATATCGAGGCGCAAGGATGAGCCCATACCCCGGTGAGAGCGCTGGTGAGCCCCCATACAATGACGCAGGCTGGGATGTAATAAGATGGACTGCACTCAAGAAATCGCCGTAAGAAATGTGCACAATAAGTGAAGGGAGTGAGAACGCATACCGAGATATGCGATTCAGAATCTTGCCAATTCGATCAGACTGCGAAAATGTTTAGAAGAAAACAACAAACCATGTTTGAGGGAATTTGTGCGGGTACATATGATGCGCAGAGCACTGCTAGCACCGTTGAGTACTGGACCTCTGTGGATGACTGTCAGCTCACGTTGAAACGGCCGATAAACAAACATACCAGTCAAATGCAGGTCTTGTGTTAATCCTTGCAGGCGTGCAGACGTCACTGCACTGCGCTAAACAGGACGATGATTTAGTTTTTACGATACGAGGAGAACAGGGTGCTCACATCAATATAATTCATGATGAAAATTACGATGATTGTTGGCATGAGCCGAATGTCAAGCTGCCGCACTAGCTGTCTTTCCGCGGCAGGCCTAACATCTTTCGCAAGGAGATCACCATCCTTATCTGTAGGATGGATCAGATCAGGCTGAACAGTGATGCCCTCGCTCTTCTCCTGCTCCTCCTGAAAGTCAAGACTCCCACTCTCGGTAGACATGGTGGACAAGCAACAGCCCACGAGCGTCCTGGGGGTGCTCTACAGTGACCAGATACACTATAGCACATCGATACTGCATTGCGGGCATCCGTCGGGGTAACAATCATTGTGGACCTTGAGGAGCTGATCAGGTGTATTTTCGGCTGACATTCGTGGTCGGATTGCCGACACCAGAAGCACCAGACGAGGTTCTCAAGGGAGCAATAAAGTATTACTGGGAGTCATATGAGCCAACTCTCGTGGGATATGCATCGACGGTGCTATATCAGGACAAACGGAACGGAAACCGACTCGGAGTGCCTTCGATCGTCAGTGCGGTTCCGCAAGACCCTAGAAGTATTGACACTGAATTAAAATCGAACACGTATTTTCAAGAGAAGAGGAATATGCTCTTGAGACATATTGATGAGAGTACCTGGGAGACAACAAGAGGCTCTGGTTCAATTTCATGGACGTGTCGCAACGCGATCACGTGGTGCGCGTAAGCGCTCGTCGGTTGAGGATGTCGATTTTCTACTCGACTTCTGCCGTTCAACTGTCAACTGCATGAGCATGTTCTCTTGTACTCTAAGCAGATACTAAGCCGTGTAAATTGTAGCTTGAAGCAGCAAACCTGAGAACTCTCAGTAGTCCCTCACTGGCGAGTTCAATCTCATTTCCATTGGTTCTACAATCTGTGCTTTGTCAAATACGTCTTCACCGATCCGCATCCTTTCGTTCCACACTCTGGAAGTTCTGGAAGGGTCTTCCCACTTGTCTGGCTCAGTCACTACGCTCATTCAAATATTACACGTTGGCTTGCTTCTCGATGTCTCTGGCCAACCTCTTTTTGAAGCTCTCTCAGCTCCTTGTGCTCTTTTATGTCACTATAGCGGTGCTATACACGACGCACTACTTGCTTTTGTCGCCCATCCTAGATGTCTTTTTCCCCTCTCTTTCTCTCCTCTTTGTGCCGGCTTGGCTGGGTTCTTCGCATCTCGCAGCTGTAACTATCGGAGAAGGAGAGAATCTGGCTCAGCATCCTGTCGATGCCTCCGGGGCGCTCTGGCCTGTGGATGTCTCTGCTGCAAACTCGCCGCTGTATTTTCCTTCTACCGCTCTTGCACAAGAACTCGGAATGGCAAATGCGGCGCGAACACCTATCAATGAAGCAACATTCCTCGCAAAAGCATTTGCAAGCGCCTTACACCCCACTAGGATTATCCCATTCTATTACCGGTCAACGGGTCTAGTCGAAGATGACGACGTAACAATCACGACGCTTGTGACTGCTAACCGTTTCAAAGTGTTCAAAGAACTTGTGGAACGATACCAGGGTCAGTGCATATCTCTTGTGACCATAATAGGTGGGTATATGCGCATGAAACAGGTCCAATATCCGTTACGGTTCATATACCATTCCCTGCGGACGCCTCTCTTGCCTCGCTTCCTCTCACGCACCCGTCAGTAACTGCGCTCAATCGACTGCACACACTCTACACGTCCTCACCATTCTTCTCAAAATACGTCGACGTGCATCTCGCCTTGTCTCCGTTCGCTGCATCTGCACGCCCTGGGAAGCATACGGATTATGCACATGCAGAAGATCATACTATGGAGCAAGAAGGTGAGGGCGAGGGTGGCAGGCAGTTTAACGTATGGCGCAACACAGCTCGGCTGTTCGCACGGACCGAATTTGTTATGATGCTCGACGTCGACTTTGCTGTGTGCACCGACTGGCGCCAGGCGGTGCGTGATGCGCTTCGTGGGATGGAAGACACTACGCAACGGGAAGGCACCAATGGAGGTGAAGATACCGGTCCAAGAATCTCCTTGCGCAGTTTGGAGGTCGTCCGCGAACTGAAAGAAGGACGCGCTGCGCTAGTCGTTCCTGCCTTCGAGTACGCTAACCTCGAGGATGGAATGGACCAGAGGAAATTCCCACGAGATAAAGAGGTACTATTATGCTAGCTCCGTTACAACTACATGCACTGATGTCGGGAACATCAGAGTCTGGTGCAATTGACGCGAGAATCACCGCCAAGTTTGACTTCGTTCCACGCAGCTTGGGCGCCCGGTCACAATAGCACAGACTACCCGCAGTACTACTCTATACCACCTAGCAGTGGCGAAGTCTATCGTGTCACCCAGTATCAAAGCGCTTATGAGCCGTACGTAATCATGAGTAAGCGAGTGACCTGGTTAGTATTTCTCTTGCACCGCTTTTGCCGTAAAAGATTGTAAAATTGACTTGGCGGTTGGAAATGATAGGTGCGACGAACGCTTCACCGGCTACGGAGCGAACAAGGCTGCATGTCTCTTCGAAATGTATCTCAGTGGGGTCTCGTTCTACGTCCTCGCGGATCATTTCTTGATACACCAGAGCCACACATACGAGGAAGAGGCCCGGCGCGAAGAGGTATGCCAACCTGGATAGAGTTACTGCGAACGCACTCATGTTCATGGGCGGTCAGAGGAAATACAACAGGAAGCTCTACTCAGACTTCAAGGAAGAGGCGTGTCTGCGGTAAGCAATTGCGGCGGCTCAGTGGTTGTAGCGAAAGTCCCAATACTTCATCGCATAGTTATCTCGATCGTTACGCCCGCGAAGGTACGTTGCACACCCCACAAGCATCAAATGTACGAGAAGAATGCAAGAAGATCAAGAATGTTGCCCGGTTTGCTGCTCCAGTGAGTATGGTCCTTCATAATAAGCGTTCGGGCTGACACAGGCATTTCAAGCTGTTAGAAATGTAGGGTGTTTGTAATTAAAGATCAGACATCGTTTATACTAGTCGAAATCCATTCAGCGGAATTTACGCTTGTACATGTATGCAAGAATTGAGGACAGGAACAGTCAACGAGTTCCCATCATCACTATACACGATTCTGCGCCAGATGGTTCAATGAGAGTTCACGAGACGATGCTTCGTTAGGCTCTCACCATGCTCGTCATCTTAATGTCCTCCGCGTTATTGATTCCGAAGCTGAATGGTTGCCGGACAATGATCATTTCTTCGGCCGGTGCGTCGTCAGAGCTTCCGCAGGGTGATTCCTTTGGACCTGCGATGGCCGGGTCGTCATGGCTTGTTGCCAGCGATAATGGAATCGAAAGTGACCCTCTTCGTCGAAGCGGAGCGCCCATGTTTCCCACAAGGCGGTCAGGCAAAAGTCGAGCTGGCTGAGATTGGTAGAACTCGGAGGTGTCGTCTGTTGAATAGTAGATTTGGCGTAAATTGAGAAAGAAGTAAGACATGCATGTCGAGATCATTCTAGCGTCCGCAATTCGTGAGCAATCACGTAATGACTTCCATAAGGTAGCATACGGCTGGGCTATGTATCCAAACTCCGCGGTGACCTGATAATAGCTGCATGTGATAACGCAACTCGATGAGAATCCTGAGGCCTACCTTGGTGAACCAGAAAACGATGTGGAGAATGGACAGAATCACAGAGATACTAGTGAAGTCATTGCGTGAGTACTGATAATTTAATGTGAGATGACTTTTTATACCTAAAGTATAAAGTTCCTATGATAAAGGCCATTCAATACACTACATCTGAAGCTAAGACTAGCGTTACACACCGTCTCTCAACAAAAGCAGGCTGACAGAAGGCTTCTCGCCTCTATAACGGTGGACTTCTCTCAACTGAAAGGTATAAAGCCAAGTCGTACCGAGCGTCAGCATCTCTGATGCACATTGACTGATTTGCGTAACAAAAAGCACTGAAATGATATGAACACATAAGTCATCTTCAGCGTAACAGCAAAGGCCATTGATACTACTTCTAGACACATAGCTGTGAGTCGTGAAACCTGAAATCACGTACGTTTAACGCTTACTGTATGTAAGTATGTATGCCCATGTCCTCGAAAGTGTCGCAGGAACGCGAGTGGGGGACAATTCTGTAATCTGCCGAATAGATCTACTCTCCCTCACCTCAAATATCTTTTGATCAACACACATTGATCACTCACCGTATTCGTAATTAACGGAACTGTTCCCAAGATGACCACCACGACTGGTAGTGCCTTCCATCGGCGACCACTGACACCGTAAACGCGCAAGCCAGAGAAGCCTGCACTCTGCTCGTAAATAGTAACTCGTGTAACACATATCGCAACTGACCTACCAAGACTAGATATTGTAAAACAGACAACCCGTTTGAAAGTTGGTTGATAATGTAATTACTAGAAACTTGACTCGAAGCTAATCATCAAGAGTTTCCATAAAGACTTACTTCTAGTTAGTCTCTTTGAGTACATTCGCATATTTGCACAAATTAACAACGGCATACCATGCAATCCGAGGAAATGTCCACGAATGACGGTAATATGGATATGACCTGGTTGACTGCGCATAGATAGCGGTTCAAAATATAAAGGACACTGGCGCCGGTGAGCTTTCGAGTCCAAATCACCTCTACCTCCCTGTCGAATGTGATGATACAGTCGTAAAGATAGTAGGCTGAAGAGAGCAGTCATCGGCTATGGTTTACAACTTGGGTCCCGATGCCGCACTCCACCTGATGAGATTAAGACAATGTAGTTGCATGCAAACCTATAAACTTTCAGTGGTCTCGTGGTAATCAGAGTAAAGGAGTAGTTCGTACGTGTTTTCAACGGACTGGATCGCAGCGGCTGACATAGTGACTGAAGTGCACTTCATGCACACTAATGTTGCAGCCTAGCAATCCTTAATATATTGGCCAATTGCAAATACCCAGAGCGCATTTCATCACAGCAGTGTGGTAGAATACAAGCGCGAGCGACCCCTGATGATCATACCCGGCCACTTGGTAGATAATTATACCAGGAGTTACTGCTGCATGTCCCTGACGGATCAGCACGTAGAAGTTCCAACCATTGTTCCCCTACTGCATGATACCCGATCGTTTGTTATTGGAAAAGACTTTTCATATAAACGACTAGTCTTTGGGTGCGCAGATACAGCTCGCGTGCCTACGTGTTGCCTGGCAGTTTGAGGTTGCGCCGCCGGAGTTCGGAGTTCGATGCATTGCAACCTCGCGTTAAATAATCTCCGCCTCAGCGCCTTGTTCTCGCAGAGATCGCCTGACAGTGGATATATGATCTTTCGAGCCACAAAGTGGTACACGGAAGATACGCATGTCATGGAAGATCGCGGTGCTATAGTAGATTAGCGGTGCTGTAACATGGACAGAGACGGCGTCACGGATTAGAAGGACGCCTATGTTGGAAGATGTTGGAACTCGGGATCATTGTGGCGAGCGCATGTCATCGTATTTGATTTTGCTGATGGTCTACGAAATTCCCACGTCTTATGGGCTTAACTGGCGTCTTATAGGTAAGTGCACAATGCTCAGACTGTCTCTGTTGAATCAATCACTGGCCAGCGCGTTGCGTGTCCGCATCTTCATCATGTTAAGCCATCGTGTGCGGTGTCAAAGTGACCATTCGTACGGTTAATTACATAGCGCTGTTGTAACATGCGGCATTTATTGCCTTTACCCCTGATAGTATTGCCTCGCGTCGTACACATTGTCTTTTTCAAAGTTGGTGAAGCATCTTCCATTTTGACGGTAGTGGCTCGTCATCATTACAGGTCCGTGTTGCTATGCATAGCACCATGCCCTTTGAATCAAATAGATTTTCGAAAAGTTCGGGCACGGTGATACGCAACTAGATACCAAACGGAGCAGGGAATGTACGTCATTGCCGCCACCTCGCCGTGCGGAGTTCTTGATAGTCCTGTAATACACACAGCCTTTCATTACAAACCCCATGCGTCTCACCGCTATCGTTGGTGGACACCTACGATACACTACCGCACAATGGCACTGCTGAAGCTTACCCCTCTTTCGACTCTCCGTACGTCCACATACCACATTCTAGCACACAATAACATTCCTAACACTACACTTTCAAACCATCCACTCCTCGTCTATCGCGGAGTTTTCCCCTCCTCTCCCTCGCTTAATTCCGCCTCCATCGAATCCCATCTTGCGGACCTTGGTGTTGTCGCGCCGCAATGGCGATACACGATGTACAGCCAGTCCCACTTTCATTCGACCACACACGAGCTGCTCGTCATATCTTCCGGACGCGCACGGCTGCTTTTCGGCGGCGATGGCAACCCTGAAGGCGTGCAACTGGAGGTGCAGAAGGGGGATGCAATGCTTCTCCCTGCGGGCGTCGCGCATCGACTGCTGCAGGACCTGAGCGGCCCTGGCGGCGCGTTTGAGATGGTCGGGTCTTACCCTGCTGGGGCTGAGCAGTGGGATATGTGCTATGGAGATGGCCGCGCGGACGAGGACCATGCGGCTATTGAGCGCAGAATCAAGAGCTTGAACTGGTTCACACGCGACCCGCTCTATGGAGAGACAGGCCCGGCCTTGCAGATCTGATGGTATGTGTGCATTATTGCAAAGAAAAATACGCTTATGAACCTACTACCGTTCTGCATAAGATGTAGAGCTGGGAACGAAGAGCCTTGATGGAAGAACACATTAAAACAATCTATCATTATCACGAATGTTAGCTATACGAGAGACGGGATTTGTTTTCATCGAAGTCATATATGCCGTCGTGGCACGTCACCCCGCGCTCATCTTGAATCTATAATGGACCAGAGTAAGATTGTCAGGACTTTTCTTCTCTTGTTCTGTTCACTGGTTTGACAAGCAGGAACATCGTCTTGAAGCGCCTCTCGCCGTGTCCAGGCCAATGCCTCCTGTCAATGCTTCAGAGGGACTTGTACTGTGAACGAGACGATGCACTGGTAGTACCTATCAATCGACGCCTTATAATAGTTGAATACTACGTCAATTCCCCTCATCGCGTTACCCGAGGTTCATGGGACAAGTCTGTATGCTTACGACGGCTCATGGGATCTTTCAAGGACGTACGCGTTGCGTTGTGTTGATATTCAACATGTACCTAGTCAACAGCAAGTAAATGCAGTAGCTACGGCTCCATCCTAAGCCTTACTCCTCTTTCATAATCTCCGGGGTGAAGTCGATGCAATAGACAGCTAATTCTTGGCCTGGATTATACATTAATCAGGGCGTTGTATAGCCGAAGGTCGTTGGAACTTACTTTCTCCCCCGTCCTCGTCCACGTCCATGTCCATGCCACCGTCATCGTAATCCTCAACGATATAAGGTTCGATATGGTCTTCCCAATCTTCGCCGTTCTCGTCAAGCTCATCTTCCCAGTCTTCTTCTTCATCCGAGTACCCCAATTCTCCTGTGAATATCGTCGATTCTCCGGGCAGGTCTTCGTCTGTGTTGGCAGTGTCCCAAGTAGCGAACGCCGCGTCGGGTAGCGTGGCATACGTGGCAGCAGAGGTAGCAGGGCCGTTGCTGGGCCCAATATATTCGTCCCGGCCGTAGCTGCGCTGGACATCCAATGCTATCTCCGCGCGCTCCTTGCCTTTGTTCGGCAGGTATTGCTTATCACAGGCGAGATATAGCCTGGTTGCAGTCATTTGCAAACAACGGACTTCGCTCAGGGTCTCTTGGCCTTTCAATTGAGGGACATGAGCGACTGCGAGGTTTGGGAAAGAGGCATGTTGTGGGATCTCATGCTTGAACTGTATACGTTCCAAGGATACTGTAGCCCCTTGTGGTAGAATGTCAGAATCACAACGCGTATGTTCGGCTGCATCGAGCACGAAAACGTAGACTCCGGACGTCTTTTCAGGGACTGTGTAAACACTAATTCGGTGGAGGTAGAACGCAACTCACCGTGACTGCACTCACTCTGCCGTGCTCGAACGCGAGGTAGACAGGCCAGTCCGCAATGCCTCCAGAGTTGAGGGTTGAAGAGATCAATTCGACCTCCAGCGTGGCCTCCGCAAGGGAGATCTGGCCCCTTACAACACGCTCAAAGTCTTTCAGGAGGAGTAGCCTGTTATCGCTAATCAACGCAACCAGGTCTCGGCCATCTCTCGACACGTGCGCTGCCGTCGATCTCAGTGCACGCAATCCGTGAAGATATTCAATGTACGTACCTGCCATGAACGCATGTGGTGGTGGTGGATAGCTCCCAACCGCCCAGCTGGGGAAGCACCTTAAAACATCAGGGATTGTCAACACAATCCGCGTGTCTGCGAACACTTGCCTCCCCGCAGGGATGCGCAGGGCAACCGCACCGTCTGACCGGTTGAACACCCGAAGCTCGACGAGCCCGCAAACGAATACGTGCTGAGGGCTCACGTCAACGTACATGACATCCCCGAGCGGCAGAACTCCCCCGTCTAAGTCCTGCACGTTGTGTAACGTCTGCGCAAGCGAGCCCGTCGGGATATCCCAGAGGAATGCGTTCATGTGGGACATCACAACTAAGGTGGGGTACGAGAAGCGGAAGGCGCGCGTTATCTCGGGCGAGGTAAGCAGTGCCCAGGGCCTGAAGTGCCCACGAGAAGTATTTTGAAAACGCTGTTCGGCTTCGCGCCAGGCGGTCTCTTGGGAGTCTTCCGGCGCAACGTTGTGCGGCAAATCTGTGGAAATGTAGTCTTCGGAGAGCCGCCATACCTCCTTGCAATGGCCGATGCGATCAAATATGAGGAACCCCTTTTCGTATTCCACGTGCGCATTTGGGCGGACATAGGACTGTCGAAAAAATATCGCAATCATGCAAAATGCTGCGGAAACGAAGCATCGTTACCATTGAAAGTGCCCATAGCCGCTCGTCTGTTTTGGTATCCGTCACTCTGATGCCGCCATCAATGTAGGAGGTAATGAGCAGCCCGCGGTCTTCGTCGACTTTGATACGATGCACGTCACGGTCGTTCGTGCAGTACGACCTTGTGCTGAGCTCCCCCTTCCCTAACCAATTCTTATCCAGGGAGAAACACTGTGCGCCTGACTCGAGTATCTCAGCTACCAACCCGAATGAGATGTACATCCTCTTGAGCTCACAGAATGATTTCCATGTGGACGTATCCCTCACAGGGTACGCCGTGCCTGTGCGAGGTATCTCCGATAGTCCTATATCTGCCGAGTTGACATACTGGTGGAGCAAGGCGGCATGATGGTACACGTATGATTCGTTGGCAGCAATGATGTTATTGATCGTGCGTGATGTTCGTCTGAGGGAGTAGAGATACTGCAGCGGGACAAACCGAAGTATGCTTAGGAATAGTTCAACGGGCAGGTGCTCGAGCAGAGACATCCTGGCTAATGTAGGGTATCAGCACTGATTTAGAATGAAAGATTTGGAGGCCCACAGAGGAGAAAGCTGTTCTACCGATGAATCCGAGTCAATGTGAGACGACCTTGCGTTGATGATTTACAGAGCGTACCTAGCTGTGGACGTGAAGTCTGAAAAGCCGACGTCAAACTCGTAACAACGGTATTCTCTGCGCGATGACATTAATATTCTACTACTTCAAATTGAATTTTTGATCAATGCACGAGATACATGAGATGGTATGATGTGAAGTCACTTAAATGCACACGAACTGCTTTGTTCTCCGCGATTTTCCCGGAGTAAGCGGCGAATCTACCCTTGGCTTACGCTGACTTCCAGGACACATCGGCAGATATCCAACAATGACGAATGCGTCAGGAAATCTATAACATACCTGTGTTAGGTTTATGGGACAAATGTTTGAAAGAAATGAGAATGAAGATCGTGGATGTCGTAAGGCAAGAACGGATCCAGACGATAACGCTCAGAACCGGGATAGGAGCGTCGCGGCGATTGAAAGTGACTTTTGTCTTGTCTAGACATTTTGAAGCTCCGATGACAAATAACCTATTCAAATCTAATGGACATTTAAGGTCCGTTCTAATAAGCGCTTGTTAAACTTTAATCCAGTCAAATTCAGCGCTGTAAATCATTTCGATCATTCCACCATCCTTACCACTGAACTTGTACTCGTTATCAGGCAGGGATGCGAAGCCTGTCTCTGTTCAGGTCTTCGTGCGCTTGTATCCCTCAGTCCTCAGAATTCACTATCACTGCTTGCGCTGTTGATCTTGACGAGAAAGTGCTCTATGTCGTAGCCGAGGGGCCTTCCGTTATTGAGGTCTGGAAGTGTGCAGACGAAGGAGTTGTGGATCAGGTGCGTCAAGTAGTTCTCGACCATTCTTCAAACTCTCACAGAGCTCTCCCAAGGATGATCCTCAACGAATAGCAACCTATGCAGTCCCCGCATCGGTCTCAACCAATCCGTGGTCTACCAAACCCGGTTATAGCTCTGTCGTTGCGGAAGTCCTGAGCCTTCGAGTCTTGCCTGACACCCATACTCTGGCATTCATTACCCGGTCAGGAGACATCATAACTCTTCCACTGGATGAGGAGGACGCTCAGGTTCGTGTCCTTGTTTTACGCCATTGCCCCTTCCTGCAGTCACGATTGTGAACGAGTATTCCATGGGCACGATTATGATCGCTACATTAATGAAAAATTTGGACGTTGTTTTGTCTCGCATATGCGTTTCTGTGTCTCCAACCCATGACGCTGTCACGAAATGCATTCCCAATAGCGATAGACCTCTCAGTGCTCATATACAAAGCGCAGAAGGCAAGATAAGGCCGGGGCGCAGATACTACTAGAATACAGGCCCATTCCATACGTCTATCCCCCCTTGGTATTTGTTTCCCTCTGACTCAGCGACCCGCTCTATACACTTTATTCTGCAGGTGATTTCACACAGGAGGGTCCATCGATATTGGAATTGCCGTGCGGCTTTGTGATATCTGTGTAGAGTTTACCAGTCGGGTATTCGAAGAACATTTATATGATCTACAGGCAAAGTGTTTGGTGAAATACTTCGGGGCCCTTAAAAATGCACGATGATTCACCGGCGCTACTCCTTGCATCGTGCTCCATGCTACGCTCACATTTTTGTCTTGTGTGGTATATCTACCTTGGTCTGTGTGGTGCTCTGCGTTCGCATGACCACAATGCACAGTGAGTGTGCGTGTGGCCTACGGGTGGTCCCTTTCCCAAAAGTCGCTCGATCTGAGTTCCGATTGGTTGGTCCTTATAACGCAATATTCTAACTGCGAAATATCTCTTGATTATACACTTTACACGGTACTTACACTTTCGGACAGCCTGACGTCGTTGGCACTGTCGAATCCGGCATTCTTTCGTCGACATGGAGTCCAGACGATGCACTACTCGTGCTCGTAACAGGTTGGCCTCATTACCTTTATGAATCTATATACCAGTACTGACCAACGACCCTCTGTGGCTACGCTGTAGGCGATGAAAAATTAATTTTGATGACCTCAACATTCGACGTCCTCAACGAGGGACCGCTACATCCAAAGGAGTTCGGGGAAGGTCAGCAGGGGTCCTGCGGATTGACAGCCCACGATGTGACCATACCTTCCAGACGCTCCGATCGCTGTTGGCTGGGGCGCAAAGCACACCCAGTTCCACGGCTCTCTCGGAAAGATCGCTGCCCAAGCTGCCCTCGATCTGGCTGCTGTGGGATCCAGCCCTGATGACGATGGAACCCCCCGCGTCAGCTGGCGTGGAGACGGCGCAGTCTTCACCGTATCCGCAGTTCTCCCAGTGTCCCCTCCTGTAGGTCGTTCCCCTATACAGACTACGGTTCCCAGGCTGACTTGTTCGGCGCACCCGCATAACAGGAGACAACTCGACCACGCCGCGTCCTGCGGGTCTACTCACGCGAGGGTGTGCTCTCGAATACCGGCGAGCCCGTCGCAGGGCTCGAGCATACGCTCGCATGGCGGCCGTCAGGCAATTTGATCGCGAGCACACAACGCTTCGGCGCTGCAGACGGGCTTGGCAAAGGACGCGAAGGCCGGCATGACGTCGTGTTCTTCGAGCGCAACGGGCTACGGCATGGTGAGTTTGGCTTGCGGGAATGGAAGGACGCGACGGCGCAGCCCGCAGCTGGGAGTACGAAGCCCTGGGGTTACAGAGTGAAGGAGGTCGCTTGGAGCGCTGACTCGAATGTTTTGAGCGTGTGGATTGAGAACGAGACGAGGGACATCGGTATGTCCACGATTCCGGCGATTCGTCTTTGAGTCCTCTCATACAATCGAACGCCCTCTATACAGTGCAGCTTTGGACAACTGGAAACTACCATTGGTGAGTCGAAAGAGACGCTGTTTCATCCTCGTAGCTGTAACTCTCATGATGGTTTTCGCAAGGTAGGTATCTGAAGCAGGAGATCGTCGCACCTAACACTCCTTCAGGGGACCCGGGCCGCTTCACCACTGTCAACTGGCACCCTGAAGATCCCTTCAAGCTCATTCTCACGACGCCCGGTGGGCTCTTCTCGCGGATGAGCCCTCAATGTGTCTAACACATTTTCCAGCTATAATCATCCACCGTACGTATGCCTGGGAGACGTACAGATCTCGCACTAGGGCGCCTGTGGATACGGGATCAGTCGCCGTATTTGACGGAGGTATGCTCTCATCCCAGGCCCTTGAAATCTCCACTGACACTTTGTTTTCTATCATCCCCAGAAAGTATCCTACTTACCCCATTCCGCACCCAAAATGTGCCGCCTCCAATGGCTTCCCATATATTCACGTTACCCTCTTCATCTACGCCCACGTCCGAAGTCAAAGTCGCTCGCAACGGGGTACCAATCCATGCCTCGTTCTCTCCCTCCCGTGACCTTCTTGCCGTGCTGCAGGAATCAGGTTATATCCAGCTGTTTGACTTGCACACACGTATTGGCCCAGGTCGAGGGAAAGTCATGGAACCCACCATCGTCTGGGAAGGATCCGCTGCCGTCGAAGCAGACCTATCTTCAGCGACTCCACAAAGTCACCGCCAGATAGCTGTCTTGCAGAAGGGTGGAGACGATGGTGCCGAGTCGGATACTGTCCTTCTTGCTGTGCTTGCATCTCGCTTGCAAGAAGATGCACATGACGTGATCTGCGTCGTCCTCCTAAATGCGGATGGAGTCGTTGGAAAGTACCGAATGGTCATGCCTAGTAGCAACGGGAGATTGCTTGCAGCGGATCAGGACATCGTATGGCAAGCCTTTGACGGTCAGATTTCCGTTGGTGCGTACAATCGTGTCCATACATCTGCTCTCCGAGAATTGTGACCAAAACGTCTACAGTCGAACAAGAGTCGCGTGAACTGTTGCCTCGGGCTCAGTTACCCGAGTTCTGCTTTACAGCCGAGATATTCAGCATCAATAATCACAAGAGTCACGCTGCAGATGCGTCACAGGTGCTTTATGCTGGACTCTCATTCGGCGGAAAACTACACGTTACCATGGAGGGCGGGGTCTCCCGTACAATAGCAAACAATGTCACATCATTCACCATAGCCTCCAACTTCCTCATTTTCACAACATCGGCGCACGTCTCTCATTATGCACCCCTTCGCACACTCGCGGAATACTTTAACATGCCATCTTCCGACGTTCCGGAGGCTCCTCTTCCGGAATGGGAGACGCGACGGGTCGAGAGAGGGTCTCGAATAGTCACGGTGGTGCCCAGTGCAATGAATCTCGTGCTACAAATGCCGCGCGGAAACCTGGAGACCATCAATCCGAGGCCTCTCGTTATGGAGATTGTTCGACAAGACGTCGACAAGTATGTGGAATGTCTATATCTATCGTGCAGATACTCACGCTATCACACAGGGGGGATTACAACAAAGCGTTCCTTGCATGCCGGAAACACCGGATCGATCTCAATGTGCTTGTGGAGCACAATCCGACTGTCTTCAAGAATCGGCTAGAAGCTTTCGTCAACCAAGTAAATGACGTGGATTACATCAATATCTTCTTAACCAGCCTCGGGTCCGACAATGTTCCGTGCTTGTCTCGCCGCATTTGCTGATATCACTCAACTAGACAAGGCTCTCTTCCTGCAGAGCTCGTTGCGGAATTGTGCGATGGGATTCGCGCGGTGCTGGAGACCAAAGACCTCAAGAAATACATCAACTCTATTCTGACGGCGCATGTTGTGAAGAAACGCCCTGATCATGAGGCTGGTCTTGCACTACTGTTGCGCTTACGAGGTATATTGGCTGACAGGTTTGACAATACTTGCTTACATGGAGTTTTCAGACACTGAACCACAATTGGTAGAAGATGCTGTGAAGTACATCATCTTCCTCGTCGATGCAGACAGGCTCTTCGACACAGCACTAGGAATGTACGACTTCTCGTTGGTTCTCATGATCGCGCAGCATGCCCAGAAGGTAGGAACATTTCTCTTCAATGTGTTCACAATCCTTAATACCGTTCATCCTATGTAGGATCCTCGAGAATATCTACCATTCCTTCGCGAGCTTCGAGCCCTAGATCAATACTACCAGAGGTTCCGTATAGACGATCATCTCAAACGATACGAGAAGGCACTGAGGAATCTCAGCCAAGCTGGTAACCAACCTCTTTCATCTAAAAGCTGAAGTTAAGCTGAAGCTACTGCAGGAGAAGAACGATTTGATGAAGCCATGTTGTATGTTGAGAAGCACAAGTTGTACGATTATGCCCTGGCGATCTGGCAGGCAACGCACCGTTACCAGGTATCAACATTTTCGTTGAGATATATCTTTACGTATTTTGACGCCTGAGCATAGTCTGTCCTTGACATTTACGGTGATTGGCTCTTCGAGCGTAGGCAGTTCAGAGAGGCGGCGTTCGGTATGCATGTTGTTTAACCATGGTCGTTTCCCCTGAGACTCAGGATCTATCAGTGTTCCGCCAGGCTTACAAACCGCAGAAGTCCATGGTCGCCCATGAGAAGGCACTTGATTGGCAAGAGCTATTCGAATTGGCATTGCAGGAAAACACACCACCAGATGACCTCGTTCGCATGGCACATCGAGTCGCAGGTTCGTTAATCGCTCCCGTATCTATTGACCTTCCCTCATATCTTTTGGTAGAGGACCTATCCTCGAGGAAGCGTTATGTAGAGGCGGCACGAATACTGCTGGACTATACAGACGACGTAAGGGAAGCTATCAAAGCGCTTGTAGAAGGCAGCCAGTTCTCGGAAGCACGCCGTATTGTAAGACCCACAGCAAGCTATCATGAGTCCTTTAGGTGACCTTTTTGCTCGTCAGATTGTTACGAACTCCAAATTATATCTCCTAGAGGATGTAGTCTATCCAGGTGCACTAGAATGCCGTGCTCTAATCGCAGAAGAGCTGAACGAGATGAGGGAGCAATTACGGAAGCAGCGAACTCGTGTACGCGAACTACGCGTGCGAAAGGTTGAGGAACCAGGTATGTCATCAACCTCTTCCTCGTGTGTCCGTCAACTCAGTCGAGGCGATAAGATGCCTTCTACGGGATGGAAGACACCGACTTGCCCAACGTCGACGTCATGACGGATGTGTCCATGGCACCAACAGCATTCACTCGCTATACTCAGGCTCCTTCTTCTATGTCAAGAACGTCCTCCAAGTAAATATTAGGTAGCAAAACGTGATATTGGTCCTGACGATATGTTTTAGACGCAGTTCACGATCAAAACGGAAGCTCGAACGGAAGGTCGGCTCTGGGAGGAAGGGCACAGTGGACGAAGAGGAGTACTTACTAAAGTCATTAACGAAGCTTGTGGGGCGCTTCAACAACACTCAAGGTATGTTCGTTCCCGCTCATAATGCATATAAACGACTCAATGTTTCCCAGCCGACGCTGCAAATCTGTTGCCACATCTACTCCAGTTTACTGAGGAACATCAAGTTGAAGGTCGCTCGCTGCAGGAGGAGCTAAAAGATTTTGAGGCTGAAGTCAAGGCAGCAGTAGAAGATATCTGGACAAAATCATCCGCGGAAGGCCAAGAGAACACAGAACCGGCCGACAGCTGGGTTGTTAGGATGCAGGAGTACGAAAAGCAGCGTCAGACCGACCCCCTGGACAAAGTCACGAAACCTGAGGTTATAAAACAGCAGTGGACGTTGCGCCTGCCTGTGGATACACCATAAGGATGATGACAAAAGAAATCTGTATTGTTACATGTGTTCTTCGCTACAGATGATTTGTATCGATACATCCTCGAGTTTAGTGTGATATATCTAGAATAAGAGAGAATTTACAGTTTCGATCAAGCGAGCTTCACCCTGCATGGCATCAAATGGTACTTCGAATGGTGCCAGGCCGAATAGGCGTTGCCCATCCAAGGTTTCGACACTGTTGGCTGTCGCGCGTCCGACAAACATGGATTCTCCTTCCCCGTCAGGGAAATCGCTAAATATAGACACCGTTAACAGGCACTGTAAATGTGGATTCAATGAGGGCGAAACATACGGAGCAGAAAGGCCGTTGAAGAATGCAGCACGTTGTTCGCGAAGATATATGGCGCTACGAGTAGATAAGCTATTGAGATACTTAGAAAAATGGATTGAACTGACTTTCGGTAGGTAAGGGGAACGGCCGGGATATAAAGCACAGATGAGTCACCTTCGCCGTTGTGCTCATCTTCGACGGCATGCACTGTGTCGCAGTGCCCTGATTGGCATACGGATGCTTTAGTGCAGGCTCTGCGATCATACCCTCCATACTACGTACAAAACACTTGGTCTCCCGGTAACACCCGCGGAATGGACAGAAGTGTCTTATCGAGGCGGAGGTGCGGATGAGAGCGTTCACTCAGCTCCTGGGTTTTCATCGGCGCGCATCCGTGAAAAACCGTGCTCTCAAGGTCAATCTCCCAATCCTCTGCCTTCAGCGAATGAGGAGGTGCGCCTGCTCGCAGGCGGAAGAACGGGCGGAGAATAATGTACGCCGTGGTTAATGAGAGTAGTGGAAGTACACGCAGCGTACCCTCCCCAGGGCCAGTGTGAGATAAGGCTGTCCAACCTTGCCAAGGGCGAAAAACGGAGCAGTTGCCGCTATTTGAGGGTAGATTGAAGAATCAGTGGCATTTCCATGAAGCGGAGAGCTACGTACCCCGAGCCAGTAAAGTCCTGCTTCCAAGCCAAGCGCGGAGCGACATCAAACGAATCATGAGAGCGCCAACCCTCTCCGTCCTCGCTCGCCAGTATGCGGCTAAAGCACGCACGGAAAGCGGGGTCTTCCCATCGCTCGTCGCTCCGTCCCCAGTCAATATGGGGACCTAAGGTGAACACACTGGGGCCTGGTGGCCGGATCCGCAGGCGGTCGAAGTATGAGATCGGTGTGCGCAAGCTCGCAACTTCGAGAGGTGACATAGACTGAGACGGCGCATGCCACAGTGACATGAGTGCCTTCTGCGTGGTGATGAGTGCCGGATGAGTACGCGCGCGGATTTGTGCGGGCGAATTGTAGAGCTCATAGAACACGACTTTACCGGGCGGGCCGCCTGTGTGTTTTAAGAAAACCCCATATCAGGGATACAACATTCATCGAAATGAGCGAAAATGTGAACATTGTGCAAACACTCACCCCGCACTCGTTCGCTGTTAGCGCCAATATACTCCTTGATCGACTCTTTCCAGCCGAGTGCTTCCTACAAGCGCGTTAAGTCACGCACCAAGAACATCCTCGCTGTTAGGGAGGTACCGTACCTCCTCAGGAACGCCTCCTTTCACAATGACCACACCACGTTTCTTAATATCCATCACCTGCGCATCTGTCAAACCGTGTTTTACGTCGGAGTACGACACCTGGGGGATGAGCTGCCGCGGAGGTTACTAGAGTTGTATAGAGCGTTGCGTCCCAACACAGGCAGACCTACCTCTGCCCCTTTCTCTGCAACTTCCTCTACTGCCCCCTCCAGTTCTCGCAAAAGCCCCTGCCAGGAGTGCATCATTCTCTCCGGATCAGTGCATATATGACGCTTCAGTGCCGCGAACCGGTCAGGGAGTACCACAGGCTCCCCTGAGAACGACGTGAAAACGTCCATGATAGTACCCTCTTGCCTGTTTGCTAATGTGCTGCCCGCTTCAAGGTGCACTTCTCCGTTATAAACTACAGCTGTATTCACAGTCGTGTACGGGCGCACGCTGGATCGTGCAGCGATAGCTCGACTAGCTCTAGCGAGGGTTGCCAACATGTTCACCAGTGACTTTGATCGAGCGCGGGTCAACTGGAGCTCCTTAAGACCGTTTTGGACTCTCGAATCCGCGTGATATCACTCATCAACAGACGCAGTCGCCGTGGAGCTTACAGGTAAGCTCAATAAATAAAATATGGGTCGACCCTTGATCTCGGGGACCAGAGCATGGGACTCACAACGAGTCTGGCCACGCCGACGTATCTCCGTAACATTGTCACGCGACACATATTTAGGTTCTTACGAAATGCTTCAGCATGTATTCATAGCTCGAAAGGGACGGGAAGACACGATGGTGCTCACTGATACGCGTTATCCTTTCCGGTGAGCAAACTAAAGGTAGAGTAGACGATCTGGATGATAACATGCAAGAACTCACCGACACCGCTCATCGCGCCTTACGCGACTCCTCAGTGTCTCCTGGCCGAACTACCGTACTTTCAAACTGTACACGCCCTGTAGCCTCCAGCCGCCGCACTAACACCTCACCGAGCGCGCTCGCGGGCGTGAGAATTCCACCTTGATTCGCGAGCGCCGGCAGCGACGCCTTGTCGAGTAGAATCGCTAGCGCAGACTCGCCGATCATTACTACAGAAGTGACCGTTCGTGAGTGACACAAGACGCGCTCCAATCGTCACAAACATACCTGAGGTCAGCTCGTAACCGGGATCTCCACTACCCCGCATAACAGTTTTGACGTGGACCTCCGGCTCACCTGCCCGAGGCGCAGATGCAGTGTAATTGGTCGCTTCAAACCAGCCGTTCTTCATATCTCTGAACGAAACGACATTGTTAGTGTTGCAGCAGGCTTATGAGCGGTTAAGAACGCCGCAACGCACTCTTCGGAGGGGCCCTCTCCTGACGCCGGGGCGAGATGCTTTACCACCCAGCGAACCTTTGGCACGGCACGATGTATCAGGGACACTAGCCACCAGCACACTGCACTTACCGGCGGAAGGAAGAAGAACGCAGCCAAGCTCAAATAATACACTACGCTCATTAGCAGCACGGGTAGGAAACTCGAGATCCCCCCTGGCTGGAGTCCCTCGTCGTACGTGAACCGGGGTCCATACACACGTCGCGCCGCATCGTCCTGCGCATTTCCCGCCCGTGCTGCGAGCGCATGCAGGCCCCATGTGCGTTGGGCAACTGCGCGGTTCGTGCCCCCCATGAACCATGGCATCGCGTAGCGCCGCGGCGACGTGAGCGGCACCCTGTGGAAGAGCTTCGGGCCTGGAGTGGGAGCACCGCGGATGCCTGAGCGGAAGGCGCTAGTCAGCGAATGTTCATGCACATCAGTTAGCCCTTTATATCGGGTACCTTCACACACCTGGGGCGAGACTATAGTCCTCCATAGACAGCCGAATCTCATCCGGGGGTATTTCCGTGACTGTCATGATGGTCGAAAATGTTCCGCCCGACAGACCGCCCTTCATCTTGTATACTGTGAGCGAGCGGCCGAGCTCTGCCTGTGGGCCTACGGTATCTTTGAGCACGTTGTTCGCGAGGAGGACGAGGAGGTCGGCAGGCACGGAGTCGAAGCCACAACATGGGATGATGATTGCATTGTTCTTGGTGGCTACATAGTCGTATCTATAGGGATCTGTCAATGTCCAGGCAGGAATTAAGGTGAGTTTGACAGAGAGCGTCTGCATACTTCCAAATCATTCTGCGAATCCAGTGTGTCTCTCCAGCAAGGTCGACGTAGTGTCGTCCATTGAGAGCACATGCCCTAAAGACATGTGGCTCAGTCCGATGCATTCTCCCCCAAAGCATGCTAATTTCTGCCTACCTAACCACCGGGTCTCCCCACTTCCAGAAGGGACCAACCGTGTTGATCACGACTCTAGCGCTTTTGACGGCATCTTCGACCTGTGTGGGCTGCGTTACGTCTACTTGTAGTACACGTATTGCGTCATCAAGTTGGAGGTTGCGTTTGAGTTCGTCAAGCTTGGACTTCGAGCGTGCGGCAATAGCGAAGGTAAATGAGGAACGCGCGGGATGGCTTGCCAAGTAGCGCGTGACAAGACGGCCCGTGAAGCCTGCCAAGAAGCAACATCAGGTCAACTTCTTCCTCTTGAGTGGTTGTCAGCTCACCTGTTGCTCCAAGGACCAGAATATCAGGCATGTTACTCCGGCTTTGCTGTAATACAATATGAACAACCTGTCGCGGCAAAGCTCAACAGCTCACTGCGTGGCGGTGAAGGGCTGTGAAGGATTCCGGTATACTGGGGTGATATGCCCCTAACCCTATTATAGGTGTAGAGTAAGTAAACACCGGGCGAAATCACTAGGACTAAAGGCGATACCATTCTCTATATACCCATTTGAATCAATACGTTGAGGTTCTCAACACAGTTGTTTGTATACATTGTGGTCAAGTCATCTCCTCGAGTATGCTGCTCATTCCACATTCATATTCTAGATATTTCCATGCCATAGAAGCAGGGACTACATGAATACGCACTTTCAAGAACTCTTGAGATTAAAGAGCCCAATGTCACGGAAGGCAGGTTGGGCCTGAGGGGATTTGTGCAATTTTATGCCGGGAGCAAACCCCTACTATGTTTGATATTGCCGCATCACGTCCTTGGCGAACTATAGGCGAGAGGGCGACTCTCCACTGGTGCAGTAAATCATAGTAGTACGAGATCGCATTGGTAGAGGGGCACGTCAACGGATAAATGCAGGATGCGACCTGCTTCATGATGTGCGTGATGAACGACGCAAAGTCCTCAAAGTCCCTGCTGTAATTGGGTTCGGGGAATGAGAGATGCTGGTGCCCGAGCAACAACCTTGTCAAAACAACCTAATGCATCATTATTGTTATGCGTACGACATCTCCTGAGTACCACGGTTGTGCTGAAATTCAAATGACAATGGTCGTAGCCTCATACTATAGTCATATAATGACCGGTTCGCAGTCTTGTTTGTGTATTCGAATTATTGAAGAAGATCACGAGCATGCATTTGCACGGTTTAAGCATCCGAATACACTGGGAAGTAGTAAATGGCGAGAGAGGACATAGCCTAGGAGTATATGCATCGAAAGCAGAAGGTCCAAGACGTGAAGCTAAACAGAGTTCAACGTAATGGGAGAATAAGGAGCCTAGGATGTCCGTTCCTCAGACTAGCTTCGACTGCGGTTGAAGTATCAAATCAGGCGTCGGTCACTAAAGAAATTGCGTCAGTGGTCGTAATGGGGCCATGGGTCGCCTCACCTCCGTCTCTACGAATCATATAATTCAACGCATGGCCGCTGCCCCAAAGAATATTTGCATCAATACTTGATAATATCGTCATTTACACTTGAGAATACAACTCACCCCACTTCTTCGGCCAGAAATATGGTGAGGGAACACCGTCGGTGCATATATCTGGCAACGGTAGCGGCGCGATTGGATCATCTTCGAGAAGCCACACCACTCCCACATGAGATTTGATTTTCTCCAGGTCCTGTAAATACGTTTTAGAGACCGCGCTTCGCCTCTCGTGGCATTCGAGTTCCTCTAGAGGCGAGCCCAAATGCGCCCGACTTTCAACAAGTTTGAGTATCCCGGAAAGTTCATACGGTTCCAATAGCACAACTTTCGTAAGCTTCGGCCAATAGGTAGGGTTGTTTCCGAGGGCTTCTATCAAGGTAGTGTAGGCGAGGGACCCAACGTGTAGTGTCTCCACACATGGGATGTGTTTGATGACCGCCTCGTCAAACGCAACCCAGTTGAAAGTATTTGCAATCCAGAGATCCTTCAGCTGAAAATGTGACGGTAGAGCCGCGATCCATTGGACCATGACTCCCAGGCCGTCTTTACAGCTCAAGCGCACCGCTCTCGAAGGGCCAGCTACGATTACCGAGTACGGCTCGGAAGAAAAGTACAAAGCCTTTGCGTCATTCTGGGTCAGATGAACTAGCCATTGAAGGTCAGACACGTCACAGTGTTCGAGGCTGACCGCTAAGCGCGCAGGAAGACCGACACGCGAAAAGAATCCGGATAGAATATTCCTGCCCGGATGATCAATCGTGAGACGGCGAAGATACTGGAGAGTTATAGCAGGGATATCTTCAAGAGGGTCGGATGTGTCCTCGGCGCTGATTCCCCATAGGCCCAGGTCCTCTATTCTCGGCGCAATCGACAAGATGTGAAACAAATCTACAATGTGTAGCCGCTTTTTCGCGAGGTAAAGGTGCGTGAGGTTGAAGAGGGTGCTGGGGGGACGCCAATCCACCGCCCGTAGGACGAGCGCCTGAAGGTTAGAAACATTGCCTTGGAGCAGGCAGTCCTGGGCCACCAAGGCGCGGAGTCGGTGGGCGTAGGACGTGGGTAGGTCGGAATCGCGCCCTGTATACGATGCGAGCAACTGCATGGGCCGTCCGTTAGTGCGCCATAGCTGTTGCACATCGAAATGCTTATTTTCACTATGGAGCACTCTCAAGAGCGTGTTTGGCGAGTTTGGCGAGCAGAGATCATACTCGCCAACGGCATCAGGATGAGAGGAGCCGTATATGGTTGTCCAGAGAGTGGGTGTGCTCATTGCCACACCGCGCCACCGACGACACACATGCGTCAGTGGACGCAGCGCATCAGTATCCGTGAAATTGAAGAAGGAATCCCAGACTAAAACTTCCTGAGGCTGAGGTCGTCCAGATGGTGAGTCAATGCCGGTGGTACTTGATGGAAGATTTTGCTGAGAACCTCGACAGGAAGACGATTGATAGGGCGCTGGGCATTAATGGACATCCGAACATCCGAGAGGGTATGCATGAGCTCATCCTCGATGCACTTAAGCTGGGAGCAAGTTTCAATCAGTTGCAGTTATTTGACCTGATTGATCACCGCAATATCTTACATCGGTGAGACTGCGTGCAATAAGCAATTAAGCGGCAGGTCAGCTCGCCCTCTCGAGATATACTGTGAACACGCTACTAACCTCTATTCTCTGGAGGACTTACTCAGCAGCGACGCTGCCTCAGAGAAAGTGACACGGATGTCCGCCATGTTAATGGATTGTGGCTTGAAGTTAGTGCTGCCGTATGGTGTCGGATGATGACGCTTGATCACAGGGGCCCCAACTGCGACTGAGTGATAGGCCCCTAACCCTATGATAGATGTGGAACCCCAACTGAATTGTCAAGATACTGTTATTCTCCAGCAAAGGTAGTCTCCCCTAGTAGGCAGCCAACAATAGAGCGACCTTTTTGATCACCAGAGGATGGCCACTCAGACGTGTTTCCCCCGTACCGCCAGATAGTGAGAGTATAAAGCACTGGTGCAGTAAACCATGGTGCGCGACCGCATTGACGGAGGCACGCCACGTCACATAATTGGATGCAGGATGGTCATCGTGTTGGACTTGGCTGATGTTCGATCGAGTAGCCAAGCCAATGTGTACTCTAACATGATTTATCTTTCGGTGCTCTAGCACCAAGTCTAACAATACATTGCACGCCACGTCTATGGCGGCATAAACCTCAGACAGCTCTCATCACAAATTGAGACTCGTGAGAATATAGGGCGCATCAAGCATCAAGAATGAGAAGCAAGCAACGAAGACTCAGGAAACGTATATCACCCATGACCACAAGACGGCGGCACTCAAGACGAGGCCGCCGCCTCGATGGCCTTCTGCTGCGCTGAGAACGTCGTGGACGCAACCGGGCAGCCTTGGCCCGGTCCGTTCAGGTTCTGCAGGGTCACCGCCGCGGCGTTGAGACGTGCAAGTTGTGAGTTCGTAGAGTTATCAAGCGGGAAGGTGAGCTTGACTGTCGGATTGTTGATGACAAAGCCGGCAGCGACGTTCGCGCTCATTTCCTGGACAAAAAGCGAATGTCAGCCGGATACTCGCGTGGTGAGAATCGGGGAGAACATACGTCAATGAAAGAAGTCCTGTCGGGAGGGCAGGCACAGGGAATCAATATAGGTTGTCCGTTGGCGCCTGTACAGCATCATTAGAGACGGTCCCGATCAGGACTGGGGAACTATGGCTCACCATCAATTCCATCACAGTTACTGTTGTAAGGACGATTGTTGGTCAGGCACAAACACGCGAAGCATCAGAACAACGACGTACCCAGTGCCACTGGGGTTCTGCCCAGCGGTAACACCAAATTGGGGAACAAGGCTCTCATCGATGGTCACGTTGGAGGAGGTGACGGCGCTCGTGGACGCAGGGGCGGCGCTCGAGACCACGCTCGATGCGATAGCAGCCTGAGTGGAGACGGCTGCTGCCGTAGACGCTGAGGCCGCGGCCGTGGCGCTCGCCACGGTAACAGTGGAGATGACTGGACACGATCCTGCAGCGGTTGATGCAACAGGCGCACTGGGAGCGGCGGCAACGGACGATGCCGGCGTGCTGGAGGATCCTCCGGCCGCAATCTGTTTCTGCAGCGCGACCCAGGTGGTGGACGATGCGGGGCAGCCCTGTCCGGTCCCGTTGAGATTCTGAAGCGTGACGAGACACGCCTCCAGACGCGTGAGTTGTGACGCAGTGGAGCTGTCCTGGGGGAACGCGACTGCAACACTAGGGTTGTGCACCGCGAAACCAGCGGCAACGTTGGCGTTCAATGACTACAGACATGACCGCGCTCAGGAACATTGTAACTAACATGAAACGGAGGTATACTCACATCGAGAAAAGTGTCAAGGGCTGGCGGACATTGACATGGGATAAGGATTGGTTGACCATTAGCCCCTTTTCAAAGGTATCAGCGCGCTGCGCACAACGCCACAAGCTGCCGGTGCTTACCGTCGATACCAAGGCAGCTCCTGTGCGAGGGAGATAGCGTGAGCTTTGACTCATGCAAAGAATCGAGACAGCACTTACGCCGAGTTAGGGTCATGGATGCCGGCTGTGACTCCGAATGAAGGAACGAGGCTCGCATCGACATCTCTTCTCAAAAGAGGACGAGACGAGACGGATACGAGGACAGCTGCAACAGAAAGGGCGATCGTAGAGAACTTCATTGTGCTCTCTTGAAGATGCAACTCTTAGGAGTGTTAAGGGAGTGGACTAGTCGCTGGCGACTGGAGTTGGAAGAAATGAAAGTCGGGTTGCGTCGAGCACCTGGAGGGTACGTCCGGCGTAGGAGCGCAGAAAAGAGGAGAGCTGTCGAGAAGTGAAGGAGCCACAATCGAAGGCTTGCATGTTTTATACGCTTGGCACATTGTTCAACTCTGCACAATAGGCAAATGGATACACGCGCTTGTGGCGCAAGCGATCGAGTACAACAATGCGATAAGATCTGATTGGTTCGAGCCACCTCGGTTGTTAAGGCACCTCTTTCGTTCCCATCCCAACGCCTTCCGTATGCAGCATAGGCCACAAACTAATGCTAATCAGAATTTGCCACTCACAAGATAGTTAGCTCAAAGTCCCAAGATCGCTTGAAGCGACAAGTCACCAAATCACCAAGTTTCAGTAAAGCAACCGAAGTGTCAGAGCTTGCCTATCGCATGACAGCACGAATAGTTATCCTTATGACTGCTTCCTATGCACGCGCGCTGGTGCGCAAGGGCCCGGCAGGCATCGGCGTATATGCAACCACATGGAGCAGCCTGGCGATGAGGCTACATCCGGTCGCGAGATAGCAACGCGCTCGCGGAGTGAAGCAGCCGAACTCGGAGATCCAAGGTCTACGAGGGGTCAGAAGTCCCGAGCCATGCTCTGGGTCGCGCGAATGAGTGCATAGAGCCCTGCTGCCAAGAAAATCTGTCAGCAGACAGTCGTTCTGGTGACCCTTCCCGATATCACTACGTATACGGCGGCGAGCAAGAGGCGTCAGGCACTTACCCGTTGACGATATACGTAGCTATTGCCAATGACTCAATGATTGAGTTCTTTCAATCATGCTCCAGTCTCCCGCAATCCTGTTTTTTCTCCGGCTCTTGGCCCCTGTGCGATAGACAGACATTGATTGCAGAACAAGTACGAAAGACTAAAATGGTGGGCTGGAAGCAGTCGCAGCGGTGGTCAAGGACAAAGCACGCAATCGACGTCCCAGAGGACTGAAGCGGTGGCGAAGAAAGCGTGACTTTGCGACGCCCATTGTGTGCATCATGTGACATCTTTCAGGTCTCGGCGCTTGAGTCTCGCACAGTGCACCTGCTCACTCTCAACTTGTTCGCCTTAGCGCAACTTTCATCCTTTCCTACTTTACACCGTCAGATATGTCCACAGCACATAGGCCAACATGGGAGCCCGCACAAGCGAAGGATGTGAAGGGTGGCTCACGCCAGTTTTCCGCGCGAGACATGGCCGCACACACGAAGCTCAAGTTTCGGTATGGTGCCGGCCTTCTGATGCCTCACTACCTGACTTACATATGTTGCAAGGCAACCAGGCCAGACATCAGTCGATGAAGTCGTTAAGCGGGATTTGCGTGCGGATCTGCTGCTAGCGGAACAAGCGGCGCGGGAGAAGAAGCGCAAGGCGGAGGGTAAGCCCCCGCTAGCCGTCGAGAACGCAAGCACCGCAGCGGGGCAGGACGACGAGTCGAATAAACGGAGAAGGCTTTTGCAGGAAGCACTCGAGCTGGATAAAGACGACGATGATGAGGAGAAGAGCGACAAGAACGACATGGGTGACAAGGACGAGGACAATGATGAGGACGACGAGTACGTGCAGCCACACGTACGCTCATGTCTTTCCTTGAACACTTGAACTTTTGCACAGCGATGACGATGATGACGAGGACGAAGACGACACCGCAGAACTTCTGCGGGAACTAGAGAAGATTAAGCGAGAACGGGCGGAGGAGAAGGAACGTCAAGAGCGCGAGCAGTCTGCATCAGCCACTGCAGCACGGGAGGCAGAAATTGCGAGTGCAAATCCTCTCCTCAACCTCGCCGCGGCATTAGGGCAGAACCCGAACGGCGTCAGTACCACAGTGCCGGGGACATTTGCCGTAAAGCGACGGTGGGACGATGGTATGCCTCAGTTTCCTTCCTTGCAAACACACTTTGTACAATACCCTCCTTCCCTCACACGCTACTCCTTGTTCGCCCCTGTCTGTCCTTTGCACGTTCCCACTGCCTTCTATTCCCTTCCATTCATTGTATTTCCTGTGCTGTGGCATGAACTCACGGAACGCCGCAGACTTGATATTCAAGAACCAGGCCATGAGCGCACGGGACAAGGATAAAGCATCCGGGAAATTCGTGAACGACTTGCTGCGGACAGAATTTCATAAGTGCGTCTCTGATATGACGCGGGCGTTGATACTGATGCTGATTCATCATGTATCTGTGCAGAAAGTTCATGGCCAAGTTCATCAAGGTATGTCCACTTCGTCTCCATCTCACACACAGCTGACGGGTATTCGCCAGTGATGACGACCGCACTGGTATGCTTCCTGCACACCTCGTGTCTGCGATTGTATTGCAGTACCGGAAATTCAATTATCTTTGGTCATCGCCTCGTTCTTTATGCAACCATCGCCCTCAGTTGGGCTAAGTGGAGAGATTTGAGCATTGTTGTAATGTATCAGACATCAACACACAATTGTGGAAGGAATCAAGGGACCATGATGCGAGCGTGCGTACACAATGGCACGACGAACTCAGTATGAAAGCTCGGCGGTAGGTTCTGTCTTTTGCTCCACAAACACCACAGACTGTAATTTGGGAGAGAAGGTCTCTTGTTAGGATTGCTGTCATGGAGCCCATCTGCCGGATAGGTTCCATGCATACCAATATTATGATACCCGGATAGCGCACAGCCATATATCACGCCATCATGACACAGGTATGAACGCTGTTTGTCATCCCCCAGGCCTATTCGCTGAACTTGCCTTTGTTCAATGGGGCTTCCCTGAGCCTTCGCGTGCTTTGTATGCTGTGCACGCCTTGCATATAGTGGGTAAGTTATGCGGCTACTTTGATCGTATGACCAGCACCAATTCGATAATACAACAACGTGCGGTTGAATGTGGGGGCCGAGTTACAGGGGAGACATGTCCTCGATCTGTAGCTGAACATGCAACGCCGACAATTCTGGCATACCTATGTCAGAGCATTGCGTGATAGTTGCATCCACAGTACGATTACAAGCCCCATACCTTTCTGCGGCGCTTACACGCAAATTGAGGCGAAGAATTGAAGGCCAATACATCTAGATCATGCTACCGGGTTCCGCGAGGCCTCGAGGATTCAGATGCCATGTGCCGGAGCGGCAACTTATGTGAAGTCTTCGGCATTGTGGCCTTTAGGTTCTGCGCTGCAGACGATGCTTCTGCCCCACCTTCGTCCCAGGGCGCAATCTGCTAAGGAGCTTCTATCTCTATTGAGTCCTATAAGGGAAATTCTTGGTGAGCTAAAACGAGTGATGGACTCGATTGAATTGATGCAATTCCTAGTCCTTGAAGTCCAAGGTTCTAGATCCAGTCTCTCGTAAAGCGCGAGCTTTCCGATGACGACCATGATCGTGAAAACTATAGCCCTCATACTTCGCACGACGTGATGAATTCTGGTCATGGTGACGGTATGTCTCTGGCTACTTCTTTGATCTAGGGTGTGATCTGTTCCCGGTATTTGTGCAGATTTCAAAGCAGGCAAAGAGACGGGTGACGGGTGGCCGATAGCCCGGAGCCACAGACCACAGCATAGTAATCGATGTATGCGGTAGACCCATACAGCTTGGCATGCAGTTGCAGTTATATAAACTCAAATTTCGTGTAAAAGCCTCCTCGCAACTTCTAACCTCACGAAGTATGTCGTCGCAATGAGTGAGAGTTAAGGCCTAAGGCTGAGATGACATCCGCGCCTTCGAGATCGACCGGACATGGAGACCCTATATATATGTAATGACTACATCTTTAGATTATAACGCAACACGCTGAACAAACCTTCTCAAAGCAGCTTCCCTACGTGAACTGTAATATCATTCAACTAGCATCAGGAAACTACCACTCTGGCTTTTGATTTCTTTTGATTTTATTCTTATTCAATTCCAATCTGGCTTATAGTATTACAGCTTAAGACAGAATAAGGCGGAATGTCTTAATTTATTTTAAACTGCACTTAGTCCACTTAATTAAGCTAACTAATCCCTTAAAGCAGCTAAGGTAGGTCTAAGCCGGAGTGGTGGTTTGCTGATAGTTATTTAGCAGACGCACGCGTGCCCTGTTTGGCTCGCTTGCCTATTCTGGCACGTCTGGAGTCTCACAAGAAATAAATCCGGCTCTGCAGAGCTGACAGACAATATGTCAATATATGTAGTAAGTGCAGTCAAAAGTTATGAGGAGGCGAATGTTATCATGTTCTTCTAGTGGGGAAATCATATAATTTAATTGGCGCAGGCAAGACGATACACAGCCTCAGCCGCAATTTTCGATGGAAGTGAGAAACATGATTCCCACCGGATAATGTCTGTTTTTCTCATACAATCTACCCGGCTAATAGACACTGCATGCAGGAATCAATTTTCCTGCACAAAATATCAAATCATAATCTAATCAAAAGCAAATAGCACCTATTGAATCTTACTGATGTAGAAATTGAATGGAAATTGAAGAAAAATCGAAAATTGAAAGAGACAATGGAAAATGGATTTCATAATTGATTTTCCTTCGATTTCACTTCCATATTAGGCGCCAGAGTACTCATTAGGTAAATTAACTTTTATTTCGATTTCTATTTGATTTTTTGTACTAGAAAATTGAATACCACATGCAGTGAGGCAATATCATCGAAGGGATGCATACAAGAAGACCCCGGCCACCGGTACCTATTACCGGAGTAGGCAGGTGAGCCAAACACCGCGCGTGACGTGGCCCCTGCGTTTACAATCTGTTCAATGCCGCCAAACGCGCTCATGTGCTACGCGTTTCCTTTGCTGTTCGAACCCCAGTAGTTGTCGCGCTGGGGTACCAGACAATATACATCAGCTGCACTTGCTTACGTATCTGTGCTCACCACTCAGCATCTCGGGCGTGACAGTCGACGGAGCCGATGGTCAGAAATTTTCGTCGCCAGCTTTGGAACTACTGGCCTGGGCGTGTTCTTTGAGCTGCCTTGTCGAGTATTCGAGTATGCAAACTGAATCCCAGCGTTCGATCATCGGCGCAAGACTTGGAAGCATACCTGGGCTGATCATCCCGACGGGCCCGCGAGGACATTTTCTAGAGCTCTACGACGAGCAAGAAGTCGAAGCTGCTGCTCGCTGTCGAACGATCGCAGCGAAGCCCTGGCCTCGCTGTGGACCTACTTGCAAGATCTCCATCCGTCGTATGGCATCTGGCGCGCGACGTCAGTCGCTCAGACTAGCTCAGGCAAGCGGGTTTCCCGCTGGAGTGCGTCTTCTGTCCCTACGTCGCTGGCACTTATCAGGAATCTGTCATCAGCCAGCGATGTTCTGTCACCGCCACGCCAGACGGCAGGGGCGCGGGCCAGTCTGAAGCTAAACATAACCTGGCAAGTCCGCGAATGTCGCGCGACATTCGCGGCTCGACACTTGCAGTCAACGTACCTGTGTCCTGACCCTTGTTGGACGTCTCAGGCCCCAGCTTGCGCTTGCTGCTGATGGCTTCGAACGAGAAGCCCATGGAGCACCCTTCTCTGATCCGCCAGATCTGCCGCAAAAGCAGTCAGTCGCGCGCCTCTGGACCAGATTCCGTGCAGCGATGAGCAAGCCATCATGTTGTGCCCGTGCTTCGGATTCTCTCTCGTCACCTCTCTATTGTCTGCTCCTCTCGTTCTCAGAACGCTGCACAGCCTTCTAACTACAGCCTCTGGCCCTGCGGTTCTCGTTCCTGACCCTGGTGCTGCTTCGCGGCTGTCGACTCGCCCGTCAAAGCTCGAAGTCTAGTCGTGATGGCAAACTGCCATGTGCTGAGATTGTCTCTGGTCCAAGCATCGGGACTCGCGCGCGACAGCGCTCCGCGTCCACGTACCTGTAACATCTGCCCTTCGAGGAAAAGTCATGACACGATCATAGGTTGGGACGCCATTCCATCGCGCTTATGCAGCACTCTGTTTCAAATCTTCTATCATTAGTTAGAGTTTGCTGCGAGCGCTACCTCTCAGTATCACCATCTTCCCGCAGTGCCCTTAGCCCTCCGTGGATCACGTTTGGCCATCTCTGATCAGACAGCACGTTGATCATCAAAGTTTTCCCCCTGACTCTTAATGTGTCTGACCCACTCTGGTGGATCCACTGAGTCTTCTGGGCTCGTACAACAGAGTTTGCGACGCAGGAGATCATCTCCGAAAGCTGGTTATGGACGTGCGTCTCGTACTGAAGCTCCACGGGCTTCGCAGGCAACTTCTGGTGAGTCCATCCCAGAGAACTGGCCCAGCTTACCTCGAGGCCACGAAACAGCCTCACGGCGCCCGCATGAAGTGTGGTCCATTCAGCTATCCGGGCTTCTGCCTTCGCTCTTCGACCGCAATCGCGGATGTAGTACGCAACCCTGGAAGAGACGGAGACAGGCAGCACTAAGGAGAGCTTATAGCACTGCTAGCTTGGAATGTAATGTACCCTGCGTATGACTAGTCTGATTTCCATCCCGCACGGACCCTAACAGGATGCCCGCTTGGAACTCGCCCGCTCGGACGCCGTCATGCACACACCACCGCGCCCAGCTAGAAGCGTCCAGTAGCCTCGAGGCCTGTTCGTAATGCGGGTCTACACGCGCCATGAGTCGGAGGTCACATTCCCGCCTTAACTTGGCTCCTGTCAGCGCGAATCCTCGCGTAACTGTTGAGAAAATGGCACGTCGCATCGATCACTATACACGTTCCGTCGACGAGGCGCCCGCTGCCGCGGCGAGGGCACCCAAATGCACTCCGTTCCATGCGCGATCCGCGGCGGCGTCGCGGCGCAGGCCCCGCGCTGTCCGGATTCCGTCCCACCGTCGCGCCGGGCGTGCGGCGCATGCCAGCAGCGAATCCCTGTCAGACGCAGCAGCGGCATCAGTGTGTTGCACAAGGCGCTTCGCTGCCCCGACGCGCTGGCATGATCAGCACGCGCGACGGCGCGCTTCCGAGCATTCTGTTCGGGACCCGCTGTTCCCTGCTGCCCCGCGCGCGATCCTGCGTATGACGCAGGCGCGTGTGTGCGGGCCTTCGCAGCGAAAAGCGGAGCGTGCGAGGCGATCCGCACGCCATGGTGTGCTGTCGAGCGTGTCATCGACTAGGGCGGTTTCCCCGCCGCGATCGTCTGCATGTCGCGCGCGCGTGTCCAGATCATGGACCCACCTGCGCCCGACGAGCTTCCCTATGCTCCGTCTGTCGCGCGTCGGCAGCTCTGGACAGAATGCATCAGAATGCGCGCGGGGCGTTCGCGGTTCCAGTCCCTTCTGCGCGTTATTTCGCCACGTTCGGCGCATCGCACGGAGCAGCGTACGCGGGCGATGGCGTCCCGTCGCGGGGATACGGCGAAGGTTCGTGCGGCCCGCTGGACTAGCGCAATGACAAATGTACGAATTAAGGGCACAGACAAGCCCTGGCCCAAGCCGTCTTTGTTCTCGGTCATGCAGACGAGGGACGACTCGCGCGCGGCCCGCAGATACGTGCTTCCGGTAGGCTGTGTCGTAAGCCCAGTAGCTCCCAAATCCCAGTTCTCATTCGGCAAGACATTGAGCCAAGGGTGCCATTGCGAGGTTCCCCAAATGTTGTGTCCGCTTCTAGCCCGAGGCCGAGCCTAAGCCTGCCGCCGGGCTGTGCATTCATTCACTGCTACGGAGTGGTGGGACTGGGCTATTGATGCCGCACAAGACCTGCCGCAAGCGGCTCGTGGTGTTTGTAGGGTGGGTGCAATGCACTTGGCCGGAGCGACATAGCTGGACATCGCTTTGTGGGGCCAGCAGCATCCATTGATGCCGAGGAAGACGAAGCTCGCTCTTACGTTTACGTGCACGGCCGCCTCAAGAGCAAGGATAGATCGAGGACAAGGGGCGTGGTAGCTGAAGCCGCTGGGCTGGTAGAATTTAATTGACATCCGCAGCACGATCTGTACACGTACATGGCCGCATCGCAACGGCAGGAACAGCACAAGGAGGATGATTAGCTGATGTGATAAACGCATCCGAGTCACATATCCTGTCACGCTAATGCTCCGTCTCCAGATATGGACCTCATGTGTGTTTAGGATAGGACATAGTATTTCCATATTTGTACCCTGTACAAGTAATCTTAGCAGTATTAACTACTTATGAGTGCTATCACACAGACAAAGATCGGACAAGTTGCAGAGTTATATGAGGAAAAATATATAACGCCTGCAGGTCAGCCACCGTTATTATTTTATGACAGAAACTCGGGAACTCATATCCAGACCTCGACTACCACGACATATCAGAATTGTTATGAATTGGAAGAAATCATGAAGCAGATTCTACTGCGAGTTTACTTAGGATCTCCGAAAGAATCTACTTGAAAAAAACCAGCGTGAGTGACTATCACTGTTGTGACTGCTTGTGAGTATCCGGTCATTGCCGACGCCATTTGACCAATCGCGATCCGACCGCAGGCTGGCAGCACAACGACTCAGACGGAGAACAACGACCACACGGTTCTGACCAGTCTGCCACGCTCAAATGCCACGGCCCTCGAAATAGTATGCTTGGCCGAGAGGCTGTTGTACGAGAGGGCGGTGCGAAGGAAGCTCGTGCTGATACATCAGTAACCACTATGCGGAGGCTCCTGGCTTCCCAACGGTCAAGCAAACTCGCTCGGTTTGTTCAGGCAAGATTGCGGTGTGCCCAATACACAGATTTAGCTTAAACTCCCATTCCCAGGGGAAGCCCGTGTTGGCGGGTATTGGGTGGATTCAAGTAGAGGCGGGTTGCCTGCGGTGGCGAACTGTCCGTCGGAACTGGGGGCGAGCCCCGTGCGCGTGTTGGGACGCTGTATGACGGGGGGTAGCGCAGGTGGACCGCGGTGAGCGAGCCCCGGGAAGGCAGGAAGGGTGCGAGTGGCGCGGTCCGCTGGAGCGTTGTTCGGGAGCGTGGACGGATTAGTGCATGGAGTGTCCTGAAAGAGGTTGGGTGACAGCGCGAGGTGCTATTTCGTGCCAGCGCCGATCCCAGGACTGTAGATCTGAAAATGCAGGTAGCATCTGGGTTCTGTTGAGATCAGTTGATCCCGCGAACGGGCCGTGAATATTAAGATTGGGCGGGAGATACATCAGCAGCGAATTCCCATCGCCGATTCGGGGCAAACAACTGCGAATGTGGAAGGCTGCCATATCCGGTATCCAGGGATTTGACCGGCGTCAACCTCCCCCGCAAGTTCAATGGAGCCCAACATGGCTGTCCCCGTCTGCTACCTGTCCTCCAGCCCACGGATCCTATCTGCTGATGGGCGCTCGCTAGCCTTGTTATCCCCCGGGCTTTCGTATATATATCCCGCCGTCCTGCCCTGCTTTCGACATCATACCCCAGTCGCTCTCAAAAGCTCTCGTCGGCACACAGCTTCCAGTAGTTCACCATGGGCAACAACCACTCCGCCGCTCTCGACCAGTACCCTCACCACCACGGCCACCACCTCCAGGCCGCCGCCCCCGCACACGCTGTCCGCCGCAAACGCTCCACCGCGAAGCTCAGCTCGGCCCTCTCGTTCGGCTGCACCTCTGCGAACGCGTTCGATGATATCCCCGAGCACCCAGAACACCACCACATCCACCACGAGCACCTCCACCCCGACCACGCCTCGAGCACCGCAGCCAGCGACCACGACCTCAGCGAGAAGCGCAGCTTCGACCCGCCCCCGCTGTACGCGTACTCCGCCTCGGCCATCGACATCCTGGAGGACAGCGCGTCGGCAGCGTACAAGACCTTCCTGAAGGAGTATCCCGAGTACCAGCTCACCTGGATCCTCGATGCGCTTCGCCGCAGCGACTTCTCGAGGCTCGACCGATCGGGCGAAACCTATGTCGATTACATGGGCGGCTCGCTCTATCCCGAGAGTCTGATCCGCGTCCACACTGGCTTCCTCCACCGCAACATCCTCGGAAACACCCACTCTGTCAGCAACTCGTACGTGTTCCACATTGACGGTCGTTCTTCCTCAATCTCGATCGTTGCTTTTCTTCATCCATTCCATTCCACTCCTGTGACGCAAACACCTCTTCATTTTCCGCGCACGTGTTGACATCATTTGTTTGTCCGGACGTCAACCTGTTTGGCGCCGCCGGGTCTTGTTTCCGCGCGCGCATACATCCTGGTTCACCTTTCCTGTTTCCCTACCACCACCATCCACGTCTTCAGCAATCTCGTTTTCGCAATCCAACTTTTGTTCATGCGCACCTTTTGCTGACCTACATTCCCTCAGATCAAAACTCTCTTCGTCATGCGCGAACGAAGCACGCGAGGCTGTGCTCTCCTTCTTCCGCGCACCACCGGGCTACACCGTCGTCTTTACCGCGAACGCGACCGGCGCCCTCAAGCTTGTCGGCGAGTCCTTCCCATTCTCGGAGGACAGCTGCTTCGTCCTTGGCACGGACTCGCACAACAGCGTGCACGGCATCCGGCAATTTGCACTGCAGAAGGGCGCAAAGGTGCACTATATCGACTCGACTGATTGCGGTGGCATGGACACGTCCGAGGCTAAGGTACGCACATCACTCAATGCGAAATATAACCACATCCTCATCTCTCTCTCGTACAGGCTGTTCTCGGACGCCATCAGCCAAAGAACAAGCACGCGGCGTCGTCCCTCTTCGCTCTGACGGGCCAATCCAACATTTCAAACTCGAAGAACTCGCTTTCGCTCATCAAGCACGCCGCTGCACAAGGCTACTACACCCTGCTCGACGCCGCAGCACTCGCACCAACATCCGTGTTCTCGCTCTCAGAAACGCCTGTCGATGCCATGGCAGTCAGCTTCTACAAGATGTTCGGCTTCCCCACAGGCGTGGGCGCGCTCATCGTCAAGGAGGAGTTCCTCGCGCGCCTCGAGCGGCCATGGTTCGCGGGCGGTACCGTCGACGTCGTGCAGGCGCCGGGAACGATTGTGACAATGACGTCGGATTTGCACGAGCGGTTCGAGGACGGGACGATCAACTACCTGAACCTGCCCGCAATCACAGACGGCCTGCGCTTCCTCTCCGCGTACCTCCCCTTCCTACCACTCCGCTTGTCGACACTCATGCACTACACCATCTCGTCACTATCGGCGCTGCGGCACGACGTGAACGACGTGGCCGTTGTGCGGATACTCTCGCGTATACCGTCGAAACGGCTGCGGGCCGTCGGCGAGCAGTCCGACACGGGCTCTGTCATCTCGCTCATCTTCCAATTCGTAAGTCCCCCCCTCTCGTCCCTGCCCGAGCACACCCACTGACGGTGTCTGCAGCCCTCCGGCGAGATGATGCCGAATTCCTTCATCGAGTACGCAGCGTCGCGGCAGAGTATCTCCCTGCGCACGGGCTGCATGTGCAACCCAGGCGGCGCGGCGTCGATCCTTGGGCTGCGGGACGCGATGGCGGCGCTGCCGGCGGACGTGACACTGCGCGCGTTCGAGCAGCACATGGGCCATGAGCTGGGTGTCGTGCGGATCAGCCTCGGGCTAGCGAGCGACTTCCGGGACGTCTTCCGGGTGGTGCGGTTCGCGGAGACCCTGGGCAGCAGCGAGGCGCGGGGCGCGATGTGGGAGCAGTGGCTCGAGTCCAAGAGCGGGCATGCGCTCTGAACGAGCGGACGGCACGGCACCAGGGCGGGCGGAAGGCAGGGGCGAGGGCGCGGCAAAAGCTGCTACTATTAGCAGCTCGGGCGCACGGATAGCAACAGAGTCGGACTGCGCCTATGTTTATGAATTTGTATCGTTATGTCGCGGTGTACTTTGTATCTTGCCATGGGTTTTACCTTACTTTACTGTACTATCCCGTAATCGCATAGACGATTTCACAGCGTTCATGATATCGGTGTGGGCAGCGATGGCGTCTGTGCTTAACTGGTCTACGGCCGCCGGCATTGTGAGATGGAGATCTTCGCTGAGTTTGCTCGCTCTGTCGATACAACAGATTCGATTCGCCAGATTAGTGTTTGGTGCCTAATATGGAGGAAAGGCCCAATGACGATCAGATTTCTATTCCACTGCATGCAGGAATCAATTTTCTTGCACAAAATATCGAATCAAAATTGAAATAAGAGAGAATAGCACCTATTGAATCTTACACTGCATGCAGGAATCAATCTTTTGCACAAAACATTGAATCAAAATTGGAATAGAAGCTAATAGCATTTATTAAATCTTATTGATGTAGAAATTGAATGGAAATTGAATGGAAATTGAAGAACAATGCAAAGAGACAATAGAAAATGGATTACATAATCGATTTCACTTCCATATTAGACGCCAGAGTACTGATCAGGTAAATTAACTCTGATTTTAATTTTTTTATTTCTTGCACCAGGAAATTGAATACCGCATCTGCGACCTCAGTCTACTTTGAGGAGCCCCTAACCCAACTTTGTCCACAGATTGATCCTCAGGGATTTTTGTCAAATAACATGACTAGGCAAAACCCAGGACTGATTCAGAGCATTTTGTACAGCAGTGTCTCATTTGCGCCTCAAGAGCATCGACTTTCTTTTCAAATACCCTTGGAGGCTTTACTGCCATTACTTACATTTGTCCGCATGGCACGTGATCTTATGAGCCACCGAGTAACAGTCCAAGTCTCACTTGTTGTATTGCCCCCAACATGTCCAGTGCTGCCAACTATCGTCAACGAGAGGGTGAAGCGCGGAGTCGAGTTCACAGCCGGAGTAGAGAGCGGAAGGACAGAGATGAGCGGGAAGACCGCTCACACCGCCGCAGGTCTCGCTCCAAAGACTCGGATCGCGAGCCCCGAGCCAAAGGGAGAGACCACCGGTCTCGCCATGAGGATCACCGGAAATCCCGCTCGCCACGAAGATCTCGTTCGCGCTCACGCAGTCCTCGGCGGCACCGGAAGCTATCGCGTTCCAGGTCGCGCACGCCAGTGAAGGACAGGGAACGACGGCGGGACCGGTCGCGGGAGCGCCGCAAGCGGTCGCGTTCACGGTCGTGCTCGGTGTTCAGCGACACGTCGAGCGCATCCGAGCGCAGACGGCACAGAAAGAAGAAGGAGAAGAAGGCGCGGAAGAAAGACAAGAAGGAGAAGGTACGTTCCAGTGGACGCTATACGCTCACATACATGAGAGACTAAACTGGTCTGCTCATAGAAGAAGAGCGGGGCCGTGAGCCACCAGTGGGGGAAGTATGGGCTCATTAATGATTCTGAGTATGTGTCCCCGCTGCTCTGCCCGTATCGGAAGTGAATCCTTCCATAGTTTGTACAACAAGGAGCAAGAGTTCCGCGCGTGGCTGGTCGAGGAGCGTAAGATCAACCCCGAGACCATCTCCAAGGAACAGACGAAGAAAGAGTTTGCGCAGTTCGTCGAAGACTACAATACGGGTATGCCATGGCCTCTCCGATCACTGTTTACAGCTATCTAATTTGCGTCTCGCCTCATAGCGACACTGCCGCACGAGAAGTTCTACCACATGGAAGCGTACGAGCGGCGGATGAGCGCTTTGCGCGCGGGCGAATACGTCCCGCCTGCGGACGACTCGTACGACCCGAATGCGGATCTGCGCGCTCTCGAGAGCTCACACCGGCGCCGCGCGGTCGAACGTGAGACGTATATGTCCAAGGAGCAATTGCAGGAGCTCCGCCGCGTGCAAAATGAGCGGATAGAGGTGAGTCTTGTTGCTTATATTGCTCTTCTGTGCCTCGTGCCCCGCTCTCTTATGGGTTACCTTTTATACAACTGGTGTGTTGGGACTACTGTCTGACACTGCTATAGGCCGGGAAGATGAAGCTACTCGGCATGGATATCAAACATAATATGGGAGTCCGGATGGACGGTAGCATGTTCGACGGATGAAGGTGCGCGCAGGATGGTTTCAAAGGCAGTGTGGCGTGGACTTGATCATCACCGCATGGTGACTGTATTGTGCGACTGTATTGTACGACCACTGAATTTGTTGCTTCGCGAATAATCCATCACTCTTATCCTAGATGATACCAACCGTCAGTATCGCCCCAATGTGATCGGCGGGGTGCGGGGCGGCCGGCCACGCGAGAACGCACCAGGGCGATCTGCTTCATGTGCGTGACGAACGACGCAAAGTTACCAAAGTCCCCGCTGTAATTGGGTTCAGGGAATGAGAGATGCTAGTGCCCGAGCAGCCACCCAGCTGTCGGTGGTATGGATGATGCTGTCGCCCAATCCGTCAGTACGTCGCTACTACAGGCTGCTTTGCGTAGCAAGCACTTGAAGTCGCTCCGCAACAACGGCCTGCTCGGTGGTGTATGTGGTACCTGCAGGTACAGTCGCTCCGTGTGTACATGGTCCGCATGCGCATGCGCGTGGTCATCGCCGGGGCATGCGAGCGCGCTCGGCGCGAGGCGGAGACCGTGGGCTGATGGGCGCGCTGCATCGTTCAATTCGAATGACAATGGTTATAGCCTCATATAATGAGCAGTTCACAGTCCAGTGTGTGCCCATTATTTGCATCGCATTACTGAAGAAGACCACGAGCGTGCAAATGCACGGTTACAAGCACCCGAATACACTGGGAAGTATAGTAAGTGGCGAGAGAGAGGACATAGCCAAGGAGTATATGCATCGACAGCAGAAGGTCCCAGGCGCGAAGCTATACAGAGTTCGCCGTATTGGGCGAACAAGGAGCCGAGAATGCCCATTTCGCTCTTCCTCAGAATTAACTTGTGTTTCGGTTGAGTGAGCGAACTCTTAATGAAGGCACAAGTCACCAAAGAGATTGCCCCAGTGGCGATAACAAGGCCATACGTTGCCTCACCTCTGTCCCCATGAATCATACAACTCAACGCATCGCCACTGCCCAAAAGAGTATTTGCATTAATACGTCATGATATTGACGTTTACACTCGAGAAATACAACTCATCCCACTCCTCCGGCCAGAAATACGGTGAGGGAACACCGTCGGTGCATACATCTGGCAGTGGTAGCGCGAATGGATCGTCTTTGACAAGCCGCACCACTCCCACATGTGATTCGATTCTCTCTAGGTCCTGTATATACGTGCTTCGGCTCGCGTGGCATTCGAGTTCCTCCAGAGGACGGCCCAAATGCGCCCGAGTTTCAGCAAATTTGAGTAGCCTAGAATGTTGCAATGTTGCAACTTTCGTGAGCTTCGGCCAATAGGCAGGTTTGTTCCCCAGGGTTTCTAACATGGTAGTGTATCTGGAGGACCCAATGTGTAGTCTCTCCACCCATGGAGTGCGTTTGAGGATCGTCATGTCAAGCTCTCTGTGAGTACTCGCAATCCAGAGATCTTTGAATTGGAGATGGAAATGTGACAGTAGAGCCATGGTCCATGGGACCATTACTTCCAGGTCGTGTCGACAACTGAAGCGCACCGCTCTCGAAGGGCCAGCTGCGACTACCGAGTACGTCGAGGCAGAAATGTACAAAGCATTTGTGTCAATCTGCGTCAGAGGGACTAGCCATTCGAAATCTAAGGCTTGACAGAGTTCGAAACTGGCCGCCAAGCGCATAGGAAGACAGACGTGCGAGAAGAGTGCGGATACAAGGTTCCTGTCTGGACGATGAATTGCGAGACGACGAAGGTGTTGGAGGGCCACAGCGGGGATATCTTCATGAGGGTCCAGTGCGTCCTCAGCACTGAATTCTTCCAGGACCAGGTCCTCTATTCTCAGCGCAATCGACAAGATGCGAAAAAGGTCTACAACGCGTAGCCGCTTCCTGACGAGGTAAAGGTGCGTGAGATTGGTGAGGGAGCTGGGGAGATGCCAATCCACTGCGCGTAGGACGAGCGCCTTGAGGTTAGAGACATCGCCTTGAAGCACGCAGTTCCACGCTGCCAAGGCTTGGAGTCCGTGGGCGTAGGACGCGGGTAGGTCAAAATCGCACCCTGCATACGAAGCGAGCGACTGGATGTGCTGTCCATCAGTGCGTCATAGCTGCTGCACGTCGAGATGGTCATTTTCAATGTTGGGCACTCTCAACGGCGCGCTTTGCGAGCGGAGATGATACTGGCCAATGGCGGTTGTCCAAAGAGTGGATGTGTTCAATGCCACATCGCGTCACCGACGATACACGTGGGTCAGTGGAAGCAGCGTACCAGTATCCTTGAAATCGAAGAAGGATTCCCAGACCAAAAATTTTCTAAGGCTGATGCAGAGGCCGTTGATATAGAGAGCCAATGGTGATGGTGGTACTTGGCGGAAGATTTCGCTGAGGATCTTGTCAGGGAGACGATTGACAGGACGCTGTGCATTAATGGACATTCGAACGTCCGAGAGGGTAGGCAGGAGTTCATCCTCGATGCATTCAAGCTGGAAGAAAGTTTCAATCAAATGTTCGACCTGATTTATCACCGCAATATCTCACATCAGTGAGACTACGTGCAATAAGCAATTGAATTAGCAGGTCAGCTCGCCCTCTCCAGAGCTATTATGAACACACTACTCACCTCCATTTCCTGCTGGAGTTACCCACCTCTTCCAGAAGCGACGCCGCCTCAGAAAAAGTGAGACAGATGTCTGCCATTTGATGACTTTTGTCTTCAAATTAGTGCTACCGTAGGGTGTCAGATGAAGATGATGTTGGAACTTGGGATTGTGGCGAGTGCACGCTTTCGTGTTTGTTGTTTGTACCTCGCAGACTTTGTGTTCTGTTTCTTACGCATTTGACAGAGCTCAGACAAACGCGATATATCTTCGTTGACCGTTCTAGCTCCGGGACCCGGACGAACTGCAACAGATGATTTTGAGACGTCGGACGTTCACCTTTCACGCACCACGCCCGATAGGAATAGAAGTCCTAACCCTAAATAGCCCGAGCCTAGCGGAGTGTCGACAGGTAAATATACTCCTCAATCTGGTAGACAGTGCGTTTCAGCCCCTTCAAGGTGTCTCCTAGACCCTATCCTGGGGTTTATATAGCCATATCTGGGAGAAGCCAGCCCATTATTGTCGCAAAGTTGTGAAAGCCGTAATTTAGGGCAAACTTCACCTAGAATCCGCCATGTTCTGACGGTAAAAGTCCAACACTGCCCACAGTGCACAGCCAATTACTTTCTGCTTCAACACCTGCTTTGCTTAATTCGTGCTGGGACTGTTTATAAGTCAATCATTGACCTGAGCCATCAACCTGAGCGGCCCGCGACCTGCCATCTATATGGAGTTTCTCTCGCAAACATACATCGCGCTCAGAGGTCCAACCGGCGCACCTCAGTCGGCATCGGAAACTATTGCACGCCTCGCAGACCGTCTATCGCCCTCAACCCTTCTCGGAGACCGTCGCGCAGCTGTACTCTCTCTTAAAGGTCTCTCGCGCGACCACAAGGCAGATGTCGGCGAACGCGCTCTGCCAGGTCTGCTGGACGTCCTTCAGAATGACGCTGAGATTGACGCGGACATCGGCAAGGCCGTGCTCGAGACCCTGAATCTACTGTGCGAGGTCGACGACAGTGCCAATGTGCAGGCGCGCGAGTTAGGCTTCAAGCACACCGATCTCGTCCTTGCGGACGAGAAAGTCGCACACAAGCTTTTCGTGCTTCTCGCGGACAATTCGTTCTACCTGCGTCTCTCTGCGCTCCAGTTTCTCGCTACCCTACTTCAGAACCGACGTCAGGTCGTGCAGGGGTACTTCCTGAAGGCGCCTGTGGGTCCCACAAGCTTCGTGGCCGTGCTAGAAGAGAAGCGGGAGATTATACGACATGGTGCGTGCATCTCGCGTCTCCTAGAATGGACAGTGTGTCTTGTCATAGCCAGGGCGGTAAAATTCCATGCGTGCGTCGATCTAGCGAATGCAAATAGGCCCATGCAATGAGCCGAAGAGTTGACATAACATGTCGCAGACGTCTTCGATTCTCTGCGCTGGACTCGATTGCTTTGACCGCTTCTCATCGATTTTGTCAAAGTCCCGCTCGTGTCACTAGATCAAACGAACACCTAGTCCGGTTGGACGTGGTTTACGTTACCGACTGGATAGCCTCCAAGGACTAGTAATCTCGCGGGCAAGCTGCTGGATTCCTATGTATGGCGCTCTACTGTAAACATGCGAAAGAAAGTATGCGCGCCACGAGCGGTGCCGGGCAATGTAATGATGTTCGCGACGCTGCTCCACAGTCATTGCCCACAGTGTCGCGGTCACGTGGGCAATATATGATACGTTCACTGAGGTCTGCTGCAACCGGACGCGCGGAGTCGATGTATTGTGCATCGTCCAAGTCTCGCACATATCTTCTGCATCGAGTACATACGGCAACATACTCACTCCTCACCATTCCACTGCAGAAGCGATCTTCGTCGTGCAGACCCTGATCTCGCAGAGCCCGGAGATCCAGAAGATCCTCGCGTTCGAGGGCGCGTTTGAGCGGCTATTCAACATCGTCGCGAGCGAGAACGGTGTCGACGGGGGTGTCGTCGTGCAAGACGCGCTCAAGTGTATTGACGGACTTGTGAGATTCAACCAGTCAAATCAGGTAGGGTCGCATTGCGCGCTGGATCCCGACGCCGCTGACTCCGCATGTAGAGTTACCTCCGCAATAGCCCGCTCCCGCCATTGCTCTTCACTGTCCTTGGATTTCCGCCCGCGCTTCCGCACGACACACCGCCGCCGCAGAACTTCGCGTTGCAGCTCTGGGATGATCCGCGGAAGCGCGCCAACGCAGCGCTCGTCGTCGGCATCATTGGCTTGCTCACCAAGAGCGGTGGGGGGAATGTGCGTATGGTGCTTTATGTCGGGAACTCGCGGACGTGCGCTGATGTATAAGACAGCTGCAAGACCCCCTCACGTTTGCGTGTACGCGGTGTCTGCTCGAGCTGGGACTGGCATCGAACGCTCCGACGGCAATCAAGACGCAGGTTTGTCCTGACTGACGTTGAAGTCGCCAACAAGTTGACCCGTTGCTTGCACCGCAGGCGCTGCGCCTCCTGCCCACTAACTTCTCGAATTTCCCGCTTGGACAAATGCTGACGACGCCATACGTCCCTGTGCCCGAGACGAACGGTGAAGAATGGGATCGCCTCGAGCCGTCCATTGCGCTTGACACTCTTGTCGAGCTAATCCTACACGGTGAGTATAACGGCATGCTGGAAGGCGAGCGACGGTCGAAAGAAGGCGTGGAGTTGAGGGCGGCCGCGCTTGGTGTGTTCCAGGTGAGACGGACCGACGCATATGCGACGCGAATACGCACGAACTGATAAATAAATACAAATCGTAGAACTTCGTGCAGCGGGAAGAGATCGCAGAGGCAATCGTGCAGGCCATGGTCTCACCATCGGGTACGAGCAGACGCTGTGCAAAAGTGTGTTAGTGCCTAATTGCTCTGTCTTAGAGTCTGCTCCCGTGACACCTTTGCTTGACGCGCTCATTGCATCGCATACGACGCCGCTACGCACCAGCTCCGTGACGTCCACTCACCTCGCCTCGCTGCTTTTTGCACATCTCCTGCGCGCATCGCCGCAAAACAAGACTCTCGCGCTCTCGATTGTGCCCCCAACCGCGCCGACATCGGCACACCCGCAGGGTAGCTTCTTCGTCCCTGCTGATGGTGGTCCCGCACCAGCGCCGCCTGAAGAACCCGAGCTTGAGCCCGAGCAAGAGGAATCAGAAGCGCTGATCCAGATCCTCAGCGAGCATCTCTCGCTGGCGTTCCTCGCGCGGGGCAGGGCAGACACTTCGGACAAGGAGGCACGAGAGTGGGATCGGCTACTGGTGGGGTACCTAACACTGCTCTCACAATGGCTGTGGGAGAATCCTCGTGCAGTGCGCGGCTTCTTGGAAGCGGGTGCCTTGGGGGTGGTCAGTGATGTCTGGCTGGCTGCCGCTGAACGCGCTGACTGAACGGCCATATCCCAGCTGGTAGAGCCGATCAACCATATGACAGACACGGATGCCTTGATCCCGAGTCTGTGCGCGTTTTTACTTGGTATCTGCTACGAGTTCAACCGGGAGCCAGGCGAGATCACAAGGTCAGCAAACAGTCCCTAGCTGTGTGCGACAGCGAAGCTCACAACGATACTGCTCATGAACATCAGATCTACTATATACCCGATTTTGACGCGTCTTGGCATTGACATGCTCGGCGGGCGCATCCTTCTGCTCAGAGATGACGACCGCTTCAAAGCCATTGGGCCGGACACTCTTGTGCTGTCCATGCCTGCAGCACCATCACATCTGCACACAGGACCAGCTGTTGCTGGTAAGCTCGAAATCGAAGAAGGCGAGATCTGGTTCGACTGGCCGTTTATCGACTTCTGGAAGTCCAACTACTGTATGTCTCCTCTGTAATGTTTATAATCGGCGCGCGAAGTGATTCCTGGCTGCCAACAGACACGGTACAGAGAGGCATTGCCGCAGATCCGAACGCATTGGGTTCATCACCAGGTGCAAACACTCATCATTTCTACGATGACATTGCATACTCACGATCTCATATCAGGACAGGGCGATACGACGATGTTAATAGCATCCCTGAAGGACGTCATTCGTAATCAAGCAACAGAGATAGATGCATTGCGTAGCCAGCTGCAGTCCGTTTCCGTCGCACAAGCAGAAGACGATGTGAGTGTGCACTTTATGATCAGCATGGAGTGACTCAGCTTAGGTTCCGCAGCGCGAAGCACTCCGGGCACAGATATCCTCATTAATCACACAGCTACAGGCAGCAGAGGAGAAGCGGAGGGATGTGGAGAAGGAGCAAGAAGACCTGCTGGTACTCCTTGACGAGCTCAACAACAAGCGTCGGAGAGATAAGGCCCACATGCGGAAAGCGGGCTTGGAGGTTTCAGAAGATGAGAGCGACGAGGATGGCGAAGACGCAGAGTAGGCGTGATTAGTTCCTTCACGGCGCTCTGCTATATGTTCTACCTCGCATACCTGTATATCTGATGGGGCGTTCGCGTTGGGCTTAAGTGAACCCCCTTGTCAGACCTCGTGAATGCTGTCCATAGCTCGCAGCTCTCCTTGAAGGACGTCGATCTCCTCATTGATACCAGCGATCTGCATGACGGTACGTGGCCACCTCATGTGTCGGCACGTTCTATCGCTTTTCCCCTATTCCTCTGCTATAAAAGTCAGACTTCCACGACCATGCCTGTTCCATGCCTTCGTCGTGCGCGTCATTAGTAGCCTGCTCGGTGCTATTTTTTGTAGTAAAATCTACTCTATGCACGTAGAGGCATGCAGCTCGTTGAAAGGACTGCAACAGTCCTGTGCCTAGTGACCACTGACTGGTAAGATCTGCCAGCTACTATGGCCAATGCCATCATGTTGGGCTTTAACTGACATGTTCCACCTGCGGTCCGACTGTATTGCGCACGCATAAGTGTACAGTCCACGCCGTAGAAACAGGCGGTTCTCAGAGTCCCGTGAGCAGATCTTGGCCTGTATTCTCGCGAGCCCCTCGCGCTCAAACCGGCAGTCGGTGAGCAGCTCCAAGGCTTCCATTAGATCATTTCAAGGAATGCAGAGCATGTCCAGATACTCAATGGATATGGGTACATAGGGACGAGTTTCCGACAGCCGCTGCACCTTACTATGACTTCCTCGCAGAGCTGTGTCTGTGCGAGTGGTGAACGTAACATGATTCTTTTTTTTTGAATGGCCAATGGCGTTTCGACAACTAACAATCGGTTAGCCTCTGACGCCGGCAAAAGCGGGGATTTCCCGCACCAAAAGGGAAAAAATGCTAATTACGCACGGCCGACAAGGCCAGTGTGGGACTCCGCAGGCCGGGGTCAGGTCCGGCACGTGTCGCGTTGCGTATACCCACTAAAACCCCAGGCTTGAAAATCCAGTCGTTAGGGATTGGTCCCGTGCTCACGAGCGTGCCCCGCCAAGTCTCGTCGACCAGGTCCGCTGAGACTGAGGAGTGTTTATAGCGGGGGTTCGTGAGCGTCCGGTCTAAAGCGAGCCGGACATTCAGGACTTGGAGCCAGCGCTCTTCTACTTCCCGGCGTGAGTGCTGCCACCCAGCAACATTCCCGTGCTGAATGACGCGTTCATTTCGCAATTTCCAGACGAGGTATACAGACTCCGAGATGAGGATACGCCAGAGCCGAATGGTACCCGGCGGAGCTGTACGCCGGTCACGACCAGGGAATGCCGCTCATCCACAACCCAGAATGAGACCAATGGACATTGCAGTCTGTTGCCATATCCTCCGAGCCAAGGACCACACAAGGTGTTGCCCAGTTGCCGAGCACGAGGTAAGGATGTGTTCAATAGACTCCTCTGCCATCAAGCAGTTCGGACAAAGTTCCCGGTGTTCAAACCCGGGGACGTGTTTCCAGTAAGAGCCGCTGCGTTTAGCGTTGTGTAAAGCTTTCCACAGGAAAGACGTAATGGGTTTCCGAATGTCTGAGGACCGGATTGAAGTCCAGATGGAGGAATCCGTGGGTGAGAAGCCTGCTATCGCTTCCGCTTCATTCAGTGCTACTGTTCCTGCGCGCTTATTGCTGACCCTAGTTGTAACTGACACACGGAAGCTTTTTTAGATCACTTTTTTATGGTGTCTACGGTCCAAGCACCATGTTCCAACATGGCGTCGTCTTTTATCCCAACGTAAATCGAACCAGATTCCAGAACGCTCACATTTTTGAGGTGCTTTGGACTTGGCTTGAAATGATCGCTTAATTCCAGTATCAATAAATCTTCCTATGCGTTGCCTTCACATCAACGAGCGAATATGTTCGAGGGAGATCATCGTCGAGAAAAATACGACAGAAACATATGCTGTGTGGGCTGTTTGACCGGACGTGAGTGCAGCCAATGCCGCGGACTCAGTATGCACGCTTTAACATACTGAGTGATGTCATGCATTTTCTTCTGTGTGCAATCCATTGTAGCGGTCTTGTGGAAGTCTGAAGGTATGTCGTATGATGTGGGTACAGCGGTCGTTTGAATTTCCCTGACGGACTGGCAGGAGGCCGAAGGTTCCATGCATATTGTCTATGGCACCGATCACGGTATCTAGCCTCTGCCGTGGTGGAACCACAAGTAATGATCACCAAGCACAATGATCCACGGCATCAATCTTCAAGGGGATGTATTGTAAATTTGCTTCGCACAGCAGTGCTGTACGTAAGCCGCTAAGTACCCCTTCCAAATGAGGTGGTGTTTCCATGCTTCATTTGACATTTGTCACGGGCCGGACGGTCAACGGTGTTCCTGTGCTCTGCCAGCCATCCGAGCGTGAATGATCAGGAACGAATTTGGCTGTTGTACCTTCGGACACTTCTTGCTCCGGCACCACTCGCTTGCTAACCCGGCTAAGTGTCGGTGATTGCTGTCACCGTCGTATTCAAGCGTCTTGGCATTAGACTGCGGCAAATGCATAGGCGAACTAGAAAAAGTGTATAAGATCCCTGACAGACCAGCTATTTGCCAGGATCGCAATCCCTCTTCGTCCTGCACGCAGCTTCTTCTCTTAACACACGCTTCCTCGAGATGTCGACCACAGTCATTGTAAGTGCCTTCGAAACTTCGAAATTATTGCAGGTGATCCGAAGCGTATTACTGACCATATCATTCGCAGAGCCCTCGTGCCAAAAAGTACGCGGTACTATGTACTCACTGCATCGTCATCGACGTTGACGCTTCATTCTACTAGATACCTCCAGCTTCTACGCTCTATTGAGAAGCTCGGCGGCGCTGAAGCTTATGCCAAGTCACTGACAGGCGCACACGCGCTCGTCTCCAGCTTGCCGAAACGTGACCCGGTAGCGACTGTCAGTATTGAGGTATTCTGCAGCGCGGTGACTATCGATATCACTACATCCGACGGACACCATGGGTACGGCGGGGGCCTTGGTGTAATGGTCCAGGACGTGAAATTCCAAGGTACCATGACGCTACTGGCCCCATGGGATGTCATCGTGTCTGGAGAGAACGATTTCTCCCTTAGTATCAAGGAAGAAGGAGCGGGTGCAAAGATACTGTTCAAGGTCAAGGAGCAAGAAGTTGCCACTATTAGGTCGGCTAAATTGTCCTATCCCATCGCCGCCGACGTCGAGGGCTCTTTCTGCTGGAGGTGCGTGCGTCACAGCGTTCCAAACATTGCGAATTCTTACTCTTATGTATTGCAGCTCTGAGGCTGATGCTGTGGTGAGCCTCTCGTTGTGTCCAGACTCATCGCGTACTGAAGTCTAGCTCTCCCCTGTTCTATAGCCAGCCAATGTCGGACAGTATGTCTCCCGATCACCTCATATGTATACTATGCATTCTCACCCTTCCTCTACAGCGAGATTGACCTGTTGCGCGGATTGGAGAAGTTCGGCGGTGCTGCGGCGTACGACAAGTTCCTCAGTAGCACTACGGAGCCCTGTCCCCACAAGCCACTTAGGACTCTCGACCCGATCAATTCGGTCGCGGCGCGGGTGACATTCCAGTCGTTCGGATCCTACATACAGATGCACATCGACACCAACGACAAGCACTGCGGGGTGGGGTCGGCCTGGGGCCTCGAGATACCCGTGATTGAGGCCCCGGGCCTGCTGAAGGTCTATGTGACGCCTTGGGAGCGATTGATGTCGGCCACCAACTCCTTCTGCATCAAGGCATACGAGGACACCGCCGTCGTACACTTCTTTATCGAAGATGAGCATGTCGCCGATCTGGAATGCAGCCGCAAAGAGCTCGCTCCAGTTGTAGGACTCTCCAGCAAGCAGCACATTTGGAGGTAGGTCGTGACCCGCTCGGTCCTATGACCTGATGCTATGCCTAACGCGTCACCTTTGCAGTTCATGCACTATGTTCAAGAATGTTGGAGCCAATGGAGCCGATCGCGCTGGGGCCAATGGCGCTGCCAGCACCGCCAGTGCGACATAATTTACGATACCAATGACATTGTCGTATTGATGTACCCTACGTCATCTCTCACCATAATGCGTTCAATATCATGCGTCGGTAAGACACCGCATTCACCACTGGTCTAGTCCGCGTTGGCACTTTTCCGCATGCACAACATGTCAGGTATGGCTTCCATTTTCCTCCATGATATGTATATTCGTGATGCGTACGGCCTGTGGATTTGAGTCTCGAATTGCACCTGGCTCCCGACTGCATTAATGGAAGAAAGCGCGCCTTCCAACAAGCCCGCCGCCGCTGTGGTGGAGGAAAACGCGCTAAAGCAGACCGAGCGTCAGAAGGAAGAATCTGAGTGTTAACGACCAAGCGCGTCCGACCGATTCGCGTGTGCGCGCGCATGCATGATGCCGCGTTATCGCGTCAGGATCGGCGCGATGTTGATGCGCCCCTGGTGTCCCTGTACCTGTAACCTCATTCCCCTTTTCTTTGAACTTTCTCCCGAGATAGCAATCACTCACCTCGCGTAGCGACTGGTTATATACCCGGTGTTTCGTGGCACGGACTTCAGTTGTTGTTTGCACACCTACTGAAGTCCGTGAGTACTGTCCCTTTGATACTACGTACTGTGCCCGTACTGACTCGCTGTAAAGGATCGTTACCTCGTTAGGTACATCAATAATTAATGAGTTGTTGTTTGCACACCTACTGAAGTCCGATCGTTACCTCGTTAGATCTCTCGCTCGCCTCTTTAAGACTGAGGAGGGATGTGCTTCTTTTTTTTCCTTTTATTTGGTTTCTTTCACTGTTCTCGAACGAAAAGCAAAAAGTACGTACGAATATCTCCCTTCGACTCTGAGGCTTGCGAAGGCGGTGCAGACAGAGAGATGAAGCAGCAGGACGCGCGTGTAAATGTGATGCGACGGAGGCATCATCCTCGAGAGGCTGAGGCAGTGGTGGCTGCGGATTTCAACTGGAAGTTTCGAGTCTAACTTGGCAGTGCCCAGGACTGGGCTCTCATCCCGATTTAGAAGGCGGATTCCCGCTTTGGGCCTTGTCTCGATCACTTGTCACAGATGTGCGTCATTCACTCCTCCCAAACTGTGTATTACATCATGACTGTCAAGGCTTTCCTGTATCCTTATAAGCTAGGGTCGACGTCAAAATATGTATATTCTCTCTCTGCCTCGAACCACAAACATCTCTCATCGTTTGTGCCAGTACGGACGAGTGACCCGAGAGTCGCTGAGACTCACTACGGCCGAAGCCTCTTCGCCTCCTGCTGCTCTCGGAAGCGCTGCGCGACCGACGAGCATTCTACGCTTCTCACTGTTCTTCTCGTTGCCTGGACTCCGCCGCTTTCTGAGTGTGTGGCAGTGCTGAATTGAAATGGGACATGCGAATACCACGTGCATTTGACGAAGCTATCCGACTTCAGTATCCGATGTCAAAATACAGCTTCCTCGACGACGAGCTGTGGTATTCCGTACTTGGGCAGTGTCGTCAGTGAAAGTCCATGTCAACGGGCAACGAGCTACCTTGGCAATAAGTATGAAAGTCGCCTTGTCTTCCACCATCGAATGTGAGTGGCATTTTGTATTCACCCCGTGATGCTTGATGTAATTGTTGAGTATTCGGCGGGCAGCGCTGCCTCCAGTTACCGAGTTCACCCTTCAAAGCGAAAAAGATTGCATGTGCATTTGTGTAAGTGGCTTGATTGCCTTGAATGTTACCTGCTGCGCACAGTGCTCCGGCATGCGCGTTATACCACGCACTAGAATACGCTGGGTGGGTACGTCGGACCTGAAGGGTGAGTACAACATGGGGAAACCTGTGCCTAGCTGCTGTCAAAGACTATGTCCACGTTGAGTGGCGCTTGGTCGTGAATGCCTTTTTTCCTGACGGTGGGTGAACCATGATTGTAACCATTGCGATCGTTCAGGTGAATTTGTGCTTGCGTACACCAGGCGACAATGATATTTTCTTGCGGCTCTTGCGTAGGCCTGCTCTGGCGGATATATCGTTGGGATTGATATTTTTGTAGTCCTGTTCTGGTCAGCTGCGCCGCCCTGCTTCTATCGCGTCAGATCGAGGACTCGGCTAGCCGATCAAGCGATCTATGAACAACACCCTTATATGGGATGGTCCGTTGTACCGCTGAGTGCGGCCGAGCGCCCACTTTATGACACAACACCATCGCGGTCGACCGGGATTGTTTTCTTGTCTTGCCATTCCCCTTTACATCACGCCGTTGCTGCCCACCGAGCTCGTATTGTCTGTTCCAGGGGAGGCAGTGGACGTGTGCGCCCTCTTGGACCCACACACGGTGTATATTACTGGAGGTCGGACATGGAATAGGGGCATCCGCGCAGTGCGCTTATCCTGGTAGCTCCTTCCTAGCTCGTTCTCCTCGGAAGCTGCGCTCTCTGACAAGTATCCCATAATGGCAGGCCAGTATCTCTCCTCCCCCATACGGATCACACGGTCCCCCTTCTCGCGCACCGAGTCACAGCTGGACTGTGAGCGGACACTCTTGAGGCATCCTTCGCGCTCCTCCTTCGATTCGACGACGTTATGCGACTCCCAGCGGCGCCCCCACTCAATCCTCGACATCCAGTCAGATGCCCCATTGACGCAGACCACGATCGACTCTAGACGCACCCGCCACTCCGATCGTGCATCGTCTCCATATGCCCGGCGCGGGTCCTTCTCCCCGTCCCCGACTTCCGGCAGTCCTTCGCTACTTTTCACGCCACTCTCGCGGCTGAGCGACCCTTCTACCGCTTCTCCTCGTTCTGCCAAGATGTCTCGACCGGCAGCGGACCGGCCTCATATACCTACTTCTTCCGCAGGTGACGCGTCCGCGCTCAAGCTTCCCGACAATGCAGCGGGCGGTCTCGGACTCACTTTAGGCACAATGCTGCACGACGCGCCCATTGCGACGTTCTCGAGCCGGCTGCGCAGGCTTGCTCCTCCTCCGCTGCAGCTAACACCTCCAGAGTCCCCCGTAGAACAGGCACGTCCGCGCACACCTGAGCCCGAGCCTGAAGCACCATTACCATCCGCCGCAACTTTCATTGGTCGCTTCCCCCAACGACCCCATTTTGCGCCTGAAGTGGCGCTTAGAAGCGCGACGACCTTCCTCGAGTTTCCTGGGGACCAGCCGAGTACGTCTCCTCCATCTTGTACACATCTGAGACGATGACTAGAGCATCTTGGCTGATGCGGCCTATAGACACGCCCCTGTCGCCTTTGAATGCACGACTTACTGGCATACGTACAGCGTCTTTGTCGGCACAAGCAGGCTCTCGAAACACCTCTCAGTCCCAAGGTGTCCCGGAAGAACCCCCGGCGTATAGCAGATCACCAAATACACCTCGCACTCCCGGCGCCGCGCCCCCACCACTTCCCCGAACGCACTGTATGTCACTTCCACGAGTCCCGAGCGAATACCAGGCGCCAGTGCACGCCGCGAGCCTCCTCTCACCGCTGGGCGTTGACCTGCGTGAGGCGTTGACGGTGGACAACCTTATTTCCCGTGCAGATCGATGCAAGGAAGCAATGCATGATGCCTCGTTTGTGAGTGCGCCGCTACACCTTGCAGCATGTATGCCTGATCATGCCTTGCAGTCCCTGTGTTCGTGCCCCCTCTTGAAGGACTCGCATGCGATCTTCGACGTGTGCAAGGGCACAGAGTGGGCTATCGCCGCCGTGCAGGACGAACTGGACCGCACCCCCGAGGACCGCGAGCTCGACACGTCCGACGAGCTGCAGCACTGGTTCCAGAGACACTGGCAGATCGTCTCGTCCGTCGAACGGTTAGTAATCAGGCACCTGAGCGGCCGACCTTGGTACTTTCGTCTTTGGTACTTACCGCCCGATCGAAGGAACCTCAACCTGTTTTTCCTGTTCGCAGACCAGCTGCGCCAGAACCCGCCCCGCATCCACCGTCTGGCTGGCCACGTCGACAAGCTGCACGCATACCACGCCAAGTTCACCGATCTCGCACGCAGGCTCACAGTACGTACGCAGTCCGCGTTCCGCCCGTCTGTCCCTCGCGCTCGCAGCGTTGGCTGATATTAATCCCTCCCTCCCTTCCCTTACCTCCAACCCCCCTTCCCCCTGCTAGGTCTCGCATGAGAAGCTGCACATGCTGAAGCTCCATACACGTGTGCTCGCTGCGCACCGTACCGCGCGCATGCAGGCGGAGGCCGAACGTGCGCGCCGGCACGACTTCCGCACGGCGTGGCGTGAGGGCCGAGCGCAACGACAGGCTGTACGCGAGGAAGTCCGCCGCTCGCGCACCGTGACGCACGACCTCCGTATGAGCCAGATGAGGAGCCTGAACGAACGCGGCGGCGACCACGCACGCGATTTTCTCGAGGATGCACGGCTATAAGGCGTCTGAAGGTGGAATATCCCAAATATGTGTCTGCCTCCTTTAATACACCTCGCCGGCCGGTGGCGACGTGTGCGCAGCTTTGAACGTGTAACAATCACCGGTTTGGCTTCTTGCATCTATTGTCCCTGGCGTTTCTGGCTTGCACAATCTCCTCACAATAATGACTCTGTAGCGATAGATGTTCCTGTGAATTTGCGACGGACAGCGCATTCAAGTTACGATTGACACCCTTTGGTGGGCACGACTCCTCACGACGTTACGACTGTTCAGTACGCTACATAGGCTCCCAACTTGTACATATGTACTACCCTACTACCCCCCGGCTCTTCGTATAATACATCCGCCATGTATCTATGTATGTACCATCCCATACCGTCCTTGCCTGACTTTGTCCCCGTGCGGGGTCGAACACAAGGCCCCGGTCTGGCCATAACCGGTAACCGGAAGCGGCCGCCCCGCGCACGGACCAACCTCGTCGCGCCCTGCCCTAAACCGGAAGGGTATATAGGGCCGCCCCCGACACAGTGATTCCTCAGAACATACTCAGCTAGGATCTATTTTATAGGTACTAACTCGAGTCTCGCATGTTTACACATGCCACATCCTTCAAATCCAGTCGATGACACCCGCGCCCGCTCGTTATACTGAGCACATGCTTCCCTTTGGGGAGCGCGAGGACGTTTGGTTTGTTTGCTGTGTACGCCTTTGGGCTGTGCGGCGGACTTGCCAGCGAGTTGGGCGTATGTCTGATGGATTACTTATTAATGTTGTATTTGTGCAATCGATATGATGCTTTTTGGAATCGGTTTTAACAAGTCGATATGGTTTTGTCAAACTTTGAGTGATTTGAGAGTGAAGAATGAGTTTATGTGTCTGAATTGGTCTTACTATTATTTTGTACTCGATATATGCAGTGCAGATATTACAAGCAGGTGTAGGGATGATGTTTGGAAATCAACCATTGATTTTGCTTCATGATGTTATGGAGTTTAGTTGGGCAATTTTCTGGTAGTCATTGTTGATGAATTGCCTAGGCGGTGCAAGTCAAGTGTCAATGCACATTCGGTGACTAGCATTTCAGATGTTTGTATAAATGAATACAGTCGAGTACACCTGAGTGGTACATGGCAAAAAGTCATATGGGGAATGGTACGAAGCAACTCACTGGTAGCAGAATAGGCTATGTGGTCACACTGCTCGGGGGCATCACGTCTGGGGTCGGCTGCCCAATAGTCATCTTCGCGACCTGGCCCTCAGCGTCCTGGATCTCCACCTCGATGCTCTCGGGCCCCTCGGCGGGATGCAGCTCGTCCTCCTTCGCGCCCTCGTCCAGGTGCATCACCTCCACGAACCACTTCGCGCCCTCCTCCCAGCCCGCATTCTCCGCCTCCCCGAGCGGCGACCGCCCCGCCCCGTTCTTGAGGTCGATGAGGTCAATGCCGGGGCCGCCGGGGTGCCGCACGAGGCGCTGCGCGACGGCGAGATGGCGGTTCAGCGCCGCCCAGTGGAGCGCGGTCGACTGCGCGGCGTTCTGCGCGGCGAGGAGCGGCGGGGCGACAAGCGGGAGGAGCAGGTCTAGGGCGTCTGCACCGCGCCTTCGGCCGTCAGATTTCAGATTTGGACTTTGGCGTCGGCCCCGCAGACGGTGCGGCGCGCGCGGCACGATGGGGGACGGCTTACCTGTGTGCCCGTTGGCGCAGACCATGTGCAGCACGGTGTTGCGGTTGTCGTCGCGCGCGTCGTTGAGCGGCGCGGGCCCGAAGCGAGTGATGAAATGCTGGATGTCCTCGGTGTCGCCATAGCGGCACGAGAGCAGCAGCTCCGCGATGTCGTCGGGCGTCGGCGTCGAGACGGCCATCGTGTCGGGAGCGTTGCGGGAGATGGCCAGGTAATTCTTTTAGCGATGCGATGAATGCAGCGGTGAATAGAGATACGGAGATGGAGCTATGCGTGCGGTGCTGTTGTTGGGAGGACGCGAAGTTTTGGGCGGGGTGAGCTCGGTGCCGGTTGATCGTCTTGCGATCAACAAATATTGCGATCTCAAATGGGATCTCAGTTTTAAATCTCTGGCATCTTGGCCTCGGTCATCGTGATCACGCGAAAGAAAATATCTGCACGGCCTTTCTTCTTTCAGAAAATATTTTAACGACACGGGCAGTAGACGACGGCTCCTTGTACTTGTGATAAAACCCTTCTAATAACAAAATTGTAGCAGAATTGGCGTGGAAACGAAAAAGAAAACCCCCCCGGCCACGACTCAGATGACGCGTACCGGCGAATGCCGACTGCGCTAACAGTGCCTGTGTTACGGCCTCAACAATTCTCAGCTCGCGACCCTTTTTGCTGCAGCAAACCGAAAGACTTCGTGACGAGCGTCGACCCAAAAGCAAGTGACACGTTTTGCAGTTGGTCGCGAAAGGAACCACCACCGAATGCAGCGCGACGCCAAACTTGCAGACATTCCGGGTATTTTTGGCAAACATATGTTTTAACCTTTGATGGATATTTCAAGCGCCGGATCAGGGGTACAGGGGAGCAACATCTCCTGCTGATCAGCTCGGGACCTCTGCCTTTTCAGATTTCCCCACACACAACTGCCCGACCCATCCCCGGCACCCGTCTAGACGCCGTGCACACCGCCTCTTGAGGGTGATTTCGGTGGCTCTCAACGTTCAACAGTTGCTATAATCATCTTCTCAACAAGCTACCAAAATCAGGGCCTGGACGACCGGCACATCGGAAGGGTTTGACAGCTAGGTCCCACAAAGCTCCTACGCTTTCTCATTACGGCGCAGCGTCCATGCGGCCTGTAACCCAACATCAATTTCCAGGACTGATCCATCAGTCACGGATTGATTTGGACGCGTTTGAGGCATGCTCGGCACTTCAGCCCCCCCCCATAATATATACGGATCTCCCGACCACCGCAATTCCCCTTTCCTGATCGCGGCGACTGTGCTTGGCTTCAAGTTCTTCGCCCGCTGCATGAGTGTCCAATACTAACGCGTATAGTCTTTTAATCCAATGTGCACCACCCCGCCTGTGTTTCTGACCTGGGCGGTCCTCTCGACTTTGGTGCGTCGTTTCTCCTCTCTCCTCGTACTCCGCAGGTCGACCTGAACATGGCATGGTCGGCAGCTGGGCACTTTTCTTCTTTTTCATCTGTGGAAGTTCGATCGATTCAAATGCCTGCGGTCCGTCACCCTCTGAATGACCTTGATGAGGCGGCGCGATACTGACTTCATGCACCGCCAGCTGGAATAATGGTCCTTATTCCGGCGCGTTCAAGCGTGTCATGACGGTGCGTAGCAGTCTACCTAAAACGCGTCGCCCCCTCATGCGTGCCGCAGTATACCTATTTATTGAGCATACCGTTGATCATGGCATACTCGATCGGCTTCTGCGTGATCATGTACAAACTCGGCTACATGAAGATGCCTGGGTACGGACGTAAGTGCCCTGCTTGAGGCATATCGCGGCATGTTCAAGTCCCTTCTCCAATCTAGTCATGCCGCTCCCCTTCGCGCTCTGGCCACCACACTACTACCGCGCCATCTTCCCGCTCAACATGCTGTTCTCCATCGCATGGGCTCTCGAAATGTGCGTTGCTGCTCTATCTGCGCCTGTGCCCGTCCGACTGACCGCCCTCCACAGGATCACACATCTGGAAGGTAGTGCCCCTCCTAACCTTGCCGCCGCGCCGCTCTCATTCCGCTTGCCGCAACAGAGCTCTGCTTCTGGCTTTTCCTCGTCAACGCCGGTTCAGTGCAGCAGGACTGGTTTCGCAGCCTGTACTTCAAGTCCTGGATTGCCGGCTCTGTTCTCGCTATATATATGCCCATCGTCACCATCGTCACCCGTTCCGACCCTGCCAAGGCAAGCCGCTCTGTCTTCATTGTCCGGGTAGGGCGTGGCGCTGACATACCGGAGAACAGAGCGTGGCGGCCACCTTTCTGGCCGGCAGCCTCGGCGATCTCTCCCTTACCCTGTGGTTCCTGCCCGTCCTGTGCGTGCCGCTCTGTGCTGTTGCCACAGCATGACTGATCTGCTTGCGCAAGATTTATGTTCCCTTCCTTCTTGCGAAGTCTGGTGAGTGCGTCTCATGAATTTTACAGTGATTTATTCTCATCATGCCTGCGACAGAAATCAGAAGGCGTGGACATCAGTACTATCGTGCGTCTCACAACCTTCCACGAGCTGAACGTATGTTGCAGTCACTAGTCATTATTGCGGGAGCCTTCTCTCTGAACGTTCCCATAGTGCATCCGCGTCGTCTTCCGTTTCTTTTTCTGCGCACCGTTTTTGATCCTGGGCGTTGACGGCATCACGTCCCGCCTCCTCGTCAACACCAACCTGTAGGAGCACGCTCCTCGCGGGAACGGTCCAACAGGCCTGCTGACCAACGCCCACACAGGTTCGCGTCCGAGTTCCTGGCCTTCCTGGCAGCCATCGGGTGCATGGTCTCATCGGGCATCACTCTCGTGGTGCGTGTGCCGCGTATCTACTCCACGGCTGCGGCGCCGTACGCTCAGTGCCCGTCCCCTCCCCGCAGATCTTCTTCCCGCGCTCGATCGAGACGGAGGTGCGCGCGCGCAACGCGTCGCGCGACAAGTCGCACCTGCACACCTTCCCGTCCGAGCGCGACTCGTGCGGCGCACCCCCGCCCGAGCCGAAGGGCAGCGCGCCGCCATACACCGCGACGGTCTCCCTGACGAAGCTCGCGCCGTACGGGGACGCGCCGGAGGAGGAGGACAAGGCGCGCCCGCTCGACATTGAGGCGCCCGGCGTGCCGCCACTGACGGCGACGGCGAAGAAGATGTTCGCGCCGAACCGGCGGCTCGACTCGGGCGCGACGGTCGAGGGCCGGGTGCAGACCGTCGGGCTGACGGAGCACAACCTCGCGCGGCACAACTTCCAGTCGTCGAGCGTGCACCCGTTCGTGCACAATTTCACATCGCCGATCGGTGCGTTTCTGTGTTTGTTTCGTAGTTGCTGCGCGGTGTGCGTGCGTGCTCACTCATTGTGTGCGTTCACAGACCTGATGCAGGCGGAGACCTACCAGGGCGTCACGCGGTACAATGCGCGGCGGTATGCCTGAGCGGCGAGTGGGGGAAGTGTCGAGTCGCGATGTATTTGTACGAGATGCTCTGTCTGCGCATGTGCTCGCTCGTTATGAACCAGTCATCTCTCTGCCAGTCGATCGCGCGCGCGCCGTGTGAGCTTTGCGTGTAGGAAGTCGCACATGCATGTTGAAGACCATGCGTTAGGCGTCTCCTCATGATGGAACCGTGAAATAGCGATGTCAGGAACTGTCACATTCTCCGGACATTCCCGTAATCGTGGATGGTCTTAGGACGTCGGGGCGTCGAGACGTACCAGAAGGTTCTGCATGTAAGTGCATTGGCTGTACTTGTCGAGCAATTTCATCGCTTTATAAGAGCACAACACAACTTGGCGGCGAAAGTGGTTGAGATGCATAGTCCGAATATGCAGCGCGCCCCACCGCCGCTGTCAGAAGGAAAGGATGATGTGGACAATCACGCAGAAGCAACGTCAGCCAATCCTATCAGAAAGGTCCTGCGCGAACAGAGATCGCGAAGGATCCTGCTTCGCCCTCTCATCTCTCAGCATCCTGTAGACCATTGAGCCATGAGCAGCAATCTATCAGAGAGTTTTCCCATGAGATACTGACCGTGCATTTATCCTCGGGTCGTCTCCCTCAACACCCAACACAGCCTGCGGCGTCTTTGCGTCGATGACCTGGAACCCATAGTTGAGGCTCTCATGAAGAGCAGTACGTAGCAGAACACTCACGTAGTGGTTGTCGCAGTGGGGACAGAACTCGTCGCTCTCCTCGTAATTAGCCATGTCTTTCCGGAACGCCTTCTTGCACTTCTTGCACATGAAGGTCATCTCCGACGTCTTCTGCAGCCGGTGATCTTGTGTCTCCGCGTGGCATTCGGCACAGTCGAACCATTGCTTGCAGCAAGGAGCGCGGATAGCGACCTGGGCATTCAGGACGTGTTTACTGTATCAGCAGAAGGTACTTTGGTCGGTTCATGGCTCGGCTACGGCTACTTGATGAGGCCAACTCCAGAGATGTTTTCGCGGGGTCGTCGTCCGCGTTATCGCTGGAGAAGACCTCATCTAGAGAGATGATACTGACCACATATCTCCAAGCTCTCGCACTCAGAAGGGTCCTGTGGTTGGCGGATCGAGACAACGTAGAAGTGGTATCCCGGAAGCAGGAAATCAATAATAAATCCAGACCAGTCCCGTGCCCCCGGCGTCACGTCGGCTTGCATTTCGGCTCTCGTTCTCTCTCTCTCTCTCTCTCTACCTCCATCCGAAGCTGCGGACGCAATATTTTGTGCGCATCATCAGAGTGCTTATCGTTGAACCGTCGCGATTCTATCGGTGACACGAGGCGGACGATGTCGTATGTAGCGCACAGCTTCTGCGTCTGCCAGCGCCAGGACTTGGCCAGGACTCTCACACTCTTCCATCGCCGCCGTTCAAGCTGGCCGCGCGGTCGACCTCAGTAACCTCCTTCAGGCCCGTCTCTCGTGGATGGCATGCACCTCGTTGTCGACGGGGACTCATAATGCGACTGTGAATGCAGGTGAGTTCCCGCGACCTGGACAGTGTAGAGAGCTGCGACGGACGGGGCGCATTTCCTCATGTTCATTGGGATTGGAGGACTGGAAGCCGGCCCAGGCGCAACGTTCAGTCGGCCTGCCTGTTGGATAGTCTCATGGGCAAGGGTGTGCTCGTAGCGGGACGCGAAGTGTCCCGAAATCCGTCTCAATGGTTGCAATTTATATGACGGAGAGCCTAACAGACTCCCTTTCCTACTGCGCGATGCCAAATAATGGCAACTCATAGTGTGTTGTACCCTTCAGGCGTTCTGAAGGAAAGCGGATTCCCCATTTTGCCTGTTATTTTCTCGCTGCTCGATGCGCTTGGTTTCCAGGTTCGCTGAGCACAGTGCTGTTGTGAGGAGGGGCATACCAGTGGTGTCACGTCAAGGCCCAAAGGAGATTATCCTCTTGAGTTTGCATTAGCGTTCACTCCTCACGACTATGGCACTGCTTTCAACGTCTGCATGTTTCTAGATGGATGTGGGCCTTGCGACACATCATCAGATCCTCGATTTCTCAATGCATGGGCATTTCGAGATTGTGTAGCTCGCATGGAAGGGTATGCTCACGAGCATATACACATTACTTCTGAATGTGTTTTACAAGCTGGCCCGTGCTGCTCTGTTTGGGGATTGCCGTAAGTTGATTTCCATTCTTTTCCGATGTTAGATGTCAGCGTCCATGTACGCTGCCCGGCCGAAGACGCGCATAGCAGCCTGGAAGTCAGTGGAGGATGTGCATGCCCTGCGGGCATCTTACGCCCCGGATCAAGTTCACACTCAAACGTGGGGGTACAACAGTCGCAGTTCACCCTTCACCTCAGCTCCCCCGAGACGGCTTTCCCGTGCTGTGCAATACCCATGACGACACCGACGCCGACACTCATGGCCCGGGCACCTGTTGTCATGCAGTCCACTGTATTTATCAACAGTACGGCTTCGAGTTCTGAAGTCCCTTCGGTGATACGGACGACGATGTATACGTCGGCGTCGTCAACACCCGTCTCTCTGCACAGTGCGCTAGGACCTCTGCTGGGCGGGCTGTTGGGCGGGTTCTTTGGTCTGATGATTATCGTAACCATGTTGTGGTGTCTCTGGCATGTATCTCCCGGATTGCGTTGTTGCATGCAACTGACGGTGTCTATAGGCACAGGCGGCACGATATTTTCCGCCGCACTGACTCACTTGAAAACGCACCGGAGATCGACCACAAGCACTCAGAGCAATGGGGCCGGCGACCATCCGCTCCCCCTTCGCCTACGCCGACCCCGCAGCCATACCAGTACGGCTTGATCGGGCGCCCGCAATCCACCACCTCTGGATCGAGTGGACCGCATTCGCGCTCGCACTCGCCGTCAGTGCTGACCATGTATAGTCCACCGCCGTCAGCCTCGATGCACTTCACGCCTGTTCCTGGCTCGAGCACCGCGATTTCCCCCGGTCCCAGCCTGGCATCTTCGTCGCGCGCATCGACGCCAGGGCTGTATCCGCTCGGGCTGCAGCAGTATCGCTACGAGCTGCAGCAGCAGCAAACGCAGCAGTACCAACAACAGGCGCGGGTGTCGTGGCCACGATACGGGGGATCGGAAGACGGAAACGACGGGCGACGGTCGCCCGTGCTGCGCCCGCGCAGCGAGCGCAGGCCGTCGCGGCTCTCGCTGACGCTGGCGAACTGGAACCCAGCGACGGACGGGGACCTGGAGGCGATGCGGGAGGGCGAGAACGGCGAGCGTGACGGGCTGGGGGAAAACGCCAGCGCGGACGCGAGTGCGCGGGACACCAGCGAGGCGGACGAGACTCTGGGGAGCTCTCAGCAGACGTTGGACGCGGGTACGCGCGAGACATCGGGTCTCGGCTCGAGCGCGCCGACAACATAAGCTGGTATGATGGAGGACGTCATACCCCCTCTTGCCGCCAGCGCGATATCATCGGCTTGCTTCCCCTATCATATCAGCCACCCTCGCCATCCCAAATTCATGCTGGACGGCTGAGGCTATTTGTACACGGCGCGGGTCTTGGACTCTTTCGCTTTCTGGATAGACCAACACCTTGCAGCGCTTGTCGAGCAGTCGCCGACATGCGTGTTTTTATAATACTGTGCTTTCGACGGACTATGTACGACGCGCGCTATCGCAGCACTCCAAACATATGTATAGATTTTGATTGATGCTGACTAGAGCCGGGCTTCCGGACGTCCATCCTCGGTCTCCGTCGGTTTGTCTGGGTCTGCTCGAGGGCAGTCCACAGATCTAGCGCCTGCTCAGTCTGACACTTCCCAATGGGGAAGTAAGTAAGTGGAAACTAGGTGAGTGCTATTTGTTGCGAGCGGTGCCAGCCTCTGCGCTCTTACTCGTGAAATTCTCGTCAAAGTGATGCAGACATACTCAGACACCTTCAGCCCTCCTGCTGCGAGTAAGGGTGGCGACTTGACCTCAAACGTACTGGAAGCTTCCGAGTGCGTCCGAGATGCCGACGACGATTAGCTGACATGAGTCCCGAGTGTATATGGGGCCGGATCATGCAAGCAACACAGTCTAGCATCTGTCAAGGCCTTTCGATGATCTTCACTCCGGTTCTTGTATGAGCTCATCGGCCGTTCTCGCTATGTCGGCGGACCCGACACGGTCGCGGTGCTCGTATTCGTATAAATATGGGTCACCATCCGCCTTGAAGCTTCAGTATTCTACTCACATCGTTTACAAGTACTTCGCTACGACTCCCCCCTTCTAATCACCCTCTCTCCCTTCACCCCTCCCTCCGTCTAACGACTCGCGTCTGCAAAACACCCCAACGCGATGGCAGGGAACCAGGCAGTGAACCTCAACCCACCCGATGCCGCCGAGCATCTGGTCGCTCATGGCTCGGACTGGCTGTGGGCGGCATTCTCGTACATGGCGGTCTGCCTGTTCATCGCCTTCGGTCTGATGTTCAAGGTGGGCAGTGTCACGTCTCGCATGACCCGGGTGCTCACAACCGCTCGCGCGGACAGAGGCCTCGCGGTACTCGTCTGTTCCACCAGATTGCCGTCGTCATCCTTGCGACTTCCAGCCTCGCCTACTTTTCTATGGCCTCTGACCTTGGTGCGACTCCGATCCCGGTCGAGTTCCGCGGCGATGGCGGCGACCCGACGCGTCAGATCTGGGTACGACTTCCGTCTTCTGGTACGGCTTTCTCGCCCTAACCACTGCCCGACAGTATGTTCGGTACATCCAGTGGTTCATCAACTTCCCGCTTTTGCTCCTCGAGGTGCTCCTCACGACCGGCGTCCCGCTGTCCGACATACTCGTCACCCTGTTCATGTCGATCGTGCTCGTCGTGTGCGGCCTTGTGGGTGCTCTCGTCCACAGCACCTACAAGTGGGGGTACTACACGTTCGGCTGCACCGCACTGCTCTATATATGGTGTGTAGCATCTGTGGACACCTCACACCTCCTCGTTGCCGACCACTCTTGATTTACCAACAGGTACTCGCTGCTCTGGAACGCGCCTTCGACAACCCTCGCTGCTCGCGGCGTCGTGCACCGCGGCTACTACCTCTGCGCAGGGTTCTTCTCCTTCATGTTGATCACCTACCCCATTTGCTGGGCGTGCGCAGAGGGTGCCAACGTCATCTCCGTCACCTCCGAGATGGTGTGGTACGGCATCCTCGACTGCATCGCGGGCCCGCTGTTCCTGTTCCTGTTCCTATGGGAGATCCGTGGCATCGACTACAGCTCGTTCGGCTTCGGCTCATCCCAGTTTGTCGCCGGCGCTGGTGCAGTCCCTGGAAAGCGTCCTGTCGGCGAGCAGCAGGCGTGAAAGCGTATCATTCTTCTAGTTTCTTAATCTCACGTCCACCCCCTCCCCTTCTCCCTCACATAGGGTTCGATGACTGCAAATTTACGGCCTGCTACGAGCAAGTCTTCTGCCACCTATAATAACACGACCTTCGTTATGATACATCGTAGATTAGAGCCATGTTTAATAATGTACTTCTGTAATACTCTGTCGCGATTGACCCACCTTGGGCTCTGTAATCTACTTGTGTAATTAGCCAGACCGCCAGAAAGGCTGAGGTCCGACCCCGTGCGATATATCATAACCTAACATACAAACTGTGCTACACTCCGCCTGGGGCTTATCTCAGCGCAAACTCATGTCGATGAGCATCGCTCCGCCCAGAGTCCGCCCTGGGCGGAATTTGCGCGGTCATGTGATCCGCGTTTAAGCTCACAACGCGCCGTGCCCAGCTTGCCGTCCCAGCAATCATTTTTCCCCTTGCCATGACCAACTCTGATCATGGGTGCCTCCATAGGTCTGCATCAGTTCGAGTCGACAGTATTCTATAAAGCAGCCTAGTTGCGATTGAGGGAGGTTGCGTACAACATTATCATTGTCAACACCGTATCGAACATACTTGTGCCGCATAGGGAAAGTCGCCTGCTACTTATGGTCGCTTCAGCAAAAACACATTTTGTTAGGCACTACCAGGGTTCGAACCTGGGTTATGGGAAACCTTTTCCCTTGCTCAGATAAGCAAACGAAATCAAAATCCCAAGTGATAAACCACTACACTATAGTGCCATTGTGCACATTTCTTTTATGTTTGTATATGACGTTCCTTCGGCAGCTTTCACTGTGCCATCAATCTCTCTGCTTTGTACCTTGTACATCTCACCAGGCTTCATAATGCGATTTAAGCTGGTTTTTTTCTCCCCCGTGTCCTCCACACAGAACATAGTCCGACATCTATTCCAGCAGTTCCCGAACAACGTAGGACGGATTGGAGCATATGGCGGATGCGCCTTTGTAACCCGAGGAACAGGTGAGCTTGCAATACCGCCAGCCATTCATGCACTGTTTCCTGTCATCAATAACATGCCACTCACGCATAATTCTCCCTTTATCATTTCATGAGGACAATTCACGCCGCTGGAAGGCGCGAATCCCGCCATTGGAAAGGTGGGCGCTCCAGAAAGGGTAGAAGAAGATAGGGTGGAGGTACTCGTGCGGTCGGATTCTGACGACCGTACTGCAGTATCTCGTGTAATTGAAGAATTGAAAAAGGTAGCGTGCTTGTTGTTCGTTCGTGATGGCAAGGATGTGAATGCACATCAGGTTCACCCGTACGAAGAAGTCGCGTATGATGTCTACCGTCTAGAAGACTTTTGATACATGTATGCAAACATACGAACTTGCCCGCTGATTTCAGTGTGTGTATGCGTGTGCGCGTAGGTATTGGGTGAGTTGTTGCAACGTTATGACCGTGCAAACAGCGCATATACTCACCTCCAACTTGAAAGTCCATTAAATGTTGAGTCTCGCGGTCGGTAGTCGTCTCGACCCCCTCTATTTATTCATCTCACGATATAAGGAAATAAGACATTCTATAAATACATCCTGAGGTCGAGGTGATACACAGTGATACACGGGAATAACTGGTATGGGAAAGATATCGCTGACGGGCATGGCAAGGTGCGTGGAGGTAGTTTACAAGGGCAGGCGATTTGCTGAAGAGCCCATAGACGAGTGAATGCAACGTACCTGGAGGTTGAGACGTACATCAAGATTAGTACAGAATCGCTCGGCCTCGGCGCAATATGCTCACAAGCTATTGCAAGGCATATCTCAACCACTGACATATGTCGGTCAATGAGTCGGAACAAAGCTGTCAAATAATCGACATGAGCTACAACGAGTAGGTCATCGAAGAAGCTAAGTGCACGAACGTACGCATCGATCAAAGACGGCAATGATACGCCCTTCATCCGCATCGCTACCGCAGTGGATGCAATGATAGCGACCACGCCAGCCATGCTAAAAACCACCATGTAATCCTTTCGTGAGGTCGAGGAGTCGAAGGTAGGGTGCTCGATAACATCGAGTACGCGCATCGTAGCTCAAATGCAGGGCAGATGTGGTCGACGGGAAGGCAGCGGACTTACCCACGGCAATGTGCAAGTGGGAGGGGGAGTCACCAGGAGTCGCTACGGGACTTCCAAGATCGTGCCGATTATATAGTGATTGTCACCGACTTTATTGTGCACAGCGCTAGCGTCTACCAAAAGCTGCAAGTGGCGTACACGGGCGGCGCAGGGATTGAGTTCAACCCGGGTTGAGGAAACGCCCAGTAAAACCCGCGATGCCGGGGGTTTTTCTACAAATTGGCGCCGCCGGCTTTTATCTCATCTAACCCGGCATTGGGTCAAACCTGGGACAATCTGACGCGAGCTGCGCCAGGTTCAGTCCATGGGCCGGAACTTCCTGCCATTCCCCCACGACCCAATAATTCACACAATATTACTGATAAATAAAATATATTTCATCTATATTCTACGCACAGTCAACAAAACAGTGAGAACACAGCTATTCAGAGCTATAACACTACGCGACGAGGTATACTTGACCTCCCCCCTCCTCGCGCGCCGGTGTACGTGGAGTGTCTATGAACCCGCAATCGCATCAGTCACCGCTGTTTGTAAATTTGAATGACAAGCTCACCTTCGACCTCAATTGCTGCCCACTCCTTTCCCCTCACCCACAGCTGCCGCAGTCAGTATGTAAGAGTCGTCAGCAAGGGTTATTAGTATGTCAGTCTTGGTTAGTATGTCAGTACGTCAGTATTAGTTAGTCCGTCAGCGTTGGTTAGTCCGTCAGTGTTAGTAGTTAGTCCGTCAGTACTGTCAATGATATTAGTAGTGTGTCAGTATGTCAGTCTCAGTAGGTCCGTCTCGTCAGTGTCGTTAGTACACCATTATCAGCACCACCCTCGGCCATGAGAAAACAGACAAATACCTTCGGCCACACACTCCGCCGTTGACCTGTCGCAAGCATGGATGAGGGAGTTGAAGAAAAAAGACGACGCACCCATCCCGTGCGACAGATCGTCACACTGTGTCATAAGATCACATGTTTGTGATGCTCAGGCGCTCTCAGCCTGCCCTCTGGCCCGCTCACTCCGTTCCTCATGCAGGGGCTCCCCATCGCGTCGGATAGCGACGTGGGCTATACGGGGCTGGAACAGCGGATACCTGGGAGGGCGAGGATGGAGTGGTTTATATTGTGGTTTATGCCCCTATTATCCATACTATGTGACAAAGCGCCTGCCACCCCTATCTTTGCGCTGAGCGAGTCTTAGCGTCGACCTCATGCTGGCGGGGATTGGATTTGCGCTGACTCCTATCTTGAGGTGGCGTCGGCATCGGGGCGGATGGGCGAAGAGCCAGGTCGGACTCGGGGTGAACTTGAGGCGCGGTCTCCGGGTTTATCTGCGATCTCGTGACCCCGATCAGACCCAAGATAGTCTCTGGCAGTGTAGTGCAAGCTCGTGATTGCGCTAAACTGACCGCGCGGAGAGACCCCGGACACCGGCTCGGCCTCCCTGATCTCTGCTTCCAGCGGAGGATTCTGGTACGGTGAGCATTCTTCGATATGGCTTGTTCCTGAATGGTAGACCATTCGAATATCAGATATAATCGCAATAATACTGATCGCAGCGCCTGCAAACAGAAAGCTCCATTCTTGTTTCCCTTCCATATACACCCATTCTATCGGCCGCCCTCGCTCTCAATGTCGTATGAAAACCCTATTGCAAGCTGAGTGCTTCTATAGATGATCGTCTTGACAAATCATGGGGTTCATGCCGACGGAATCAGACTGACGCTATGCCTGTGTCCCAGTCGGATCTTCGCCGCCGGGCCAAGTTCGCTGTCGAGTCTCAAGAACTGACGAACCCGAACCGCTATCGAGATATCACACAGCTTTAAGCGTACTTCCGTATCACGTCTGGGCATGGCCTTAGCGTCTTGGATGACCGCTGTCAAGATTTAAGATCAATGCATCTGCCTCGCAGATTGTTCAGCCCCACGAGGCGTCTGGATCTCTGGTCGTTGCGGAGAGATCTTATCCAAAATGATGAGTAATGAGAGGTAATGAGGGCTGTCGAGCGGAGATCCTCGACTCGAGTATCCACACCTGGCCTTTTACTCGACGACGTGAATTACCCTGCAGAATCACTGCCCTGCGCTTATTGACATCATCATATGAATGACGACACAGAATGAGATCGGCCTACTTATGAAACGGCGGAATGAAACCTTAGACCCGAGACCCGGAACTATACCATTTATGTAAGTATACCTGTTGTCTTCGCGGACTGGTTCATGGCTGATGGTGGTTGTGTTATTGCTAGTGACCTCACGTCTTCGGAGTTAACTGACATTGTCATGACTCTAGTGTTCGTACAAGGGCGTCAGGTGAGGGACATTATACACATTGAGCGTCACAGTATCATAGTTGACTGAGCCCACACAACAGTGATCACCTCGGTCTTGACTTCGTTGCCACCTTAACAGTAGACAGCACGAGACTACAACGATGAAGGTGCTTGCTTTCGGAATGAGCAGTGAGGCTGTCAAGCTATGTCCTTTGGAAGATTCGAAGAGCCACTACCGGTAGCACATCAGTACAGCTTCTGTAGCATGCGCGTTCTCATTTCGTTCCCCAACTATACGGGTTCTAGTCATCAAACCTTCTACTGTTTTCGGACCAATGCATGACCACAATCCTTTACGCCGCTTGTCAGTTTCACCCACACCAAAGACGCAACCAAAGACACCCCTTCAAGCTTCATGAACTACGCAAACACGACTGAAACACCAAAACCCCGGTCCAAACTGCAACAACTACAACAATTCGGATCGAGACGGCTGGGCATGAGTCTGCCGTGTCATCTCGTGATAGACGCGCGCTGGTACGCACCGCCCAAACGGCCGCTGCAGCGTTGCGTGTTTGTTCTGTACAACCATGTCCGCACGACGCCAGCCGTCCACCACCTCTCTCTCGAAATATGCTCGCGCCAATACTCCAGAATTCTCAAACCGATCCCTTGACTTCTGCAACGCCTTCTGGGGCCTCGGTGATGGGGGCGTCGATGTCCTCTTCGCTCGTATGCGGGGTGCGATGCGCACAATGGAGGAGCTGCGAGGCTTTTGGAAGGAGAGGTGGGTCTATTCTCTGTGATTGTGTAACTTGTACTCAGTATGCCACCAGAGCCTCCATCGAGGAGCAGTACGCAAAGCGGCTCGCCACCCTCGCAAAGTCCACGCTTGGAAGGGATGAGATAGGGTTCGTGACATACGTTGTTACAGCGTCTAGCTACTTGATATATTCTCCAGGGAACTACGCGTATCGCTCGACACTCTCAAGCAAGAGACCGAAAAGCAGTCCGGGTATCATCTCATGGTCGCCCAACAGATCAAGACCGATCTTGAGGGACAGACGACTGCGTTCTGGAGCAAGCAGCAGCAGCACAAGAAGACGTTCCAGACTGCTATTGAGAAGGAGTTCAAGACGAAGCAGACGCAAGAGTCGTACGTTAACAAGGCACGCGAGAAGTACGAGGCGGATTGCGTGCGCATCAACTCGTACACGGCGCAGAGCACGTTGATGCAGGGCAAGGACCTGGAGAAGATCCAGCTGAAGCTGGAGCGGGCTCAGCAAACTGTCCAGGCGAACGAGCGCGATTTTGCAAACTTTGCCCGTGCACTGCAGGACACCGTACAAAAGTGGGAGATGGACTGGAAGACGTTCTGTGACAGCTGCCAAGATATGGAGGAGGAGCGCATGGAGTTCATGAAAGACAACATGTGGGCCTATGCGAATGCTGTATCGACGGTTTGTGTTGCAGACGATGAGGTGCGCCGGTGAATCCTTGCCGCGTTGGTGGCTGTTGCTCATCCTGCCTGCCAATCTAGTCCTGCGAGAAACTTCGGCTTGCGCTCGAGCAGGTTGAGCCCGAGCGCGACATGGAAAACTTCGTGCGCGACTACGGAACAGGCAGTGTCATCCCTGACCCTCCTGCATTCATCAACTACGCCAATCCCGACGCCGTGCCATCATCCTCGCAGCCTCCGCGCACAAGACCTGCTGATTTCGTCCGTTCGTCGCAACGCACACGCCCGGCTGCTCCGTCTCCCGCTCCTCAGGACGAAGATCTGGAGCCTGTGACCAACATTGCTGGAGTGGGCATGGGCGGCGGGCGTCGTGCAGATGCCACACCAGATCCACAGCTCCTCAACCGGGCGCAAAGCCGGAGTCGTGCGAGTCACCGGGGTGCGCCAGAAACAGCACAGCCGAATGGCGTTGCAGCGCGCTCGCACCAGCCCTCCATGGGAACACGTCCTGCAGATCCAACGGCAGACCCCATCGACCCGACTGCGAAGACGATGATCAAGATCGGCGAGAATGCGTATGAGGTCGATCTCTCGCGCGACCCGCAGGCACGCCAAGGTCCCGGCCACAGCTCGCATCATCGGGCGAATGGCTCGGCCAGCCCCGTAAAAGTGGGCCAGGAGGACGACCCACTGGCACGTCAGATGGAGGAGTTGAAAAGGCAGGCGCCAGGGCGCGGTGCAAGCGTCCGGCGGAGCGCACAGTGGCCATCACCGCAGCAAGCACCTATCCAGAATTCCCACTCGCCGTCGTCGAGTGTCTCGCCTACGAAGCGGGACTCTGCTGCGAACCTGTCGCCTCCGCCCGGTACGTCTGCGGACAGGGGGCGGCGGTCATCCCGTGACTATGGTCCGTCGGCGAACATGGTTGTGGGCGCGGCGCCCCCCATGGCGACGTCGCGTCCGACGTCCCCCAGCGCACCATATCCGAAGCATATGGTACCGCCGTCGCAGAGTTCGGCGGGACCCTCCGCGAACCTTCCGGTACAGGACATACTCGCGGACTACCAGCAGTCGTTCCCAGGCGAGCGCAAGTCGATCAGCAGACCGCCTAGCCAAGCCGGCAGCGTCTCTGGCATCCCCGGGCACGCCCCCAGCCTGAGCCAGAGCCACATTCAGCGTGAGCGGCCGCTGAGTATCAGCGGTCATGCGGGTATCGGTGCACAGGGCCGTAGCACCAGCCCCCAGCCATTTGCATCTGTATCGCGCAGCACAAGTCCTGCTGTACCACAAGCTGCCCCGCCTTCGTCTCATCGGAACAGCTATGTCAGGGTCCCCGCTCCGGCGGTCAACGGCCAAGGACACGGGCAGACGCCGTCGCAGTCCTCTATGCGGCAAAACACCATGAGCGTCCCGCAGCAAGCCCCTCACCAGCAGCGTCCTACGAGCCCGAACAGTGTCGGCATTGCGCTGGACCCTACCGGGCGTGTTGCAATGGACTCCATGGCGGAGACCTATGCCCACCGCCAACCTCAGCCACCATATGGTCAGCCAGTGCAGGCGCCGCCACCGCCAGCTGTCGTGACGCAGCCCACCCGGCAACCCACGTACACTGGGCAAAACGGCTATTCGCAACAGACAATGCCCTCTGCCAACGCGGCGCAACCTCCATATGGTGCCCCCATCTCTGCCGTCTCCGCCCCAGGCTATGGACAAGGGTACGGCGTGCCCCCTTCGCATCAGTCGCCCCCTTCGCAGCCAGTATACGGCTACCAGCCCCCATCTCAACAGCCACCACACCCCCAGCAGGTGTATCAACCGCAGCCACATGGCTACGCAGGCCACGCCGCCGGTAGTGTCGTGCGCGACCTACAGCGGGACGCGTCCGTGAATGGGTCAATGAACCAGTACTATGGCTTGACACAGCCTCAACAACATCAGCCGACGTATCGTGCGCCCAGTCCTGCGCGAGCGCCGTCTCCCCAGCCGCCTCTCAACCAACCGCCTCTCAACCAACCGCCTCTCAACCAACCGCCTCTCAACCAACCGCCTCCCAATCCCAACCAGCCGCCTCCTACTGGCCAGTACACGGAGGACGGACGAGGCGTGCTCTTCTATGGTAAACACCGTCATTGCGTTCAGATTGACTTCAAGAATGCTGACCCTTCCTCTACAGTCAAGGCCCTTTACGACTACCAAGCTACCATCGACGAGGAGTTCGACTTCCAATCTGGGGATATCATTGCCGTCACGGCGACACCTGAGGATGGCTGGTGGTCGGGCGAGCTGCTCGATGAAGCCAGACGACAACCAGGCAGACACGTATTCCCGAGCAACTTCGTCTGCTTGTTCTAAACACTCCTCCTGGATCTGTTGCGACAACACTCTCCTTATGCAGGCCGCTCCTTCTCGCAGGACGTTTATATTCCGGGTACCGCACTGGCCACGATTTTTTACGACGTATTCACTGGTTTCATTTTTCGGATATTTATACAAGTCGCTAGCTTGGATCTGCATTCGTTGCTTTATTTCATACCATCCCCTCATTCTTGCAGTCTCGCATTTTCTGTGCCCTGTGTGTACTCGCCGCTATCGCTTGTGTCTCACGTATGCAGATGCCTTCATGTTGAAATGGACTGACTGCTGTGCTTTGGCTGTTCTGATCTCTAATCTTGAACGCTGTCAAACGAGCCGTAGCACACTCAAGACCCTCTCACAGAGCGTCGGGATAGAAGGTAGGTGAAAAGTAATAGTATGTATCATATTGTAGATGCTGTCATCAAGGAACAGTGGACGGATGCCGTTACGTTGCTTGAGCAATAGAATAGATCACCGCGCCCAGCATATCGCAATGCCCAAGCTTGTGGCGCCATAGGGTTGAGATCTACTCGCTGAATAGTTATGGCATCTCGACGTCCTCCCAGCACCCATCCATGTTAGCGTGTTCGGTCCATGAGTTAACAAATGCTTTAAATCTAGGAGGCGAGACGAAGCCGTCCGGTTCAGCAGGTTTAGGGGAACGGCCGGTCGTTATACTAGCGATGCGATAGCACTCAACGCGCAGCTCCTGTGAATCAGTTGCAGAATTAGCTCATGGGTCCTGCTTGACACAATGCGCGGTGGCGACTTGCCTCGAAGCTGTGGTATACTTGAGATGGCATGCAGCTCACGCTCTGCATGACGTCCTTGTGGATCCGCTGCGGGCTAGGCGACGTCGCAGAGCTTGCTGCGGCATTACCTCGTGAATTGTCTCGCTGGTTGGGCAGAAAATCGACATCCGTCGTCATCGCCACATCCGAGTCGTCGGTGACTACGGCGCTCATGCGCGCCGTAATGTCGGCAATGCCTTGCTCCATCCACGCAGCAGTCGACGGGGGGGAACTCGAGCCTGCAGAGGCGCGGGACTCAGCGGCCTGCAAGCGGCGGCGCAGATGGGCATTTTGGCAGTAAGCAGTGCGGACAGGACGCTTGCCGGGAGACTGTTTCAGAGAAGGCATGGATACGAGATCAAAGCACCAGATGAGTTATTCAGAGGCAAGAAACGGTTATCTGGGGAGGACGAGGGACAAGAGACCGGTGGCCGAAGTGGGCTTTAATACTCTCGACACGACCCTGGCCACGCGAACGCGTCCCACAATGATGCATCGTGCTTGTACCATCGACATTATTGAGCCGCCACTGAGTGACAATCAATTCGCTCACTTACCGTGCGCAGGGGCACCCTTATATTTGCGCCTTCGTCGCCACCCAGAACTCCGCTTGATACAGCCAGCGCATCATCGCCTCGCGGTCAGCGGTGTATTCGCACTCTATTGTCCTCGGCCTGCAAGGGTTGTCCTCGCCTAAACCATCATGAATTATGAATCCCACCGTCTCAGCGAGCTGCAGCATCTCCTGCAAGCTCAGCTCGACTGCCGCTTGGCCCCCGCCGGTCCAGAGAAGGGGCCCCAGGTTGATCCAGGTCCCGCCCGGTCGTAGGAGCGCGTATATGTGTTCTATAGTCTGGATTGCATTCAGCGAGGTGTCGATGAAGAAGAGCGTGACAATGTAGTCGTAGCCATCATCGGCGCCTTCGTGGTGGAGTGGCGCGGGTAGCGGCGGACGCAAGCTGAGAAAGTCGCACTCCGCGAGGTGCAACTTCCCCGACAGCCGGGGCGTCACGTCGGGGAAGGCGACGGTGCGGAATAGGACGTCGTTGGTTCGCTGGTGCGAGAACCAGCTTGCGTAGGGCTGAAGGACATGCTGGTTGGCGTGCTGTGTCGTCTCTTCAGAAAGCAGGAAACGGAAGGCGGTGTTCATGAAGAATGAAAGCTCGTTGGCCGTCGTGTCAAATCCTGAGATATAACTTTAAGAGTCGCTCTATCAGTGCATGCTTCAAACACGCGACACGCACCCAATTGTGATATCTCCCAGGCCAACCGGCCTAAGCCAGAGCCAGGGACGAGTACCTTTGTCGATGCTCGTTGCTCACTTGTGACTTGCTTGAGAACATTCAGGACAGGTCCGAATATCCTGGTGCGTTCGTGCTGGCCCTCCACACTCCAATCTCGCACAAAGTGCTTCAGCGACTCGCGTACCCTGCCCAGATCGCCGTGGTTATCTGAGACATCTTCACCACCAGTGGAGGAAAACTGCTTCCGAGCAAGACCGGCGATTCCAGCGGTCACCCTAGCATTCAGCAGAATGCTTTGTTGCAGCCTATCTAGCTTCTCAGGGTATCCAAGCTTTTGTGCTATGCGCTTGTGCGCACGGCCGAGCCTTTCATAGGAGGATCGCATGACCGCAAGCTCTGCCTGCGAAAGTCGGACATATTGTTCGTATGATAGAGTTGCCCTCTCGAGTGAGAAGTGCTTCGGCGTCGAGCGATTCCCTCGAAAAACGGCAGAGAGAATGTTGCGCAGCTCTGCAAAAGACGGTGTTCCCACTAGCTTCAGACTGACGAAAGACAGAACTATGGGCAAAAGGCAAGCAAGAAAAGCGTCAGAGACGAGCAAGCGGACCAAGTTGTCATACATGTGCATATGTCTGTAGTAGCAAGGCGCACATGCATCTTGCTCTTTACTTATTTAGCAGTCATTTGAACTCCGATGATTACCTTCGTTATCACTAACCTTTACAAGCTTTTTGCAAGATTTCGAGCTTTGTTTATGCTACAAGGGGCTACAGACAAGCGCTGCTCGTTGTCGACGCTGCAAGATGACCGACAACTTGTACCTGAACACATGTGCATGCTTGTCGATTCTGTGCTCCAATAACTAGATGAAGAAGTGAGGAAGCCGCGTGTTCAATTGCAACTGTACTGCTAGGTACATTTAGCGGGCGTACGTCGGCCGTGGTACTGCAGAAGACGTTCGATAACGAGTACAACGAGGTAATGATTCTGGCCACATCAGACAGCACATGCCGTCGTCACGCCTTGCTTTAAATTGGCAAGGCATTGTGCTCGATGACAGGCCTGTCAGAGTATGCGGACGCAGCCCAATACTGCGGCCACTTCCACTTGATTATCGTTTCGAAGCGTGACACACATGTGGCGTAATCGCGGCTTCGTGCGTTATCTAGTGGACACAAGTACTGTTCGTCTCACTACCGCTTATTGAGTAACGTCATCGCGCTCGTCTAGGCGTACTAATACGCAAACAAGCGTATTGATCTACTGAAACAGATCTCTGGCCTGCCAAGGATATTTATCATCGTCGCTGTCCACAACATGTTCACTTCAGTTCCACGTTTGTATCTACATTTCTATTGTGATGTTGTATTGCAAGTGTGTGTACCGATGACATGCGCAGAGAAGCCAGGTAATGCAAGAAGCGGTATCAGGAAGCTGACGCAATCCATCCGAGCCGACATGGTATCATGGTATCGTAACGTGGAGAGCCAACGCATGGGAAAAGTAGCGATGCAAGACAGCTAGAACCGGAGCCGTGAGTGCGAGCCGCGAGCAGTGAGACCACCGAATGACATGGGAAGGAAGTGAGCCCGAACGCGAGGCGGGAGAAGACGTGGAGCGTATGTACGGTCATGAAGGCGAGATTAGTAATTGTCTATTTGTCAAAGTCTACCGGGTTCCCGAGATGGTGGTGGTACATGAAAAGGAGCCGTCAAGAGTAGGACTCCATCACCTGCGACTGCGGTCGCGTCACCGGCGGTGTGACGGTGTAGATGCTGGGATCCTTGTACATACTGTCGCGGTACGTACTGTCGCGGTACATGCTATCGCGTAACACGCTGTCGCGGTAGAAGCTGTGCGTCCGGCATACCTCCTGCACCGCAATAGCGGGCTGGGCTTTCTCCTCGCCAGACTTGGCCGGCCGTGGCAGAGGCCTCGTCTTGTACTGTTCATTTATATCCCTCTCGGGCACGATATACGACTGGGGGAATGCTCGATGTTGCGCGTATGCGAGAAGTGGCCTGCACAGAAGAACGGGGCCTTAATTGGCAGTCCAAGCGTGAAACAAAACAGGGCTTACACAACACCCAAAGTGACCGCGAGGATGATGATGGTCGACGTTCCCGGCTTCCAACCCTTGTACACAAGATCCTAGCAAAGCCGTGAGTACAGGGCATCATGCGAACCCGAATCAGCATACCAGGTAGTGGGCCTTGTTGCGGTCGCACAGCAGGCGGAGCCCAAAGCTCATGCCCGCCTGCTTGTTGATGATAAGGTCGACACCAAGGCCGATGAAGAAGGTGCCGACGGAAGCGGACGCAATGGCCTTCATCGCATTCTAAGTGGATAGTCCACACGAAGATGTGCACCACGGGCTCGACATACCACTGCAATCCGCTCATAGTATGGAACCAGCACGACATTCATCAGGGCGAAGGCCGTCCCGATCAGCCAATCCCCGTAGACTTCGCGAACGAGAAGGTCCGACCGGAAGAGACAGATACGGGCACCCCATGAGAAACCGCTTGCGATGGTGATGAGGATCACTCCCGACAGGCGGCCGTACGGGAACAGCCCGAAGATGAAACCCGGCACGAAGAGACAGACAGGGACGAGCGTGAGCACCAGGTCGTGCAGACTCTTGGAGGACTCTGTGTTGATCATCGCGGCCCATACTAGACAGCACCTCGTCAGGAATCACCGCAAAGGCTAGCAATAGCACGACATAACACTTACCACACGCTGTAGCTGTAATGCCTATAGCCGCCCCATTGGTGACCCGAGGGAACTTAATCCCGGTGAATGCCAGCGATGCGCCTATCGCAAAGCAATACACGAGCCAGATAATGGCTGTTGCGGAGAAATTAGTGCCGCTGCCGTCTGACACTGATCCTTGGGCGATCGACGCGCCGCTGGATGGGTCGATGACCTTGATCGTGCCATTGTTGTAGTTATTGACCTGCAGCCCTCGTGCTGACAGGGTGTGTAGAGGCGGTGTCAAGACCGGGGATCCGCGAGCAGATTCAGAGATGGCGAGGAAGAGCCATGGCAGAGAATGAAGCAGGCGGGCTGCAGCGGCCATTGCAGACGTTCCCTAAACAGAGCGGAGGACCTGGTGGTCGCTCTGAAGGATCGAGCGATCTCTGCCGGGTAGAAAAAGGAGGGAAAATCCGGAGTGAGGGCCTTCCTCCGGCGGGTGATAAGATAACGAGCGACAAGTGAAACGAGCGACTGGAAGGTGTCTGAGAGAAGGAACCGAAATTGACGCATCGAAATAGTGAAGAAAATGTCGGGTAGATATTTTGGACATCAGAACTAGTACCTCGAGGCTCGGATATCGCGGCTGTCGCGCTAACGACGCGATATACCCTCCGATCATGTGACCGCATTGCCGCGTCGATCGTTCGTAAATAGGTGTTATTCTTCGACATTTGTAGGCTTGCCCGCTGCTGAATACGAGAAGAATGCAGCGGCGATGTTTTAGTTTGATAGCCCACCAACGTACGCAGGACTTGGAAGGGAAGTCCAATAGAGAGCTAAGTACTCTATCACGGCGTTCCCGAGAACCGCGATAGGCCTAGGTGATGCATCAGGATAGTTCACAGCCAACTCGGTGGCGTATTCTGTCGCATGTGGTATGGTTTACATCGCCCGAGGAGACTATCTGAGACTCACTGTTTCGGATGTAGCTTCGGATATGATATCAGGACTTATTGTGTGACACTCCTGTGAAGTCGGGGTCTCTTCACTGGAGTAGGAACGTGTGTACCTCAATTAAGTGCCGACATGCGTGTACTCCCGACAATCGTCTCGAATAGACTTACGATAAGACGGGAGGTCCGTGCTATCGTGCGTAATTGCTTGAGAGTCGCTCCCAACCATCGTGTTAGACCCCCAGTGGACTGCTGTGAACTGCATTCAAAGGGGGGCGTTTCACAAGGCGGACAAGCTGCCTGCACATTGCACAGGGAAAGGTATTGCATAAAGTTTTCAACCCGCGGTGCCTCCTGCAGGCTCGAGGAACGTTTGCCACGGTACGTGACTCGACGCGCCGTGTCACTGCGTCACGCGTTGACCACCGTGACTGGCGTTCGTCGTCCATTCCATCTCGATTCAAGCCTACGCGCCAGGAACGTGTCTACAAAGAAACGCGTCTCTGATATTGAATCAGCGCCGCAAACACGTACAAGCATTTCATTACATCACCTATTCTGCAACTATACGTACTGGCTTTCAGCCTCGGTGAAGGTAACTTACTTTTGAGTCCGCGATTGTCTCAGAGGGTAGGAATCGCAAGCTGTAACGAATTTATTGCTACAATGACTCAGTACGTCATCTCGACCTGATACGCGGCGATCACTGATGACCCGCTAGACCAGAGTCAACCCAAATCCTTGCCTCTATGATACGGACCCTCGGGGGTCCTCGCTTTTCCCCAGGAGATTTTGAATGGGCCACTTCTCTTCCCGCGGGGAAGGATCTCATAGATTGGCTTGCATCCCAAGCGACAACAGAAGCATCTGAAGGGCATGCCGGCATCAACTCCACCGTGGCATTGCAGTCAATTGCACTGCATGAGGCAGAGATTAAAGAGTATGTATGCGTTCTTGATGACGCCATTTGTTCTCAACGTGCATGTGTAGCACACAGATCGCAGAGAAAGCAGGCATCATAGCTGACACCGACCGGATTGACACAGCGACTATCCCTTCGACGTTCCAAACTGTGGCCTCACTACGGCAAGTTGGCCCTTTTATTGCAATAAGAACAATTAAGCTCATGTGCCACCATTAGCTCTCGACGTGAACAGGCCCTATCTGAGTCAGAGCTCCTGGAAACTGAGACAGCCATGCTCAGACATCGCCTTGAGAGTGTCAAGTCAGTTCATTCCATCTCGCAGCTCTCATTCCTCTAATGTAGCTCGTAGAATTGCATCCAAAGAGATGGCGCATACAGTGAAGACGCTCAAGGCTTCTATGAATGGCCTTGACGATCAAATGCGCCGCGGCGAAGAGCGCCTAGGAGATATCTCAATCCAGGTTTGAGGCCCCTTCGATTCAGCCTTGTGATTCTGCGCTCAGTGTATCTAGGTCGATACAGCACTCTCAGGTTCGGTGAACGCGGCATCGAGGCTGCTAAGTGCTGCGGATTCCGGTAAGCAGTGCACTCGGACATACCATTGAAGCGACCCTCATCCTCGCGATGATGCACCTGACAAATGCTGTCGCAGATCGAGAAAAAGCTGGCGCATACCTCAAAGCGTGCAGCGCCCGTCTGGCCGAAATGACTGAACTTCGCGCACAAATTGCCGGGATCGCGAAAGAGCGCTTCCATGAACTCGCCGCCGCCGATCGATCAATCCCTACTGCTCTCGAAGTACAGCGAGAGGCGGAGCGGTTGCATCAGCAGCTGAACATCATCGAATCACCCTCCGGTTCCGAGCTGTGGCCAGAGACGGCAGATTTGGAAGCTCAGCTCTTTTGCGCAGAGATGGACGGAATAGCTCATCAGCTTATGTCTCTGTCTGAGGACGTAGAGAAAGATCAGGCTGTCTCGGACATCCTGGCCACAATGGAGGCAAAGCACGATGCGTCTACTGCTTCTGCCGACGTCGATCTTGTGCAGGAACTTACGCGGGCTTGGAACTCAGATCAAATGAAATCAATGACTGCTCGGGAGCGAGTCGTCGACGAGGTTCGCAAGGCTTCCTGGAATGACTGCGCAGACGCTAACAGTCTCCATGTCAGACCACGAATATGTTCTCGCAATGCTTGCTTCCGCCTCTTGATACCTTACACGCGCATCTTTTGGCATCCAAAGGGCATGCGTTCGAAATCGAAGCACTTGTCAGCGCTCTTGTAGAGGAGCTTGAAGAAGTCGTCGATGACGTCACTTCTATCAGAGATAGCGCCTGCAAGGATAAGTCCCTTCAGCCGCAAGCGCTGCTGGAGGATGAGCTACGCGATGAGCTGAAACAGCTGCAGAGTAAGTCTTCCAAAAGGCGTGTTTATTTGCGACTGATCGTTTCGATAGGTATTAGGCCCTCGGATGCGGGCCCGCTTGTCCTGTTGGACGACGCAGATCTCAGCAAAGAACTTGCGTCGATACCCGAATGGCTATCCCATGCAGAAGATGCTGAAAGGGAATGGGTTGTGTCTCTCTTGGACCGACTGTCCTCTCTGTAAGTACTCCTCAACCAAGAGGCACCTTTTCTGATATGGGGACAGGACGCACAACCGCGCTTCTCTACTCTCCACTATCTATGCTAATTCGCCTGTCACGACGTCTCCTCCATTCCTGCCCTCCGCCACACAGCAGAAACTCGAGGATGATCTGCGAAGAAGAGTAGAGCAGCTGAGCAACTTGACAATCCGACTAGAGGTGCGTAACCTACTGCGATACTTCATATGCTATTTCGTTCATGCGTGTGTCGATGTGGCTTCTTACAGGGATCGCGGATGACCGATCGAGATGAACGAAAGTTGGATGCCTTTCTAGAAAAATGGGCTCGAACGTAAGACATTCAACTCAATTTATCGCTATGATATCGGACTTTACACCGATGCAACTCAACGAAATGCCTCAGATCACGCTAAGGTGTACGCAGAGAACACCCGCCTGAAGTATGCTAACACACCGCCTAAGCTAAAGACGATTCCCCCAATTACCCCGTCAGGTCTCACAATGATCACAGTCAACCTGGCCTTGTCACACGCATAATTGCCGTAGGCGTGTCCGCTGACGTCCAGCAACATGACATCCGCTACCTCGAGGTGCTTAGCTCCCACCGTCCCCGCGGGGTATATCATCGCTGTTTGTAGGGCATGCGGCGGATATTGCCTCAGTTTCTGGACGATCGGGGTTACTTCGTCGACTTGACCAGCAAAGAACAGAACGGTATGGTGAGAGGGACCAAATACTCGGAAGAGCGACACCGTTGCGTCATTGACACTCCCGTCAGGTTGGGTCTTGACATTCAGCGGCAACAGCCCAGGTGCGTCAGGCGCACGGTCGCCCGCTCGCACAGTCGTTGTATTGTTGCGCAGTGCGCCGTATGGATCCAGCGGACGATGTACGGCGTGCTGGTCAGCGTTGTCAGTACGCTCGTCGATCACGATCGAGCTCCAGCGATAGTTCACGCCGAGCTGCTTGAGCTCGCCTCCTCTGTTCCATGCGTCACTGCTTCCAGGGTCGCTCCTAGGGGTACCAACGGTCTTGTTCAGGATTGCAGTGGTTTTCTGGAGCATAGCGGCGACGACCGGAACCCGCTCCTCGGTATACGTCGAAAGCAGTGCAGGGCTCGCGAGTCCCTTCTCGACCAGAGCGAGCTTCCAACCGAGATTGAACTGTAAATGTTGGTCAGCCGACCGAGAGATGCAGTACTGGCAGCCACAAACTCACGGAGTCCTGGATCCCTGAATTGAGACCCTGAATTATAGAGACTCTCAGTCCCGTGCGTGACTGATTGGCCGGTAAGAAGCTTCATACCTGAGCACCAAACGGGCTGTGAATATGGGCAGCATCTGATATTAGAACAAACCCGGGATCGTCATTATGTGGCAAATGCATGCCAATAAGACCTACCTCCTGCCACGAAACCTCGCCCTTCGTCCATCTTCTCTACCATCCTGATGTTGGGTCTGTCGACTCATCAGCCTGATGATGCCATACTTGTGGGATTAGTTGATTCACCTGAACTCTGATATCCATCTGACCGCGCCAAAGACGATGTCTGTACGATCTGTCCCCGAACGTAGGACCTTGATCAACTCCTCGCGGTCTGCGGCAACCCTTGCATAATCGAATTGTCCTCCGAGGAAAAGCGCGAAGATGCCTTCGTCCTCGCAAGGCCGCAGCATGACTCTGTATGTGACGCGTGCTTAAATTATCTCATGATCCGGTATAGATGCTGGAGTTGCTTACAATATCGTCGACATATTTCCCCAAAAATGCCAATGCTAACGCTTAATGAGAACACGGACCGGTAGAGCTTTAAAAGGCAGCTTACATCACCGTCTAGGCCTTCCACGTAAAGGTCCCCGATGAGCAAACGCACATCTTCCCTGGTTTCGCCAAGAAATGACAGCCCTAGCTGCTTACGGACAACGCCTAATATGATGGTATCGTCTATCTCAGACTCCTGAGTATGAGCAGATAATTTATTTGCTCACCCCTGGCCCCGTCGCAGCCTACGATCCACCGAGCTAGGACTGTCTCAAGCTGCTCTCCTTCGGCTGTCCTCTTGACAATCTGTGCTTCCACATGGTCGGCATGCTGCTTGAAACTGCGCAGCTCTGCATTGCGCTCGACATGACAGCCGTCGTTGGCCAAATGGCGGAGGAGGATCGCATCTGAGTTCGCCTGGCCAAGAGGGACAATATTCGGCTGGGATTGATACCGGTCAACACGTCACATTGGCCTGTATTACCGGAATCACGCACGAATGGGGTGGAAGGCGTAGGCGCAGTGGGTTCATCCATCCAGAACGTCTCGACTGCTTCTGTTCCACCAGGTAACTTGTACACACGATTGCGCATCAGTCGATAGGCCTTTGCTAACACGTCTGGTAACACGCCCAGGTAGTGATATAGTTCGAGCGAGCGCGGCTGGTGGTTATGCCTTTGAGTCATCCGCTGCTTGTAGCCATACAGGCATGTTGTGCGCACCATGATCCCGGCACCGCGCTGCCCAATGCGAGGATTTTCCTCCTTGTCGATGATTCGGAAAGATATGCCATTCCTCAGCAGGGTTAACGCAAGAACTAGTCCCACGGGTCCCGAGCCCACCTGCCAAGGTAGCTTGTTAATAGCTGGCGGGCACAGGAAGGTCTAATGCTTACTATCAAGACGGGCGTAATAGACTTCTCAGTCATTTATAGAGGATACGATGACGAGGCACGGCTAGTGAATTGATTGTGACCTGGGGTATTTAAGCGAATGCTAGCGCCAAACCGTATGTTTTCAAGGAGAGACGGCAGATCAAAAAGGGTTGCATGAGAACTCTATCCGTACGTATTCCCAGGTCAACGCAGATGACCGCCCGCCGAATGTCCACGAGGTCATGGAGAGTCGGAGAGTCGAGGTTACTGCAACAAATGTCGTTTCATAGTATTGCTTGCATCTGTCGTTTTATGATACTGCTTGCATCTCAAATTCGACAAGAACATACTGGAGAACGAGTGAGCTCTAAACAGATATACTTGTACGGATCCCGACTCCGTTTCCACATACCAGAATTTCAAATCGATGTTGAGACGTTCTCCCAAGCGCTGGACTTCGACCATTGTGACTGCCGCCGTATGAAATGCGACTGTCGTGATTGACTTTCGAAGTCATGTCAATACTGCGGTATATGATAACGAGAGAAGCTAGTCTCAGTGTACTAATTGATTGAACGGTACTAATTGATTGGACGGTAGCCTGAAATGCGAAATCGGGAGACCTGCCCCTACAGCTAGCAAGAAGGGTGCAGCACAACCAGAAGACATCCCTGATGGGTCGAGCGAATTGGCGTCATTATGGGCTCGCAGATACAAGCAAGCTGGCACTAGCGACAGGTTGCTTTGTTGCCAAATCATCAATCATGACACGAGATAGAACATGATAGATGATAGCACCGAGGGCCTAGACAGTTTGCAGACAGATATGGACCCGTTGTATTGCTCCGTGCCGTTTTGCAAGACGTTATCGACATGTGACGAACAAGTACGGAGATTTATAAAAGTTAGAATAACGACGTTTGAGCCATCGAGGAAAGAAGAAAACAATGTCTGCAGCGCTCGATCTCAGATTGTGCATTTACGTGATCTGACGCCAGGCGTGATCAGCGTTTCGGCTTTGACCAGCTTTAACTGACTCGGGCTGCCCTCATGCGGCTGTAACCCTGTCTAATCGACACGCGTCTCGACTTTCAAAACTGGAAAATCCAACACGTTTGCCATAATGTCTCACAAACAAATAAATAAGAGTGCACAACTATGAATGTGCTTCTTCTACCCATCCATTCTCAGCGAACACTCTGACCCTATGCCACGATCCTCGTGCTGGAACTGCTGAGCGTATGCTATGGGCCATCGTCAATCACGGGCGGCCTGGTACGGATGAGGACGACGCCACCACTAGCCACAACACAAAAGCGAGCCGAAACAGGCCGAACGCCCACGGCGCGAGACCGACGAAGGGTCCGCGATAAGCGATGACCGTGGACCGACGACGGCGATGTCGTACCCGACAGCACCACCGACACAAGCACCGCACGTCTGGTACACCGCTACAATGATCTCAATGCGTGAGGCTGCTAGGTCTGCGTCGCTTGCATCATGCATACCGCTTCGCGAAGAGGAAGCGGAAGCTCACCGCATCTCGATTGCATGTGGCAGAGTGGAACACATTAATACGTATCACACAACACATAATCGTAATCATAGCATGTATTCAGACCACTGCTAAATACAATTTTGTCCGCTGCCTAGCGCATGAACCACAACCCGGCGAATAGCTTAGTACACGTAGCCGAGGAGCTTGCCACCAATATTCTTGCGACGCGCCTCCTCGTGGTCAAGAATACCAGACGACGTGGTCTAACAAGAGATTATGAGAAGACCATAAACGGAACAGCTTGGTACAAACGCTTACGAGGATAATGAAACCGAACCCACGAGCCGGGAGAAGCAAGTTCACCCAGGCCTCGATCTGGGGAACCTGGACATTGTAGCGGGGCGAGATCACACCAGTCTTGTTCAGACGGCCGTTGAGCTGGATGACAATCTTGCCCGATCGGTGGTCGTCCACAATCTCGAACTCGCCAATGTAACCTGAAGGAACAATAGTCAGTTAACTGCTTCTGTGCAAATCCTCCATCGGAATCGAATCTCGGGAAATCGAATGTAGTCTCTGCGGTGAACCTATTCCCCTATGTAGGAAGGAAGAGGTTGTTTTGGTTTTCGAGAGCATTGCTGTATCGGAACGTTAAAACAATCAACCGGTGGAGGCGAGTCCGCGTCGATTGTAGTTATCATTCCGAATATGGAAAGGAAACATGAAGCGGAGGTAATGTAGCAAATCTCACCATGTCGCTGCATGACACTGAGGAACTTGACGATAACCTTGGACGAGGGACGAACGAGCACTTGACGCTTGCCACGACGCTCAGCGTTGACAATGTTGTTCTGCAGACGGTAAATTAATGACCGATCGAAATTGCGAGACAAACTGCAGACTTACCAGGCAGTCATTCTGCATTCGCCCATGGGTTGGAAATGAGCCATATAGAATATGAAGATGAAGATGATGCACGCACCAGGACAGATACTCGGACCATTTTGACGAAAGAATAAAGACCGGCGTAAGAACGAGATTTCACTATAACACAGACACAATCCAGAGTAAGCTACCTGCTCGTCCGAGTGTCGTGCTATGAAAAGCACGAGTCAAGACGAGCCGCGAGTAATCACCTGAAGAGTCTTGAGGAGAGCGGCGGCAGCGACGAGGGCAGCGACGAGTGGGTGTCTACAGCAATAGGGTGCGGGGGAACGCGAGGGTGGCTGCCGCAACTGTACAGGACCACTGTCTCCGGCATTTTCCGAAGCGAGCCGGATCGAACGAAGAGCGAACCGAATCGAGTCGCTTTTACCCGAATAGTAAAATCTGAGTGTTGCAGTGTTTCGGAAACCGAGTGCTCTGCCGGACAACATATACGCCCGCATTCATACAAAACAGTTCATCCATTCCATCTCTTACTTTTGATGTCGATGAGTTATCAATTGAATCTACTCTTCTGAATTGAACACATCTGGAGTGGCTATTTCCAAAGCTGATTTGCCGGCAGACGGCCAAGTTTAGCAGATAAAACGCACAGCTCTGTCCTGCGGCTTGAGAGGTCTTTGTCCCCGCAGATTCATGCACAGAACAGCGCAAGCGTGAAGCCGATATCCAAACCAGACGCGCTCAGGACAAGGCTCCTAGGGCAGACTGCGATGACTACTGATCGACTGGATCTTCATGCAGGGCGCAGCGAACCCCAAGTGTTGTCCCTCCTCCGAAAAGAGTCGCTTGATTTATACAATCGTCTCCATTCAATTCAAGAGGATGTTGATTTCGTAAAGGAAGTGTGCGCAGCGTATTCACATCTCCCGGTATTACGTGAGGAAGTCTTCTCAGGGACTGCAGGGAAGTAACTAATGGTCTCGGACCACCTCCTTTAGCAAATCTACGCTGTGGCGCCTGGTATGTTGACCCCGCCACGGTAAGTGTTCAGCCACGCAGTGTTTGTGGGCTAAGAATGTGATTCCTTTCGCAGGCGAGGGAAGAGCCCGCGTATTTCAAATCTACAGACGGGCATTTTGGTAATTGGAGTTTCAATTTGAGGCGGCCGAATTTGCATCTGCTATCCATCGTAGTCGCCGAAGGAGGGTCAGACCCAGTCTCTTTGTCTATATTTTCCGTATTAAGTCCCTTTACGCAGGCTCATTTTGGTTGACTCTACACGGGCAGGAAAGCGGATTCCCGACGCACTGTCGAAGACCGTGCCCATTTGGTGCGCGGTAGTCAACCGCGCAGTTCGACGGAAATACCCCAGTCTAGAGAAAGCGGAATGGGACACGCGACTATACTGCCCGCCCGGTGTAGTGAGCACCCAGGAGCAGGCTCAAATAGAAGCGCGGCTAGACGAATGGGCCAATTCACTTCTCGTATGGCGTCCTCTATTTCGGATATTGTGCTTGCATTCACAGGACTCTAGGATTCTGCTTATATCCTATCCGATCTTCAGTATCCTCTACGGCCTCTCTGGGTCACGCCCTCAACTTCGCGCTTCCCCCAGCTGATGGCGGACGAACAGACTTTCTACCCGGTTATCTGCGTGTCAGCGTCCAAGCAAGTCGATGGCGCTGAGCGGCGGCCCAACGGCTTCGCGTACGTCCAAGGCTCCGGGGACGATCACGAGTTGTGGGGCATGGTCAGTCCCTCGTTGCGGACATGAGAGACAATTCAATTGAACCCTTCAGATAACTAGGACCTCACGCCTCAGGTTTTCTGGGAAAACAAGGACGTGCTGCTGAAGGCCGACCGAGGCGAGCTCCCGGACCTCGTCAAGCGCCTCATCTCTGCCTCCGGCGGCCGTGTTCATGATGACCAGTGGAACCCGACGCCCATCTCACACGTCGGGAGGCTTATCTACTTATGTGCCATACCCGACATCCCTCCCCTGCTCCCCCGCCAGCTACCCAACCAAACGGATACCGTCGCATATGTTCTGGTCTCTGCGAGTGCGCTTCCGACAACCACTCCGCATACCAGCCTGTCGCAAGCGACGAGTGATATGATGTTACAACTGCACTTGGCCGAGGGTAAGATAGATCAGATCCAGTTCCTCCAACGGGTCCTTCCTCAGGCGGTCTCGTTCATTGGATCCATGCTTGCAAATGGTCATGCCGTCTGCATCTGTTGCGACACGGGGAAAGACGTAAGTGTCGGCGTCGCATTAGCGGCGCTCCAGCTCTTCTTCGACGACGCCGGAAACTACGTCGCGACGCCCGAACGCCAAAGGGTGCTGAGTACGTCAAATTTGGTTCATTGTCAATTGCTCGGGTATCAAATATCGCGGTGTAGGAAATACAGCAAGCAAACAGTCCGTCGCGAAACGTCTACAGTGGATTATCTCTAGCAGGCCGCAGGCCAACCCATCCCGAGCTGTCTTGAAGCGAGTCAACGAGTACATTCTCACCTCGCCCTCCTTCCGCCGGCATCGTGGGGACGACTAGCGGCATGTTGTTGTTGGTCAATCATTCGTGCGGTAAGCGCCATCAGCTTCGTTTCTTCGTAACGCCCTTGAAAGCATCTTTGCTGTAGAGCACGAGTTTGAACGCACGCTGGACGTCTGGGTGGTAAGTAGAGGGGATTGCTAGATATGTCCCAGGTTGCAGGGCGACCTGAGGAGTGACTACGCCTGCGACACTGTCGGAATACGGTCCTGAAGTCGTGACGAGCATCAGACCAGTCGCTGTCTGGTGGAATATGGATACGTTGACGGCAGCGGGCGGGGCAGTCTGTACCAATTGAAGTCGAAATCTAGAAGTAGCATGTTAGTCGGAGTACTGTAATAATGTCTGATGTATCTCTAACTGACTTCACTTGAGTGGCCGATTCGACTTGAAACTCGTAGGCAGGGTTCGTCGCATATCTCTTGAAGTTGGGACCGCCACCCGCGGTGCCTTCGGACCTGCTGACTATCAGCGAACGGGTAAATGCACCATGTCTTGCCACTCACCATGCGTCCCGAATCACTTTACTAAACATGCCAGCACCTTCTTGTGGAATCGGCGTCAGCTCGAACCTCAGCGGGCTCTCTACATGTAGCTGGAATTCGCCCAGATGCCGCGGCTCAAAAGCGGATACAACAAGTGTATAGTCGCCAGCTGGGCGCAACGGTCGTGAGCAGGACAATGCAGATGAAACCGCTTGCATACCAGTCAGCTCTCGGTAGCAATGCGCGTATCCGTAGCTATACGGCCCCGACGAGGCAGCGACCTCATTATGTCCCAGCCTGTACAACAATCAGCTCATGAACGCCGCAAGGTGCCGAATCGACGTACTCGGTGACTCGTTCTCCTTGCGACCACACTAAGGAGGCGTTCATCGGTACATCCCGCGGGCCCTGCACAATGAGAGACGTGGGGGCCTTGACATTCGCACTTGTTGCGTTCGGTGTGGGATCGTGTATCCGCAGGTGGTATTGGGGGTTGTCCATGAAGGTGGGATAGTGATGATTCCCTCCCGCGGTCTTGGCGTTGAAGGTGCCCTCGATCTCCAAAAACATCAGCCGTATCCCCGAACGTATCGATCTGGATAGAGCTACCTCTTTCACGTACAACGCCTTGGGGGGATCTTCGATCCATGTTATATCACAGTTTGCATATGCGCTGATGGTGAAGCCGACCTCACTGAACTCGCCGTCGTACGCAGCCACTAAATGCAAGATGCCGTCTGACGGCATCACTTGCGTCCGCACCTGCGAAGGTGACATCTTAGCCGAATACCAAGTCTGTCAGAAGAACACACCAAGTGATGAATGCTATTCGAGTATTCGCCCTGAAGGAGTCTTTAAACAAACACAGGACTCTCAGTAATTTAAGACTCGCACCTTCAGTGCCAGCGCTGCAGCATCGATGGGGGCACGACCCGAAGCGCCCTCGCTACTCACGAATAGAGAGGTGAACTCCGACTTGCGCCCCGTCTCCTTCACGTGTCGGGCAAGGAGGACCCATACAGCTTGGCCCCCGCGTGCGGACTGCTCGCCATTCACCCGTAGCTGTAGATGGAAGAATGACGCTAAAAGGCATTGACGTTCATGAATACACCGGAGAAAATAACATTGCCTACAATGTCGAGGCCCTTCTTCAGTCTTTCGACTTGACGACTTCCAGATGCTGTGAAATTGGATCTGCCTATGGAAGATGCCAGGATCCCAATTGAGGTAAACGCCGTCGAACGTGTTGCAAACGTCGTCCCACGACATCGTGAAACTCCCTGAGACACAGGTCAGCTCTCTCAGAAGTTTGGGCGTTGGCGGGCGGGGCGCTAACTCGCTGTCTGCACTTCTAGCTCAGATGACACTGCCTTGTCTCCCGCCTGGTCCACGAGATTGTCGGTCGTGCGAACCCAAGAATCAAGCATTGTTATATGACGAAAGCCATCATCCTCTCGGACGTCTGTGAATACAGGTTTCAATTAACCGTACTCTTCAACCCCTTTTCAATCAGGACTTACCAACGACGGCGTAGCAATGTATTGGGATAAGGCTCGGTAGTGTTGGCGAAAGTATTTCCACTTTCTCTCCAGTGCCAACAGTGAACAGACAGTATCCTGATTCCCTGTCAATTCCGAATCTGCCTAGTATAACTCGACGCTGTCGCTGACCTTTCGTAAAGCCATCGAACAGGCGGGCCCACAATCGTTCTCGTTGAAGGTTGGCACTTGTAGGAGAACGTCTGAAGACACTCAACATATTGTGATGATAATATATACCTCTTGAGATCCACATGTTCCGGTATCCATCCGATCAGAAGGCTAGGACGGCCACCGGAATTAGCCAGCATCTTCATGAGCAAATACCATACTCCTTACTTCAGATCTGCACACGACGTGCTGGGGAGGTGTCATCCTCCCTTGTAACTTGATGATAAAAGTGGCCACTTACGACCCAGGGAAATCATAAGTGCCCACAAGTTTCACGCACTACCTTCGTTGAGCATGACAGATCACCTCAGCCAATGATCAGATCCTACCGCTTTCTCTACTAGTGAGGGCCAAAGCAGGCGTTTCGGACCCGTCGTCAGGCACATGAGGCTACCATTTGGGTAGGTAGGTAGTTGATCATCGATTGCTTACGCACGCCCAATGTTCAGATGACAGTCGGGTCCAGTATATATTCTTGGACTTACTGATCTGTGTGTGCAATGCGATTTTGGCGAACGGGTCAAGCGCTGCCGCGACATCGTTGATTGCGAACTTACCCGCCGCCAAGCGCCATTCAGGAATATACGAAGGCGATATAAACCGTCCTGGGAGTCATATGGGGCTCCATATGGAGCGTTCGGCTTTAGATTTGACAGCACGATCTGATGTTATTTCAGTTTCATTGCACATGTCATGACACACAGAACTACACACTTGAGATTGGCAGCGCAGGTGATGAGACACACAGACCGCAATGGAAGCACAAGTAGAACAGTCAGTGACAATATGTTGTAGAATATCTTCAGGCAGTAGATGCAGAGCGGGTGCATGAATCTGTGCGCCCTCAATTCTGCGCCACATTGCGCCACTGTACTCTTGTTCCGGAGAAAATGCAGGTAACCTATCACCGCCCGATGCGTGAACCCGCCAACACGTACGTACACGGGAACCTACCTATTTTCATCCAGACTGACGGGATCCTCGTCCCATAGCGGAATGCGAACGTTATTGACAAATGATGATCTTCTCAGCACAGAGCGTTGTGCTTCTATAGTGACGAAGCAGCGGAAGCCCGTCAACATGTGCACACGACCAGAAGGCATGGCCAACCCACGCTCGGAGAAATAATTTGTAGCCACTGGTGTCAAATCCGGCTTGGCTGCCTTTATTTTCTCTGCGCGATCTAAGGCCTTTGCAGCCTCGTCTTTGCATTTGCTGCGCAGAGTTGCATCTGGAGTTGATTGACCTATGTTCAGGAAATCTTCGGCGGCCTTTACGTAGAGTCGGAAGGCGCGATCGAGATCGCTTAGTTCGGCCTTGGCAGCCTTGGAATACGTCGCCTGTGCCAAGCAAATGTCGTCAGTTACACTCGCCGACATATATCCACGACATTTACGTACTTGCGCCTGCTGGAACAGCGTCTGGGGCTGCCTGGAGGACATATTGCGCCGTTCTACAACACTTGCCCTAATGATCAATCGTTTTACCGACGCTGTGGCAACGCCATAGCACTTACCATTTATGTACGCTGCCGCGGCAATCCAAAGTGGCGATCGTGCCTGGTCGCGCGGGCCTCGTTGATTTCGCCGCTCAGAGAGCAGAACCCAGGCGTTGTTGGCTGACTGCAATTGCTGCCCGACAGAACTAGTATGCTCATGGACGTGCAGTGACAGGTCGGGTATGCAAGTCTTTTTCTGGCCGGGGCTGTGCATTCGGCTCCACGTGACTCCACGTGAAGGGAACGCGACATTAGCTCGAACGCGTCGACGGCTCCAATAACGCAGCGCGCAGAGGCAAATACGACAGTCGCATTTGTTCCTACTTAGACTCATCGTCGCTGACCGCGTGAAAATCAAAGGAACACACAAACATACGAGACATATACGCGCACATGCGCTCATGTTACGAGCAGTGCTTGCAACTGTGGCGAACATTAGGCAGCGACCAATTGGTTATGCACTGTGCAGCGGATGGACAATTCGAGTGGTCTCTGTCAAAATCAGGATGCGTAGCGAGCCCGAGCAGTGGCTGTACGACGTCCTTTGTTGTTCTTGAAATGACACCTCTTCGTCATACTCATCATCTTCAAATTTTTGCATTCCTATACGTTTAAAGTGAGTAGTAATGATTCAAACACTCCGTCTTGCCTAATCAGACCTCTTCAAAACGCAGTGATTATTCATCAAAGTATATGTTTTCCCGCCTACTCATCGAAACATTTGTTTCTTTGCATGATCTGTATGCAAGGATAATATTGCAATAGCCATCATGTGGAGCAGGAGCCGCAATACACTGTATGCAAACCGTACATGTAAAGTATCTGTCGTCGCGTTAATTAGATCTCATTGTGGCAGAAAGTTGGTATAGACGCGCCTCTGAATTCCGCATTTGGTAACAGACCTTCCCCATATAGGAAGAGGTACAGTGAGGTGGTATGATGCTTGTCGCATTATGACACGCTTCTCTCTGCATGAAGATACTACAGCGAAATATTGAGATGCTCGTTAGACCTAGAAATCTATGATTATAGCGCGTCGGCTGATAATAGTTGTAACGCGATCACGTGATCGCGTTCACAATAAGCACACAGCAGTCATTGTTCTTTCACCAGCCCTTGTAACCGAGCAACCCAAAATGCGGCTCAATCAAATGGTGTACGCTGCATCCACTCTTCGTTTCTACCATCTATGCTTCCCAACGTCAGGTTTTCCTGGGATCACTCACCCAAGCCACGGGAGCAGGCTCTTGCTACCGACGTTCCTCACGATATGCCTATCGAGCCCTCTCGCTTCTCGCCAGAGACACCCCCCACCACTTCCCGTGTCCAATCCACCTGGACCAATACCACGACCGCCAAGCACTCGTCGAGGGACCTCGAAGCCGCCACAATGCCCAGCCCCCGCCTCCGCGACCGCTTCACAAAGTTCTTCGACGTGCGCACGATGGGCCACGACCGCGAGCCGGAGCTCGTGCCAATCCAGCAGCCTGAGCTGCACGAATGGCCACCGCTGCACATTGAGAAGCGCCCTCCGCAGTGCTGCGCGCACTGCGTTCGCCGTCGCAAGAGGCGCAAGCGCGACCGCATCCTCATTGCGATCCTGATCATCCTGCTGCTCTATCTGCTCGGGAATGTTATCGCCCTGAACATTCGCTCGTTCCCCACGAGCTCGACGACCGTCCAAAGCACCAGCTCTGGCTCTGCTGCGGGGCTTTCGGCAGACCAGCAGCTCTGCGTCTCGGAGTTCAACATCAATGCCGCTGCAAACGCGTCCACCTACCCATGCTCTACATGCTTCCCTGTTCTGCAGAGCATCCCATCCAGCATTTCATCTTCAAGCTCGGAGACTGCTCAACAGATCTCAAACGCCCTGCAGTTCTGTGCCCTCAACAGCGTGTTCAATGAAATGGACCAGGCCGGCCAGAGTGCACTCACGACCGGCGGTTGGGTGCAGAACGTGCAGTTCTGCTCGTGGAGCGGAGTGCAGTGTGACGGCAGTGGCAGAGTATCTTCGCTGTCAGTATGCAGTTCCAGGAATCCCTCGAAGTGTCACTGAGCCCCGTCTTGCAGGAAACTGTCCTTCCCTTCAGTCCCGGCTGTTATCCCGGGCCAGATTGACGGACTGACGATGCTACAGACGCTGCAACTTGTCGGCAATAATGCCGTACCAGGTATGTCTCGATATCAACCCCCGCGTCTTGCAGGAGCCCTGAGATTGTCGTCGTAGCCGGGAGCCTTCCATCGTCCTTCAGCAATCTGACGGAACTTTCATCGTTTGAGTTGGAGTCAACAGCCATCACTGCGTTCCCCAACGCGCTGTTCTCCTCGCTGAAGAACATCACATCGCTCACGCTGGTGAAGAATGCGCATATGGGGAATGCCCTTCCGTCCAGCCTGACCTCCACATCGCTGCAGAGCCTGTAAGTACCATGCACTGGTCCTCGGACTGCGCGCAGATCGCTCACCTGCAACGTAGTGTCGTGACGAACCAGGCCCTGAGTAATCCCCTCGCGCTGCTCGCCAGCAGCACCTCGTTGCGATCCTCGCTCACATTACTGTAAGTGCTGGATCAGATCTCCACAATCATATCAATGCGTAATCTCACACGCGCGCCCTGTAGCGACCTCTCGGCCACGAACCTGACAGGCACGATCCCCTCCTCGATATCCTCGTTCTCATCCCTCGTCGAGCTGCACCTCGAGGACAACGACCTTGCAGACCCGCTGCCGAGCGCATTCCCACCGAAGCTCCAGATCCTCACGCTCGCGAACAACACGCAGCTCAGCGGCACGGTCACCGGATCATTCTGCTCGCTGAGCGAGCTGCAGGACTGCGACATGACTGGCACACAGCTGAGAGCTGCAGGCAGCTGCAGCGTGTGCCAATTCTCCGCCTGATCTCGCCCTTGCTCTGACTATTTGACAATCTTCGGCGTGCACATCGTTAGACGGACCGTTGGGAGCGTCGCTGTATCGTAGCTTTGACTGTATTTTTAAGCGTTCGCTATCCTTATATACACTACGTACTATTCCCTCCTTGTCTTGTTTCGAACCATGTATCGATACTTCATCGCGCCCTCTCGTTCACAATTATCCTGCACTATACCGATCCTTTAGGTTGTTCGCTGTCGCTAGTTGATCTTTCGTCATAATCAAACTCGCGCTCTCGTATGCCTATAGGTGCGGACCTTAGCTAAATCGGAGAACAAGCGTAAGAGTCCAATTAGAAGGCGAGGCTACGAACAGTTGCAATAAATACATCCAACCAAACATGCTCAATAGCCAGCTGCTCCGGGAGCAGCATCTCCTTCTCTCTTCAGCCGCAAGAGCACCTCCTTGAAGCGCGTGAGATCTGTCGTTCCAGGGCCTGCCCGCGCGATCGTCTTGCTCTGTGAGTTCTGCAGCTCGATAAGGTCGCAGATGCGCTGCCATGTCGTGCCGCTTGAGAGCGACTCTTGTAGTTTTGCGAGGAACTCCTCCTCGTACTCCCTGCATGAGGGTCGGCGTTGCACCGAATGCACGCGGACAAAGACACTTACTTGTTCTCCCTGATGTTGCGTTCCTTCTTCGCAGCATACTCTTCGTAGAACTGGTCAATCGCATGTTCTGCTTTCGAGACGGCTTCCTCGCGCTTCGCCTTGGATGCCTCATCTCGCGCCTTGATTTCGGCGGCCTGTCGCTCGCGCCATTCTCTGAAAGCGTCCCACACGTAAGCATAAGGAGGGGCTACGATCAGACGGAGGGCAGCACGCACTTGATGACCTCCGGCTCGTCCTCTTCGATCGTGTGGTTCAGTATAGGCGTCGACGAGAACGCCGAGGGCTGCGGCTTGGGCGCAAAGGGCGGCGCTGTGCCAAAGAGAGGCTGGCTAACCGGCGGTGACTATAGCCACCCACAGAAAACGCAGCCATCGTGAATCCAGTTGTGAGCAAGCGCACAAGGCGGCACGTACCTGGGGCACCTCAATGTCCGGGAATTCGCTCTCGAACTTGTCGATCTCGTCGTCACCTGTGACCTTCACCTCCGTTTCCCGCGGGGGACTGGAGAAGTCGTCGAAAGAGAACGTCGAGGACGGCGCGGCTGCCGGGAAGGACGGTGCTGGAATGTCGTCCGTGCCGTCCAACGAGATGTCAGGGAAAGCAGAGGCTGCGCGGTCAAAGTCCATGTCCCCGCCCGCGGTCGCATAGGTTCCGCCGGTGGGTGTGCCGGTGAACTCGTCGCCCAGGAGTTCGCTTTCGCGTGAGAGGAAGTCAGTCATTGTCGGTGTCGATGCTGGCGGTGACCGCGCTTGAGACGTGTGCTAATGATGTTTCAAGCTCCGACTCTTACCAGGTCAACGGGTCCATTTAAGGCTTATACTAGCGCACTTAGCAGACAAGCTGTATACTCTTCCATGGTTCAGATGCATAGCAGTGATAATGATTATGTGTGGATTCGCGCAAGAGATCGCGATGTTGTTTGCTTTCATAAATTATGACACAAATGAAGCCTCCAAAAACCACATGTTTCCCAAGGAGATCGTCCATCCAGCATGTATTAAGGGATCAGAACCTTTTAGCATCAGTGTAGAACCCCGAAGCAAAGTTGGCTGCACGGCCGCCAGCCTGGCCCATGAACGCGCTCCCGAAGCTCCGGCCTGACGCTTGGGCAAGGACATACGACTTGTATGCGTACAGCACCCCCGCGATCGTCGCAAGCACGCCGCCGAACTTGGCGAATGTCCACAGCCAGGACGGCACACCAACGACTGCCTTCGCACTCTTGATCTGGTCCCGCTGATTCTCGGGGCTAGAGAGGATGGCGGAGGACGTCGTTACACTGATTATACTACGGAGGTGTGAGGAACAGCGCACAAATGGGCAAGGCATCAAATCGGCGCTCACTCATGGTTGTCAGAGACGTCGCCCGTCATGGCCGAGAATCCCAGGTAGGGCGCGGTCGGCAAGCTAATGTCTCTTATAGTGAAGCACTCTAGCCAGTCATCCCATGCGCGGTATTGAATTTTGACCTAGGCAAATGATAATGAGGCCGTGTGCGTGTGTTTTGCTTTGGACTTACGTTCAAGAGTTTATCTTTGACGTACGTGACACGCAGCTTAGTAGCGACATTCGTACGGCGATAATTGGCCTATCATGCTCAAACTCAGCAAATCCAGGTAGCCTCGGGAAACAGCAAAAGGACTTACCGAGCAACCGCCTAGGCCATTCTTCTGACCATCACCTTCTTGGTCATAGCTCGTTTTGCCATCTCCGAGCATTCCGACAACGCGCGGGAAGGAGTACGAATGCCGGGTGTTCGCGTATCTGAATACGAATATGTGCAATGGTTCATTTGTGACATAGTCGTCTCCCTTACGTGTCTAGAAAGATACCGAGGCCCTCGAAATTGTCTATATAAACAGTGAACCTGCGCTCTTGGATCGTGTGAGGTAATCAACCGACCTACGCTGCCGAATACAGGCCCCGGCTGAGTGCGTGTCTTTGTCAGCCATAAGGCAAGACCATCCCCATAGAGGTGACTTGATTCTCCATGGATCTATATTAGGATGAATGATGAGCTCAAGTCTACATCGATCCATAAATCCCGGCACACCTTGAATTCGACCTCAACAACGAAGTTGTGGGCAGTAAGCGGTATCCGTGACCACAGCCAGCCCTGCAAATCAATGACGCTCAGTCTTCCACCTGGAATACGAGCAAACGCTGCGAATACGAACCATTTGTGATGGTCGGTTACGTGTCAAGCGGATGTGCTTGTTCGTATTCTATGAATGTATGACCAGTCAGACGTGTACCACTATTCGACGGCATGATGTCTTACAATATATGCATCCGCGCCGAAATCCCACCACCTTGTTGGTACGCTGGTGTCAAGACGGCCCCCTGAGAGACGGGATTATACGTACCGATTTTGGAGGTCCTGGTCGATATATGGTGCATATAATGAGTGGGTCCTCAGAGATATTGTCTATAACGGAGCGTACAGTGAGTATAACTCGCAAATAACGCCGAGATGAGACAGCAGGGACTGGACACGTTAAGCCGGCAGTCCAGTAGCACTACATTCCATGTCAAGGCAAGCCGAGCTGCAATGATTGAGCTCTTCCCGCAGACTTGCGCTCTACTCGACATGACCGTCATCCAAGTGGAATGACTACCTACCCTGTCAATAGTCTGGTTGCCCAGCTTCATGTCCAGGACCGCCAGAGCGCTTAGTGGCAACAAGCCCAAGCAGAACAGCAAACCGCTGAACAGCATAGCAACGTTGAAAGCACGGCAGCAGTAGAAATGAAGGTGGGGGTACTAGAAATACAGCTGGAGGGTACCCAAGAAGTCGGGAAAGCGGTTGAGAGGCAAGTGCAAGCGCGTCGCTCGCCGTACAGCTCACGCGCTTCAGGTAAGTAGCTCGATCGCGTATTTCCCACATGTAATTATTATAATTTCGTACATACACCATCAAGGGCAGAAGCAGAATCTATCGAGGCATAGCACCAGGAGTAAATTCACCGAATGAAACTGTCCATGTATATTATTTCTGAGTGTACAATCATGCAGGCAATTCGAACTTCTGTCCTTGTAGGACTCTACATGACGGCGCACGTGAACAGAACATAGAAACACGAGACATGACGCGTGCAGGCGCGAGACCGAACACGTCAGCATATTTATCTGTACACGGAAGGAATCCACGTACTTTGTAAAGTAGACATAGAAAAAGTCCAGATACAGTGCCGTCTGGACGATACCCGACGTGACAGCGATTGGGTCAATTAAATCCTCCGTCCAATAGCTGCAAAAATGGCGTGTGGGCAGCTCGCGCATTGTTTCGCAACAGAGCATACGCACCGGTATATCCAATTCGGAATATAGAAAGCTCTATACGCGCCCAGCGCAGCAAGGTAATGCGTCGTGATCGTCTCGGCCTCCCCCGTCCGCTGAAGCATGAAAAGCTGAGGCAAAATGGCGACAGACTCCAGGAAGATGGAGAATGACCAGAGTATCTCGCTGATCTTGAACTTGTAGTGGAAGAGTAAGGCAAGAATAACACACGGCCCGACGAGATACTCCACGCGGAAGGTGTCAATGGACGGGTCGTTGGTTGGTCTGCATGACTGAGCTGTTAGTTGGGCATCGGGAGAACCGTTGCAGACTCACCGGTACTTGACTTTCATCAGGTACAGAATGTACGAGCTGCTCGCAATGAAGAACACCTTCATAGTAAAGTTGTACAGCGACACCCATTCGTAGAACAGATCCAGGTAACGTGCAACAAAGACAGTGACGTAGAGGGCCTGTGTCTTGAAGGATATACCTACGAATACGACGGTCAGGCTGCAGCTCCTTCCGGTTCTCATGTTTCAAGCCGGCTCAACCCCCCCAAGACGGTATGGCCAAGACTCACCTCGACATGATCGCGTTGTTTGAATCTTGTACAACAAGAGGAGAATGGACGCCAAGTGGGACATGTCCCCTGGGAACACCTCGATTTAGCTTGATCGTCGTGGCTGTGTATTCAGACTACGCACCGAGGAACCTGAAGATATTCATGGTGGCGACGACGAGGATGGTCGGGCGACTGCGTACGTGGATAAACTCGACGACTGCACGGTGCACAGCTGCGAATGTGTTTATGAGGCACGTGCCGAGGAACATGAGTTCTTGAGGAACATTCCTTATTTGAGGCATATTATAACTCGTTTTCCCGCCATATTATTGGCTGGTATAAGCCAGCGACTATCAAGTAGTCAATTGTATTGCTAAGCTATCAAAATTATCCGTCGAGGTAAATAGTTGATGACATATTGAACAGCTCATTCTCCTTCACCACCATGAACGCTATTCCCGCAACTTTTGTGCTTTAGGCCTCCCCTCCAACCATCTCCATTCAACAACGAAATTCAAGGTGAGTCTCTATACCTCTTGCCGAATGCAAAGATGTCCAAGTAAAAGGGTCGACTCCGGAGACGAGTGGCGCATTCTGCTCCCGGTACACTGAGCCCCCAAAGTGTTCGAAACCCGACGCGTCATCTCACGAGGTATCCGTGACGCGCCTTAAGGCCGAACCTACATTATTGTTGCATACACTTCACGACTCCGTTACAGGCTAGCATGATCCTAAAGTCAAAGACATGTAAGCAAAGGCCGAGTCTACAGTGGGCTCTCCGACTTGCTCTCTGCGCTACAGCTAGCAGGGCCGAGCAGGAGCCCTCGTCCAGGAAGCCAAGCGTGTGCAGACGAGTTTACTCTGTCGCAGGCGGTCTCCAGATGTGGTTATCATACGGACGGCAAAATGGTCATCATCGGTGGCGCGCACCGTTTCAAGCGTCCGGACTAGAGATTTACGTCCGGTCGTGTGGTTATGTGCGTATACGCGGCAGGTACGGGTGCCAAATAGGAGTGGATGTGTCCCGTCGCTCGCTGGAGAAAGGAGATCACAGTGCGATATGGGTTCTACCCATACTGAGCTTCCGCCTTCTCTCGTATCGTATCTTGCAAATACTGACCCGAGTTTTCGTTAGAATATCGTACCAGCGGTGCCCGCCCAGCAATTATGCTGTTCACCGTCCTGTCCTTTGTTGGTTGGGCATTTGTTCCAGATCAAGTGACGCGCCGGCTACTCCCAATCTTCCATCGCTTCTACCAGAGTCTCTTGGGCCTCCCTGCTCCGGCACCGACCACTCCCTTGTATATACGTCACTATCGCTATGTCTATGCTTTCACCGTGTTCAGCTATATCTTGTACAATTTTTGGTCGGCCGCCACATCCATGGCTCCCAACTACTACGAGCTGCTGGGCGTAGAGCCAACGGCTGACGAGAACGTCCTCAAAATTGCATTCAGACAATTTGCCCGGAAGTATCATCCAGACCGCGTTGGACCACAAGGAGAGACAATGTTCATAGAAGTGCGCGATGCTTTTGAAGCTCTCAAAAACCCTGTCACCCGCTATGCATATGATAGGTTCGGAGTGTATTTTATCCGGCTTATTGTGTCGTGGGACTGACATTGCGTAGATTCGGTCCTGAGGCGATCACATGGATGCAATGCACAACTATACGAGAATACGTCCGACATGGTCTAATGCAATCTGCTGGCTTCTACATCGTCTCTTGTGGTCTCTTACTGCTAGTATCTGCTGTCAGACAGCCGAGTTACGTTGCCTTGGTGAGTGTCAAATTAAGTCGAGCATTTTCGTAGACTGATCGGTCACGACCTTCAAGTGGCAGTACCTGCTCTTTGCTGCCGTCTTCACATTTGAGTTGAAGTTCCTTCTGAGTCCATCACCATCTTCTCCCTCACAGGCGCCGCCTTTGCCCAATCTCTTGTCTGACCTTACATCGCGTAATCACCAGACTGTTCTCGCACTGTTATGGCCCCGTCGTGTCGCATACCAGCATATACGCTTTCTGCACTCGCTGTTCACGTTCCTCTCTTTCGCCTTGTCTCGAGTTGCACAGGTTTTATTTCCCCCGCCTGCCGAGCATAATTACGACGACAGGCGGTTGGTTGCTGAACTCCGCAGGGTCAGCTTGACAGCTACCAAGATTCAACAGGATGGTAAGCCCTTCGGTTCACACCCACGCTCGTAGAGCCAGTTATTAATAGCCATTCAAGTCTTCTTGCAGGCGCAGACAGAGCTGCGCTCTGTGCACGGCCTGCATACAGGGACAGAGCCTATCGACCCATCCTCGCCTCCTCCAGTGAAGCCTGCAGTGCCCGTCATGGACAGGCTTACCGCCCAGCTGGAAGCCATGTACATCGAGGGCCAGCTGATGGATGGTGGGCCGCTCAAGAGCGCGGTGGACAATGTGGTTGAGCGCCGACGACGGGCGAACAGCGAAAAGGGGCGTGGGAGCATGCCGTCGCCGACGCCTTCGCCACCAAGGACGTCAGTGCAGCTGCCGCTCGTGGCGAGCAGGGAGCGGAGCCCTGTGCGACGGCCGCAGGTCAGATTTGATGATCGCCTGGAGGTGATTGGTGAGAGTAGGCCAGTGTATGTTCGTGGTCGGTCGCAGTCTTACTAGATGTATGTACATTGGTTGCCATTGGCTGTATAACATTCTAGGGGCCAGGAGAGTTGTCGAGCGACGTACCCTGAGCAATACGACTTGCGCATCGGCTGTCGCGTGCGGCAGTGAGATTGTTCATTAAGAGTAACACCTTGTGCAATCGGGTTTGCCTTACGCTTTCTGCATCCTTTATCTTCGTGGCCAGTATGTTGGCTCTCGTGTGTGCTTCGCGACCTTCCTACACAGCTGGTTTTGTTCGGTGCGTAGACTTTGCAGTCGAGATGTGCGAGAAGTACTAGTACTCGGTACGAGACTAACTTTGATGGAATAATGCGTGGTTACTAGAAATCGTAGTCGCTCGCAGCCACGTGGGCGACTGTAACGCTAGGCGCTGATGCTGAGCGCTGAATCTTTGGTGTCAGTGAGCACTCGGCAGTCGCAGCTTGGTCTTACCAGTCGTTTGAAGTGATCCTTGCCTTTCTACTTTTCATAACTTGGACTTGGCCTTGCATAACATACCCCAACTGCATACGCAAACATCATGAATCTCTCGCTGTACACGATCACAGGTTTCCTCATCATTGACACAGACGGTCATCGCGTACTGGCCAAGTACTATCACCCGAAGAACCATCCGCATGTGGAGGCACAACAAAGCCGCTTGCGCACACTGAAAGAACAGCGTGCCTTTGAGAAGGGCCTCTTCCAAAAGACTAAGAAGGCTGGCGGTGGGTGACGGTCTCATACCGGCTGTATGCGTCCACTGAGCCTTATTGTGTTTAATACGGGTACAGGCGACATCATCCTATACGATGGTTCGCTAGCAGTATACAAGCACTCCCTTGATCTCATCTTCTACCTCATTGCCGAGCCCGAGGAGAACGAGCTCATGGTCCACGCCGCCCTCACCGCTTTCGCCGATGCACTTCACATACTCCTCCGCGGGCAGGTCGAGAAGCGCGGTGTGCTCGAGAGCCTCGACCTCGTACTCCTCTGTCTAGATGAGACAATAGATGATGGGTGAGTGCTTTGTGGACCCCTCGTGAGACTCGGAAGCATTGACATGCCTGGCCGCAGTATCATCGTGGAGACCGACGCGGCTGCGATCGCTTCACGCGTCTCGCGACCAAAGGCGGATTCCACCGAAATCGTCATCAACGAGCAAACACTCATGAACGCATACATGACTGTGAAGGAGAAAATGCAGCAGCGCATCGGACAGCTATGAGATGTATCCAGACCGCACACGATCTGCTCCGGAGGAGGGCTGAATATTTATTCGAGGGTAGATCGGCTGTTTGATGGCGGCACTGTTGCGCGGGCGTGGAATGTACGCTACTCTGATGTCTAGCAGAACTAATGCGAGATTCTTGAAGCATGTTCGAGCGCAACTCAGGTGCTGGCTAGTGAAAGTGTGGATTCCCTGCACGTTGAAATACAACGGGGGGTATCCGTTCTTACTACCGTGCGTGATACCATAGGTACAGAGCGCGTGCAGCATCGCTAATTGTCATTATAGCATGCGCTCTTGACTATTACCACACACCCACCGCTTGCCACAACTGGGCTCATTCGGGCGGTGTAGGCGCTTATGGGTCATGCCGAGTAACATTCTACATCCCATGCTTCCAGAGATAATGGCGCGCTCGGGCCCCTCGAGATCGTCGTTGACATTGAACCTAGGCTCTCCTAGTGTGTAGATTCTCCGTCTCACAGCTCAAGGGCGAAAGCGAAAGTAAGCGGCCAAGCGTCTTATATATTCTGCTCAACGCTCACGAATTCACGTGGCTTCAGGCCTCACCGGCAGAGAGAACTCCTTACTGTCTGTGAATGGCGAAAATAGCGTCTTGAGTGCACTCATCAGGAGGCTGATCGGCGTCAAGTACTCCGGCAAAGTCAAACCGGGCTGCAAATGACTTGACTGTGTGCGTATTGTGCTCGATTCTCGATTTTTCCGACATCTCTGTGGGTACAGGTTGCGGGTGTACGAGTACCCCGTATTGTTTTAGGAAGACACTGCCTGACTTTCTCAGCGTAGTTTACGAGGCAGAAGAGAGGTCGTTCTACGCGCACATCGAGGATATCGTGGACTCACTGCTCGTTGGTTGGAATCTCGACAGGTAAATTTTATAGCCAATTATGGATACGGCACGCTCAATTTTTAAACGCAACCCAAGACTCGATATGAATTTCAGTCATCTGGACGATTGCACCTTGGTCCTGATGGTGTTTCACTAAGCTCCTCTGCTGTAGATGGACCGCCGTCCTTGCTCCACGCCACGAGGGAATAGGATGTCGACGGAGCGCGGGCCTAAGCAAAGGACAAATGCTGTGCAGCAGATGCCTCTCCTCACCACGGGTCTGACGGTGATGGCCCTGTGTTCAATACACCTCTACAATCGCCCCCCTCTCAGGAGCTTACGAAAGATGAAGTACAGGGCCTCAAGCACCTCGCTAAGCTCTTCTCGTATCTGCTACGTTCGTACAATGTCGGCATCCTATCGACAACGCAATCATGACGCTCCGGTATGAGACTCGCGTGGGCTGTGTCTCCACCGAGCCTTCCGGCTTGTTCGAAGAGTCGCGCAAGCTGCTCCTCGTTGTGGCCGCACTCAGTACCGTACCGTCACCACCAAGTCGCCACCATCCTCTGCCCATGTCACTGCTGCTGCCACACAGGGAGACGCCGCACTCCCCCGGCTTTTCTCCGGCGGCTTCCTCGACTGCTTCTGGGCCGGAGCCTTGGCACCCGAGGGGGCGGTGGCCGATGCCTCTCCTCGCTGGGTGTTCTCTAGCCCTGTGTTTTTGTCCTCACCATCTCCCGCGTCTCGCTTTGCCGCCACGTCCCAGTCGCATAAAAGCTAGAACGCCCGTCACCTCGCAGGTCTCCTTGTCACGGTACTGCACCATGTCGTTCGTGCTGATGTCTCGGTGCATGATCTCCGACGTCTCACACACCCAATGTTGAGCAGCGCAGAAATCCACTGTGGCGGGGGGGGAATGCATTGAAGCAGAAGCAGCGTCGGCGAAAAGACCCTGTGCAGAAAGATCAGCGGATACGGCCCTTTTCGTTTCCTTTTCTTATCGTTCTTATCGTTCTTCTCTTCTCGTGGTTGCTATCGAGCGCAAGTGAAAAGTACGTACGAATGTTTCCTCTCGACTGTAGGGCTTGCGAAGACGGCATGGAAGGAGAGATGATGTGGTCGCCGTAGGCTGATCAAGGCCCCTGAGGGCGGCAGGACGCGCACGTAAATATGGTGCGACGGAGGCATCATCCTCGAAAGGCTGAGACATTGGCGGTTGCGGATTCGAACTCGAAGCGTCGGGCCTAGCTTGCTTGTGTCCAGGAAAGGTCTTCCATCCCGTTTCGGATAGTGGCTTGCTAGATTCGGACATGTGTCATTCGGTCGGACAAGTTGAAGCACTGTCCCTCAAGCTCACGTACGTCATTCCTCTTCTCTCAAGCTGGTCGTGACAGCATCCGTCTTGACTCTTTTGTACATATATAAATCCGGATCGACGTCCTGTAATCCCATCTTCCCTCTCTCCCTCGAACCACTACCATTCTCGCTCTCTGCGCTGGTACGGACGAGTGACCCGAGAGTCACACGTACATAGTGAGTGCCTCGTTTGTTCTTGGTATCGTTGTCGTCCCCCGGGCACGCATCGTAGTCGAGTGATTTGTTGTGTCTATTCGAGCGCGTGTCGGGAGGGTCCTCGCCAGTTATTGTGTACGTGCGTTGCAGTTCGAGCACGCTTGAGTGAGAGTTTATCGCGAAGTCAGCTCATTGCGGCCAAACTATCATTTTATATTATTCTAGCTAGTATATAGTCACTCAAACCCTTCAACCATCTTCGAACACCGCTGCAACTTACGCTTCCACACCCTCAGCACACGGCGGACATAGGTGGCAAGACCCTAACTCACCCTGCACGGCATAAACACTTTCTCGAAGCTATCGACGCGCCCGCTCGTCTCGAAGTGTTCATGGTGCTGCATGACCACCGCACGACAGACCCGCTCCTCATCCACATTAACCTGCATCCCTGGTCCCATGTTAGGACCGCGGCAGCCAGCAGTTCCATCTGCTCTGTCGTCCGCTCAACGAAGCATCCCAAACTCACTATACGTCGCATGAAATTCTGGCTCTGCGCCTCCGAGTCTTTGACGATCAATTCTCCCGCCTTGCGTATATAGTCGTGGTGGCCACGCAGTCCTTGCCACTGAAGGCTTCTCCGCCTTCGAACCCAGCATGGCCTATGGCCTGAAACGCCGTTCCAGAAGACAACGCGGGGGCCGACCTTCGTATATTCCCGTGGCTGCATTGTCGAGAAACGGGATACGTACCACGTGGAGGCCTCGCAATGAAGAGCCAGAGCTCCTGTTCCCATAATATCTTTGCCCAAAGAACAGCATCACTTGTCTGGAGATTCTCTTGACATACATACAAAAAGCGCGTCTAAGACTAACGCATACGAGGAACAGCCGGTGATTTTTCAGACTCGCAGAGATGATCCACCATATCCACTTACCAGTCGCGCAATAGCTCGTGGCGATCATAGCCTCGAGACGGGCGCAGCGCCGGCATTCGCGTGCGCCAGGATCCACTCCACGCACTCGTCCCAGAACCGCTCCTTCACCCCGTCTGGCTCGTGCGTGAGCTCGTGGAAGCCGCCCTGTCAAAAAGAGTCCGGATGCCGGGGAGGGGCATGTCAGTGGAACAGATCTCAGCAAGCGAGCAAAGGATGAGAATGCCAGGGCCCGTCCGTCATGTGAGTCCGCAAACTGCCCGACGTCGCGGCGGGCGCCACACACACTGCATGCACTGCGCGTGCGCGATGATGGTAGCCGTGCGACGTACGAGGACGGCGTGCAATGGAGACGATCAGCCGTACCTCAATCAACGAGAGCTTTTTGTCTGACGCGTCGAGCTTCTCGACAAACTCTTGCGACGCCTGCGGTGAGGTGACCTACACGCCAGGGTCAGCATCTAGCCGCTCCGCGCTGGCGAGCGGGGAACACTCACCTTGTCCGCGGTGCCGTGTATGACGAGCACCTGCACTGTCGGTCAGCACGCACTGCGCCTGTAGATTATAGACGGGGTGACGTTCACCGGAAGCTCGCGCGGCCAGCGCCGGTACCCGCGCTCGACTACATCCTCGCCCTGCCCCACGCCGCCCGGTCAATTAAGAGTCGAACGACAACAATCATGCACGCGCGTCAAAAGTCCTGATGCTCACCCTGTTGAACATGTCCGCGAGCCCGCGCAGCGTGCCCTGCTTGCGGATGAGCGGGTCGCGGTCCGTCGCCTCGTTCATCGCAGGGTCATGCGAGAGGTCCTATGCGCATACACAGACACATTCAGCACTTACTCGTGCAAGCGGAGGCAAGTCGCGGAGTGTCGGCGGCCCATACCTCGACGGGGACTACGGCGGGAAAGGCCATCCAGGGAAGGACATTTGCGGCAGCCCCGCCCACGCGGCGCATCAGGCGAGGGACAGGCGTGGTCTGTCGGAGAAGCGGACTGCATGCAAGCACGCCGGCGAGGCGGGCCGTCGTTGATGGATCAGGGGGAGCGCGAGCCTGCGTGGGGAAGGCAAGTGCGAGTGCGCCTCCCTAAGCAGCATACGGTCAGCTAGAGCGTGAGTGGAGCGGGCTCGATGCTTGCCATGCTGTGCCCGGCGAGGAAGACCGGCGAGCCCTCCCACCGCTTGCCGACATACCTGACGAACCACTCAATGTCCTCTATCTGCTCGCGGTGCGACGTCTTGCCGTACGTCTCGCCACGCCAGCCCTCGTGCTTGCTGAGCGCGGTGCGGCCGAAGCCGCGCTGGTCGAAGGCGACGACGGCGAGCCCGCGTTGGGCCCAGATGCGATGCGCGTGTTCGTGGCGGCCGATGTGCTCTGCGAAACCGTGTATGAAGAGGACAGCTGCGCGGGGTGCGGAGGAGTCTGGCGGGAGGTAGGTGCGCGTGTAGAAGGGGTGGTCTGCGGGTCCTCGCAGCCAGGCTTCGGCGTAGGCTGTGGGGTTTGAGGACATGGCTCGTGCTGGGGATCGATAGAATGCGGCGTGTGGCTGCACGGCAAGATGCACGAGCGACGCGGGAGAAACAGAGGCTGACTTTTGGTAAGTTCGAATAAGTGAGCGCGACGCGTCAGGGGTGATGACGGAGTAACTGCGGCATCCCTGCCAAGTACACGTGGGCGAGCAACTGTGGAGCTCCGAGATATTCGGACCCACACTGTGCTGGAAATGCTTACAGGCAGATCTTCCTAGCCGTGTAGACAAACTCATTGGGGTAGAGTCTCGAGTTCACATGTAGCTCAGCACACGAAGAACTCCGAGACAAAGCGAGCGTGTGGATCCCTGTTTACCGATCGACTCTGATCGAGACCTGTGAATCTGATGGCCAACGAGGGATGACCAGAGTAATAACAGTACTACAGCAAAACCAATATTGATAGACCTCCCTCGCGAGAAGTACAGATAGGCGGCATGGAGCATAGTGGCGCTCGGCACCTCGGGGATGATGTGCCCTCATCCCTCAGAGATCTCATTGTGGTTGACGGCAGCCATATATCGTCCATTACTGACAATGACGGCAAGAGAACATCGGACGAGGGGATTACAGCAAGCGTCTACCTCACGATCCTCCGTATCAGCTCATCGGCCGCTCGTCGACGTCTCTGCAGGGTTTTTGACGAGCCGGCTCACGACATGTCCTCACATTTCCTCACGTCGCACCCAGTACGATAGTTCGCTCGCGCTCACCTTACCCCATGCTACCAGACAGCCCACTGTTCTATCGACCACGCTAGGCTGTGTACACGCAGCTACTACTACTACTACTACTACTACTACTACTACTACTTTGGTATATACTCATGGCCAACACAAATGGGGACCCCACGTTGAATACGTGCTTACCCTCCAGAGAGAGACACATTGGCATTGAGGGTATTCACAATTTTCATCGGCACTGCCAAAGGGACAGCGATGGCAACTTCAAGCCACCATCATACCTAAGTCTCGTACCATCCCACCACCGCGTCTGCAGTAGTTCCACACCCGTTTCCGGGAAGCACCCGACTGCGGTTGACTAACCAGAGCTTTGGATCGACTATTGACTGAAGCAGAAGGTGTGCGCGGCGGTCTCAAATCAGACCACCACGTTTCGACATCGCAGCAGCATCCAGTCGTTGGAAGAAACTACATACCATCATTGGTGTACAATTGTCAAAGGCAAGAATCTGAATGCACATAGACAGTACCTTCCAATTGCAAATTGAATTGCGGGTGGTCAAAGGTACACGCAAAATTAACCATCGTCACGTCAGTCGACTATCATACCGGTATCGAGTGCAAAGGGGGATCTGGATCATTCCTCAATTGAACAAGCGCCGCGCGCGCAACGGCGATAAGAACAGAAAGTCGCCATACAGGGTGAGCACGGGGTATGAGATGGGGACACGGAATGATCAGCGGACAGGGAGAACACCACCGAGACAAAAGGAAGCAGTAGCAGTACGGACGACGAAAGTCAAGTTGATAAAGAGGGAACAACCAATAGCCCAAGGTCCGCGACTGTAGTACCGTAGGATGTCACCCACCCCATCTCAGGCCGGTGCGCGGCTGGTAGCCACCAGCGCGCACCTCGTCAGACCAGAGCGGAGAGGGAGGCGTGCGGATCCGTATCCACTGTTCTCCATCCACTCGTTATTTTCTAACAGAATTACATCGCGCGCAGGCTTCGATCCGGTGGAACAAGAGACAGATAAGGGAAGAGCAGGTGTGCATAGGTGGCGAGAGAACCGTAGTATCACAGGCCAAGACAGGCGGGTATCCAAGGGACATTCGACGAGGAGGAAAGAGCGTTGTACAGCGGCAGCGGACAGTGGCCGGAGTGGGGGTTTACTTTGGCTGATCAGTTGTCGGCCATGCCCTCGGCGACATCCACAGGAGTGATCGTCACTTCAGCAGGCTCTTCCTTGAGGATAGACTGTTCGCCGTCGGAAGGGGGCTCTACAGCGCTGACAGGCCCAGCCGATGCGGGGCCGTGGCCGCTGTTGGAACGACGTGCACCGGAGCCTCCTTGCGGACCCGAGCGCGGCGGGTTGGCGCACCGATCCTTGCCATGCGCGATACGCAGGTTAGCGTAATCGGGCTTGTTCTTGATGCCATCAATCGCCTTGATCGCGTTCGAGATGTTCGTGAAGTTGACGAACGCGCAGTTCCTGATGATCATCAAGGGTCAGCAAACACGTCACAGAAGACAAGCCAAGGGACCGCTCACTTCTCCTTGAGGAAGTTGACGAGCTCGATGTCGCCGTACTCCCCGAAATCCCGCTTGAGCCTCTCCTCGTTGAACGTGTCAAAGTCCTCGATGTTGCCGATGTAGACGTTACGGGTAGCGCCCGAATGCACAGCGAGTGCGAGCGCAGGCGGAAGAGGCCCGGAGTTCTTTCCCCAGCCAATCTTGAGGCGACGGTTGTTCAGCGTCAGGCCCTGGTACGATGCGACTTGGAAGAAAGTCAGGGCCGCCGCGGGGTCGATGAACGTCACAAACTACAGCGAGAACATTAAGCGCAAGTCCATACGAACGCTTGAGTAGGGAACACTCACAGCAATATGCTTGTCTTGCATGTACCTCAGACTCTGCAGGACACCGCCACGTATGGCGTTGCACAGGTCCTCGGCTGTTGTCTCCGGGTGGATGTTGCCTAGGTAGACCGTACGGTTCAGGCCTTGGCTGCCGGTCATTCCCTGGAGCGCGTCGGGTGTGAACGGCATGTAGGGACTGAGGGGCGAAGCGAAGGTAGGCCCGTTGTGCTGGAGCGGCGAGAGCGTCGCCGCCGCAGACTGCGCTACCAGAGACTGGGCAGCGGCGGCCTGTGCAGCTTGTGCAGCGGCCTGCTGCGACTTGGGGATGTACGCACAGCGGTCCTTGCCGTAGTTTACGCGCTTGCCCGCCCAGGCGGGTTCCGTAGGGAGCGTGTTGACGACCTGTCGCGTGCCGTCAGTGAGCCGTTCCCACAAGCGCATCTGAGGCAGCGTACCTTCGTCGCCACGGAGATGCTCAGGAAGTGCACAAATCCGATGTTCTTGTCACGGACGATCTTCACCTGGTCGATCAGGCCGAACCGGCTGAGGTCGTCCCTCAGCAGCTCCTCGGTGACGTTCTCGTCCAGACCACCAAGGTACACATTGCGGCTCGCGTTGCTCTGCTGGATCGCGAGACCGACCTGGCTGGGGACCGCAGACGGCTTGCCCCAGCCGATCTTGAGCTCCTGTCCGTGGAGCGAGAGCTTCTTGATCAACGCGTCCGCGTGGAACGCCGCCGCGGTCGCGCCATCGAGGAAGGACAGGAACACGCACGACTTCTCCGGGAGCACGCGGACAGACTCGAGCGGTCCGAAATGCACGAGGTTCAGTAGCTCGTCGACCGATGCGCTGGGCGGCAGGTTGCCGACGTAGACCGTGCGGCCCGTCGCGTTGTTCTGCGCCGACAGGGCGGCGGTGAGAGCGGCGGGCGAGTACGGACCGGCCTGCGGGCCTGGGATCTGCAACTGTGGCAGACGCTGCTGGCCGAGGTTCTGCAGGCGCGTCAGCGAACCTGTTACACCGTACGTAGCCGACACTCACCTGCGCAAAGTTCGCCATGTGCGCGTTGTACGGGAAGCCGCCAAGGATGCCCATGTTGGGCAGGCCCATTCCGAGCATGTTGTAGCCGTTGAATGCGTTGTAGTGACCGTTACCGTTGCCGTTGGCAGACGGCTGCTGCTGGGAGGGTGTGAAGGGGCCCGCGGTGTTTGGGCTCATCTGCGACTGCACGCCGTTCGCGGACGCGGCGGTGTTGATGCTGAGCTGTGGTGTCGAGTACAGCGCGTTGCCTCCAAAGCCATTGGACGGCGGCGAGTTGTTGAACCCATTTTGGTTCATGTTTGCGTTTGGGCCGTAGCCGTAGTTAGCGAATGCGTCGCGGTTGTTGCCTGCTAGGCCGTTTACACCGTTCGAGGCGCCGAAGGAGGTAGGAGACCAACGGGCCTTTTTCGCGTCAGGTCCACCTGATGCGTCCATGGATCTCTGTAAATTGACGCGTCAGTCTCATTCATATGACAAGGGTGCCATAACTGGGAAAGCTAAAGGATTCAGCACCAACTGAAGAGTTCAGCACCAGCAGAGCGTTCAGCTGACGAAGACATACTGGACTGCACTGAGTTACAGCGAACAAACACCCCGCGACTCTCGAGGCTTACGATGCAGTGTGGCGCACTACTACACGCAATGAAGGAGATTTGGATGACTACCAATACAATGGAGAATCATCTCAGCACGCCGTGAGCTCTTACGCAACGTAGAGAGTGTCTGCACAGACGTGAATAGACCCTGACATCACTGGAGACAGTATCTACTGCGGTCAAGGCCTATGTAAGCGAAGATTTGCCGTGAACATGATTCTCGCGTTGTCCTCGCTCCCTGCCGTCAATGATAGCATCCGCCTGAGCGATCGACAGACTTCTCATTGCCAGGCAGGCTGTACACAATTCCAAATAGCGGTCGCGCAAAAAGCGTTTCGTGGCGCACATGTCCGGGTTGATGCAAAACCCGCTTCGGCGCTGGTAGCTTAGCAACCGGTCAGTCGTCAACCCACACGCGACACATTGGTCCATGCACGGTATTGCAACATAGTAGACCGGTCCCGACAGTTCCGTCAACACCACCAAGAGTAGACTGCCCATGCAAGCTTATACCAACATCGTGCGCACCACGTCCTGCAGTAGGCAGAAGCCACCACTCGGTCATAGGCCTACTAAAAGCATTCGAAAATGGCTCGCAACTGCTTGCACCGGGAGTCAAAATGCGACTCCGAAGCCGCCCCAGGTCCCGAGTCGCACGCGCGAGAAGAGATAATTGCAGGGACGATAGTCCGCCTGTTGTGAGGGGGCAGACGCTGCCTAGCATCCAGGAATGGTCACGCGCTAGCGGTTGTGGCTGCACCGTCACGAATACACCCTGCGCGCACGGAATGAACGCAGAAACACACTCGGAGCCGGCTGGCTACGAGCGGTCCGCCGTCCGACGGGTGCATGAACCTGGCCGCCTCGCAAAAAGATGACAGCTCACCTTCATCATATCGAGGTCGAAACCGTAAGCGGGATACTGGGCGACGAAGGCTGTCTGGGGGTCGTCCATGGCGCGATGGGTTGGGGTATGCGGAGGAGGAGACGGAGGAGTAGGTAACGGAGAAAAGGGAGCGAAGACAAGTTAGAGAGTGTGGGGGCGCGCAAGCGGATCAGGATTTCAGGAAACGAGCGTGATGGAGTGGGTGTTGGAAGAAAACACGCACAACTTAAAAAAGAGGGCAGAGGGTGATTATTTGTATAAAGGAAAGGCTCTTGAATTCACGGCTGCCCACCCAGAGAAAGGAATACGAGAGCAACGGGCGGGGCGACAGCGAAGAGAATCGAAGAACAGAACAAGGCGGGAGTCCGCCCAAGCCAGCGCTGCCTATCGACCTTCCCACCCTCTCGGCTATCAGCGCACGGGCCACGCCTTGCCAACACCGTTGGCAATTCTATTTTGCGAATCCTCGCTATTACGAAACATATGCGGTGCGCTACGACATACAGCTCGTGGGCTCAGTGTTGCAGCGTACCAGAATGCGCTCGGGACCGCTTGTTGGCCAATTTTTGCGTGTGCGCTGCGCTGATTGCGGCTGCCACTTTCTCCAACGTCGCCTGGTTTGGAGTAAAGCGGACACGGGTTGGCACTAACGCCATCGGTGTGGGCATAGCTTCCGCTGTCAATGGGCTCAGAGCCGCCCGTGCGACGCACGGGTACTATATTATTTGTGGCAGAGCCGTGCGAATCCTTACCCCGACGTTTCAGATTGTTGTGCTCTCGGCGCAGCATGCAGAGCAGTGCATCGTCGTCACGAGCATATGTCCACCTGCAGCAGTCTCGGTCTCTCGGGTTGAAAGAGAGGGAATGAGCATACACCCGAACGGCCCAGGTGGTTTGCGAAGATTCGGTGATCCCTGAGCAGAACGGTCGGCATCTTCATATCCGGAGAACCCATCTTTCTGGACTACTCCGCCGATCTAGAGAACATGGGCAAAGTGGCCCGGCCGCGCTGTCAGCGATGCTACAGGTACCGTATCCTTCCTCAAGCATCACGACGGTGACAATGTCCGCGCGCGAAGGAGCTCGAAACGTACAAATGCATAGACAGATGAAGACCCTTGCAAATGGCTAAAATTATATCTTCAAGCCACGCTTCCAGCGCGTCGATTATGATCAAGGTAGGAAGTTACCGCACAAGCTAACGACATCACTAACACCCTGTGTTGTAGAGAGATAGTTTAGAGTGACCTCTATTGCGTTGTATCTTGCTGCACTGCGACAGCACAACCAACATGACAGCGAGAATGGCGATGCAGTTATACCAACAAAATGGATCAGCGGGAAGCAAGATTCAAGCAGGTGGCCGTCAATTCCAGATTGCATGAGAGCCTCGTTAGTCATCATCACGTTATTTTTGGTTTCAGCTCACAAATGACGATGTTCGTGCTCCTTCGAGACCGCAAGACTTGTTCCAGAAATAATCGCTACGCCGAGCTCAGAGCGCTCAACTTTCAGCCGCGCTGCTTCTAGTAGAAATCTTTGGAATACTTGCTCCAGCAAGTCGTCGAACATGTAAGTGATGTGCACATATGATGGCCCAGTCCGGGGCAGTGCTTCTCGATGATGTCTCGACGCAGGTGGAGAACTCTCGTGCGCTCCCTCGCACCGAAACGACCCGCACGAATTCATGGACCTCGAGTCCACGCTTGATATAGCCGCAACACTCATGGCGGAAGCACTGGTTGACAGTGAGGTCCAACACACTCTTGCCGTCGTTCACGGTGTTGTAGGATCTCGCCTTCAGCGGCGTGTCTGAGAGTATTCTGGTCAGTTGGCTGTGTGTGGCGACGAATCTGGCAGCTTACTCTTATATTGGGTAGCTTACGCATGCTGATACCCGATGTCCCACACGCCGGTGGGAGGCACATAGGCAGTGTGGCGGGACTGCCGCGGACGGTCTCATATTCCTCGACGTCGTGAGGAACTTCGCAGAAAATGAATGGTGTGTCACTAGGATTGTGGAGAATCAAATATTGGAAGAACGAGCGAGCCATCGCTGTCCCCTTTCTGGATTTATTCCAGCCAGTCTTTGAGATTCTGTGGCCACGAGCAAATTGTGGCGCTTGTCACGCGTCGCGTTAATGAGGTCCACGCGCCTGTCACTGTCGTGTCTCGTCACGCTTGTGAACGGCCGACTTCTCATGTATCCCATTGCAGGCTCCAACTGATCTATGAGGGACTTGCATTTCATCTAACGCTACGTTGAATTATGCGTCAATTTCTGTTTGTTGTTGTTGACCTTTGCGAACTTAGGCCGGTGTGAGTCCGTCGACAGTCACACATCGACAAGGCCCTCAGTTGAACTAAATTACCGCAAGCAGACGTATAGGTGATCTCTGGAGTCGATCATCCCTTTCGTCCACAGCTTCATCGTTTTTCAAAAAGGATTGCATATATCTAGGAATCTATGCTGATAGCGTTGATCGACTGCTGAGCTGGATTACTCTTGCGACTGCGGGATGGTATTAATAGGCCATTCATATTTATACTGTCATCCTGAAGTCCTTGTGATACCACTCGCCCAGGCCCACATGAAGGGCAATTACTTTCCAGGTGTTGTGCGCTTACTGATAGAATATCGTGTCGTTGACATTTGCGGCGATCGTGCTATCAAGCTCACGAGTCTCATTTTCCAGCTGCACGAAACACAGATTGCTGTCCCATCAGCGGTAAGTGTCGCTCAAAAGCATGTTCTTATCTGATAGACGATGACGACGTATGTTCTATGACTTTTGAGGCAGTGCGCCTGTGCAAAGTCGCGAGCCTCAATCTTGCGTCTTATGCAGAATCATGTCGGGTAACCTTCTGGCGAAGATTCTTCTAAATCTCATAGGCTCAGAGACAGCTGTCAAAAGGTCGAAGGCTCCCAAACTACATACTATCGCATCCAGAGATGGTGTCATTCGCACCCTGTCCAATGTGATCAAACAAACCTTCTTGCTCGGGATTCGGGAGTCTATGCTAACACGCGCTGTGCCGCATCGCAGATTTACAGCAAGGTTTATAGCATCGTATGGCGCATCTCGCAATCTTGCTGAGACTTCTGACTGCGCCGCAGCTAATACGTACTTCCGTTGCCCTAGATTGCAGAACACAGCTCTGACTCAACAAGATGGTTACGTCAGATCTGAGAGTTGGAAATGTCTGGAGCCGTTGGCGCCATCGTCTACCGTTACGTTGTCATGGGGCTTCAACAATAAGCATGTATGCATGGAAGGTAAGAACATTATGCTGTTCGTGGGAGATCCGATGGGAGGATCTATTTACTCTTGAAGGAAGCCCTTCGTACAACATTCATGGCGCGGTCGTTGTCAGGTGTAGAGCACATGATGCAGGAGAATACTCCTCGGGTAAGTTCAGTCAAACGTTCGTCGACGGGCCTGCGCATTAAATCCGTTATCAAGAATGTTGCTGGTTAAGTTTTCACTCATTGTACTAGCGTGCTTCCTTGCTGGGGGGATGATTCATGTGATGCCACGGACGGTATGTAAACAGAACTATCTCCGATGATTGCGGCGGGCGACTATGTCACTATATAGGATATCAACCCGATGATGGCAGGCTCGCTTATACCGCGCTGGGCTCAACTTGATCATGGAGAGGGAGTGCGCGACGCGTTCTAGTCATGTGTTAATCGTGAGTGTCGGTGATCCGTTCATTCGCATCCGTCATTGATTTTGATTCAGGTAGGAGCCGGGCCCACTGGGCTTGTGCTTGCGCTCGCGCTTCTGAAGAACAACATATCAGTGCGTGTGATAGAGAAGGCAGAAAATATCCCGGTCGGTCAACGCGGTGCGGTTATCATGGTCAGTACCAAAGTCAAGCGGTACCTCCGAATGTTAACGAGAGCACTATACCATAACAAGCCGCGTTCTATGGAGCTATACAATCTACTTGGAGTCTGGCCGGACATACAACATCGTGCGAAGGTCCCGCCGCTCATGCGTGTGTATAAGCTGCCTGGCGGCGTAGAGCCCGTTGTCACTTTCGCAATGGACCCGCATGTTGATCCTACTCCGTCGACGCCTTTTGTGAGTCTGTCGCAATCTTCGGCCATCAGATGATCATGTCTGACTGGAGAGTATTGATTGGTCAATGCAGATGAATTTCTGCATGTTTGGCCAAGACCACGTGCAGGAAATCCTAGTTGACCATCTTGTCCGGCACGGTTGTGACGTAGAATTCGGCACGGAACTGTGCAGCTTTGAGCAGAATTTGGACACCGTCACTGCACACGTTCTTCATAGGCGAGGTGATGAAGAGATCAACGAGCACATAACCTGCCGTTGGCTGATGGGGACTGATGGGGCTAGGGGTGCAGTTGCGCGAAGGTGATAAAGCAGTGAGCATGTGCTAAAATGTGTCAACGGCAGGAATTGTGCGGAAGCAGCTCGGGCTTTCGTTTCCTGGGGTCACTCTGCCTCTCAGTCGTCATCTTATAATCGGTGATATTGAGGTGAAGGGGTTGGATCGTGAGGTGAGCCGACGAATGCTCTCTCTGTACATGCTCGGGCCTCATTCTCGCAAAGTATTGGCATTTTGGGGAGATGCCGATACGGTCTTGTAAGTGACATTGTATATAGACATGGCTCGGAGCACTGTGTTGATCAATATGTCGCCCCACAGCGTTACCCTGCGTCCTACCGAAGACGAAGGATATTTCTCAATCTTCTCTGGCGGAAATATAGACATCCCCAAGGCAGTAGCCGAACCCGACGAGCTTCTTCGGGTGTTGCGTGCTGGAACCGGCAGAGATGACATAGACTTAGGTGTTATCAGGTGGATCTCGGAGTACAGGCAAGTCCTAGAATGGGATAACCATGCAGCCAGCTGAGTATGATAGGCCAAACGAACGGATGGTCGACACACTTCGAAAGGGCCGGGTCTTCGTTGCTGGAGGTCTGGCCGGCTCACCACGCGAGACAAATTGTCGCTGAATGCTTTACCAGATGCAGGGCACGTTCATAGCCCTTACGGCGGTCAGGTCAGTGCTTGAAGCTAACAGTTAAAATTTTGGCTTCATCTCTCGCGCGTCACAGGGATTGAATTCAAGCATTCAAGACGCTGTCAGTTCAAAGGAAATTGGGATCTCTGATATATTCACATCCTTCATCAGATCAATATCGGTTGGAAGCTTGTTCTGGTGGAGAAAGGCCTTGCCCTTCCCTCCTTACTGGACACGTACACAGAAGAGCGCTTGCCGGTCATCGCACAGGTGCTTAAAACCTCCAGCGAGCTCTTCGACGAAACGATTGCCGCGAAGAGGGACGGCAAGACCAGTGAGAAGGCGTGGTACCGTGGTGGCTACCTTCACCAGCTTGGTGTCAACTACCGATGGAGTTCGGTCTTCGTGGATGAGCGGGCCCCGCCCGAACCCGCACCTGTAGACCCGTACGGCGTCCATCGGCAGGCGACCGACATCGTAAGGGCAGGCGAACGAGCGCCAGACGCGCCGGACTTGCTTATTTTGGGTATTGATGGGGCCACTGAAGAACAGACAACTTCGTTGTTCCGCATATACAGCCCGTCCTGCCGCACGGTTCTGCTGTTCAACGCTACGTTCTCCGAGGACGCGCCCCTGTTGCATACATTGCACAACCTGCCTCCCTCAATGGTCCGAACAGTACTCATACTGCCGGAGAAATCGCCTGGATTACCAGGCCGTAAACCCGATGGGATCGACAGCGTGCTGCTCGACCAGTATGGACATGCATATAGGAGCTACTTCGTGGCAAGAGACACACCAACCATTGTCATCGTCAGGCCGGATGGTGCGGTGGGCGGGATAGTATTCGGCCTTGATGGACTTACACAGTATTTCCGCGGTGTCTTCTCAGCTGCCACTATCATGTAGCTCACCTCTATCACGACTTGCATGCTAAAGGTTTCGAGATGTCTCGCGTTGTTCATGATGAAAGCAATCAAGAAGATGTTGCAGATACCGTAACAAAAAAGACCGTCGCACTACTGTGCCTGCCCCTCCCCCCCACTTCTTTCCATTAGTTCCAGTACTTCTGGGCGTAGTATCCAAGAACCACATTCGCGAGCAGGGGCGAGTACGACAGGACGTCGTCATCCGTATAGGTCTTGTCACTCTGCACCTCGTTCAGGATCTCCAGCAGCTGGTCCTCGATGAAGTTGATGAAGACGAGATCGATCTGCGTGTCGTTCGACACGGTTGGTACGTTCGAACCGATGAAGTCTGGGCTGGAGTAGTAGGGCTGTGAACAACAGTCAGCAAATCGGGCTAGAGGGCAACGCTAGGAGGATACACACCAGAGCAATGTGCGGCGTGTCGTCGCCAACGCCAGGGCAAAGCTACCAAGTATCGCGAGATCGTCAGCAACACGACACTTCTCGTTCGAGCAGGGCAGACATACGTCCGACGTGACGTATCCGAGCGTCAGGTTCTTGCTCTCAGCGCGCCTTTGGAGCATCTCCGCCCCGCGGGCACTCATCTCCTCCAGCCACGCGTTATAGCGCATGCCGACATCACCTTGCGCATACCGCTCCGCGTCGCGCTCTACGGCGGACAGGTCCCGCTTCTTCTCGTCCGCGCCCGCCTTGTTCAGCGCAGGGAGCACCTCCGACGCGACGCCCAGCGTGATGTTCGGGATGTAGAGAAACGCGTCGAGGAAGGGCAGCGCCGTCAGCTCGTCGTTCTTCGTGAACGCGCCCGCGAGGATGTCGAAGCGCAGCTCGCCCGAGTTGACGATGATGATGTTCGGCACCCCCGCCCGCGTGTTATTGATGCTCAGCGAGTATGGGAGGACCTGCATGCGGGCTCTATCAGAGATATGGTGGCGCAGACGCAGGATTTGCACACGCCTCTGATGCGAGCAGTGTCAAGACCGAGCCGTTGGACGGGTATGGATCCCTGTGCAAGAATCAATATTGTCACCAGCCACTACCTTGAGGAGTGTGTGGCATACCTGGAAAGGGTGTAGTCCTGCGGTGCATTCCCATACAAGTAGCTCAGGTCGTACGCGACTGCGAGCTCCTCAAGCCCGCGCGTGATGTTCTGACCCTGTGTCGTGTCGTACGTCTGGTTGCTTATACCGGTATGGTACTATCACATGGCATCAGCCGTCCGCGGGTGCGCAGAAACCCCGGCTCGCGCACCTCGTACGTCACCCGGTTGGCATCCAGGTAGCGCCGCGTGAACGTGATGTTCTCGTGCTCCGACACATCCAGATTCGCACCTGCGCGCGAGCGTGAGTTCGTGTTGCTTAGCTGCGCATACGTTTGTGGGCAAGACTCACTCATCCACCCTATACAGTCAGACGCGTAAGCCTTCTCTCGAGGTCTGCGCCGCAAAGCCAAAGTACCCACCGACAGTCTCCATGTAGCGCCCGCTCTCCAGTGCCATCGAGCGTCCGTCGAACTGGACTGCGCATAGAGGATCTCAGCTGATATCACCAAAGCACGGACACAGAACATACTGCAGTCGCGGATGTGTGTGTGTCCTGCGCGCAACGTCAGTATCTTCTAGGAAGCGGCATCAGTGAGCAAGACATACCACCCAGGATCAGAATAGGCGTGTACGGGTGCACCGCACGCACGGCATCGTAGACAGCAGGCCCTGTTATGAAGGTGTTAATTATTTTCTCTCACTCCAGGCCAGCTTAGCTTACAGTGGTCGTACCGTACAGGCATGTGTCTAATGCAGACGCGTCAGCCCTCGTTGTACATTTTGCACATTTCTGCGCAGGATGACATACCCCAGAAGGACAAACACGTCAGGCTCTTCCGCGATCGCCTCTTTAAACTGGTTCCAGGATGCCAATCAGCAGTTAGCGCCGGGCGGGAGGGGACAGAGCTGGACACGCACCCAGTGCTCCTTGACCATCTCCGCGACCGTCTGCACAGTCGTGTTCTCCGAGTTGCCCGTGAAGTCGTACAGCACGCCGAGCGACGTGATCTTGCGGCCCCTACACGTGAACGCGAGCCGATCAGGACTCCCCCCCATGACTGCACACAACGCCCACGCGAGACTGACTTGCGCGTGGTGAACTTGGTGTAGCGGCTGCCGACGGGGACGTCGATCACCTTGCCGTCGTCGTCGTACACGGTGATGTTGACGTTCGACGACAGGTATCGCCCGTTCCAGTGCGGCGCGAAGTTCTTGTACGTGTCGTACGCGTCCGCGTATTCGTACAGCTCGTGGCTGGGTGGCGGTTACAGTTACGGTCTGTCAGCGTATGACGGGGCAGGGCATGGTGCGCGCACGCACTTTCCGATGGCGAGGACGTCGTACGGGAGGTCCATGATGAAATTGTTCGTCTTCGCTCATCGTGAGTACGGCAACGGTTGGCTCGCAGAATGCAGGCGTACCTCGTGGCCATCGACCTGGCCCGGCGGATAACCGTCCGAAAGGCCCGTTCCTGACGTAGATATCAGCTCGCCACAATGACGGTCAGCATACAAGAACAGTAGCATTGCGTAGTAGTATGGTGGTATCCGTTTGCACAGAGACAGCTCTGCGCGGGGCTCACACAAAGATGCGGTGGCTGTCGAAAGCTCGTCCCCGTGTACTCACTCTGCATCCCTTGGGATAATGTTATGGAAGTTTTGGAGCCGCTCAGTCACCGTCTGCCGGTTTGAGCGCGGGGGGATCGCGAGAATACAGGCCAAGATCTGCAAACGAGACTCTGAGGAACGCCTGTTTCTACAGCGTGAACTATATACTTATGCGTGCGCAATACAGTCGATCCGTGGGTGGAACATGCCACTCAGGGCCCAACGTGATGGTATTGACCATAGTAACTGGCAGATCTTGCCAGTCACTAGGCACAGGACTGTCGCGGTCCTTCAACGAGCTGCATACCTCTACGTGCGTAGAGTAGACTTCACTATAAGGGACAGCACCGAGCAGGCCCCCGACGACGCGCATGAAGGAGGCAGAGAACAGACATGGTCGTGGAAGCCTGACTCTTATAGCAGAGGAATAGGGAGACAGGCTAGAATGTGCCGACACGTACCGTCATGCAGATCTCCGGTATCAACGAGGAGGAGATCGACGTCTTTATCCTAGATAATACCAACCATCGGTATGACCCCGATGTGATCAGCGGGGTGCGAGGCTGTCGGCCACGCGAGGACGCACCAGGGCGATCTGCTTCATGTGCGTGACGAATGACGCAAAGTCCCCAAAGTCCCCGCTGTAGTTGGGTTCGGGGAATGAGAGGTGCTGGTGCCCGAGCAGCCACCCATGGCTGTCAGTGGTATGGATGATGCTGTCGCCCACGCCGTCAGTACGTCGCTACTACAGGCTGCTTTGCGGCGCACGCACTTGAAATCGCTCCACACTAATGGCCTGCTCGGTGGTGTCAGTGGTACCTGCGGATACAGTCGCTTTGCGTGTACATGGTCGGCATGCGCATGCGCGTGGTCTTCGCCGGGGCACGCGAGCACGCTCAGCGCGAGGGCGGAGAGCGTGAGCTGAAGGGCGAGCTGCATCGTACAGCGCGTCGCGCGGGGTCACTCGGGCAAAGCAGCAGGACTCGAAGCGAAGAGGGCGGACACCCTTATATATGAGCGCACGAGCCCAAAACAAAGAATGCCGAAAGCCATATGCGTGAGCTCGAGGTACGTGGGAGCAGTCAGGAACTGAGACTGCCGTCTTGGATTTCTCTGTCCATGATTGATTGCGGAGGCGCTTGGGCGGGGAAAGACTGGCTTGGCACGGCAGGCGCCGCGTGGTCGTACTTATCGTGGGCTCGCCCATGTGCATTCACCTTGTGTATCTTTAGTCCAGGCGGTATCGCTTGCGACTGGCACGAAGGGAGGGGGTTCATGCGATGGGATCCCAATGATGCAAGTGCAAACCTCCGCGGACGGGGTCATGGCATTTCCCTGCTAGTTTCCCCGCAGAAGCGCTCCGACTGCCCAGACCGTACATGCCAGCTGGGGTTGATAGCATGGACGACGTTCAGGCTGGTTCATGTGACGGAAAACTGGGTCCAGGGACTCAATGTAATCAAGAAACTTATAAACGTGCGTGATCGGTGGGCCGGTGGGACGAAACCCCGGTCAAGAAAACTCAGACGAGAAGGATGCTGTCGTTGCCGCGTGCACTTGTGGGCGCAGATCACTGCCGCGGGTCGACGTTGTATTGTATCCTCCACGAACGTTGCGTGCGTTACACGTAGAAAACGCCACGTTCCACTGTTCAAGGGGACCGTCGCACGCCAGAGCGCGTGTACCGTGCGCGTCGTGTCCATCGGGTCGGACGTCCCTTGGAGCACCCGAGCGGCAGGTCTAGAAGCCGGGCGCAGATGGACTGGTAGAGGCTCGGCGATCGATTTGCGCAAGGTAAGGAAGAGCGAGGCCTTGATGGGTTGGAGGACACAAGGAGCAGAGTGTTCCGTCCAGGCGCAGTGCATAGTGGACACAGCACCAGACACAACGCGTCAACCACAGATGACCGACAGCGGTCAGAGCGAGAGAGGCCGCTCTGGCGAGGTGCGCGCAAGCAGTGGAGAATTCTGACAGAAAGGCGAAGGCTGACTCCTCATATAGGCTAGGCGGGGGCCATACAAGGACTGCTATATGGCCCTATGCATGTTGCTGCCTATTTCGAAGCGCCCAAGGCTGTTGCTCCTTCAGTTCAAATCCAGCCAGAACACGATAATCGGCCATTGGGAAATGATAGCAATATAAAGATTGCTCGGACCCTTGAAGAAGGAAGGGGGTCAGTGTGAGCCTTCGTAGAGGTGATGTGATAAGTATTTTGTTGCGAGGTGATCACAAGGGAAGGGTCCTCGATACTCGGACGGAGGGCTTCAGTAAACTGGCATGGAACGGGATCATCATGTGCACGCGCTCTTCCAGGGGCCCTCATTGACGAGACATCGCAGCAGCAGCAGCAGGCTGTATAGACAGGTTTTGAGACGTTGTTTCGGAATTGACAAACCTTCGCACCACGTTTCTCAAGCGTCGCTGAGACTGCCGTGTACGTACGAGATAGACATTGTATGGAGCATGAATGTGGTCTGATTATCTTGCGCGTTCGATACGCCACTTCGTTGGCCTTCAAGTCTCGGATCCAGAGAACTTGTGAGGAAAGGCTAGGGAGGAAGCGGCTTCAATCCGAGCAATGATGCGCGGGGCCTCAACAGACCCTATGCAGCTTTACTGTAGTTAGTTATCACGTTGATATATGAGTTCAGAGTGGCGTTAAGAGCCCCAAGATGGTACAGTCTTCAATTGACACTCACTATTGATACAGCGGGTGTGCGCGGTACTCGGATATATCGCAAGTTGGCAATATCTTGCCCCACGACGTCCATCCAAATTCTGCTGGCAAGGATTCCCAATGAAGGGCGCCGCTATGTAAGATAGAGCGCGAAGCACTCAGCCCGATGACGCAACCGTGCCAACATGAAACCACAAGGTGTCCCATCCGGATTTTCTGAACAAAAGTTACAACAACCTATGAGTGCAGCATTATTGTTCTGCGATCCGCATCTTATGAGATATGTCAACGGTCGCAGCCTCATATGATGAGCAGCTCGCAGTCCTGTTTGTGCCTACTATTTGCATCGCATTACTGAAGAAGACCATGCCGTAGCCTAGGGATATATGCATCGGAAGTAGAAGCTCCAAGGCGCGAGGCTCAACAGGGTTCAACGTAATGCGCGAACAAGGAGCTGAGGATGTCCATTTCGCTCTGTAATTTCCTCAGACCACGTTCGACTGCAGTTGTATGATCAAATTGGGCGTCAGTCACTAAAGAGTTTGCTCCGTGCTCATGGGTCGCCTCACCTCCGTCTCTACAAACCATACAACTCATCACATTGCCGCTGCACAAAGAGTCATTGTATCAATACGTGATGACATTGACATTTACACTCGAGAATACAACTCACTCCACTTCTTCGGCCAGAAATACGGCGAGGGAACACCATCGGTGCACACATCTGGCAGCGGAAGCGCGATTGGATCATCTTCGATAAGCCACACCACTCCCACATGTGATTGAATTGTTTTTAGGTCTCGTTTGATTTTCTTTAGGTCCTGTGAAAACGTCCTTGATTAATGTAACGAATGTCTTCCTCCCGATCTTGGCCTATTGTCGCCCGCGATTTTGATTGTTATCCATTGGATCATTACTCCCAGGTCGTTGTCACAATTCAAGCGTATCGCTTTCGAAAGGCCAGCTACAAATACCGAGTACGGGTGGGAAGAAATGTACAAAGCCTCTGCGTCGTTCGGGGCCAGAGGGACCAGCCATTGAAAGTCGGACACTTGACAGCTTTCGAAGTTGACCGCCAAGTGCGCAGGGAGACCGACGTGCGAGAAGAATCCGGATACAATGTTCCTGTTTGAACGACAGATGGAGAGACGGCGAAGATGCTGGAGGGTCACGGCAGGGATATTTCTATGAGGGTCGGGTGCGTCCTTAGCACTGATGTCGTATAGACCCAGGTCCTCCAGTCTTGGCGCAATCGACAACATGCGAAAAAAGTCTACAATGTGTAACCGCTTTCTGGAGAGGAAAAGGTGCGTGAGATTGGTGAGGGAGCTGGGGAGATGCCAATCCACCGCCCGTAGGACAAACACCTTAAAATTAGAAACATCGCCTCGAAGCTGGCAGTCCCATGCCGCCAAGGCTTGGAGTTCGTGGGCACATGAAGTGGGTAAGTCCAAACCCCACCCTCCTGGATACGATGCGAACGACTGAATGTGTTGTCCGTCAGTGCGCCATAGCTTCTCCACCCCGAGATTTTCATCTTCAACGTCGGAAATTTCATCTTCAACATCGCAATATTTAGCTTCTCTAACGTTGAGTGCTCTTAATGGCGCGCTCCGCGAGCGGAAATGATACTCGTCAACGGCACGAGGATGAGAGGAGCCGTAGATGGTTGTCCAAAGAGTGGGAGTGTCCAATGCCACATCGCGCCACTGACGACACACATGCGTCAGTGGAAGCAGCGCATTTGTGTCCTTGAACTCGAAGAGGGATTCCCAGACTAATAATTCTTCGAGGCTGCGGTAATGCAGATCGGGAGTCAACAGTGGTGGTACTTGGTGGAAGATTTTGCTGAGAATCTCAACAGGAAGGCGATTGACAGGGCACTGTGCATTGACCAACACTCGAACATCCAAGAGCGTATGCAGGAGCTCATCTGCAATGCACTCGAGCTGGAAGCAAGTTCCAATCCACATCAGTTGCATTTATTGAGTTTAATTGATAAATATCTTATTTGAACGAGACTGCGTGAAACAAACATTTCAAATTGGCAGGTCAGCTCATCTTTCAATATATCGTGAACAACGCTACTAAGCTCCCTTTTTATTTATGTATTTTTAAATCCAGTTTTGTATCCGCTTGAGTGCCTTGCCCTATGCCGGATAATACATGCGCGTGTAGTGCGGAGCGGAGCGAGTAAAGATCACGGGCTGTCAGGTAGCATGGGGAAGAGGGAGCGCGAGCAAGCTATCGTGCTTGTTCCGGGGTGTAAGTAAGCAGGTCTTTTGGTGCGCGGGCGATCTTGTGGAAAGGGGCCGGGTGAGGGCGTATTCGAGTGCGTAAGCGCAGGGAGGAGTGAGAATAGGTGGTCGTAGGTATATCATTAGTTTATGTACCTCCATTCTCTGCAGGAGTTACGCAGCTTTTCCAGTAGCGACGCTGCCTCAGTGAAAGTGAAAGCGATGTTCGCCATATTGATAGATTGTGACTTGAAGTTAGTGCTACCGTAGGGTGTCGGATGAAGATGACTTTGAGACTTGGCGCAGCACGCTTGGTCGCACGTGTGCTACCCTGTTCGGATTGCGACGCGAGTCCCACGCATCAGCGTCAACTTCCGCATCGCGCGCGTACACCATAGTGACCACCATACAGGCTAGAGCTGTGCCACCTCCATCTGATCGGTCTATCTAGGATGCGGACGTAGGACGGAATGTTTTAATATCTTGCGGATGAGACAAGTGGATCTCGTACGGCTATCGCAAGCCGACGAAAGCTTATGCGGAACAAATAAGTTGGGTCTCGCAGCAAACTTCAAAGATCTATGCATAGATAGCTGTGAAGGGCACTTTAGTGCCCTAGCCTTACGAGCCCTGAGCAAGAGAGGCAATTTCGGGGTTTCTGGAGAGATAACACAAGTGCATTTGTTGTACATGCAGAAAGGAGATGTCGCCATCTTCGGGGCTCTTCGGGGATGCTGTGATGCCTTGAAGACCGTAGTGCGTTTGAGCAACTGACATGCGTGTTGTGCAGATCTAGACTATTCTAGATAAGCACCCGCCGAACACGCTGCCGCTGTGAAGTAACGTCACCAGCAAGTCGATCAGCTGCGGGCAGCGTGGAATTTATCAGACGACAACGGTCGCTTACACATAGTAGAAACACGTAGCGTACAGTCCATTATCCCTAGTAGAATGGCTACATCTACCATGACTTCGCACGCCGCACTTGCTGTCTTGATTGTAAGTAATATTCTGACCACTACCAAAGCTATGTCTCATTGTACCACGGCGTAGGTTGGCGCTGGTCCAGCAGGCCTCGTCCTTGCCCTCACTCTCCGACAGAATGGGGTGCAAGTACGCATTATCGATAAGGAAACGCAATTCAGACCAGGACAGCGGGGTACAGGTCTGCAAGTAAGTCAGGAACCAGACACTGTCTGCTTACATCTTCTGACCACACTTTGATCAGCCACGGACGTTGGAGGTTTTCAATTTCCTTGGTGTTCTCCCGGATTTCCATGCCATTGGACTCCGTCAGGTACCGAGACGCTCATATAAGCTACCGGGGGGCACTGAGCCCTTGATGACGGCGTACATGGCCCCTCCTCAAGAGCCCACGCCCACAACACCACTTGTGCGCCTTCAACAGGATCATCGCTTGGATCTAGTCGTTCTGACATTCACTCTTCACAGCCCAATGGCCTGCACCTCGGGCAGGACCATACAGAAGAGATACTGCGCAAGCATTTGGGCAAATATGACAGCCACGTCGAATTGGGTACAGAGCTGGCCAGCTTTGAGCAGCATCCTGACCACGTCGTCGCGCACCTCACCAAGAAACCGGAGGGTGGAGAGGAGGAGCAGGAAACAATTGTGTGCTGCTGGCTTGTCGGCACGGATGGCGCGAGAGGTGTCACGGATATCTCATCTGTTTCTCGCGCTCAGCTAAATCTGGACCGTAGGCGTCGTGCGCAAGCAACTCGGCCTGCGCTTCATCGGCGAGACACGAGAGGAGCAGCACATTGTCGTAGGGGAGGTCGAAGTCGGCGGGCTTGATCGCAACGTGAGAGGTCACCTTATTGCCTCGCATTCTATCGCAGGCTCACAGGCTCACAGCACTGGCACTGCTGGGGCGACGCATCGACGAAGCTGTACGTCCATGTTCCATGTTCTGCTATTGCATTGCTGATATCCCACGTAGCCTAATGCTACGCCCGACCGAGAACCCTGGCACATTCTACATGCTCGCAGGAGGTCAGATTAACCACAAGAAGGTGGTTGCGGACCGCGGGGAGCTAGTAAAGTTCATCTACGATGCGACGGATCGAAGGGATCTGCGGATCGGGCAGGTTCCGTGGATCTCGGAGTTCAGGCGAGTCGCTTGTCCAACGTTGGTCTGCACGGAATGCTTATCAGGACGCGCGGTTAGGCCAAACATACGGATGGTGGATAAGTTCGGCAATGGGAGGGTCTTCGTTGCTGGAGGTGTGTGCAAAACGGTCCGATGGCTCCGGCTGTGTGAAGCTGAAGTCGGATATAGATGCCGCTCATATCCATAGCCCTACCGGCGGGCAGGTGCGAGCTTCTCTAAATCTCAGGTCTTCTTCACTGACAGGCGTTTCTCATCCTATCAAAGGGCTTGAATTCCAGCGTACAAGACTCGGTGAATATCGACATGCACCGCCAATCACTCTCGCTGATCAAACCACAATCAACAGTTCAACCTTGGCTGGAAGCTCGCCTCAGTCGCAAAAGGCCGCTCCTCGCCAGCTCTACTCGACACCTACACCGAGGAGCGCCTGCCCGTCATCGCAAGCATGCTGGAGAAGACGACCGAACTCCTCGACCGCATGAATGCCGCGAAGCACGACCACCCCGCTGATGTTGATGCAGCCTGGCGGCGCGGCGGCGCGCTCACACAGCTCGGCGTGCACTATCGGTGGAGCTCGATCGTGCGCGACGAGCGGACGCCTCCGCCAAAGCAGCCGCAAGATACGTATGGTGGTGCGGCCGGGGAGGGGCTGCGCGCGGGCGACCGTGCCCCGGACGCACCAGGCCTGAAGATTGTCTCCTTACGCGCGTCAGACGTCATTGGCGGTAGCTATGCGGCGGGGGACGTCACGTCGGTCTTCCGCATCATCCGCCCAACGTATCACATCGTCTTTATCTTCACGAAGGACGCTGACTGGGCGCAGTCTGCGGTTAATGCGCTGCACGAGGTACCTCCGGAGGCAGTACGCCCGGTCGTAGTCCTCCCCAAGGATGTGTCTACCCACTCCGACGTTCCCGGCGTGGATATCGTGGTTGTCGACGCCGAGGGACATGCGTACGCAGGGTACGGCGCATCGGCGGAGCAGCCGCTGATCGTCACGATTAGACCGGACGGTGTTGTCGGCGCCATTGTGTTTGAGGTGGATGGGCTGCGCAAGTATTTTAGCAAGGTCTTTGCAGTATGACTGCAATCTCAAAGCCTGCAGGGGACTGCAGTGTCATTGCATCCAATTAAACTGGCTGAGTAACCAATCAGAGCCTATCGAATAACACGGTCGACATCAGCGCCTTCAACCGCATTGTTGACATGGTACAAGATCGATGTAGCCAATCGCATTCCGCATTCTTATATCCCAAAACGTTCATGGCCCATAGAGGGTGGGCTTGGAACGCTTTAGTTGAGTAAGTCGTTGATGAGTGTGACCTAGCAAAACATAGAAATGTCATGACAGTCTGAAATTGAGGTTCTGTGCTCTACTATCACTCGACAAGTAGGCACAGGTACTGGTATTGATTGCTACGAACCGCAGGAGAACTGGGATTTTTGCATGATTACATCGAGGCGTTGAGCTTTCAAGGAAAATGAAGACTGAGTGGTGATTACAAGCAGCAGGAACTATATGTGACAATTATGTCGCTGCTGCAGAGAAGACAAGCCTAAGGTATGTCTCCAGCCCTTGCACCCCAAGGACGATGGCGCCAATCACACCATCAGGCCGCACGACGATGATACTGGTCACGCGTGCATCGCAAACCTGATAGCCAGTATATGCATATCCCTCGTCGTCTACCAAAACTAGGTCTGTGTCGTCCTCCGAAGCGGATGGCGTGGTTGGTCCGTCCTTCGCATAGATGACCACGCTCCGGATTGCATGCGCGGGAAATTTCCTCAGTACCGCTGAGATTGCCTTGATTTGCGCCTGGTCATGGGAGAATAGGAGGACGGTGTGGCAAGAAGCGCTGATTATTTTAAAGACGGATGTCTTCGCATTTGTCCGGATATCCCGCATGCCAGGCGCATCAGGAGCGCGGTCGCCCGCCCGCACGACTGTGCCCGCCAGCAGCCCATATGGGTCATAGACAGCAGGATTTACGAGCGGCGTACGCTCATCGAGCACGATCGAGCTCCAGCGGTAATTGATAGTGAGCTGCTTCAGGATATCGTCGTTTGTGAGACCTAGTTCCCCGCCGCGACCATCCGCGCGCGTGGCCGTGCGCTTGTTGAGCAGGTCGGTAGTGAGCTTAAGCATCTCGCGGAGAACGGGCATCCGTTCCTCGTCGTACGTCACAAGAATCTGGGGCTTCGCTAGACCCTTTTCGACGAGGGCGAGCTTCCAACCAAGGTTGACCTACAGAAGTTAGAGATCAATTCCGCCAAACCAACGTCGTATGAGAGTTAGGTGTGACGTACTCCGTCCTGCATGCTGGAATTCATCCCTTGTCCACCAGCAGGACTGTGTACATGAGCAGCATCTGCAATATCTGGTTTGGCAGCAGCTACTAAATCAATTGTTCTCAAGACGTACCGCCAGCCAAGAACACTCTCCCTTCCATGAGTCTATCGACCATGCGAATATGCGGACTGCAGCACGAAGTGTCATGTTTCGCCGGTCAAATTGTTGGTTGACGCTGTGACTCGCCTGAAGACTCCGATTGATTGGATCTTGCCATATGTCAAATCATCTCTATTTGACCCCTCGCGGAGAACTCTGAGGAGTTCTTGCCTGATCGAAATTATCTTCGCGTAATTATACCTCCCTGCTACCGCGAATGCAAAGAGACCTGGAGTCTCCGTCGGTCGCAACATCACCCTGCCAGGTATCCAATTGTAAGTGTGGCGTGTACTGAAGGAGCACCCGAAACTGACATTTGAGTAGCGGGATCTCCCCATGTATGGATGTACTAAGAGACCTTGACTTTGTAACCGTCTAAACCAGATGTAGACAATGGTTTGGCCACTCACGTCAACATCTAATCCTTGCACTTCAATCTCCCCTACCGCAGATTGCTCCGATCGCTGTTCACCACCAAATGCCAAACGTAACTGCTTGCGTACGGCACCTGAAGCACACATATATCAACTACGTTCACATCGGCGAAAACCATCAACTCACTGTGAGATCCATCGGCACCCACCATCCAGCGACATGCGATTGTTTCGGTTTTCTCCTCGTCACCATCCTTTCTAACAACGTGAGCGGTGACATAGTCCAGGTTCTGCACAACTGTGCGCAGCTCCGTTCCAAGCTCGACATAACAGCCGTATTTCTCTAGATGAGATCGAAGGATGGCCTCCGCGCGATTTTGTCCGAGAAGCATCGGGTTGGGCTATACGGCAAAAATTGAGACATATTTCACAGAGTCACAAAAGGCAGACCGACGAAAGGGACAGCTGCCGTGGCATCAACCGGAGGAGAGACGTAGAAGGTCTTCAGGGAATCAATACCACCACCAAATTTATATAAACGGATCGGCATCATATCCAGGCCAGTCGCGCGCACATCTTGCAGTACGCCTAGCAGGTTGTATAGCTCCAGTGTCCTGGGCTATGCGCATCCGTGATCAGCTTCAAAGCTATCATGGCCAACATGTAATATTACCTGGATACCAACACCACGTTGTCCGACGTGAAACTCCGGGTCCTTATCGATAATCCTGACATTGATCCCACTCATAAGCAAAGTGAGAGCCAAAATAAGTCCAGAAGGGCCTGCGCCAACCTCCATGCAAGCTAGTTAGTGATCGAAACCAACTTATTATTTCAGGTAGACTTACTATCAGCACAGGAGTGACCGCTCCGGTTGCCATGGTTCACCAGACGTACGGGTATCGTTTGAATGTAAGAGACAGGTTTGAAAGATGAGCGAAGGCCATTTATATTATGCGGGAAGTAAGACTTGTTCATGGAGAGCGGCGGGATACGCATGCCCTCGGCTAACCCAGAAGGTTATGTCTGACAGTGTCCGCATGGTTTCTAGGGCGCATGCCGATGACATTCGCAACTGTCTCCTCTACTTCCTCTCTCAGACGATCTATTTTGGTTGAGGGACTTCGGCGTGACTACGCGGCTGAGCGGAGCTTGAGCGCTGCCTCGCCTACAAAAGGAGTTCCACGCGCTTCGTACTTGTGCTTGATACAGAGCGACTAGTGCTCGGTTTGAGGATTGATCTGAACGTAAGGAACACTCGCCAGTCGGATGGTAAGTTAAAAAAAAACCTGACCTGGGATTCCGCCTTCCTAAATTGGTACCGATGTTCTCCGAGTGTCCCCGGCCTAATGCCGCGCCCTTCAATCAACAATATGATCCGGCGTCCGTGTGCAGACAACACCACTTTTCATTCCACTTCGAAACAATATGCGTTGCATACGAAACACCAGAAAGGGGGATGTCACTGCGTCCAAAGTCATGAAACTCGGCATTGTACCACTTACAATCCGGTATCGAAGGTCAAAATCGAATCTCAAGGAATTGGTACAGTTGCAGCGCGAAGTCGAGCCGTGGTGGTAGCCGAAGAAGTCAGTCGGTCTTGAGGTTAAGAGGAAAAGTCGCCCCCTCTTTGAATCGGCCCAGGGCCCAATCTTTTGGCAGCACTGAACCGATCCGCCCACAAGGCTCTCACTGAAAATACCGTGGCGACATTGTACTTGCATGATGTAGTGATCAAACGAATGGTATATTGATACAAACTCGATGCAAAAAGAAACATTGAGATGTGAGGTATAGTAATAAACAAGGCGAGACAGAGTGGTGATTCTAATTTACATGCCATCGGCTGATACACTTATCAAAGATACATGTACAGATCAGCTGTTGCTTAAACAGACACCGGCATCAGAGACAGTAAGCCAAGGTCTTCACCCCAAGAACACATTCCTGAAGTAGGCCTCCAGGCCTGCTTCCCCGGAGACAAGAGCGCCAACAATCCCGTCTGGCCTCACAATAGACACAGTGGTCCCGTCCGGCGACGCACCGTATCCCGAGTGCCCATACCCGTCTCGATCAACACAGACGACATCTGCGCCAGATACGGCCAACGAAGGACTAGAGTCTCGCGGGTAGATGACGACCGTACGGATGAGGCGAGGCGGAAGCTTCTTCGTCGCTTTGAGTACAGCGGCGATCTGAGAGCCGTCTGAGGAAAAAATGAGGACCGTGTGGTGAGCGGAGTCGAAGATGCGGAACAACGACGTCGTCTCCGTGGAGACGTTGCCCTCCTCCACTACCGCGAGACCCGGGGCGTCTGGGGCCCTGTCGCCAGCATGCAGCCCGCCACTCGTGTCCGCTCCATACGCATCTAAGAGTTGCATGTCTTTCTCGGACGCTTCTCGGGGATGGCGCTCGTCGAGCACGATGGAACTCCAGCGGTAGTTGACGCCAAGCATCTTCAGATCGCGGGGCCGAGCCCATGCTTTAGATGCGTCTTCGCCATTCGCCATTGCGTTTCTAGTAGTTTTAAACAGGTTTGTTGTCTGTTTGAGCATATGGGCGATGACAGGTAGGCGTTCCTCTGTGTAAGTGTCGAGGAGCGACTCCGGGGCAAGCCCTCGCTCGACCAAAGCGAGCTTCCAGCCGAGGTTGAGCTAATAGTTCACCCGGATCAGTATAAACACGTTTAAAGTCACATCACACATACAGAATCCTGGACACTGGAGTTCATGCCCTGTATAGCCAGCATTATTTCAGTCACAGTGGGTATATTGAGAGTGGCGTACCTGTCCGCCGACTGGACTGTGCACGTGAGCAGCATCTGAAGAAATCAATATTTAGTTTTTATCAGACAGAGTTTCGCTTACCTCCCGCGACAAACACTCGGCCTTCGGAGAACTTGTTTACCATGCGAACGTTAGGGCTGAAGAGACGTGTCAATCGGAGTCCAGGAAGCGAGACGTCACAGTGCACCTGTAGTCGGACTTCCACTTGATCTCCCCGAAAATGAGATCATCCCTGTCCGACATTTGCTTGATTGCCTTAACCAGCGTATCATAATCCTCAAGGATCTTCTGGAGGTCGGAAGCTCCAGTGATAATGAAATTGTAGATTTCGTCATCCTCCGTGGGACGCAAAACGACCCTTATGTTCACGTGGAAAGTGAGTACGCTTGATATGGATCATGAAGAATGTCCCACATCCCGCTCTCAAAGCTTCCCCAGTTATGCGAGCACTACCCGGCCGTCAGTGAGTAAGGTGAGAGTACATGAATGGATTGCCGCGAGCTCACATCACGGGACAGATTCTTGACCACAATTTCGCCAAAGACAAACTTCCCTGAGAGCGACTCACCGAGGAAGGTCAGTCCGAGCTGTTTCCGTACAGTACCTGAATGCACATATCGTATCAGCAGTGAGCATCAACAGTAGATGAACACATGGAGGCTAGACCTCTCGCGCCATCGGTGCCCACAAGCCATCGGCTAACAACGGACTCATTGGCCTCTTCATCGCCACTGCGCTTGACGAGGTGAGCTACCACATGACTGCCGTTCTGTTCCAAGCTGAGCAGCTCGGTGCCTCGCTCGACATGGCATCCGTACTTGGCCAGATGTTCACGCAATATTTGTTCTGTTTTTGCCTGCCCGAGGAGCTGCGCGTGTATCTAGATAGTTCCCGTGAGTTGGGCAGTAGCGGTCGTAAATGGGGTGAGGACGAAGGAGCGTACGTAGGGGGTATCCGGGGTGGGATCCTCAGGAGTTATTAGATCAATTGTTTTGGCCGGCTCGACACCTCCTGGGAGCTTGTAGAACCGCATTGGAAGCAGTCCCATGCTTTTGGAAAGAATGTCAGGCAAAACACCCAACAGGTTCCAAGCTTCTAGCGTTCTAGGCTATGGTACATGTATGAATCATGAGTCCACATTACTCTTCGTTCAGGAAACTTGAGAAAAATGCATGTCACTACATACTTGTATGCCAGCGCCGCGCTGTCCAATATGAAACTGCTGATCCCTATCAATAATCCGAACTTGCACGCCATGCTGCACCAGAGAAAGTGCCAAGGCAAGGCCTGAAGGGCCAGCTCCGACCTTCGCGCAAATGCGTCAGTGCGGAAGGACATAACAAAAATAGGATTGAACTTACGATCAGAACAGGTAGAGGATGGGAGAAAGACATAGCCGAGGTTAATGAGTTTCACGGAAAACGCAGAAAACTTGTGGTAAAGGAGGAATTGTATAGACGCTACTCCATCTACCAAGGCACAGTCGATGCCGGATGTTTCCGTTGATCCAGCGATCGCGCAGTCGTTGTATCTGAAAGTAAGTCAGGTCGTTCAGACCGTGACCGTGCACAATCACGACACTCCGGAACTTAACCTCAATACTTAGTGTACGGGGTTTGCAGACCTAGGTCCTCGGCTAAACTTTTGACGATCTGATCGGCTGAGTACTTCAATTACCAGAATGTATCGTGATCTCAAAGCTCTAGCCGACGACCTGAGTCTCCGCAAAAAAAATCCAATCTGCGTAGTACATTGCATTTCTCACGGGCTCGCGTCATGTAGTAGCACCAGTAGTGGGTTCCACATGTCTGCTGCTTACGGTATGAAGCCATCTGGCTGTGGGCAGAACCGCGAGATAGGGCGCACGGCCGTGTGACATACAAAGGAAACCCAAGGCATCCACGACGGCACTTAGTTGTTACGGGGTAGTTTTTGGCTGCTCGTGCTTGCGTGATCAAACAAACTTGCATTGTCATGATGGGATAAGAATGAGCCGGGATGCTGTTATATACATTACGCGACAGGCTCAGCAGTACGCACACGTTTCATAGCCTTAGGTAGGTAGATCAACCTGAGCGAAGGTCGTCAGTTAATTGATACTCTAGCTCTCTCTCAAGGGCATTGGACATGTTCTCAAGCATTCGAACCCGAGAGCACACTCCTGAAGTAGGCCTCAAGACCTGTCGCTCCAGAAACAAGAGCACCGACGACACCGTCTGGCCTCACAACAGCCACAGTGATACCTTCGTGCCCGGCTCCGTATCCCGTATACCCATGCCCGTCCCGATCGACATAAACGCCATCCGCACTAGAGACGATTGGCAGACCAGCTAAACCCCGTGGGACAACGATGACCGCACGGACAAGACGAGACGAGAGCCTCTGCACCGATTTGAGTACGGCCGCGATCTCATCACCGTCTGAGGAGAAAATGAGGACCGTGTGGCGAGTGGAGCTGAAGATGCGGAACAACGACGTTGTCTCAGACCCGACGTTGCCCTCTTCCACTAGCGCGAGACCCGGGGCGTCTGGGGCTCTGTCGCCGGCATGCAGCCCGCCACTCGCGTCCGCCCCGTATGCGTCCAGGAGGTGCTTGTCTTTCTCGGTTACCTCTTGGGGATGGCGCTCGTTGAGCACGATGGAACTCCAGCGGTAGTTGACGCCAAGCATCTTCATGTCACGGGGCCTAGTCCATGCTTGAGATGCGTCGCCGCCATGCGCCGCTGGGTTTCTAGTAGTTTTAAACAGGTTTGTTGTCTGTTTGAGCATATGGGCGATGACAGGTAGGCGTTCCTCTGTGTAAGTGTCGAGGAGCGATTGTGGAGCAAATTCCCGCTCCACCAAAGCGAGTTTCCAGCCTAAATTGAGCTGATGATGACACGGTTAGTCGATAATGGGACATCTTTCATAGCTCAGAACGTACAGCGTCTTGCACACTGGAGTTCATGCCCTGTATCAGCTAATGATTAGCCCTCATTACCGAGAGGCCATAAGAGCGTACCTGAGCACCGGATGGACTATGCACATGTGCAGCATCTGTGCGGCATAAGCCCGTCTTCATACCGTATCCATGCTACCGCTTACCTCCTGCAACAAAGACTCGGCCTTCTGAGAATTTATTCACCATGCGAACATTTGGACTGGATACGAATCAATAGGACACTCAGCCACAGAGCATCTTAACGTACCTGAAGTTGGATTTCCACTTGATCTCGCCGAAGATGAGATCCTGCCTGTTCGACACTTCCTTCATTATCTGAACCAGTGTGTCGTAATTCTCATAGGCTTTCTCGAGGTCGACGTTTCCCGAGAGAACAAAGGTATAGATCTCGTCGTCTTCCGTGGGACGTAATATGACTCTGATCATCAAAGAGGAGAGGTGAGGTACTTCGAACAACATTGTCGCGGCAGACGTACATCTTAGACGTAAAATCGCCCCAGCAGTGCCAATACTGTCCAATAGTTGATTGTCAGAACCATTTATGAGACTGGACGGAAACTCACGTCACGGGTTAGATTTTTAACCACGATCTCGCCAAAGACACCCTTCCCCGAAAGCGCTTCGCCGAGGAAGGTTAGATTTAGGTGTTTCCTTACGATGCGTATGAAGCATGCAGCAGGTCAGTCCAGAACATAGCACAAGAGAACCAGCCTGGCCTACTTCTTGCGCCATCGGTCCCGACCAGCCAGCGGCAAACAACGGTCTCAGCGATTTCTTCATCACCATCACGTTTGACGAGATGCGCCACCACATGTTCGGTATTCTGCTCGAAGCTGGACAGCTCCGTGCCACGTTCAACATGACATCCATACGTAGCCAGATGTTCACGCAGTACTTGCTCTGCCTTCGCTTGCCCGAGCACTCGTGTGTTAATCTAGACAGTCCGTGCTAGCTGAGCATGGACAGCGCGAATCGATGTATTAACAAATGTGCTTACATATGGAGTGCTTGGCGTGGGTTCCTCTATGGGCATCATGTCGAATGTTTTGGACGGTTCAACACCTCCGGGGAGCTTATAGAACCGCATCGGGCGTAGGTCTATGCCTCTGGAGACGATATCGGGCAAAACACCCAAGAGGTTGTACGCCTCCAAAGTCCTGGGCTATAGGAAGCTGAACTTTAGATCTTGACGACGTGCCTCGATGGTGAAGAGAATATTACCTGTATGCCAGCGCCGCGCTGTCCCATGTGGAATTGCTGGTCCCTGTCAACCACGCGAACCTGGATGCCATGCTGGACCAGAGACAGCGCTGACACGAGGCCAGAAGGGCCGGCCCCAACCTGAGCGAAAGCAAATCAATCCTGGGTCAACGCAAGGGGCGGATTGCGCTGCACTTACGACCAAAACAGAGAGGGGTTGAGTGACGGACATGCTGAGATAGTATCTGAAGACGGAAGGGTCAATGCTGTGTGATCGGCTACTCAAGTGGGGGTGGTATGTGCCAGTGGGGATGAGGAATCACACAGTATGTCCTGATCACATATATATCGGTAGACTGAGGATGTCTGTGATGGTACTCACCGCCAACAGTCATACAACTGCGCTGCTTCCATTTGCAAATCGACCGACTGGAATGCGCAATTGCAGTGCTATCATCAAGGCGCTGCTGTCTAAGCGAATACATCAGGCCGTTCATAGCACAGTTTGCGAACAGATCCCGGCTCACCATCGGCCTCGGCGATCAGCCTATGACTCGAGCAGAACACACTCTGACCCAACCGAACCTAGCCTAACGTGCCTAGCTGGGCTGCAATGCCAAAAAGGGAAATTCCATTCATCATTATATATCACGTCCAAAAGTGGCCCAAGTATATATATTGGTACTTAGCCTTAAAATGTATCACAAATTCATTGCTAATAAGCAGCGGATTATGCATGATCATGCCAGGGACTGGTGATCCTAATAGACTGGTCGATCAAATGGAGGTGGCACAGCCTCAGCCTGAGTATGGCGTAGTTACGCGCGCGATTCACGCTGATGCAGATGCGTAGGACTCGTGTCGCGGGTAGCACACGTGCGATCAAGCGTGCTGCATGAAGTCTCAAAGTCATCTTCATCCGGCACCCTACAGTAGCACCAACTTCAGTCACGATTCATCAACATGACGGACATCGATTTCACATTCTCTGAGGCAGCGTCGCTACTGGAAAAGCTGCGTAACTCCTGCAGAGAATGGAGGTTAGTAGCGTGTTCAATGTATCTCAATATGAGCTGACCTGCCAAATGCTTGTTTCACACAGTCTCGCTGATGTAAGATATTGCGGTGATCAATCCAATCGAATAACTGCAACTAATTGCGATTTGACTTCAGCTTACTTGCATCGAGGATGCGCTCCTGCGTACACTCTCGGATGTTCGAATGTCCGCCAATGCACAGCACCCTGTCAACCGTCTTCCTGTCGAGATTCTCGGCGAAATTTTCCATCAGGTGTCACCACCGTTGAACAATCTGGACGACCCCAGCCTCGAAGAATTCTTAGTCTGGGATTCCCTGTTCGATTTTAAGGATACTGATGCGTTGCTTCCACTGACGCATGTGTGTCGTCGGTGGCGCGATGTGGCATTGGACACACCCACTCTGTGGACAACCATCTACGGCTCCTCTCATCCTGATGCCATTAGCGAGTATCGTATCCGCTCGCAAAGCGCGCCGTTGAGAGTGCTCAACGTTAGAGAAGTTAAAAGTTGCGATGTTGAAGATGAAATTTCCGACGTTGAAGATGAAGATCTCGACGTGGAGCAGCTATGGCGCACTGACGGACAGCGTATTCAGTCGCTCGCCTCGAATACAGGGTGCGATTCTGACCTACCCACGTCCTATGCCCACGGACTCCGCGCCTTGGTGGCACGGGACTGCGTGCTTCAAGGCGATGTTTCCAACCTTAAGGCGCTTGTCCTACGGGCGGTGGATTGGCATCTCCCCAGCTCCCTCACTAATCTCACGCACCTTTTCCTCTCCAGAAAGCGGCTACACATTGTAGACTTGTTTCGCATCTTGTCGATTGCGCCGAGACTAGAAGACCTGGGTTTAGACAGAATCAGCGCTAGGGACGCATTCGACCCTCATGGAGGTATCCATGCTATAACTCTCCAGTATCTTCGCCATCTCGCCATCCATCGCCCAAACAGGAACATTGTATCCGGATTCTTCTCGCACGTCGGTCTTCCTGCACGCTTGGCGGTCAACTTCGAACGCTGTCAAGTGTCTGACCTTCAATGGCTGGTCCCTTTGACGCAGAATGATGCAAAATCTTTGTACATTTCTGCCTCGATGTCCTCGGTAATTGCAGCTGGCCCTTCGGAAGCGGTGCGCTTTAGCTGTGAAGACAACAATGAGAGCGGATTAGTTCCAGGGATCGCGGCTCTACCGTCTCATTTCCAGTTGCGAGATCTCTGGCTTGCGCATAGTTTCCACTGGGATGAATTTGACGAGGCAGTCATCAGACATAGTCCATGGGTGCAGACACTACATCTTGGATCCCTCGACTACACTGCTTTGATAGAAACCCTCGGAAACAACCCTACCTGTTGGCCGAAGCTTACGAAAGTTGTACTATCGCAGCCACGTAAACTTTCCCAGATACTCAAACTCGTCGAAGCTCGGGCGCATTTGGGTTGCCCTCTGGAGGAACTCGATAGCCACGAGTGGCGAAGCCTGATTTCTGAAGAGTATTTACAGGACCTAGAGAAAATCAAATCTCATGTGGGGGTGGTGCGGCTTTTTGAAGGTGGTCGAATCGCGTTCCCGTTGCCGGATATATGCACCGACGGTGTGCCCTCACCATATTTTCAGTGGCCGAACAGATGGGGTGAGTTATACTCTCGAATGTAGAATCATTAAATATAGATGTAAATACTCTTTTGGGCAGCGGAGATGGCTTGAGTTGTATGATTCGTAGAGACAGAGGTGAGGCGATGTATGGCCTTGTTACGGCCATTAAGTAAACTCTTTAGTGACTTACGCCTTCATTGATAGTTCGCGCACTCAATCGCAGCCAATATTAGTCTGAGGGACTCGCAGAGCGAAATGGACATCCTCGGCTCCTTGTTCGCTCATTACGTTGAACTCTGTTTAGCTTCGCGCCTTGGACATTCTGCCTCCGATTCACATATTCCCAGGCTATATCATGGTCTTATTCAGTAATGCGATGCAAATAGTAGGCACAAACAGGACTGCGAGCTGCTCATCATATGAGGCTGCGACCATTGACATTCAGATTTCTGCACAGTGATACTCATAAGATGCAGGTCGCAGAACAATAATGCTGCACTAATAGGTTGTTTTAACTTTTGTTCAGAAAATCCGGATGGGACACCTTGTGGTTTCATGTGATCGGCACGGTTGCATCACCGGGCTGAGTGCTTCGCGCTCTATCTTAGCGGCTCCCTTCGTTGAGAATTCTTGCCAGCAAAACTCGAACGGACGTCGTGCGGCAAGATATTCTCAGCTTGCGGTATGGCCTAGTACTGCGCACACAGTCGCTGTATCTGTGGTTTAGATCAATTGGAGACTGTATCATCTCGGGGCTCTTAACACCACTCATGCTCGGCATCATTGCAAATCAAACCGCTTCCAGGATTCTCCTCAAAAGTCCTCTTGATCCAGAACTTAGAGGCTTACGAGGTGGTGCATCGAACGCGCAAGATGATCAGACCGTATTCATAATCCGTACAATGTCTACTTCAGGCGTATACGGCAGTCTCAGCAACGCTTGAGAACCATGGTACGAAAGCTTGTCGATTCTCGAAACGTCTCCAAAGTAGTCTATACAGCCTCCTCCTCCTGCTACGAGGACCTTGAAGAGCACGAGCACATGGTGATCCCGTTCTATGCCAGTTTACTGAAGACCTGCGTCTGAATATTGAGGACCCATATCTTGTGATCATCTCGCATGAAATACATGTCACATCGCCTCTACGCAGGCTCACAGTCACCACTTTCCTTCAAGGGGCCGAGCAACTTCAAATATTGCTATTGTTTCCCAACTGTTGGAACAAGGGTGCGAACGGCGCGGGGCGCGTTTGTCCACGGGCGTAGCGATGCCCGTAAGGGACAATCGCGTGTGGTACGTACATCGCGCGGGGTCGTTACGCTACGCCCGTAAGGGACAATCGTGTGTGGTACGTACATCGCGCGGGGTCGTTATATACTACGATAAGGGCCTCCGGCCCCCGGCTACTCGCGCGCCCGAGCTTTCGAGCTCGTTCCTGATCACGCGGGGCTGCGTATTTCAACACCAACGGTGTCCTAGCTTAATATGAACTGGAGGCGCAACAGCCTTGGACACGTCGTGACGGGTGGCAACATCAACAGGGAAATGAGACAATCCGTGGATGGGCACCCGCCTCGCCTGTATGCGTGGCTGGCAGCCCCGCACCCCGCCGATCACATCGGGGTGATACCGACGGTTGGTATCATCTAGGATAAAGACGTCGATCTCCTCATCGATAACGGCGATTTGCATGACGGTACGTGTCCACCCCCTATGTCGGCACATTCTATCCTGTCTCCCTATTCCTCTGCTATAAGAGTCAGACTTTCACGACCGTGCCTGTTCCCTGCCTACACCGTGCGCGTCGTCGGTAGCCTGCTCGGTGCTGTCCCTTGTGTGAAGTCTACTCTACGCACGTAGAGGCATGCAGCTCGTTAAAAGGACTGCGACAGTCCTATGCCTAGTGATTGGTCAGATCTGCCAGTTACTATGGTCAATGCCATCACGTTGGGCTCTGAGTGGCATGTTCCACCCACTGATCGACTGTATTGCGCACGCATAAGTATACAGTCCACGCTGTAGAAACAGGCGTTCCTCAGAGTCTCGTTTGCAGATCTTGGCCTGTATTCTCGCGATCCCCCCGTGCTGAAACCGGCAGACGGTGACTGCGCACCTTCAAGACATCCGTCGCGTCATCCAAGGATCTGGATGCGAGAGAGATGTGAGCACCTGGGGACGAGTCTCCGACGGCTACCACACCTTGGGGTGAGTCCCACGCAAAGCCGTCTCTGTGTAAGCGGCGAATGCTTTAGAGATCATACAACCGTATAGGCCTTGTCTATAGCTCAGTGCTGCTACTCTTGCACGCTTACCACGATTGCCTTGGACGTGCGAGCTAATGTATGCGTCAGGAACGGGCCCTTCGGACGGCTATCCACCGGGCCAGGTCGATGGCTACGAAGTACGTTTGCATTCTGTGACTCAGCCGTTGCCGTACTAATGATGAGTGAAGACAAAAAATTTCATCATGGACCTCCCGCATGACGTCCTCGCCATCGGAAAGTGCGTGCGCGCATCATGCCCTACCCCCATCATACACTGACAAGCCATAACCGAACGCCACCCAGCCGCGAGCTGTATGAATACGCGGACGCGTACGACCCACGACATCTGACTCGGCAACCTCGTTGTACACCCCAGTGACCATGTTCTCCTTGGTTTCTATTTCCGTGTTCTTGTCTATATCCTCTGCTTCTGCGTCTTCGTCCTCACTCTCTGCCTCTACGTTACCGCTCTTGTTCTCCTTGTACAGTGTGTCTATTTTGTATTTGACAGATGTATTGCTGGTAATCGTCCGCTCTCCTTTTGTGCCGAAATGCGCATTTTATGCAATTTCAATTCGGACGGTGTCAGTAGATGACAGAGCCCAGGTCTGCGAGTGATTCATGAAGGTAAGGGGGGAGCAGTCATCCATCTGGTGTACTGCCCGCTCCTCTCGCTGTCGATCTCCATCATTTCATCTTTTCTCTGCCGCTTGTCTTTGTGCATCCTGTGGACCGCAACTACAGTAGGTGAGGATCTTATGTCACTGTGATCACATATGTTATATGTAGTCCAATCATCCAGCCACCTGTCGGCCATGTGCTTCTTCTGTCACTGCAGATGAGTACCGAATAGATAGGATAAGCATGCATAGATAGACTTCAGTACATATAGCAGACTCAATGAATTTCTGTGCAGCTATGATGGTGTCGCACATTCAAGGGCCCTGACCAGCTGAGCGCCGATTGGCGGTGTAGCAAGCGCGAGCAAATACCAGTACTGGGAGTGATCGCAGGACCCGACAAACCGGTAAGGCTAAATACCATCAGTGGCACTGAGCAGGCCAGCCCCTGTTGCAGTACTCCACTTCTCATCCCACAGCCATCCTGGCAGGCATTAACGGGTTCATTCCGACTCCTGTCTCAGGCCGGTGCTGGGCGAGCCAAGGTCGACTTCGGTGTAACCCGATCCGCGGTTCGGATTTATCTCAAATAGGATCTCGCATTGTACCCCTCGGTCGAGTCGATACAACATAGGAGGAGACTCTTCATTTCGTCTCTCCCCAACCCACTTTGTCCATCTGCGAATTATGCTCAACACTGCCTTTCAAACCTCATCATGGAGCCTCCCAGTGATTACTATCGTTTTGGACTTCGTCTGTGCCACACTGACCTTTCGAAGCTTTTCCATACACGGAAGCTCAACTGGAAAAAGCGAGTCTTTTAGGCGAAGGCGAATTTCTTAGTCTTTTTGCATGTCAAAGGTATGTCTTCTAGCGTCGCTAGCGTTAGTCAGTCATTCCGAGAGGGAAGACTCGCTCGTCCTGCTCCCCCTATCAATTCACTGCACAACCCATGCCATACTTACCATCTCCCTTATAGGAGTGTCCGAATGCACTTCGCAGGTGATGCAGACTATGAGAGAGCACCCAGAGCTGCTGAGCGAGTCCTTCAATTTCTTTCCGCGTCTATACCACACTTACCACCTTCCTTCCAGATCTCTCCCTCTTCACTCTCCAATGTATCAACTGCCACAGCCAGCCACGCAAGGGATCAAGCGCGCCCCGCTTGTCCGGCTCCCCGGCCCTAAGCGACGTGACCACGGCGTCCAATCTGTCCGTCCTCGCCAGCAATGCCACCGCTGTCTCCGAGTACTGTCCCGACGAGTACGAGAGAACCTCATACTATAACGGCATCGCCGGGGACGGCGACCACCCGGACCTCGTTTACCGCTCGGACTTCCTCACTATGCCCTTCCCCAAATCCGCCGGCAGACACGCCCGTCTCCCCGTCAAGTCGCTCCGCGGCGTCTTCGACACCCCGCTCAACGAGGTCTGGTACACCGTCCGTCCCCAGATCCGCGACCTGATCAAGGCTCAGCAGATCATTTGGTCGTCCGTCGACCTTGCCCGCTTTTTCACCCACGCACCGCTGGGAGAGGACGCGAAGGCGAGTCTCGGTCCTGTTATCATATGGGTCGGCGTCATTCCTGGTTCTACATCCGCCGATACCGCCCACAAGGTCTTCCAAGAGATCCTTGCCCTCCTGCTGAAGAACGGAGTCAAGGATGCTGTTGTGGAATGGCGCGAGGCGGCCTCGCCGCAAAGGCTCTAGGACGCGGTGAATTAGGAATCGCCTCGTAAATTACTGTAAATTAGCAGTAGTCTATAAAGGGTCGAAGTATTAATTAATAACGTAACTCAACAACCTAAAGCAGTACGTTTCGGTATTGACCGTCAATTACCAAGTATCCCAGTTCAGGTCTCCCGAGCGAACTTCGACCGAGCTCGCATTGTTCATTGACACTCTGTGTTCCTGCCGTCCCTTCTGGGAGAGCGCACTATCAGCTAGAATGTATTGCAGGCATCCAGATCAACAGTCTTATTGGCGATCAGCGGCACTCGAGCTGACGATTGACAGCACCTTTTATTTTGACCTCTTCAATCCAATCTTATCTAGGTCAGATCGCACAGAGACAAAATGGTTGCTCTCTAGATTTTATAGATACTGATGTTGGCACTACTATAGTACCAATCGCCTAGATTAACCTAGATTTACTCCTCATTCAGGCTTTAGGTAAGTTACCAGTAGTTGAATGGCTTTGACAAAATCATGAAGGCAATGGTTGATCGCGGCATTCTCACTGACATTTGGGCTCAAGACATCATCAAATCGCAGGCAAAGGAGAGGCAGGACGCGGAGGACGCGAGAGCGATCAGGGCGAAGTAACACCCTCCACAACGACATTCACCGATATGACTGCAGCCGTCTCTGTCGACATCGAAGGCGGCACACTACGCACCTTGGACTGGTTTGTGTTTTTAGCTGCTGAGGCGAAAGTCAGAGATGAGTTCGAGGGCAATGTCTTAATCTCGGTGCGTTCCGACTTATTTTATTTACTTCGTCTAACAAGGACAACCTTATCCAGGATCCAAGTACGAACCTTGAGACCTTCCAAATATGCGAAATCATGTCGGTGGTGATGCGACCGCGTTCTAAGTTTCCCGACGAGAGGAAGCTCCGGATCGAAGGCTGCGCCACGAAGGAGGACCTCACCCACCCTGCAGAGATTGGCCGCGAAGGCCAGCGCTACCTCATGGTCGGCAAAGACGGCAACACTTAAGGAGACTCGGGGTCCCTCGTCTGGCACGCGACGAACGGTATAGCTCGCATCGTGGGCCAACTCCACTCTGGACAGAACAAGGGCGGCTCAACCAGCAATCATGTTACGTACTGCATCCTTGGCTGGTACCTACCGGGCGAGATCAAGAAGAGGTTCAAGTACGCCGACTGTAACGGCACCACTGGTTAGCTTGAGAACAACATCAATGGTCCGTCTCTCTCTTCCGTCTCATGCTTTTATACACAGCTGACGAACGTCGAAGCCAGCGAGGCTCGTAAGTGAGCCGGAGCCGACGGAGATACATTGATAGACATACTTTCAAGCCTTCACATTCAAGAACACGTTCCGAAAGTAGGCTTCCACACCTGTCGCTCCGCCGAGAAGAGCGCCAACGACGCCATCTGGCCGCACAACAGCTACAGTCGCCCCTTCCGTCCCGGCGCTGTACCCCGTATGCCCATGCCCGTCTTGGTCGATGCAGACAACATCCGCACCAGATGCCGCTGGCAAAGGAGCTGAGTCCTGTGGGAGAACGACAACCGTGCGGACAAAGCGAGGGGGGAGTTTCTTCGCCAATCCGAGTACGGCTGCAATTTCATCGCCGTTTGAGGAGAGAACGAGGACAGTGTGGCGTGTGGAGCTGAAAATGCGAAACAACGACGTCGTCTCGGATCCGATGTTGCCCGTCTCGACTACGGCGAGACCTGGGGCATCCGGGGCTCTGTCGCCGGCATGCAGCCCATCACTCGTATTCGTTCCATATGCGTCTATAAGCGGCTTCTCCTTCCCGGACGTCTGTTGGAGGTGACGCTCATCGAGCACGATAGAGCTCCAGCGGTAGTTGACACCGAGCATCTTCAAATCACGAGGCCGCGCCCATCCTTGAGATATATCGCCGCCATCCGCCTTTTCATTTATCGTAGCGTGAAGTAACGTCGTCGTTTCTTTAAGCATGTGTGAGATGACGGGGAGGCGTTCCTCTGTATACGTAGAAAGGATGGACTCGGAAGCAAAGCCCAGCTCGACAAGGGCGAGCTTCCAACCAAGGTTGAGCTGACCATCGATTATGATTAGCTCATGATGGTACTTCTCGTTTAAGATCCGGAACGTACGGCATCCTGCACACTGGAGTTCATACCCTGGATCCGGTTCTTCATCAGTCTTCATCGCATATAGGCCACGATGAGCGTACCTGGCCACCGGTGGGGCTGTGCACGTGTGCAGCATCTACAGTTCCGCATAAGCGTGCGTTCATATTTTGTGCACTATCGCTTACCTCCTGCAACAAAGACTCGGCCTTCTGAGAATTTATGCACCATGCGAACATTTGGACTGGATACTCATCAATGGGACGTTAAGCAACAGAACTTCTCAACTCACCTGTAATTGGATTTGAACTTGATCTCGCCGAAGATAAGATCCTGCCTGTCCGATATTTCCTTCAATGTCTGAACCAGGGTGTCGTAATCCTCGTAGATCTTCTGTAAGTCGATGTTTCCCGAAACGATGAAGTTGTAGATCTCATCATCTTCCGTGGGGCGCAATATGGCCCTGGTGAATAGACAGGGAAGTTGAGTTACTGCGAATCACATTATCGCGGCAGACGTACGTCTTAGAGCCGAATTCGCCCCAACAATGCCAGTACTATGATCCAACATATCATCAGAAAGGCCCCTAATGACTTTGTAGATGGAAACTCACGTCACGGGTCAAGTTCTTGACGACGATCTCGCCAAAGACAATCTGCCCCGCAAGCGCTTCCCCGAGAAATGTGAGACCGAGGTGCTTCCGTACGATGCCTAAAAACATACAGTAGGTTAATGGAGGAATTCAGAGGCAGGAGGAATTCACCCAACCTTTCGCCCCATCGGTCCCGACAAGCCAGCGGCAGATTACGGTCTCAGCGACTTCTTCATCACCATCGCGCTTGACGAGATGGGACACCACATGGTCGACATCCTGTTCGAAGCTGGACAGCTCTGTGCCACGCTCAACATGACATCCATACGTAGCCAAATGTTCACGCAATACTTTCTCCGCCTTTGCTTGCCCAAGCACTCGTGTGTTAATCTAGACAGTCCGTGCTAGCTGAGCATGGACAGCGCGAATAGATGTATTAGCAAATCTGTTTACATATGGAGTGCTTGACGTGGGTTCCTCCAGGGGGAACAAGTTGAACGTTTTGGACGGTTCAACACCTCCAGGAAGTTTGTAGAACCGCAGCGGAAGTAGGTCCATACCTCTGGAGACGATATCAGGCAAGACGCCCAAGAGATTGTACGCCTCCAAAGTCCTGGGCTATATGAAGCTGAACTTTAGATCCTGATGACGTGCCTCGATGGTGAAGAGAATATTACCTGTATGACAACGCCGCGTTGTCCAATGTGAGATCGTTGATCCCTGTCGATTATGCGAACCTGGATGCCATGCTGGACCAGAGACAGAGCTAAGACAAGACCAGAAGGGCCAGCTCCAGCCTGAGCGAGCGCCGAGAATAAGCCAATATTCAATAATGCAAGAGATCAATTAATGCAAGAGGCGGACTACAGTCAACTCACGATCAGAACAGGGAGAGGTTGTGTGACGGACATATTGAGACGGGGTAAGTGGCAGGACGGGTTATGGTGTATGCGAGATTCGCGAAGAGAGTTAGGACTGCACGAAAAAGCGGAAGATTATATACGGTAAACTCTCAATGCCCAGGCCTGAACATTGAGAGTTTACCGTATCTGCAGGGATCTCGCCGGTGACATTTGTTTAACTGCGCAGCTTCTCAATGATTAAGCGACTGGATTCCGCACTGCAGTATGAGGCGCCACTAGGCCGGTTGATTAGGAAGCTATTCCCATGGTTGCCAGACGTAGTGCTCTGAGGGTGATATGCTAGTATCGCCCACGCCCAGCGGAAGCGCCTAGGAGAATCACTTATGACAGGTGCGCTATTGACCCCAACATGCAGCGTGGTTCATAGAGCGCTTGCTTGCTTTTTAGTGAGATCAGCGACCCCGTGAGCGTGAAGGACAAATGGGGTCGCGCTCCAGGCGTTTGGGGTTTTTGATGACTGTAACGCCACTGACAGGTCCTCGGGATCATGAAGACTCTGTCAGTTAGTTTCCACCGTGGGCAGGACCCTTTGACCGCAGCCCAGACATAGTCTAGACATCTTCCGGCAGTGAGTGTCTTCGAAGGGTCTGCCAGACTCTGGACACTGCAGGACGCCTTTTGTTAACCAACATGCAATATCCAGAGTTTTCGGTGATCTAGACGTCAATAAAATAAAAAGCATACTGTCACTATGTATTCAATAAGTCTATTCTCACGTTCCCTGAACTCTGTCGACATACGCAATCGCGTGTTTTAGCTATCAACAATGTCGTAATATATACTCACTCGATTCGACACAGTTATCCAGGAAGGTAATATAGGTCTTTCACCGCTAGGTTCAGTCGACTAGACCGTTGGATGATCCACTCTTGATGATGAGCATTATCGCGACATCCCCACAGGAGGAGAGTCTGTACGATGAACGAGCTAAGAAGAGGGAAGCGGCGTCCTGCAGCGACTCTGTCTGCACGTCCCCAGCCGAGTGTGCTCCAGTTATCCTACATGTAATCCTCAGTCACCCTGCGCATTGCAGAGTCAGATGATGGATTGACATATGTCTCCGCAGTGATACGCATTCGGCTTTCTTGGATGTTATTGGGTAGGTGCGCAAGAGACTTAAAGAACCATCCTGGATCGTAGTGACAGTGTGGGTGATCCATGAGGTTCACGTGCCCAATAAAGGTCTTTATCTGACTGCTTGATCCAGGCATCAAAGCAGTACGAGCTTCAAGCTACAAAGAGTCGAGGCGTAGTGAGAGCAGACCGACGACAGGCCGTACAGGTTGGCCTACTACGAAGCGGCGTCGATGTGGTGGGCATGCCTGAAGATGGAATGTATAGCCCGGGTAAGTTGAGATTAGTGATGCTACGGAAGGCGGTGACGAATGAGAGTAGGTCTCGAAAATTCGGTCATGCTTTCGGTGGAGGATGAAACACAGCGCAGGAAAATGGGAAAAAAGGCAAACTTGGTTGATTGGAAGGGAAACACGTTCTCTGTTGGAAAATTCGGACGTAGCTGAATCGCTCAAGGACGGTGAGCAGCGGAGAACGGTACAAGAACGGGATCGGTACGATCGAATCAAACATGGTGATTCACCATTATTGAGCAGAGTTCGAAAGTCGTCTAATTATCACAGTGAATGGAGAACGACCTCTTCGATTCTATCTGCCGTACATACGTCTTGTGAAGTTTCTGCAGGGCTTTCATGATAGTGCTATAGGAAACCATCAAGACGGCGCTCACAAGTCACTGCGAATGAATTTTCATTTCAATCGCCATTAGGGAACAATTTGAATCTTAATGACACGAGTGTCAAACGGGAGGTGGAAAGCCTACGCTATTACTTGAGTTCGCCGCAACAACTGGAGTTAGAGGTGATTGTCCAGTTAAGAGCAGATGAGAGCTGTGACAAACGAGGATATATAAGTGGTATGACTAGTGTTGTTGGCAGAAGTCTGCCACTCTGCCAGGTAATTCTGCCCACCAGGCAATTGCCATGGCAGAGATGGCAGAACGGATTTCGGGGGGCGGCAGAAGGTGGCAGATGTGCTTCCCAATATGGTAAGTACGCGCTATAGCCCCTATTCTAGGGTCTACCAGGACCCTATTCTGGGGTTAAACTAGCCATTTTGGAAACTTTATCGCTGCAAAACTGCGAAGATCAAGGTCTGTGGCCAAATACTATGGTTTACCAGTGGATGGCCCCCCCCTCTTGATGGCCAGGTAACACTTCGTCACATCAATGTGACGATGCCGATTCAGAGGTCCGCTCGGCCCACAGGGCCGGGGCCTGAACTTTTGCTCAGTGGCGTGTGGCTCCACAGTGATCGACAGGTTCATTTTGTAACTCCGCTCGCGTCCGTCGTGGCCATCGTGCTCTCGGGCGTGACATCGCCATCAAACCCTCGAAGGGACTCCTCTATAACTCATCCGTTCGCTCTGATTCTACTTGGAGGTGGAAGCAGGCATACAAAAACATAGGTGTCCATATAACTTTGAGGGCAGGGCAGTGCCCAGTGGTTGCAAATCACAAACCTGGCCATCGAGAGGGGGGGGGGGACATCCACTGGTAAGCCATAGTAGCATCGCCACATCCATGATTGAGTGTAAACCCTGCCTGAAATCTGCCATATTCTGCCAGGGGTGGCAATTGCCGTTCTGCCGGCAGTTGGCAGAAGTCGGCCTCCAGGATTTCTGCCTACAACACGTTCACAGATCCGTGACGCGTGACTGGTCTGTAGGTCGAATATATCGAGCAATAATTTCCGTACTTGTTCTTGGGATTTTCCTGTCCCATCGTCTGCCGACATTGGATATCGCCGCACTTCCTCATCAAGTGAGCATTCTTGAATAATGTGGCCCTCAGCAACGTCTGAAGATGTTCTGCCGGGGAATCCATTTCTCCAGCATGCCTGGCTCAAAGGATCAACAGTTCTGTCACAAGTCATGAAGCAGTAGCTATATGTGAATACATTGCAATCTGAAGGTATATGCCGGTCATGATAAGTACAATAGATAAGCTGACATGGAGTGGGGATGCTCTTCTGATACGGCAGCTAAACGAGGGGACGACAGGAGGTCGATCTAAGTGAGGCTCGCCAGTGAGTCGATGATCTCGCTTGACAAATACATTGGCAGACATACTTTCAAGCCTTCACATTCGAGAACACGTTCTTGAAGTAGGCTTCCAGACCTGTCGCTCCGGCGACAAGAGCGCCAACGACGCCATCTGGCCTCACAACAGCTACAGTGGCCTTTTCCGTCCCGTCACTGTACCCCGTATACCCATGCCCGTCTTGGTCGATGCAGACAACATCCGCACCAGATGCCGCTGGCAAAGGAGCTGAGTCCTGTGGGAGAACGACGACCGTGCGGACAAAGCGAGGGGGGAGTTTCTTCGCCAATCCGAGTACGGCTGCAATTTCATCGTCGTTTGAGGAGAGAACGAGGACGGTGTGGCGTGTGGAGCTGAAAATGCGGAACAACGACGTCGTCTCGGATCCGATGTTGCCCGTCTCGACTACGGCGAGACCTGGGGCATCCGGGGCTCTGTCACCGGCATGCAGCCCATCACTCGTATTCGTTCCATATGCGTCTATAAGCGGCTTCTCCTTCCCGGACGTCTGTTGGAGGTGACGCTCGTCGAGCACGATAGAGCTCCAGCGGTAGTTGACACCGAGCATCTTCAAATCACGAACTTGCTCTGCCTTTGCCTGCCCGAGCGCTAGTGTATTAATCTAGACAGTCCGTGTTAGCTGAGGCGGCTGAGCATGGACAGCGCTAATCAAAGTATGAGCAGATGAGCATACATATGGAGTGCTTGGTGTGGGTTCCTCCACGGGAAACATGTTGACCGTATTGGACGGCTCAACACCTCCAGGAAGCTTGTAGAATCGCAATGGACGTAGGACCATGCCTCTGGAGACGATATCAGGCAAAACACCCAAGAGGTTGTACGCATCCAAAGTCCTGGGCTATAGAGGGCTGAACTTTAGATCCTGATAACGTGCCACATTGATGGAGGACAAATCACCTGTATACCAGCGCCGCGTTGTCCAATGTGGAATTGTTGATCCCTGTCGATTATGCGAACCTGGATGCCATGCTGGACTAGAGATAGAGCTAAGACAAGGCCAGAAGGGCCAGCTCCGATCTGAGCGAGAACAGGTCAATATTCAGTTAATGCGACGGGTGGATTGTCCTATACTTACTATTAAAACAGGGAGAGGTTGTGTGGCGGACATAATGAAATGGGGTAGATGGTGGAACAGGTTACGGTGTATGTAGGATCGGCGAAGAGAGTAGGGACTGTACGAGAAGGCGGAACATTATATACGGTGAATTCTCAATGCGCAAAGATCCCACAATGACGTTTGTAGAGCGGCGCAGCTTCTCGCTGATTGAGCAACTGGAATCCGCATTGTAGTACGAGGCCCTGATGCCGAGCGGACGCGCCGCTAGGGCTACTCATTCCGCTTACGACGTGGGTATTTTTTAGCTAGTCGAAGATCAGATTCATGCCAACTGCGTGGGCTTTTAGCCGCTCCATGCGGAATCAGATTCTTGGCTGCTCAAGCGCGAGGGAATGACAGTTTACTTACGTGCGCAGATGCTGTCCCATGACAGCTGCACCAGCGCTCTCTCCAAAGTAGCGAGTCACTCACAAAGTGGTTGCGCACATGCGCGACAGACAGTGCAGAGTTGATCATTACTTCGCCATGGCAAGTATTGCAAAGTTAAAGTGGGTGCGCTATTGACCACAAGTCAATCATGGTTCATAAAGCGCTTGCTTGCTTTTGAGTGAAATCAGCGATCCCGTGAGCTTGAAGGAGAAATGGGTCGCGCTCCGGAATCGTGAAGATTCTGTCAGTCGGGTCTCACCTCGGGCAGGACACATTGACCGCAACCTAGGCATGCTCCGGACACCCCCTGGCAGGAACTGTTTCCGAAGGGTCTGCCAGACTTCGGACATTGCACGACACCTTCCTTAAATAACATGCAATATCCAGAGTTTTCGGCGATCTAGATATCAATTAAAGATGCTACCCTTGCCAGACACAGAGTCCAGCACATGTCGGGGCTCCGGAGAACGGACGTTGCCCCGGGTGTTAGTTAGTCAATGAACATGAGTGGCAAGGTCGAACTCATGGAGAAAAGCTGGGTCACTCGTGATTGAATGTACACCCTACGTGGCGTCAAAATGATGAGAAAGCTTTCACGTTATATATACCAACGGCCTAGCACTCACCCTCGGCGGGGATACTACGGGAAGCTCTATTGCTCACCCTGCATTGTAATGAGTTAGAAGACCGTTGCAAATGCTGCAATACGATAGCCTACGGTGGGCACGCCGACGGAGTGATCAGAGGTGAGTTCCCGAGTTGTGATCTTCGAACGGTGATGCATCAGGTGGCAGCAACGCCAATATAAGTCCGACGGTGAAAGCAGCGTACGATCGAACTAATTAGATGGGTGTGTGTACATCCGCTAGACTCTGGGGACGGTCCAGCCCTGCCGTCAATCGCTCCCTGCTCGACACTCAACAAATGCATCACCATACAGGCCCTGCGTCTCTTGCCAAGCTTGTAGCCACTCGTTCAGCTCTCGCTTGTAGATTCCGCCGTGCTTCCCCATCTTGCTCTGTACATTCTTCTCGAGCTTGTCTAGTGGTACCTCCGCATAGTCGCCCTGCAGGAAGGGCTTAACGAGCGTGTAGTGTACGATGCGTGCATCCGACCGCAGGTCGTCCCACATCATGGACGAATGCTTCTTTATCGCGAAGTTCGCATTGTAGGCGTACGGCAGCCGTAGCGCCTCCTTGCCGAAGTAGTGGTTCAGGAAGGACTGCTCGGCGTCTTCAGCGGGATACTTTGCCGTAGCAATCTTCGAGACCATGTCGTGGAATACCTCGGTCGAAGGCCGTAGGAAAAGCACGCCGGCATTAAAGCCGACATCAAAGCCGCGCGAGTCCAGAAAGATGTCTGGCACGGCAGCAAAGCGGTAAGGCAGAGCGAACAGCTCGTCGAAATTGCCGTGCACCAAGGTGTCTGCATCAAGGTACACCAGGCTTTTTACACCGATCTTGTCGAGCGTCCAAAGCTGCAACTTCGAATACTGATCGAGGAAATGGCGGTGGACGCCATCATAGGGTGGCGGGATGCGTGCGACGGGATGGGGCATGAAGCCGCTCGCGGACGCGATGCATAGTGCCTGTCGTGAGACTTTCTCTGGCAAGTAGATGAGGATGCGACTCGCAGTACTGTTGGCCTTGTTCAGGGTATGTCCCAGCGTCGCCACTGCGGAAGCAAACGCATCGGTGTATAGACTCGTTACGATGGCATTCTCCCTCGCGGCTGGCACAACTGGCACAGCGGGGTCAAGGAGGGAGAATTCGTTCCTATAGGGTTACAAGTTCAATTTGTGTTCGTGTTGACGATGTAAAGAGCACTGCATACAACTCACAGGTGTTGATAGTTGTCCAGAGCGGAAGGCCATCGACTCCACGACCTCCAGATGAGAATGCAATTCAAGAGGACGGACAGTCCTATACATATCTTGCCAAGCGACCATCGCTGGCCATTTTGCTTTCCCCTTGACGTGCTGATGTCGTTCCACAGGGGCGTGTAGTCCTTGTATCTTCTGAAAATTGAAACCGCCGCCATGAGAGGAGAAATAATGCGATTGAGACGGGCTGCGGCGCCCAGCGCCAGCAGTCAATAGCACTGCCAGTCTGTAACGCGCAGCCTGCGAGCCGAGCGTCGCGATCACGTGGATCGCAGTGAGGCGCGTTTCCCGCGATGAGCGAAACCTGATATGTTCAATCATGCAGAATCATCCCTCTGGATATCACCACTCATCGCGGGGATCAGAAGGTAGATTATACAAATTTTAGTTTACGACAATGACATGAGGGCGATGCACTGTCGTTGGTGGACTCCGAAACATTGTGTAAGCAAATCCATGTACAGATGTTAATTCCAATGTGTCACTGGGAACATATGTGTGCGTGATAGTTTGGTCCGAATTATCATGATATCTACCGATATACATATGCGAGTAGGTGTCCGTGATCACGTACGCATGTACCCCTAGTCTTACTACCACAACCATGGGATAATGAAGGAGCATCCGTCATCCGTAAGTAAAGCAAAATATACAGCGAACGTTGAAGACAATAAAGATCGACCCAACACAGCAACGCAGCGAGGGAAAAACAATACAACGGCAACGGACAGGGGATCACGGACAGATCACTTGCCTCATTGCCATGAACTCTCGCGATTGGGTGGGTACGGCCGATGAATGGGGGCCTGTCGATTGCCCTCCTGATGTTGCTGTTGGTAAGGGATTGGCATGGATGGCATGGGCGGCGCCGTCTCCATGGTCGGCGTTCCATACTGCCCAAAGCTTGACTGACTAGCCATAGCGTTGGGCGGTAAACCAAAGTGTGCTTGACTAGCCATCGCACCGGGCGGTATACCAAAGCTTGCTTGACTGGCCATCGCATTAGGCTCGTAGTAGCCCGGCGCCTGCTGGAAATGATGTAGGCATGAGGAATATGCATCGCGATGCCCTCAAATTGGACTCACTGCTGAGGTCAACAACGGTTGTTGATCATAATCAAGTCGTATCATCTCGATTTCTGGTTGCGGTCCATTCGCGAGATAGGCGTCGTAATTGGCCATTTTCGAAGGCGCAGGCGATGCACGGCCGTTGTTTGCGTATAACTGTGCTCTAGAGCCGTTGTCCTGCTGTAGCAGATTCGTGGACGACATAGAGCGTTGGTCCCAGTCTAACTCTCCACGGTCGCGCTGGTACAGCGCTGGATCATATTCGAGATCACGCTAAGTCGACCGGCGCATGTCAGGACTGTGGACAACTCATAGGGGCCTTGTAGTCTCACCTCGTCGATGGCAGCAATTTTGACCCCACCAGCAACGACAGCAGCGTTGACTTTGCCTCCTATGTCGTCAAGTTTTGTCTTCGTCGTACCAATCTTCCCTTGGAACACATCAGCCAGGAGGTGAGTCATGTGAGCATGGACCATCGGAGTGAAAAGGTCGGCATTGAGCGCAGGATGACCGAAACGTTTCTCCAATTTGTTTCCAGCATTGTCTGCTCGCTGCGAGTGCACATACGCCTCGCGAAGCTCTTCTTCTGACGGGATATAGTACTGGAACGCCTGAAGGAATTTGCGGTTCAAGTAGATCTTGAAGAAGAAGATGGCCAAAATCGGTGGAAGGGTCGATAGCCAGTACAAAGACTTGAATTTATACTGGAGACCGATCGCTACAACGTGTAACGCAACGCATCAGTGACCATTCAATACTCGATGTCTCACAGGCACTTACTCAAAACCATCAACAGCTGCATCAAAATCACAGAGACGAGCAGCCGATTAATGACTGGATTCCAGAGACGCTAGAAATGATGACCCATTAACGGGATTCGAGTGCACGCTATGCATGACGTACGCCACCGGTTTCGACCTTGGAGACGAAGACAAACATAAGCTGATATTTGTAGACCCAGGAGCTAAGCCAGAAAACAACCATGGCAGCGATAGCCACCAGCGGCGCCAATGGTGCAAAGAACAGGCCCACTGTTCCCATGAGTAGCTAGTATGAGAGAATCAGCGTTTGTTTTCTACACTTTGGGTAGGTTCGTACCAAGTTGGAACTACACGCAATGCACAATGAGCAAAGCCAAGTTGAAATCAAAGACGGGAGCAACTCACTAGTAGATAGGATACGGGAACTCTGGAGGTTGAGTCCACTCCCGAACGTCACGTGGGGTGCGACCAAAGAGACTTACACGAGAAACGACAGTCAATCGCCTGCTCTTAAAGGTACAATCTCTACATACCGCTTCTTGACGAAGATCACCACCAGATTGATGATCTGTGCCAAGTCGAACAGGATAAGGAAGCCACGCAATCTGACAAACGCTCAGTACCAAGGGTAACTATTAGCCATAGTTCAACATACGGGAAATACGTTAGCCAATACGAAGATTGGTCAATATATGTCTGGTTGATGGTATCGGGCAAGGCTACGACGTTTTCAGAATTGATCGCTCTAGCGAGACGAGGGCTCTTACTATGCAGGTTTTCAATGATTGTCTTGATACCCTCATGGTGGCCGACTTGCTCTACGATATTCGACACGGACTCTGTTAGCCGGCTAAGTCAACCGACAATCTCGCACACATGAATATGCGCGACCCACTGAAGATGACACCAATCAACGTAAAAATGATCAGCTGGGAGTTGACCAAGAAGGCAAAATAGCGTGCAACAACAGCGCGGTCAAGTCGTGAATGGGTGTATGCGCCCATGTACTTCGTGAGGTAGCGCATGATGATGGGCAGTACATAACCGAATAGCGCAGAGACGGTCGGTGGCAGTACACCAGAGATGAATGTGAAAGTTCCAGGTGACGCAGAGGACCATTTTGCCAGAAATGGCACATAGGAGGTCAGCTAGACGGCTGTCAGTTCTCCGTCGATGATCAACGAGAAAAAACCACGGACCGAGGCCAAGTTCGCCAAAATGGAAATGACGAACAGAGGGATCGTGTTTGCAAAACACACAAACACTAGAATGGTCCATCCGATGGTCTGGTTCCGAGCGAGCTCCGCCTTTGTCAATCCCAGATTCTTCCAAACCTACACGAGTATTTAGCAATCACGCATAGTATGGTCGCTGCCACCTAAGAATGCATACATACAATGTCCTTGGGATTAGGCGCAAGCGTGATAGTGGTCCCCTTCGGATGCTTGTTCCTGAGCAGATTGGCGACTATATGCGCATAGGGAACGGCAGCCATGGATGCAAAACCATAAGTTTCTGCCTGTCGATGATCGAACGAGGCGCGATATTTTTCGACTGCATCCTCCGATCGTTGCAGTCGACCACTGTACACAGACGTGAGGGGGGCAATAGATGCGGATTCGAGAGTGCGTACATATAGTAGTCAATGGCATCAACTTTCCGACCACCACAGCAGAGAAATCCGCCCAGCCGCTTCTGTGGTCGCTCTTTGGCAATGTGTCCATCCTTGAGATATCGGACAAGAACATGTTCCAATTCCCGCACGGTGTTGTTATGGAACTCGATGAGCTCCGGAAGCCGACCGACACGATGCCCGATATGGACTGAGGTTGTGGGATATGGCATATGCATGGACTGGAAGATGGCACGGATTCCTTCGTCCGATTGGAACTTCTTCGGCACTCGCGTCACCATCAACGTCCGCGCGTAAAATGACTGCATGTACTCCGGGGAGCGAAACCAGTCGTGGCGTAGCCGCACAACCTGACGCCAATTGTGCCACACAAAGCCCATCACGAGCGCAGTAATCGCATATGTGGCCGCAACATGCACAAAGAGCAGTGGCCCCTGGACATCGCGAATAGTCAAGATTGAAAGCACATCGCGCGCCCCGGGATTGACATAGCGGAGGTTGTAGGTGATATCCACGGGAAGTAGCACAACACAACAGAGCAGAGCAATACAAGTGAACAGCAGTCGGAACATGCGGAGAAAGCGCAGGTAGATAGCAGCGTCTAAACCAATCTTGTCGACTAGCTCAGGTTCCTTCGTATGTAGCAGTGGGGGTAGCCAGCCGAGCAACGAATCTGACATCCGAGGGGGACGCTTGTTGCCGACATGGTATTTGACTTTGGGCTCATAAACGATCTGATGCCCCGTGAGCCCCCTTTCCTCGAGTTGAAATGTGCACTCACCTTGTTGCGTGGACGCAGGACATTAAAGATGAGTACAGTAGCAACCTGTGCATCCTCGTTCGCACGTCGTCTGTTGGCGTTGATCTGGGGCACTCACCGAAACGACGCTCATAAGAGCGACCTGCGTGCCAACAGCGGCGGGCGCCAGCGTCCGCTGCGATGCGTTTTCGTCTACTAACTGTGTGATGTTCGACATGGCAGTCTAGTTCGGTGAGAGAAAGGAATGAAGCTTCAAGCCCGAGCCACAGCGGGTGCAGATGAGGTGGATGGTATCGTCGCTGTCGTGGTCGACTGGGAACGGGGGGACAATGACCGTGGCTATAAAGTCCACATATAGTTCCACATCGAGACCAATTGTGCCTTGATGAAGCCAAGAATAGACTTTATACTCTTATAAGCCTATGTTTGGAATTATCCGCATGGGCGTTAGCTCAGCCTTGGGCCATAAGTACATACTTATAATTATTAACTTCATTGTCAGCTTGCATAGCTACATTTGAAGCTTGAGCTTGAAACTGGAGGCTTGAGCTTGCAGCTTCAATGGATGGACTCAAACCCACCGCTTAAATATTATCGCTGACAAGAGTGACTGGTATGTCATCTCACCTTTGTCACAGTGACAGATCGTTGTTTTTTTCTGTAACGTTTGTGTGGTAGATTCCGTGTTGCTTCAATCGCCGCGTTATGTACATCCGCAATGCCCATTTGTCTACTGTATATTGTATATTCAGTGCTACTTGGAAATCAGACAATATCTGTAACCGACATGCTTCAGACTTTCAGAGTACGTACTTAGGGCCACTAATCAGTACTGTAGGATCGGATTAGATTAGATGTGTTGGCTACGGAGGTGAACTCGCGATTACAATTACTGCGTTCAACAGTCCCGACATGTCGACGCTCGACTCCTTCATCTCATCATCTACTTCGCGGCCGCCTCCAGAGTGCATTGCTACCTCACAAGAGATACGAGACCGCGGTTCGACATTCGTGGCAACAATATACCCCGCGGCCTCGCTCAAGGAAGCTCGCGCTGCCGTCGCGCACGTCAAGAACATCGTGCATCGTGCAAAGCCGGCCTCTCATGAGGTGGCGGCATGGCGTTGCATGGTTCTGCGTCCAGGAAAGACTGGACTTGAGGGACCAGATGACTTTGAGCTGCAGACCGGCTGCCAGGACGACGGAGAGCAGCACGGCGGCGGTAAAGTGTTGAGGGCCATGCAGGACGAGGGTATCCTGGACGCAGCCGTGGTCGTCAGTCGCTGGTACGTGCTATCTGTCTTATGGTATAGATATCTCCTACGAGCCGCGCCAGGTACGGCGGTATCATGCTGGGACCGGATCGCTTTGCGCACTTCGAGACCTGTGCGCGTGAGGTATGCCGCAAGTTCAGGCTGAAGGACGAAATAGCAGGCCTCATTGCTACGTTATCTACCCTTGATGCCACCCTGGATACCTTGCGCTCCCAGCTCGCACAGTTGACTGCAGAGTCAACCCCCTTGGAATCCAGGATGCCAACAGAGACCAAGGCTAGCTCGAGCCAGAAGAAGAAGCGAGACTATTCGGAGCTACAGGAATCATTGGACATCTCAAAGGCCAAGAGACTGGTTACAGCTAGGGAGAATGAAAGCAAGGTGGTTCGGAATGCGCTGCAGAAGAAGCGTGGACAGGCGGCATGAAGCACCTTTGACCCCCCCTCCCTCCTCGCACGCGTTTTTACCGACATTGCAGGCCTTTGTGTGTTGAAGATACACCTCCCCGCAGAATGGCAAGGCTGAGGTGGAAGATCGAAGGCTGATGTCTCTAAGTTACACCACTGGGCTCTGCAACGTGAACTACAGTTTGCAACGGGAGATCTATCGTTACTGGGCTTGCTGCAAGGCTGCTGCCTTGATGGGCCCGCTGCCGCACAGGTGCGCTCACTGTTCTGATGTGCTCCACTATTATTCAGTCGATGCATCAGGCGATGATCTTTCTTGGGTCTTGACCAAACCCTCGCATCTGTTTCATACTACGGAGCAAGATATACACATGTCTGTTGTGCTATGATCCTTCGTGGCCTTTGAACTCACTTGCCTGTGTTGCGTTTTGTAGACTCGATGAACACTGAGGTTTGTTCTGTTTTGTTAAGTCACAAGAAACCGCAAAAAGCCCCTGCTAGTGCCACACATGTCAATATTGCATTCGAGCTGGTCGCAAGCCTGAAGTCTGAGAAGCTTGAAAAGCTATGTGCTGAGCTTGTACCGTGAGGCAATGGAGATAGCATCATCTGCGGTGTAACTGTGGTGTGTTTCATCTTCCATTTAGTAGTCGTATGGCTTGCTGAAACAATTCACAGCATTTATTTGGTCCCTCTGACATTATCCGTTCGCCCGGCGTCAACCGTCTGAATTAGCCAATCAGCGCCGCGTCCAGCTGCTCCCAGCTTCTTACCTTCCTACATGATCTGCATGATAATTCCGTTCGCACGAGCCATTTACACGAGAGATTTCCCAGCCGATGGAGTCATTCATACTGCATCCGATACGTATATAGCTACATATACCTGTCAGTGATACTTCCACGCAATCTTCGGTCATACAACTAGCGGCCACTTGTATACTATGCAACAATGCCTTCCTCGCAGTGTCTTTTAGACATATATCTTCCTACCTCTACCGTAGCACGTCTTGCATGACCCCTCTTGCACGACCCCTCTTGAGAGCTGCGGATGTCTGGTGGCCGTGATGATTGTCTCAGCGGCATCACCAGTTGCACAGTCGAGGACTTGTAGCGCCAAAGCTGATCAAATGCTGGCGATGTTCACGACGACATTCTCACTCGCTTGCACCTTTAACGTATAATCTTCTATGTATTTCCTCTCGCGCTACAAAGACTACACGCCGCTATGGTCGGACGTTGCGGCGCTGAAGCAGACCAGTCGCCAGAATGTGGTCCGAATAATCGCGGCTTTGGTCCTTCTCGCTGCGTCGGCGGTGCTCAACGTGTATTTCATCTACAAGTTGTCACATAGATGGTTCACGACCCCTTTAGATAACTATCAGCATTTGTGAGTCCACATGCCGCCGCCGAAGGCGCACGCTGACTGTGTCGCAGAAATGTACATCCTATAGTAAACGAAGCGTTCTACAGCTCGCTCGCAAAGCCGGCCGCAGACGAAACAGCTGTCGTGACATGCATGTACACCGACTCGTACGCGACCGCGATCGCCAACCTCGGCCACTCACTCAGCCGCGTAAACAGCACGGCGCGGCGGATCCTGTTCTACCTGCCGGAGCACATCTCGGACGAGGCGCTGTGTATCGCGTCGGCAACGGGCTTCACGCCGCACCCCGTGTCGCGGATCGCGCCGCCGCACAACGGGGAGGGCACGCACGCGCGGTTCATGGACGCGTACTCGAAGCTGAATCTTTGGACGTTGGGCGACGAGGGCGTGCGGGCAGTGGTGCACCTGGACGCCGACACACTGGTGGTGCGCAATTTTGACGAGCTGTTCGCGCTGCCGTTCAACTTTGGGGCGGTGCCGGACGTCTACGTTGGCTCACACGGGTTCGCGCTGGAGTTCAACACGGGCGTGATCTTCGCACGGCCGTCGACGGAGGTGTTCCGGGACATGATGGCGAAGATGCAGACGGCGTCGTACGACGGGATCCAGGCGGACCAGGCGTTCTTGAACCAGTATTACGCGGCAGAGGCGGTGCGGCTGCCCTACGTGTACAACGCAAACCTCGCCATCAAGAAGCGCAAGCCGGGGATGTGGGAGGACCTGCGGAACCGCACGCGTATCGTGCACTACACGCTCGTCAAGCCATTTCTTGCCGAGGAGGACAACTCGGGCAAGACGGTGCTGGACATGCACAGTCTGGCGGAGAACGTGCGGCACCGGATGGGCGAGTTTGACGGGGCATTTGACGAGGAACTGCAGACGTGGCTCGAGGTCTGGAACGAGACGTATCGGATTTACAACGATGCATTAACGCAGTGCGGCTCCATCAAGTCGCGCTCATGACCAGCCTGCTGCCAGGCGGGCAGCGGTTTAGTTCGTATCTCCCCTCACGTTCCTGTCTTTCATGCTACTCAATAATACATAGGCTCAACTGTTGTCATGTTCCTACTCTCATATTAATAGTGGGCTATAAAGGGGATGTTCCGTATTGTTATAGACATTGTATACTCTTAGCTGTGGGTGTAATTCGCCTGATTGATGAAGTATGGCGATTGCTATGTGGTTATTTGAGATAGGTGGGACAGCCGGTAAATATGAATAGAAGAGGCATGATTTATCCTCGCCACAACTCGGCGAATGAGCACTAGCAATCCTAGCGGGATGCCATATAAACATCTTGTCTCATACAAATTCCGGATGGCTCCTTGAGTGACATCCTTGTGGTTTTCTTCGCCGCCCAGGCTGGTCTATCACGGTAACTTTCTGGTATGGTTCTATTGACAGCTGCTATACATCTGCGGGTTATTCTACACACTCAGGCTCGACGCACCGTGAGCAGGCAGGCACACGGGCTAAAATCTTGTTTTTGATGTTGACGGGAGGCGTTCGAGGGCATATATGCGTCAAATATTGAACAAACAACACTGTTCTGAAACTTTGACGTGAGACGCACTGGATGAGAAACAGTGGCGACTTACATAGAAGATGAATGTGGGCCTATGTAGCATGATGCTCGAGCTTCAAGTGCTCAGATTGATACATCTCGCTCGTAGCACATCCCAGGTACTAACCATAGACATGCTAAGGCAGCGGTGGATCGCTTGCGATCATAGCGTTTCATCTCTGCCCCTGCAGCCTGAATATCAGTGTATGTGGCTGTCATATAGCCCCGGCGTCATGGACCGTCGCACTTGACCAAATCACCCTGAGGTAGGCTTGTTCGCGGGTGGAGAGAGTCGGCGTTCATGCTCGACCGAGAAGCAAAGCTTGGTCCATTATCACAGTCGGTGCTGCGCTCGCGTTGATAAATAGGTAGCGTGAATTACAGTGTGAATGACACAATCCCGAGACTACAATGTCCGATCAACACAGGCCGCCTTGCCGTAAAACCAAGAAAATGCTCACACACGATAAACTCATAGGTCATGAACTCGGAAGGGTAGCACTTGCGCCACTACAGACTGTCAACACATCTGCATAAGTCCGTCGTGTCTCCTTCCAGATCCCTACCCAGTCCAACAACTCCTCCTTGAACATGCCTCCGAACGCGCTGAGCTTGTTCTGCACATTCGACTCCATACGCCGGATCTCCACCACCGTCTTCCCTGAGTTGTCCCACTCCTTTAAGAAGGGCTTCACGAGCGTGTAGTGCACTATCCGTGCCTCGCGCTTCACGTCCGCCCACAGCTCCGGCTTGCGTTTCTTAATCGCGAGGTTCGCATTGTACGCGTACGGGAGCCGCACCGCCTCCGCGCCGTAGTAGTGGTTGAGGAAGGACTGCTCCGCCTCGTGCATATTGTACGACGCCGTGTCGATCTTCGCAAGCATGTCCGTGAACACCTCGGTCGACGGGCGGAGAAAGAGCACGCCCGCGTTGAACCCCAGCGAGAACCCCATCCCGTCGACGTACACGTCCGGAACCGCCGCAAAGTTGTACGGCAGCGCGAACAGCTCGTCGAAATTGCGCAAGACGAGCGTGTCGGCGTCAAGATATACGACGCCCTTGTAGCCCTCGTCCGCGAGCGTCCAGATGTTCAGCTTCGAATACTGGTCCATGAAGTGGTCGTACACGCCCTTGCCACCGTGCGGGGGCGGAATGCGTGTGATTGCGCGGGGGATGAACCCAGTGGCCGTCGCGATGCAGAGCGCGCGGGGAGAGATCTTCTCGGGCAGGTAGAAGAGGATGCGGCTCGCGGTGCTGTTCGCCCTGTTCAGCGAGTGCCCGAGCGTGGCAATAGCGGTCGCGTAAGAGTCGGTGTATAAGCTTGTTACAATGGCGTTCTCGCTGGAATTCAGAGGAGGTGATCGAGTCCGCAGGAAGTCGTCGTTGACTACTGGCTGTATCGTTCTGCGGCACCCCGTGAGTCGTAACGCAAACACGCAGGAGAACCACTCACAGTGGTTGATAATTATCGAGAGGGCCCGGCCATCTCTTCGCAAGCTTGCCATACAGTATCACGTTGGTCAACGCGGACGCGCCAATGAGGACAAGTGCCAGGAGGACATATTTTCGAGAAAGTGGTCTTGAGTTAGATGCATCAGACCACAACGGGGTGTAGTCCTTGTACCGCGAGGAGAACATGAAGGCGAGTCAGCGGTGCAAGACAGAAACATGAATGGGACTGCATAGACATACCTGGTGGGGATTGCGCAGCCACCCTGCGAGACGCCCTCTGATCCGCTGCGCTACCTCCCACATCCTTTGCAGTTTCAATCCAGCGCGTCCAGTCGAACAGCGACAAAAGTCACCTCACGTCAAGGTCGTAGAAGTACTCTAGCAAGCTGGCTGCATAGCAATTATTGCTGACGCTGGCTAGCGGTGCCGGCGCCGATGACTTTGATGCCAAGTCTCGTATTGATCACAGCTCGGTTTCCACACGAATGATGCGCAGCCGGTGGCAGGAAACAATTGAGAACACGGCAACCCGAGAACGACAGCAACAGTTATGCCTACGCGCATGAGTCGAGCTTATTTTCCTGGAAATCCATGTTCAAAACATGGGATTTACCATTTCATCTTGATATTGATAGCATCCCATTTGTCAATCAGGTTCAGGACTGCTTCTCAAAATAGTGCGTAAACAATCCTGTACAAGCTTTGCATGCGTATAACGTTGTCTTCGACGCCAGCTACTACTGCGCTATGCTCTGACTGGACCCAGAGCTTTCGTATTCTACACGAAACGTGGTACTACCATCTTCTTGAGACTATTTGCGCGCTGGCGATCCCCCTTCCACGAGGTCCTGCTCTGACTCGTATATTCTTGCAGGCTGCCGCCCCCTTGCGTTGGAGGACCTACACTTGTGCCACTCCGGTGACTGCGACGAAGCGCCGAAGAGAGGTTCATATGTCAAATATGCCTGTCCTTTCTAGTCTCAAGACATTCCGCGTGGCGTATGTCTCACTCCCTCTTCTGAGGGTGACACAATTTTCTCCCGTGGAGGAGCTTATTCTCCATAATCACAGCGATGGCAACCATTAGGCGGTTATCTCCTGGAAGTGCTCGAGGAACGTCGAAGTGTAACGCGAGCATGGTGTATATTTATTTGCACGCCGGAGGTCTACTTCGATGTGCTGCAGACCTTCTTCGACTTTGTCGTGTGGTCGCTCGGGCCACGGTGATGAAAAGAAACAAGGTATTCTCGTCATGTTCGAGCGTATTCTGATCTACGAATGCTTCACCGGAGACTGCAGACAGCAATATGCAGATCGACGCATACGGAGTTATGAACGCGCAAACATTTATATCCAATCTTCAAAGAATATATAGCATCAATGCATACTTGTCTATTTGAACTAACTATTGACTGTCCTAAAGTTGATCCGTTTCTCATCCCGTTTAGCAGATATACCAATGGCGAACCAACAACTCTCGCGATCGTCGATCGCGCGGTTGCGACGTCATTATGCATGCCCATGATCAATGCGTTCAAGACTCAGTCCCGGCCACTGCCTTGATTTGCATGACAGACACTTTATTGCGCGAGGCAGTTGCTTGGAGCCGTCCTCTCTCTTTCTTTCTCCGCCACTCCAGTTTCAGACGCTTCACGACTCAATCATGCACATCATGACACACAAAAGTACCGAGTGAACGTGTATTATGGTGGATAAATTACGATGCAGAGTTTACACAGGCACGGTTGTGTTCAGAATGGACAAGGGCACAAAATACACAATTGGTACACGCATAGAGAAAATACTGGCTAGTCAAGAAAAGCATTTCGAACGGGACGAGGAAGAAAATTAAGCTGGACATGCAGAAACGCTGGTTCAGTATTCTGTCGTGTCCTGCAGACGCCAACGGCGTAACGGTTCCCACCACCACATCGACGAACGCGCACTCTCGGGCGTCGCAGCGGAAGTCAGGCTCGCCGGCTGCTCGTTCAGAGAACTTTTCCCCTCCTTCTTGACTCCTCTCTTCCGAACGGACGCATCTCCCTCCGTACTCGTCTCCCCAGACTGAGGCGCCTTCTCCAGATCAACGCTGGCATCGGACTCCGACGCAACGATCGTCTCGTCGTCCTGCGCCTCCGCATCGCGCCTCGGTCCGGCACTCACGCCCCAGCCCAAGGCGACGCTGCGCGTCCGCGGCGTACTTGCGCCTTCGTGGCCGTACACAGCGTCCATGCGTTCGCGGCGCTGGACCGCTTGCTGGCGTGCCGCCGCCAGGTGCGCGTGCCGCCAATGCAAGAACCAGCCATACACTTGCCGGCCCGGTTGGGTGTTGAAGATCCGCCTAACCATCGTGCCGCCTGTCGAGAAGCTGGACAGACTCGGTTTGCGACGCGGCCGATCGGGAGTGGAGGAAGTTTGCTGTCGCCCTAGACCGATCGCGCCTGTAACACCCCTCCACAGCGTTTCTGCACGCTCGCGCTGCTCCTTGCGCTTCGCCAGCCTTCGCTGACGTTTAAGATGCCTCTTCTCCTCGCGACTGAGGAGCTCATCCAGTTCGCCGACGCCCATGCCCGCGCCAACCCACCACCACCAGCCAAGGAAGCTTTGCCACAGGATGATTGCCCACATCAGCTGCGGCATCCACGTATATTGGTCCCGGGTTGGGACGTAGATCAGAGCGATGGCAGATGACATCGGTGCCAGTGTAAGCGCGCCTACTCCAAAAGCCGCCGTACCTCCGTCCATTCGCCAGGCATTCTTCCGGTTGACGAGCAGGCCCCACAAAAACAGCGATACCGTAAATAAGAGAGAGAGTGCAGCGTTGCAGATATTTTGCACAGCACTGACGAAATTCATCAGTTTGTGGTGGTTGTGCTGCACGCGGAGTAATTGCATGATTGCCGATGTTATTGCAAGTGGGCCAAGAAGCGCATATATGAGTCTTCGCTCCAGCTTTGACGGGAATAGCAACGTCAAGAACTGTATATGCGTAATCTAGCAAGGGATATCAGCTGAAGTGCACCTCAAACTAGTGAAAACTAGAGATGGAAAAGCGAGATGCATCTGAAGCACCGAAAGGGAGGTGCAATTAGGGCGCGGGAGCAGCGGTCCGGCTATCCGGCTCTACAACGCATGACGGCGATTGCAGTGCCATTCGCAAGGATTGTCAAGCCTCGTTATGGCCTGATAGTCTCAGGCCAAACCAAAGAAATGATTCTTTGTGAAAGTGCACGCCAATTGAGGATCGTCCAAGTATATATCGTGGCGACTCGCAGCCCCTTGATGGAACGCGTTGTGCAGGAGATGACTCACCTGTATAAGTCCGGCCGTAGTGGCAGTCATGAGTAGCCACGCCACAAGGTCAGGCATCGGCCAATTAGTATTCATGCTGGGCGGAATATCAACGGCCAAGTAGTTCAACATGTACGGCCATGTTCGACTTTCAGCGGTGACGGTTGAAAGCACGATGAAGATCGTCACGACCGACGTGACAACCAGCAGGATGACAGCCGCGACCTGGAGCGTGAAGTTGAGTGGCGCGAGGGGCCAGTGATATTGTGCAGTGAAGAGCAACTGTATCAAGAGCACGGATGAAAGCGAGAGGACGATCCCGTTCAAGAGCACCTGGACGGGTAGCGAGCGAGCAAACGGGGGCCGTAATTGTAGGATGGGGTCGTAGGGGAATCTACAATTCAATTATCAGCATGGAGTAGCTCGAGGACGTTCATTTCATGTCTCGAGTGAAGCCTCGCCATTGTCGCACCAGCAATCTGGCGCTTGTGATGCCTGGAGCCAATAACATCATCACGACATGATGCAGGGATAGTCTCATGGGCCCTAAGCTCGCAGGTCGCAGGCACTCTGTGGTTGAGCACAAGGGGGGAGGGGCAAGCGATACGCGCTCGATGTCTTCTCAACCGCAATGAACCTATGTATGCCCGTCGCAGGGCGACCGCCTCTCACGATCTCTCCTGCTCCAGCACCGATGTCCTGCACCAACCCGACCCGACAACGACACCGAGCACAGACTGCGACCGCCGCTTCCACCGGCACACACCCAGAGCACGACCCGTCTTCTCTTCAAGCTCGGCGGCGAAAGGCACTCACCCGTCATCTGTGACATTGATGGCTGTCCCGTCGATAAACGTCGTGTGGTCCGTGTCGCCTTGCGCGGCCACAAGCACGAACAGGCAGAGACATAGCAAGGCGAGCTGCAGCCGTCGAATCATGAGATGCTGTGCGGGGGACGAGGGCGGCAACACATGGGCGAGAAGGGAAGACCTCAAGAGACCGCCATTGTTGCCGCTCGTGTCGCTCGTGTTCGGAGAGTGCCCTTCTATTTATAACGACCGTTCCGCATCAAGTAACTGCCTCTCGCGTCGCGACCCGAGACAGCATTTGGTCATTTTGTTCAATGAGACGGTGTACTTTAGCAGCAGCAGCAAGTTTGCGGGCAGACAGTGGGGCGGAGGGAGTGCTGGAGGGTATGGGAGAGCCGCAAAGGATGCTATAACACTATTGGGTAGCCACGTGATGTATGGGTACGCCAAGTCGATCCCAAGTCGATCATTGCACATGCATTTGTAACAATTGCTCCCTTGCTCAAATTATTCTGATAGCCAAGTAAACAAATCGTACAGCACTGGAGCATGTGTAGCAAAATGTGGTATCGTATCCTGACCGCTAGGTTTTTTTTGGATGTCAGGTACACTCGACACGAGTTGCCACCCGTGTACCGGAAGCTCATTTCAAAGCGGACATGTCGAACTCCCTTTTTAATATCTGGACCTAATGACAGCTCGAAGAACTAGCATGTGGGAACACGTTCTGGTCTCAGATATCCAGGTGTTGTGTAGACCCCACAGCCGTTCGCATACAGTGGAGTGCGAACTCCAGACGCGACCATATAGCGCAAGCGACGCCAAATTCAAGCGGCCCTCCTACCGAGGGAACTGTCGGGTAGATATGCCAGATGAGTATGAGTATATTCGTACACATTGAAGAGCTCCCGAGAGAAACTCAAGATCGTACTGTACATCCACGGTGACGCCCACTTCGCCGGACAAATCGCAGCGAGCCGTCCCGGACCAAGTAAACACACAGTCCGCTCGAAAGGAATAAGTAACACAAAGGCAAAGAGACAATCGCACCGTCATGAGTACTCAGTGGTGTCCTGCAACCGCCACCGCCGTAGCGGGCCCCACCACCACATCGATGTGCGCTGCCGCGCGTCGTCGGACGGATGCGCGTGGGCGTCACCGTCGTCCCCACCGCCCTGCCGGACGTTTCTCCGCCGCACCCTGTGAACGTCATCCTCGTCTCGGCCCACGGCGTCCGTGTCCACGCCCTTCTCCGCCTTATCGACGTCCCCATCTTCGCCTTCTGCCTCCGGGTCCGAGACCGTGTGATCGAACGAAGCAGGGCCGTTCCCAGAGACCATCCGCCGCACGCCGTACTCTCCCAGCCCCCAGCCCCGCGTGCCGAGCCCGCCGCTGCCCTCGCGACCGTACACCTGGTTGATCCGCTCGCCCCACTCCGCCGCCTGCTCACGCTCGGCCGTCAAGTGCTCGTGCCGCAGGAGGAGGAAGAGATTGTACGAGTGGTTGACGACCCGCCGGAACCGCCCGGTCATCACACTCGGCGGACGGGGGCTGGACGGAGAGTGCGCGGCGTCAGGGCCCTCCTCGTTCGCGCGGTGTCGTTTGAAGCTTAGCGCGTCCGCGACGCCCTTGATCAGCGTCTCCGCCTTTTCGCGCTGCTCCTTGCGCCGCGCCGAGCGCCGCTTGCGCTTGTTCTGCCGCTTCTCCTCGCGGCTAAGCAGCTCGTCCAGCTCACCTACGCCCATGCCTGCGCCGACCCACCACCACCAGCCCAGGAAGCTCTGCCAGAGGATGATCGACCACATGAGCGGCTTCATCCACGAGAAATGGTCCCTGGGTGGGATGTAGATGAGTGCGATGGCTGTGGACATCGGTGCGAGCATGAGTGCGCCGGCCCCAAACGCCGCCGTGCCGCCATCCATTCGCCAGGCGTTCTTGCGGTTCACGAGCAGGCCCCACAGGAACAACGACACCGTGAACAGGAGAGAGAGAGTGGCGTTGCATACGCTCTGCACTGCCTGGGCAATACGCTGCACGGTCCAATCCGTCTGGATCCGGATAAGCTGCATCGCGGCCGACGTGAGCGCGAGGGGACCAAGCAGGAGAAAGATTAGCCGCCGCTCCAGCTTCGATGGGAACAGCAGAGTAAGAAATTGGATATGCGTGCACTGGGGACGATATCAGATACGTAGAGATAGTGTCCTAGCCCGCGACATACCTGGATGAGCATACCCGTCGTCGCCTGCATGAGCAGCCACGCAGCACGTCCCGCAAGCGACCACCCCTCAGAAGCCTCTGGCGGGATGTTGACCGCAACGTAGTTCAGCATGTACGGCCACGTCTGACTCTGCCCGTCGACGGTCGACATCACGACGTAGACTGTGGATACGCAGGTCACGAGCAGGGTGACGACAGCGGATATCTGCAGCGAGAAGTTGACCAGCGCGAGGCGGCAATGGTATTGCGCGGTGAAGAGAAGCTGCAGTAGGAGCACCGACATGAGCGTGAGCACGATGCCAGTGAGCAGCAGCTGCACGGGCAGCGAGTGGGCGAGGCTTGGGCGCAATGCCAAGATAGGATCGCTGGGGAAGCTGCTCAAGTTAGGGGTCGGTGGGTGGACATTGTCGCAAAACTCACCCATCTGTGGTATTCGTGCCATTCTGAGCTGCTACAGAGCCCAATATGGAGAGCGGGAGTAGCCAGCGACGATCCATGAGGGGGTGCTCAATTGCCGTCCTTGCCTCCTTCGCGAGTCGGGCTCCCCTCTCGAGCAGGCGCGATGATCGAAGCGCTAGCAGAAAGGCTGATGGTCGTCCAAACAGCCGAGTCGGCGATCCAGCGACTTAATGAATCTGCAGCAAGGGGAAAGGAGTCAATGAGTGTTCCGGTTTGCGACGGTGGTCCATGCATATTTCCCCCCTAATCTCAGGGAGTGGGAAGATGCCAACAATGCCAAGACATACCCGACCAAGCCCAATCGGAGATCCGTGCTGTGTCATATATGAAAATCACCCGCGTGGGCAACAGCCTCGAACATAACCGTCCCCGCCGCTATCGGGGAGACCGTTCACTCTTCATGAGGACGCCAGCTATACCATGGACTTGGCCTTGAACTGGTACAACCTTGGAAAAGCCACCAAAGAGACGAAAACACAAGCACGCGCGTACTCACGTTATGTCAGAACCCAATTCCAGATCACATGCTACGGCGCCCTCTGCGCTCGGGTTTCAATCTACAGATGCCGCAAAGTATTGGCTGTCTGTAGGCCGCGGTGCCCAGGTTTGGCTCGAGCCACAAGCTGCAACTTCGGTCACATCTGTATCGATCACGTGGGTCGCGTAGCTGGCAGTGACTCAAAGTCATCTTCATCCGACACCCTACGGTAGCACTAACTTCAAGTCACAATTGATCAACATTGCGGACATCCGTTTCACCCTCTCTGAGGCAGCGTCGCTGCTGGAAAAGCTGAGCAACTCCTGCAGAGAATGGAGGTTAGCAGCGTGTCATTCGCAATGTATGATCTCAAGATGTCAAGATGAGCTGACCTGCCATATGCTTGTTTCACGCAGTCTCACTGATGTAAGATATTGTGGCGATCAATCAAATCACATAATTGCAACTGATACTGGTTGGAACTTGCTCCCAGCTCAAGTGCATTGAGGATGAGCTCCTGCATACCCTCTCGAATGTTCGAATGTTAGTAAATGCACAACACCCTGTCAATCGCCTTCCTGTCGAGATTCACGGCGAAATCTTCCATCAGGTGCCACCACCGTTGACAACCAATCTGGAAGACCCCAGCCTCGAAGAATTATTAGTCTGGGATTCCCTCTTCGATTTCAAGGATACTGATGCGTTGCTTCCACTAACCCATGTGTGTCGTCGGTGGCGCGATGTGGCATTGGACACACCCACTCTTTGGACAACCATCTACGGCTCCTCTCATCCTGATGCCATTAGCGAGTATCGTATCCGCTCGCAAAGCGCGCCGTTGAGAGTGCTCAATGTTGAAGATGAAGATCTCGACGTGGAGCAGCTATGGCGCACTGACGGACAGCGCATTCAGTCGCTCGCCTCGTATACAGGGCGCGATTCCGACCTACCCGCGTCCTATGCCCACGGACTTCAAGCCTTGGCGGCATGGGACTGCCAGTTTCAAGGCGATGTTTCTAACGTCAAGGTGCTTGTCCTACGGGCGGTGGATTGGCATCTCCCCAGCTCCCTCACCAATCTCACGCACTTTTACTTCGCGCAAAAGCGGTTACATGCTGTAGACTTGTTTCACATCTTGTCGATTGCACCGAGGCTAGAGGACCTGGGTTTAGACAAAATCATTGCTGAGGACGCATTCGACCCTCATGAAAATATCCCTGCTGTGACTCTCCACCATCTTCGCCGTCTCGCAATCTGTTGTCCAGACAGGAACATGGTATCCGGATTCTTTTCACACGTCGGGCTTCCTGCGCGCTTGGCGGTCAACTTCGAACGCTGTAAAGTGTCCGACTTTCAATGGCTAGTCCCTCTGACGCAGATTGATGCAAAGTCTTTGTACATCTCTGCCTGGACGCACTCGGTAGTCGCAGCTGGCTCTTCGAAAGCGGTGCGCTTCAGTAATTACCATGACTTCGGAAGAATGGACCGATGGATCACGGCTCTACTGTCACATTTCCATTTGAACGATCTCTGGATTGCGAGTACTAATAAGGAAGACGAGGCGATCTCTGGACGAATTCGAATGTCACGTGGAACGAGGCATGGGCCGTAAAAAGTATTTAAAGGTCGTAGAGAAAATCAAATCATATGTGAGAGTGGTACGGCTTATCCAAGATGATCAAGATGATCCAGTTGCACTACCGCTCCCAGATGTATGCACCGACGGTGTTCCCTCACCGTATTTCTGGCCGAAGAAGTGGAGTGAGTTGTTTCCTCGAGTGTAAATATCTTTTTGTATTGACGCAGATATCCTTTTGTGCAGCGGAGATGTCTTGAGTTGTATGATTCGTAGAGACGGAGGTGAGGCGACCCATAACCACTGAGCAAACTCATTAGTGACTGACGCCTAGTCGGATAATTCAGCCGCAGTCGATGTTAGTCTGAGGAACGTACAGAGCGAAATGGACATCCTCGGCTGCTTGCTCGCTCATTACGTTGAACTCTGTTGAGCTTCGCGCCTTGGACCTTCTGCTTTCGATACATATACTCTTAGGCTATGTCCTCTCTCTCGGCATTCATTACTTCCCAGTGTGTTCGGATGCTTAAACCGTGCAAATGCATGCTTGCGCCTGGTAAAGTCGACGTCGACAACTTACGAACCATAACGAAGTTGACGCCACATGCCTATCACACAATCGACAGACGCCATGCTCGCACCGGGATTAACACGGTTATATTTGAACAATACTTTGAGCTAAAGATACACGCATCGAAATCCAGACGCACGGCGAGGTTTGACAGATATAGTACAACAGCACTAGGCATACAGACGATCTAGCAAGCGAAGCGGATAGCGAGAGTCCCAGTGCTGCTCGAAACGAAGGTAAGAGGTCTAACGAGGCCCCGTTCATATGGCGCACCGGTGCGCCAAAAAAATCGGGAAGTTTTGACCTTTAGAAGGGCGAGCGCACCAGGAGGGGCAACACGACGGAAAGCAAAGTAGGGTCTACAGCGACGACGGCAAGGAAATAAGGGGGAGTAGGAGCATTGTTTACAGTAGGTAAGGAAGGGAGTGTGGCGCTAGGGCACCCTAAGTGCAGGAAGCTGACTTTTGAAAGAACGAGCCCGTGGGCTGATAGTGGAATTGAAGACTGATGTCAATTCACACTTCGTCACTCTCTTCTGGGAGTTCTTCCAGCTCTTCCACAGGCTAAGGACATCACGATGACTGAGTATCTCTGTGACAGAAACTAATTGCCGATACGCACGTCTATTTCTGGGCGGTCAAGATCGATGATCTCGTCAGGTATCGCGACGTTGTCGTTCTGTTCACAAAGGCGGACTATTAGCATGAACAGGCAAGGGCAGACCATACGACATACCTCGTCTGATGGCTGGGTCTCCGATGCACTCACGATCTCGGAAAGAAGATCGAGTACGTCGGCGATTTCGCTCGCAATCGATGGTTCAGCTGATGCCGTCGGTATGACTGGGGCGGCAGTGGCGCTGACTACAGAAGCACTGGATGCTGCCGCTGGCTATATCTCACATGTAAGCACAACAATCCTTTCCATATTTTCCGCCAGCAATGACTCACCGGTTCAGCGAAGAAACATCCGAGTATGCGGCAATTTCTCTCCTCCAACGCTGGTGAGCCTACTGGTGCGGTGTATACCAGCGGTAAGGCTGCGGGGCATCAGCCACAATTAGCCGACGTAATGTGGACAATGCGGGATCACGTACCACCGACGATCACACCAGCGATCGCGAACGCTCGGGTCAGAATGAATGTAGCAACCATTGTCGATGACGAGCGTTCAAGTGAAGCGAGCTGTAGGCGCAGATGCAAGTGGCAGGTCCAAGTGTAGGTATCGCTGGCGGGACCATCGTCCTTGTACAACGATTACTTATAATCGCCATCACGAAGCCACAGACGGTGGCCCGATCGACCAAAAGACGACAAGGCACAGACTTGAATACCATTACCAATGGGACGAGGGACGAGAGACTGGGGTTGACGTCCCAGAAAGGAAGGCCGCTTGTGAATGCACATTGCAACGTGAGTACGTGTGTGCACGAGGGGGCGCCGGTACAAGTGGCACTACAACACCTTCCTTTTTAGGCCACGCATTACTAGTTGCCAAAAATGGACGGTCGTTTGTAGCCAAACCCTTCGCCTCAAAATTGTACGTACTTATCGTCTTTGCGTAAGAGCGGGAAGCTCTGTTACTGTCAGGCAGTCGACGCTCTATTCGGTTATAGCCGCATCTAAGTTATAATCCAGAAACCTCGGTCCAACTCTAGGCGTCGAAAGATTTCGCTGTGACTAACCCCCAGCGTAATAGGTGTTCGGCCGCCCTCGGAGCTCGAGTCCCGTGCTCGCAAGATACGGGATACTGCGCTTATAGCACTATGTTTACTTCCAGTGTTGTACAGCAGAGCGCACGCGACCTGTCACGCATTTTGGTGTGTACCCCAAGCCCTAGCCTTCTGCCGCCTGTGATTGGGAAGTGCGTGAGTGCTATCAGTGCGGTGACGGCGACTTTTCCCGCGCTGAAAATCAAGGTATTGGACTTTCATCCGCAGTCTGACCAGGGTGTTTCTCAACGGACTCGATCTTCAGGTACAAAAATCTACTTTTTGCCCTTCTTTGATTATGGTAACGGGTTGTGCGGCGTCCCATTGCATCGTTCCTATACACTCCGAGGGTAGCACCACCGAACACGACGCGGGTTTCACACCAGTTCTCCTTGTCCATCAGGTTTAAGAATAGCTCGGTATGACTAGAGCTCCTTGAAACTGGTCTCCTTGCAACGTCCTTGGATACTTCTTAGGAAGCCGCCTCATTGCGGCCGACTACTCACCACAGACGAGATCGGGCCCTCAGATTTATACTGTGGGTGAGCATGCGCCAATAAAGCGACGGTATGTTTATCATCTTGTAAGCAAAGTCATGCTCGACGTAGATTAACAGCACGATTGTCGGCGCCTGCATCAACTTGACAAGGCGAAGTAGACGTTCTAGACCATGTTTGAGTCTTCGGCGATCGTCAGCAGGCATTTGCAAGCGCTATGGGGAACACGCAACGTATGATCGCCGCAGGGCCAAACGCGAAAAGCATCAATATGCTGTGGAGGGTATCACGAAGGAGCAGAGTGTCCAGGCACCGTCGAATCCATCTTCGTGAGATTTTACAAGTGGCTTTGAACCTTCTGCACAAATGTTCATCTCAAGAGCCGGAATAAGCACGGCTGAATTAAAACAACAACAATGCGTACACAGCACGACATAGCAAAGGCAGAGCGGAAGGTTAAACATACAACAGACTAATCGAGTTGACGGTAACCAATAATCTAAACAACGAGCGAATGACTAAACGATAGTCAGCTTAGCAGCGGGAGACAAGGCCACGGTGGACGCCGGAGACCGGGCCGGTTTTGTCGCTGGATAAGACAGTGTGCTGTGCAAGTGAAGTGTACATATCCATCGCCAACCATGTGTGCTACAGACGAAACAGAAGGCAGAGTGTCCGACCATGGAGGGCGAGGCAAGAAGGAGGACGACCGTTTAGGCCACCGGTGCAGGATAATTCGAAGAAGTATCGACGGAACCGCGGTAACAAGCAGCGGGTATGCTCTTCCTGGTCAATCACATACAGCCGTCCTGACGGCACTGTACAAGGACAAGGTGAGCCTATACTCAGACAAGGCAGCTAAAAAGACACTAACCGAGTCTGTGGAATCTTCGCTCGGCGCCCGTTTGTAATGCTGCGGATTTCCGGCGACCTCAAGCGCGCCTGCTTGTGAACTGCCCACGGCACTTGTCGCTTCGGTGGGCTGATCCGGCGCGACAGAGGAAGCAACTGCACCCAATGCCCCGGTAGACAAGACTTCTTGGGAAGCCTGCAGGTGTTGTCAGAATGTCAATCGGATCGCAGGAACGCAAGACGCACCAGTTCGGGCTCTGGGACAGGTGCGAAGAGAACGGGAACGGTGACGCTGCCAGCGCTCTGCTCACGAGGCTCAGCAACCTGAGGAGAGGGAAAAGTGAGCACTTCAGTATGTGGTTTCTGCAAGACTACGCACGATTTCATCGAACTGGGTGTAGCCGTCAGAAACCGCGGGTGATCTCAAATCAATGACATCCCCTGCCGGAGCAGACCCCGCCGTAGACGCGGAGGGGGACACGGCATCCATGCAGCCCGGCTGTCTGCAGTCCCTATACAGCATCACGGTGTCGATGACTGACGGCAGTGGAGCTGCGTATACGATATTGAATGCTACACTTGGAAAAGTCAGTGACCAGACATGGAACCTCGTCGGCGGAAGACGCACCTCCGAAAAGCAACGCCGAAATGGCAAATGTGCGAGTGAGAATGAACGTCGGGAGCATCTTCGCTATTCTAAGACAGAGATCGAATGTGACAGGCACGGATGCCCGGGGATGACAGTCTCAGAGAATGGAGGGGGTTGAACAGCGAAGGAGCCGGAATTCCAGGCTTGCTCTGGGGGGCGTCAAGTCGACAAGGCGATCTTTATATTTAGTGTCGCATTGACTGCTCGACATCCGCCTCAAACAACCTGACATACATGGTTGGAACGTGGCGGGACTTCGCACTCCATGTCTGCACTAGAATCTACCCGGGGATGTCCGCAACAGACTCCATACAGTAACTTGCTTGTGACCTCGCATCAGTGACGGCAGCTCTTCTGCCCTTCGATCGCGGGGGACACGGGGAGACAGCCTCGGCAGGCAACGAATTACAACGATCTCCTTTTCGGCCGGGCGCTGAGGGAGGGAAGAGTGATCCAACTGACCTGCCTTTTTTGGACGCGAGTTTGTCTGCGCCACATGCAGCACGGCGCCGTGGCTCTCGGCAGCTCTCATGTTCTCGGCGGCCCACCGCGTCGCAGATCAGTTCCTAAGGAGCTTGGCTGGCTTAAACCTGGTTCGCAACAGGGATGCCACCGCATCAACGAACCCAGAACGATCCCTCTCTCCGCGAACATGCCGGTCGGTGTGAACGGTCGGTAAGGTGATCGTCTTCTCGAAACATAGATTATGTATCAGCGTGCTAAGTATCGTGCTTTGCAGACCCTGTCACTGGACCTGCTCGCGCACTGCTTGGCCCTCCCGCTTGAGTAGAGAGTAGCACTCACACTCGCCTCCTCGTTGACCCGTTTAGGCAACTCTCACTGCAGAGGGAGCCTAATCGGGGGGTTCATATCGTACCGTGATCATCCAATACCCTCCCCGGTTCAAGACGAAGTATATGCGTCACTACGGAAGGGAGTTGGCTCTGCACTTACAACAAAGCGCAGACTCGTAATCCAGCAAATTCATGGATGCTTGGACATAAGTGTAATCCGCACGATCTGATTTGGCGTTGCAATACTTCACAGCCTTATCATTAGTACCGACATGCCCTTGTCCAGACGGCAGATTATGGACACCGGTGCTCCAGAACGAGAGCACGCGTGCGTTTTTGTGAGCTCGTGCAACCGGTACCGATCTCGGGCTGATATCCATCGCACGCGTATCACTCATGATCCCAGTATATGAAGGCCAACGCTCCGTGTTTCATCGCGATGATGTCCGATACGCACAAGACGACCCCGACGCTATTTCGCCTTGTCCTTTACCTCGTAGTTTCCAGCGCCAGCCAACGTACACGCAAACCCTTTGTGCTTACCTCACAGCCTGGCGGATTGCTGCTACCGCGCCGTGCAGCGAATCAGATTCGCCGCTTTGCATACATTCTGGGCGACCCCAACTGCGTTGGTGGGTGATTCGTTGCTTGGCATGTCCAATCACATCGAGTACTAGCCGGACAGAAGGGAACACTTGTATCAGTGACAGCTACGACGGGCTTGCACAACGCCAGCATGCACCTGTAGATGCCTTCGGTTACGGTACACGCACGCTAAGTCGCTCCCTGCTCCCGTAACCTGACAGTCGTCCTCGAGGCGACGGGCTTCCCTATCGGGTTGTCAGCGTCCTCATTCATCTTCAGTCTCGTGCCATTGCATACCATCGCCGTCTTCCAAGTTCCCTGATACGCAGCTGTGTTTCTCAAACAGCCCTCCTTAGAGCGCTATCCCGCTATTGCTCGGAACCCACCAGCGTATGCGATCCAGGGTTATCGTGAACTACGTATGCCAGCGAATGTGACGTGGCTCCTTAGCGTTGACAGCGGCAATTCGATGGACCTGGGGACAACTCTCCGGCTATACTCTGCTTCAGTTGCTCTCATTGTAGTCTGTCAGCGGGTGCTTGTCGGTAGCTGGCTAGATATCAGCTTGCCTTGGCGCAGGGAACGGTGCTTTTCGTGGGCCTGCCGCCCCCATATCGGATGTCGTTCCTCTGCTTAACCCCGCACCCGACCTTCCGAGCGTCATCGACAGGTGCGCTTGTGCGGCGCACCACTTCTATTTTTTCTCTCCCGCCCCACCGTTGCGTGCCGTTTGCAGCATGCGTTCCACGTGTAGGCCTGATTAGTTGTGTAATAATTAATGCGGCAGCTCTATGGCGTTGAGACAGACCTCAGACTCGTCGAGGCCCCGCGGCGGCGTGCGTTGACCGACGTCATAAATAGCTCAGAAGCGAACTAAATATGGCCATCGAGCCAGTCAGAGGCCGCCTCACGGTGGGAGCCGAGCACGTGAGCGCATTCAACCAATGGGAGAGCGTTGACGGCGCCGATCAGAACCTTGGGGACATCAATGGAACACGTGGTGTACAGAAGTCTAAAGCCTCAAGTGCGACGTCCGACTCCTTGCCCTTGTCTTTCGACCTCGGTTCCCCTCCTTATAGCCTCCCCCTCCTTCAGGTGCTCCTTGCCGCCCTTTTCGTCGAGCTCACCGTCCGACAAGATGCGTACCTTCTCTTTTGTCGCTTCTGCTGTGAGTTTCTGTCTTGCTATTAACTGCGGACAGCGCTGATAAGCAGCAATGCGTGCTATCGCGCCCGTGCAATTTTCAACAGCTGGCTGCTGCCTCTGTTGTGTTCGCTCAGAACAATACCTACGTGATTACCGTCGGACACAACACGACCAGTAACGCGAGCTTGGTCTTCCAGCCGCAGGAGGTGCATGCTGTGGTCGGGGACACGGTCATCTTCAACTGTGAGTCGCTCTTATTGTCCATCAAGCTGTGCGTATCTGATGGGAGCTATAGTCACGCTGGGAAACCACACCGCGACACAGGCGACGTTTGCTGAGCCGTGTATCCCTGCTCATGAAGCTAACATCACAATCAACGGATTCAACTCTGGATTCCGTGACGCCGGCAATGGCACTGCCATCACGATCTTGTCAGTTCCCATCCTCCCGCAGAACGTGAACACTACGATGTGGTTCTACGACTACAACACGTGTGGAGAGGGTGGTGTGGGCGTGATCAACGCGAACGACAGTTCGACCCAGACACTGGAGGGTTTCGAGGTATGTAAAGGATTATGGAGCCTAGAGTCTGTCACTCATTTACGCGCATGCTGCACGTCGCGTCCACAGCGTAACGCGGTTCGTTTGAATGGCACAGGCTCCCTGACGTCGTCGAGCGCGGCATCTAGTGCGACCTCGCCGAGTGGTACCAGCGGCAGCGCGTCCAGCAGCAGCACCACAACCGGCAAGACCAGCGCGGCACATCATCTTGTTGTCGGCAGCCTAAGCGTGCTCCCGCTGATCGCTGCTGCCCTCACCCTCTAAGGACGCGTTGCGAAAACAGCCCCGCGTCCATATACCCTTTGGTGAGACGCATGAGTTACGAGCGTCATTGTTGTGCGAGTGGTCATCGTGGGGGAGGGGTGGTTGGTGAGCGGGTGCGTCCGCGTGGTGGTATGTGTGGATTCTGGACCCTAGACGGCTGTGATCGTGCCTTGACTATCGGTTTGACGGTTTGACACCCCACGCGCATTCTGCTGCGCCCTACTCACGTTCCCTCGTTGATTCATACCATATCCTTTTGTGTTATTGTCACTACTCCTGCGGGCGAGGTCCTGTGCCTGCCCGTTTGTCTGCTTTACGTACTTGTCCGTGTTGTTAGTCTATTTGCTGATGCTGCTTCGTCGTGTTATGGCTGCTTCGTTCGTTGTTGTGGCATACACTACTTGTGTTGTCTGTGTTACCTCCCTGACCCTCCCCAATCCCACTACATTGGGCTGTGTTGTGTGTCACTACGTATGGATGTGCTCTTGGCATAGTATCTGTGTAGATCGCTTGCTCTAAGTTATTCATAAACACATGGTGTGATTTGTTCGCAAGAGCTTGCATTGATGGTGGCAGACGAGTCTTCCCTTGTCGCTGCCAGACCATGACGCGATCACGTGGCTGCGGGCAGACGCGTCGCGCTGTAGATGGTTTCATGATAAACAAGTATTCGAATGGTCATAGCAGGAGACTCGCTGTGATCATGTCGAATCGGTCTCATCACCATGAACACAACATCAGGTAGAAAGGGTATCAAGTGAACAGTACACAAGCGGCAGGTGATGTACACGGGTATGATACATTACTTCAATAGTATCCATAAAGCAAATGCTGCAGACTCATCCATCAGTACCAGCGATGCATTCATAGATATGGTTGTGGCACTCCCGGCAGGCCGTCTCCTGTCTCTCATGGGACGTATGGCCGAGCGCACAGCGTGGCGAGTTCTTGAACTTCTCAGCAGCGTATTTGTCCATAAGCGCTAGCAAAGCCGCACCGCCGTGCTGCAGCTCGCCGCGCGCGAGTCTCGCGACCCACTCGTGCAATCCCGCCTTCAAGTCGCCTTCAAGCGGATACTCGCTGAGGAGCTCCACTTCGAGCTGCTGCACCTCTTCGTAGCTGAGGCATCGGTCAGAATGAGGACGTGGGTCGAGGGCGACGCGCAGACGTGCTCACCGCGATGTGAACCTCGAGAAGAGCTCGGGCAGGATGTTGTCCGCGGTAAGCTGTGCCCCGAGGTTCTCGAGCGCACGCTTCTTCAGGTCGTCGAGGCCGTACTGTGCTGCGCGTGAGCATGCGGTGCGTGCGCGCGGTATAGGTATAGCAGGGACCACACACCCTGTCAGCGAGCCGGTAGATCGACTTGGGCGAGCAGAGCGGCGACTCGTATGCGGAGGGGTGTTGGGCGGCTGGACGCGCGTTGGCCGACCGGAGCGGCGCGAAGTCGATCTCGCCGGTGTACAGGTACGCGACGAGGGCCTGCAGGCTGCGTCGGCGCGCATGTCAGCGCGCGGGGCGGTCACGTCGAGCGCACGCTGCTTACGTCTTGTGTGCGGCGTCCTTGACGAACACGCTGCGGCCCCTGTGGTGCACCGCGCCGTGGTCGTCGGACGTCGCTTCCGAGGATCCTGACACGGGCCGCCCCCGCTGGGTTGGCGACGCGCGCGGCGTGAGCGTCTGCGTGGGCGCGGCGGGCCTGGACGCGCCCGTGCTCGCCGGAGCATCGTCGTTGTTGTCGTCGTCGTCGTCAAGGTCGCTGTCGGACTCGTAGCCGTACTCGGCGACGGACGCCTGCTCGGCACTGACGTCCGGGCTGTCGTCGAAGATATCGACCGCGCGGCTCTCGGAAAAGCCGCCCGTCAGCACTGCGGTGCGCCCACGTTATCAGCACGTGTACACAGGCTCAGGCCTGGCAGCCATAGCAGTAGCACAGACGGGGACGTACGCAGGTCGAACTTGGCGGATGTCCCGCGAAGCGCGATGCTGTTCGCATAAATGGGCTGGGGCCGTGAGACCGTGTCGCCCGAGCGCCGGGAGAAGGCGTGGAGGCGGGTGTCGACGAAGCTGCCGCCGGCGATGGACGCGTTGAGCGCCGCGCGCAACATCTGCTCCCTGCTCGTATACGGCAGCAGCGTTATGCCGGCGGTGTCGGGCGTGTCGGTGCGTGGTGAGGGTGGTGCTGCGCTAGCATTGGTGGCAGCCTGGACGGCGTTCGCAGTCTTCTTCTTCCGTCCCCTCTTGAGTGAATTTGGCACACGCAGAGACATATTCATGAGACGACGCGGTTGGCGGGGAGTGCTTGGGCAGATCGGCTGCTGCCTGCACGGCTGTTATGTATGCGATATCCAGGAGCCGAGGCCTGCGAGGGTGCAGCGCATTGCGCTGCGTCGAGCAGTGCAACTCGTGGCCATCTTCTGGAAGCACCTTGATTACAGCCTTGAGCCAACATCTTTGAATTGCACCACGCGTGTCCTAGGGCGCGGTGGACAGCCGGACGTTAGAAGCTACAGCTATCCGTGCCCGGATCGTGGCCTCTTCACGTAATGGACTGCGGGTGCCTGTGCCAGAGGCGAAGTTAACATAGCACCAAGCTGTCATTCTCTCTACTTTTCCTTACCAACGTTCGCTTTCATCAAAACAAGCTTTGGGACTTCGCCAAAATCTGAAGTAGTCTTCCCTTGTGCATCGCTAGACTTAAATCAGTACTCACAGTCAGGCCTTGGGCTATCGAAAGATCCGAATGCCTGTGTGGTAGGCGTTTGTGAATCGATAGCCTGTTCGGACCGGTATATATATTTGTAGGATAGTACCGGAGCTGGGCCTCCGGAGGCTAACCAATGTTAGTTGTCCGCGGACCGTCTGCTCCTCAAAAAAAAAAGATTGTACCAGAGCAACATGATCTGATAAGCTGCCTTCGTGGACTTACAAGGTCTGAGATCTGAGATCTCAAGGTCTGATTTTTCAAGCTGACTGCTGTCCAAAATGTTTATGTTCCAGATACCTTAGTCGGTTTCCAAGACTCAGGGATCTGTCGGCAAGATACACAGGCTGTTCGCGCAGTCAGCAAACAATGTTGTGGTAATGCCAAAGGTGTACGACGGGCATCGAATAATAAATTGTCAAACATTATGATAAGCATTATCTAAGTAAAGCTTAAATGACCGGTAAGATAAGATTCAAGTTATATGCTAAGCATCACGATCATCGTTTTGCAGACATAGGTCTCTCCGTTGCCCCTATGTGCATACTATCCTACAGCTGAATGGTGAAAATGCAGAACACCGCACGACATCGTGCCAGAAGTCATCCCTCGCATGCACAGTGTTGCATCCAATTAGGCGGCCTTAGTGCTCCCCCACATTTCGATGTTGCGGAAGTATGAGTGCACTTCCGTCGGCGTGGCATAAGATGAATCACCTCCTGCAAATCGAACATCTCATCAGCATTGCAAGTCGATCGAACAGACAGTCGTAGGCTCACCTCCAAAGAATGTTCTAAGCGATGATTGTTGCAAAGCGTCAGGAAACAAACAAGAGAATTCGAGGGGGATGGAGACGCACGAGAAGAAGAAGCCACTGATATAAACATCATCGCTATTGCGATATTGCAAGATGTCCTGATTGATAGCTTCGACATTGTTGTGACTGACATTCGGTCAGACGAAGGCTCTAGGTAGATCATAACGGATATACTCACTATAGCGCTACCTGGCCGTTGGCAGTGTCGAGAGGGTTGTTCAGACGCACAAGCATTGTGACCCGGTTCCACCTAGAGCGTAAAGAGTTGTGAACTTTGGAACTTGCATCTGGCGAAAGATACCTACTGTCCAGCGACAAAGCTGAAGGATCCACGGTCGATGCTGGTACCATAGCCATCCGAATGACACTCAAAATTCTTGTTGTCGCACAGTTTATCAGGTGTTAGGAAGTACGAGTACACTGTATATTGCATTAGCTTCAGTTATAGACAGAGGCAGCCATAAAAACTAGCCTTCGCCTGCCCCATCCGTTCTCCACATCACCCTGCTGGTGAAGCAGTTGGAGCCATCCGCAGCATTACCGCCAGAACATCCGTTTTCTTTAGGGCCACCCCTGATGCCGGGGAGTTTTCCGCCCTTGACCCAATCGAAATCGATATCAAATGCAACCTCGTAGGTGACGAGCATCGATTGGAACTGCGCTGTATGCTTAGCATGACATTTACCTCTTGTGTGCACAACAGCGTACCTTCTCGTTACCTGAAGGGTTCCAAAGGGCGGTGAACTGTGCGCCACCGCCGCCCTCGGAGTAGCTGCCCTTCCCGTAGGTGACTCGTAGCACAGGCGACTTCGAGTCGGAAGCACCGCTAGGGAAAGGATCGGTGACGAAGGAGATATCTTCAGCGTCATCTATAGTTTTGTCATATATAGGCCACGATGAGGTCAGGTACGATTTGGTGTCAGAATTGGACAGAGAAGCAGTTGGGAACGGCAGGTGAGTGCTGGTTGTTAACGAGTAATTGTGTGCAATCGCTGAGGGAGATGCAGTCGTGGCAGCGCCGCAAACAGCTGCGAAAGCCAGAAGGCCTGTCCAGGCGAGAGACTCAAACATTGTGTCTTGGGATGATAGAACTCTATGAGAGGTGGAAACTATATACACTGCATACCACCGCCGTTCAGCGCAGGCGGGTGCGAAACCTGCAGGATAAACCGCTTCCGCGGTGTCGCAGTTAGATCAAATTTGTTGTATTGATGCATGTTCCTCACCTATGTGGGACCGCGTCACAGCAGATCATAGCATCATTGCTGTAGGTACAATGATGATCATGTCGATCCGTCGGATATTCTCGGCTGGCCCGACAGGCTGAGAGTAAACATCAGAGATCACGGAGTCAACATCTCCTCATAAGTTATATAATGTTCAACAGAGCGTGAATCTGGGTTGGGGACTGAAGATGCAGTAGAGAAAACGCACCGAAATTGGAGACATACGCGCTTAATGATAGGCGGCTCCGATCTTCACTCATTGTTTCAGCCCGACGTCAATACAATGATGGAACTGGGAGTGTGAAGCTATTTTCTTACAGAAAGCATGGAAGTCATCGTTGGCCGGTCCCACACCAATCATCCATGGTACAATGGCTAGCCACCCGATTGGTTTCCAGATGATGCTTCCGATGTCACCGTCCTCGAAGAAACATAGCGTTGATTGCTCTGTCCGCTCTGAGACTAGCAGTCCACAACGAAACATGATATCTTCTGCACGCACATGGATCCAGTTCTCACGACTTTCGATTGCGATGACGATTGTGTCCGCACTGAGGCAGTCCTCGTCGTGATGAATTTCCCATTTTCCGCACACTTTTCCTATTACTATTTCGGAACTACCTTATTTGGAGAATGTGTAGAAGAGTAGAGCACCTCCAATCACCCAGAGACGTCCATCATTACAGTGTCTCGTAGATGTTGACATAGAGCAGTCAGCGAGTGCAAATATACACCATGGGGCCATTGATGGTAGCTAACGCGCACTATTGTGCACGTCGACAGAGCGCATGCAAAGGCAAGAACAAGATCGGAGATATATGTGACGGTACATCTGTCGTCAGGTCCTAAAATTGCATAGCGAGGTTATATAGCAGATGGAGGCGCCGTGCATGTCTTTCTCATGCACGTTCTTGGCCTCGAATCGCATAAGTCCGTTATATTTTGTACGGTCAACTCTATTCGTTCTGAGTTAGAACCACACCCTTCAATTATTCGACCCATCCGGTATCAAGCCCTGCCCCAGAATTGATTACATTGAACCTTTAATCTAATTCGTTTCCAACACAAAGCATACAACACGCGATTAGACAACTGATTTCTAGAGGAAAACCTTCTCGAAGTATCTCCTCAAGCCTTCCGCCCCATGTACTATCGCGCCCACCACACCGTCAGGTCTGACGGCCACGGCGATGGCCTCCTTATCCGAGGCTCCATAAATCGCATATGCATGCCCGCCATCGTCGACGACGATCGTATCGACGCCATCTACCTTCGAACGCCCTGAGGAACCTTGTGGGGACACAACCAGAGTTCTGACTATGCCCTTCGGGTAAGCTCTCAACAGCGAAAGGTATGACTCCAGGACCTCTTCGCTCGTGGAGAAGATAACCACGGTATGATGCGTGGGGCCAAAGACGCGCAGAAGAGTATAGGTCTTCCCCTCGCCGTCGACCAGGTCGGGGGCGTCAGGCGCCCGATCTCCTGCCCTTAGCACATCACTTTTCTGCGAGCCGTACGCATTCGCGCGAAGGTCTTCGCCCTCGTCCACAGGGCTTCGCTCGTCAAGAACGATGGAGCTCCATCGGTAATTTACTCCAAACTGTTTGACGTGGTCCTCGCGCGTCCGTAGCGCCAGTATTGCCTGTGACAAGCCTGCTTCGTCCTTGTTTGCGGTAGCAACGTGGCGGAACAGCTCGCTGGTCATTTTTAGCATGTCGATAATCACGGGTATACGTTCTTCGCTGTAGGTTGACAGCAGGCTCGGATCAGAGAGGCCCTTCTCGACGAGTGCTAGCTTCCAAGCGAGGTTGAACTGGAATAACAGAGTACATGAGCAACATGGCGCGGCTATGTCACGGTAAGTGTACCTACCGCATCTTGGATGCTGGAGTTGAGCCCCTAAAGATTGAAAGTTACTGATCAGATGCGTTCGAGAAGCACGATATGTACGCATATACGTACCTGTCCGCCCGCCGGCGTGTGCACATGAGCGGCATCTATGATAAATGCAAAGTGAGAATTCCAACTATGCTGATTGTGATTGACATACCACCGGCTAGGAAGACGCGATTGCTCTGGAATGTGTCTACCATTCGGACTTGGGGTCTGTAACGATACAAAGTCAATCAGTCAGCTTGGACAAGGTCCATTATACTGACCTCCACTCTGCAACATTAATGATGTCCCCGAAAACGATATCATCTCTGTCGGATCCTTTTTTGAATGCTTGTAATAAGCTAGCGCGATCCGACACAAGAGGCGCCAGTTCGACTGCACCGCCGACAAGAAAAGCAAACACGCCATCATTCTCGGTGGGTCGTAAGCCGACTCGTCTGTAAACAACATGTCCATGAGAGTATCACGCTCACTAAAGGGAGAAAACTCACACCCCACCTGGCAGTGCCCAGTTATGCCAGTGCTGCATCAACAACATTAGTCAACGTAGTGGTGGTTGGATTTTGAACCACTCACGATCTGGTCCAAGCCACTTTTGACTTCAATTTCGCCAATCACCGTGGGTTGCCCAATGGAGTCACCCTGAAAAGTCAAGCCCAACTGCTTGCGCACGGCACCTGGAAAGCATGGCATCAGTTGAAGCCCCAGGTTCGTAGCAATGCTTGCAAGACGCACTTCTGCCGCCATCCGTTGCCACAAGCCAGCGACAATCCACTGACTCCAAGAGTTTCTCGCCGGCAATGTTCTTCGCAAGGTTCGCCGTCACCTTGTCGTCATGCTGTTCTAGACTGCAGAACTCGGTGCCGACCTCGACGTAATGTCCGTGTTTCTCTAGATGCGCGCGCAGAACCGCTTGGGTACTACTTTGTGCCAGCATCACAGCATTGTTCTGGAATACGCACGATCAATAAATCGCCATAAGATCCATATACACAAATAGAGCGTACGTATGGGATGGACGGCGTGGGGTCAGCCGGCGGCATCATGTGAAAGGTCTTCTCAGGTACGACACCGCCCGGTAGCTTGTAAAAGCGTGAGAGCGGCAAATCCCGACCTTTGGCCAGGATATCTGGGAGTACGTCCAAATAATTGAAGATATCCAGAGTACGTGGCTAGTGAAGTTCGTGAGCTTTGTGTAAGGATTTCTTCTGGAGCGTACCTGAATGCCCGCTCCACGCTGAGCCGTGTGGAAACTCAGAGATTTCTCGATTATGCGAAAGGGAACGTTGTTCTTGGCCAATGTGAGGGCGAGTGCCAGACCTGTTGGACCAGCCCCTACCTGGACAGAATGTTTGTGTCCCTGCACCTCAGATGCTATGAATGCGACAGTACTTACAATCAAGACAGGGATAGTGGATGTGTTCGAAGTGCGAGGAGAGGCTTGCGACGACATGTTCGATGGTTCTCTGTGGGGGAGAAACCGTCAATTGGGATATCTGAGTCGAGGTCAAAGCGAGAATGTTGGAGTACAACATACTTGACGATCGCCTGTATTCATACTTAGTGCTGCGCTCGCAGCACTATACCGCAGCGACTGACGACCGTACCCGGCACGCTCAATACTACTCGGCAGTGGACTCTGAGGCATAGTACGTACCAGGTTCAGCACGGCCTCAGACGCTGCGATCATTGATACATGTCAATGACATTCTTAGTTTGATTGAATAGTAGCGGCTCGCTAGGGACGCGTCATCTCGTTCTGCAGTTTGATGCCACCCTCGTCGTGTATCATGGCGGTATAATGCTGCCAGTGAAGGCAGCACCACGCCGGACGTCCGAGTCATCATTCACTGACTTAAGGGCTCAAAAGACATCTCTATGATACAGGTGTCGTGGACTTGCGAATAACGAATGGATCGTGGGCTTACATTCTGCTTACACCGTAACTTACAAGATAGTAGACTCGACTGTCTTCATGGTCACGTGCGAATTCCAAATTCATGGTCAAGTCCGAGTCAGATTTCAATGTTGCCTGTCCCGCGTTTTCGCCTTTCCAGTGAATCCCCAACGGTCTCTCGCATTCCTGGGGCGAACAGCTCGCTCACTATTAGAGTTCACTGGCTAGAAATAAAAGCGCCTTGAGGACGCAATTACCCCAGAAGACATACTCCAAGACCTATTATCGTTATACGCCTCTGTCCGACTAGAATGACCACTCGCAAGATTCTTATGTTGCACGGGCAAGTCATGACAAGATAATAGTATCTCTTTTAGTTTTTTGAAGTAGCCGAGCCCCGCGCACAGGTATGCCCAAAGCGCGACGATCTTCAGCAAACGCGTAAGATCACTCATAACGTCCTCTTCAATGGTCAGTGTAACTCATGGCTTTCCTTAGCTGGGTGCTCTGCGCAAAGCATGTGGCAAAGACGTTGATCTCGGTGTGCCCGTATCCTGAAAGGCCGTATACTCCTGTTCATCTGACCTGCTGCGCGACTTGACTGCGTTCCTCGTGCCGCCAGTCTTCGTCGATGCTCCATACGTACTGACGCCTGTCGACATGGCGTTCCTGAACACCCTGTCGAATTCATCCTCTCTCGAAGACCTCGGTGCGCCGGAGGCTGCCGCTGAGCAGGACCCTGCGCTCGCCCCGCGCGGCTGGTGGAAAGCACAGGCGGATCGCGACCAGACCGCCGGGCTGGAAGAGTCGCTGGCCGTCCTGCGCGATGTGCTAGCGAAAGACCATTACGACGTGCGTCTGTCTCATGCGTTACTCGTGCGCACAGACAGTTGAGAAGTCTGTCACGTCCTCTTTCAGGGTGTGTTTGGGTTCAGGTGTGGTAGCCCCGCGTTTCTTGAGTGTTAGTACTCGCATTAAACTCAGTGGTATCTCGATTTTGTCGTGAGCAGTCAAGGCGCAGCCATGGCTGCTATCCTTGCGGCATTGGTGCGTAGGTTTCAGAGAATATACGATTCAAGATAATAGAACCACTATCGCCAGCTAGAGAAGCCAGCAGTCCATCCTCCGTTCCTCATAGACGGCCAACCCCCACACCTGCCATTGTAAGTGACTGCCTATTCCGCCGGGTGTGTCTCGTGCTGATAATCCCCGCTGCCCGGCATGCCCGGAATGAATTCATTTCACTGCCGCAGGCAATTCTGTGTCTCCGTCGCAGGGTTCCGCCCGCGCAGCCCGCTGGTCGATACCATACTCCTACCGTCATATTCTACGCGCACCCTGCACGTCCTAGGCAAGACAGACGTCATTGTGGTCGAAGAGCGATCGAAGCCTCTGCTAGAGTTGTCGAGCAACAAGCGCGTCGAGTGGCATGACGGGGGTGCGTGCATTACCATTTCTCGGACCATGCGGATTAGCCTTGCTGATAGATACCCCGAACGCATGACACTGCTGCTGTGCATAGGTCATTTCGTTCCCTCTAAAGCACCCTGGCGCAACTTCATCCGTGGCTTCCTCCGGGATCCGTCGATGAGCGAACCAGCACCTGGGGCCGCCGCGCAAACTCCTTCGGAGCCCGCTCACCCGACTGCTTCCGAGGGCAATAACGCCGACGGGCCATGAGATGTACTGGGTTCCTTGTCCTTCTACATGGAAGGCCTATAGGGTAGCGGGGACGTACTGGGACATAGATCTCGCGCACGAGTCTCTCCCTGTATTTAGACTAAACCGCTAGCTTATCATGATAGAAGGGTAGGGTCTTATATCCGACTGGTACAATTGGATAACTGCAGATAGCTCGAGAAGTTGAAGTTGAGAGCAGCGCGGTAAGTAAGTGTCCACGATGGATTGATTTGGTTTTTCGAGAGCAGCTGAGCGCCATGGGGTGGGGTAAAATGTGAGGGGGAATTAGGTCACTAGTGGTCTAGAAGATGTCGGGGTGTCATTCAAGTTCTCCGTGATTTTTTGATCTTCCTCGAAGGGCAGCGACCTGCTTCTTATACTTCCCAGGCATTCCCAGAGTGGGAAGCTTCCCACCCTGACCTCGGTGTGCTCCTCGTCCATTCAATGGCCGGCTGAGGTTGAGCAGCACCCGCTGTTCGCTAGCGGTGAAACAGGCAACGGAAGCTATTCCAATCATCAACGCACTTACAATGTGCACACAAGACACGGAGCGTTGAGCTAAGCGCTAGGCTTGTGAGATCGGAATTACTTATCAGAACCCATCAGAGCGTTTGTGCCTCATAAGGGAATTTAAGTCAATAATATATCTCGATTAAATGTCTTACATCAGCGCGGAGTTTGTTTCGAACAAACATGGAGAGGGCATAGTCGAAAGCGACCTGGCGCACTTTTACGCGTTCTCTATCCTCCTGCGGTTTGAACGCGCTGTATACCTCCATTATGTCTTCCTGGGCACCCCAGCAAGAAGGTTTACGAGAAGTCATCGAGACTATCCGCGAAAACGACGCTATCCAAAGCCAGACCGCCCAGCGAGAAACAACACTCGTGTGTCTGGCTCATTACTCAGAGTTAATCGCGCTCATTAATCTCCCTCTCTGCAGAAATTGAGCAACTTTACACGCATCCCAGATTACCTTGCCTACCTGGGCTACATCCTTTCCGCTCTTCCCCATGAGGAAGAGCGTGTCAGCTCTGCGGCGGGCTACCTGATCAAGAATAACGCGCGGTTGATTCTGCGGGCGTCGCCCGACGTGGTGGAATATGTGAAGAAGGCAGTCCTGATAGGCTTCACAAATCCCGCGCCGCTCGTTCGCAATGCGGCTTCTGGTGCCATCATCAACCTTCTGGGCATCCTGGAGCCCAAGAACTGGCCGGAATGTCTACAGCAGTTGGTAGCGATGTTGGACTTGACAAATCAAGAGCAACAAGAGGTGAGTGCATTTCTGGATCTTGCCGCAGTACGAAGATGGCCTGCGGCATCTTATGCATAGGTCGCCACACTGTGGCTGGTGGCTGCGGCAGTCGAGCTATCTACATCGTTGATATGGCCTGCGTCGTGTTACGCTAGCCATCAAGCCCATCGAGCAGAAAGCTCAACGCTGCTGTCAGCTCGTTGACCCGCGGCGTCTGTGGCCTCGTGTCATTTCATGTAAAGTCGGCGTCTGTGACATCGTCTCATTTAATCCCCCCAGGCTGCATTCAACGTACTTGAGAAGGCATGCGAGGACTATCCACGCAAGCTGGACGTGGAGATCAACGGTACTTGGCCACTCAATTTTATGATCCCGCAATTCCTGGTGCTGTCCGAGCACCCAAGCCCAAGAATGCGTGCACATGCCCTCGCATGTTTGTCGTACTTCATCCCGATCGGATGCCAGTCCCTTTTCACGCACCTAGACACCTTCATTGCGTGTCTCTTCAAGCGTGCATCAGATGAAGATCCCGCCGTCCGCCGCCACGTCTGTCAGGCGCTCGTCTTGCTTCTGGCGTCACGCCCCGAGAAGTTGATGCCCGAGTTGCCCAACGTCTCCGAGTATATGCTTTACTCTACGAAGGACAAAAATGAGAATGTCGCATTGGAGGCATGTGAATTCTGGCTCACATTCGCCGAAGACCCCGATCTCGCTCCATTTCTACATCCACTACTGAGCAAGGTCGCGCCCGTCCTGTTGGACTGTATGGTTTACGGCGAGGACGACCTACTTTGGCTCGAAGGGGATGCCGAAGATGCTGCAGTCCCTGACAAGGACACCGATATCAAGCCACGACACTACGGGGGCAAGGCGCACGGCTTCGAACACGAGTCCAATGGGGACGAACTCTCGAAGCCTCGCGTTGGCGCATATGGCGAAGAACTTGAGGATGATGACGATGAGTTTGACGACGACGACGACTTCGCCGACGAGATGTCCACGGAGTGGAACCTCCGCAAGTGTGCCGCAGCGGCATTGGATGTCCTTGCCGTCCGTTTCGGCGTTGACCTTCTGAATGTGCTCCTCGAGCCATTGAAACTGAAGCTTTGGAATGAAGATTGGCTACAGAGGGAAAGCGGCATTCTCGCTCTGGGTGCGATGGCCGAAGGTCGGTTAACATTTCGCGTCTCAAATTGTGGCTTGGCACTCATGGACGAAGCAGGTTGCATTGATGCGGTTGAACCACACTTACCAACCCTGATTCCATATCTCGTCAACATGCTGAACGATCCCAAGGTGCGACTAATTAATGATCCGTTTGTGGACACTGGTTAACACCTTGGCAGCCTCTCGTGCGATCGATCACCTGCTGGACGCTTGGAAGATATGCTAGCTGGTGTACTCAGCCCTTCTCAGACGAGCACAAGAACTCGTTCTTTGTTCCCACGCTTGAAGGGGTGAGCGAATCATAATCGTTTCATTACTCGGCACTCCTAGCTGACAGTCCGGATATGTAGCTTCTCCGAATGATACTGGATAACAACAAGCGCGTCCAAGAGGCTGGCTGTAGTGCTTTTGCCACTCTGGAAGAAGACGCTGGTCTCGAGTTGGCGCCGTACCTTGAGCCGGTGTTGCGCAACTTGGTCTTCGCGTTCGAGAAATACCAACACAAGAATATGCTAATCTTGTATGATGCAATCGGCACCCTCGCTGACGCTGTTGGACCGGCGTTGCAGAACCCTCACTACGTCGACATTTTGATGCCGCCACTCCTCAAGCGTTGGAGCAAACTGAAAGACGATGATGAGGACCTCGTGCCCTTACTGGAGGTCTGTTCCATGTTGTCTCAATGTTGCTTCCTGGAGTCGCTGACTTGACTGGCTTCAATTTAGTGTCTCGCTTCCGTTACGATTGCCATGGGCTCTGCATTCGTGCCTTATGCAGGCCCAGTCTTTGAGCGTTGCACCAATATTGTCCACGGTTCACTTCTGCAATATCAAGCTTACCAGCAGAACCCCGAGATGGACGAGCCTGACCGTTCATTCCTGGTTGTTGCTCTCGACCTGCTGTCGGGCTTGACACAGGGTCTAGGCTTGAATCTCCAGGCTTCGATCAATCGTAGCCACCCCAACATCTTATCCTTGCTGGTCATATGCCTGAAGCATCCGCAGGCGCCAGTTCGCCAATCAGCGTATGCGCTTGTAGGCGACCTCGCGATGAATTGCTTCGACCTCCTTCGCCCATACGCGCCGGCGATCATGAACGAGCTCATCGAGCAGCTCGATCCTGAGCCGAAGGTGGAGTTTATCAGCGCATGCAATAACGCAGCCTGGTCGGTTGGGGAAGTTGCTCTTCGGTATGGAAGAGGTCAGTTCGGCATTCTTGCTGTGGTGACCACAATGAATGACTGGATATGTCACAGACGATGCTGAATTCCGGCAGTGGGTCCAGCCGCTCATCTCGCGCCTGATTCCTATTCTACTCCACCCGAAGGCACCACGGAGCCTGCATGAGAACGCGGCGGTGTCAATAGGGCGTATCGGGCTGATGCATCCTGCAATGGTTGCGCCCCTGTTGCCGGAATTCGCGCAGGCTTGGTGCCAGGCACTATACGAGATTCGTGACAATGACGAGAAGGACTCCGCTTTCCGCGGGTTCTGCACCCTTGTGCAGGTCAACCCGGCTGGTATCATGAAGGTACGTTGAGACTTCACTTTCCGGAATATGGTTGCGATATTGATCCGTCGTGGCTTCAGAGCCTTCTGTGGTTCTGCAACGCAATCGTCAGATGGAATCGCCCGTCAAACGACCTGAACACTATGTTCCAACAGATCCTCGCTGGGTTCAAGCAGCATGATCCCGCCGGATGGGCACAGCAAATCGCTGGTTTCCCTCCTGCTATTCAGGAACGCTTGGCCCAGCGCTATGGTGTCTAAACGCGGCGAGTATTCGTTTTGCTCGGGTCCTGTGCTCGCAAAATTGGACCATCTGCGTCGTGTACTGTTCGTAGTTACGTCTCGTTGCTATCGATTCGCTGCGCCATGTCAACATTTACTATACATCATGCGTCAGGAACTTTACGTAGTGTAGCTTTCCCTCACTCCATTTATCTTTACGTACAAGTAGTGTAGCTCTTCTCTGTCCATCCTGTTGCGCAATCCTTTCACGTAGTGTAGCTCTTCTCGGTCTCTGCAGTTTGGTTTCGTGCCTCTCATACGTACAGCATCAGTGTCTATCCATTCCTCATCATTACCTACGATACCTACGATACGAGCATCCTCAGTGTAGAATAGTTGTCGCCAGTGTGCTTCGAGTGATCGACCTCTGTCCGGGGAAGAGATACTTGAAGTACCCTGTCGAAGTGGTCCAGCATATTTAACGATTGACATGGTTATGCGGTGTATCATACAATGATATGTGTACAGTAGGGTAGCTATGCCGCTGCGGTCCCAAAAGTAACTGATGGATGTTAACTTGTGACTAGGCACGATGGTAAGTCGAAGCCCACTGCTGGACTAGATCGTGCAAGCCAAGATCTTCTTCGATCTGCCCCCGCAAGAGTGCTCAGTGTCAAGGACGCGAAAACAACGCGAGGTCTTACCTGCTGTTTCAATAACAGGTCTTCTCGACCAGCAGAAGATCCGAACACCGCGTCCATCTCTTCAAGAGACACATTGGCCGTCTCCGGAACGGAATAGGTAGACCACAGGTATCCGAGGAAGCATGCAGTGGCGAAGACAAGAAATGTGCCGCTACCAACGCGGCGTCAAAATCAATGTCGACGTCACTCGGGCGAACACTTACGACGGTGACAGCTCCATCAGTTCTGGCGTAATCAAGCCGATGAGAACTGCATAATCCGAGGGTCAATAGAATGCGGGGTATATGCGTCGGTACGTGTAATAATGCGTACAATTGTTAAACCAGTTGGACGCGGTCGACAGCGAAACTCCCTTGCTGCGTACAGATAACGGGAAGACTTCGCTTGGGAGGACCCATCCAATGGGTCCGTAGCTGACGCCATAGGCGGCTGTGAAAACATAAACACATCTGTGGATTTGTAGCGACATTAGGAGAATTGAACATCTTTACGGCGGAGGCCAAGCGTACCCTACTGAGAACCATGCTGCCCATGAGTGGGAGAGCCAGTCGCCCTCAAATTGCCGGACCTCAAACGGTGGTAAGCCGAACACGCTACAAATAATAGATGTAAGGAGAACTCACCATGACGGCGATGCAGAAATGTGACAGCGCCATGACAGCACTCCCACCTGTTCAGAAACAGGTCAGGAGCGAGACGTCGAGCGCTGCTCTTGGTGCATACCTCTTAGTAGCGGCTTTCGACCTTCGGCATGACAATGAGACGTGATAATGTGCAGGCAGCGGCGTGAATCGTACCTAAGCGGTCAATGAAGACAATTGCCGGTAGCACTGCGAGGAATTGTACAATCCCAATGCCACCGGACACCGTAAGCGTGACGGCGTCGCCCTGCAAGCCCAGAGAATGCATCAAAGTAGGCCCATAGTATAGGAGTGCGTTGATGCCGCTCCACTCTGTTATGACACAGAAGAACATGAGCACAAAGGCGGGGACCGAGCAAATAGAAGAAAGCGAACGCCGACTCACGCTGGAAGAACATCATCAGGACACCGATGGCCGTGCGCTTGCGGTACTTGCGCCCGAAGAGCCGCGCCCACGCACGCGCCTCCGTGCGCAGCGAGCCTGCCTTGGCGGGCACGCCAGTGGTCTGTGCGAGCAGGGCAATTTCAGCCTGCATCTCGAGCAGCTCAAGCTGACACGTCGTGTCAGCTATCGAGATTTCCGGGCCCGCGGCCGATTAAGTCGGGGCGCACCTGAAGCAGCGGGTCTGTGATGCTCTCTTCTGGCGAGCGCAGTCGGAGCGTGGCAAGTGCGCGGCGGGCGTCGTCCGGCCGGCCCTGCATGATGAGCAGGCGCGGCGAGGGAGGCAGGAAGAGGCATCCGACAGCGAGGAGTACGCCTGGCCCGAGCTGGATCCCGAGCGGGATGCGCCATGACGCAGAGCCGGGAACTGCGGGTTGTCAGTCGCGAGCGTGGTACTGAAGGGAGGGCGGCTCACTCTCGCGCGTGAAGAAGCCCGTCCAGAATCCGAGGACGGCGCCGAGCACGATGGCGAACTGTTCCAGCGCCATGAGCGATCCGCGCACTTCTGGCGGGCTGATTTCGGCCATGTACAGGGGAGCCAGCATGCTGCATGGAAGAGACGTGAGCTGTGGCCAGCGAACTCGAAGATACGCACCGGATACTTACCTCAATGCACCGACTCCTAGACCGCCAATAGCGCGGCCGAGAGTAAGATGGAACAGGCTCTGCGCGGCAAACTGAAAAGCGGAGCCGATGCAAAACACGACTAGGGGTATGCTTCTGCATGGGCGATCAGGATGCTTTTTCGTCACGAGTAAGACATCGTACCACAGGCTAGTAGGATAGACACTCTTCGCGAGTAGCGATCGGCGAGCACGCCCGACGCGAGAGCGCCGAAAAGCGAGCCCAGCTCGAGCGCGGCGGCTGTCGCATCAAAAGGCCATCAGCACATAGTCTGGCCTGGATCAAAAGCCGCGCGCACTCATCACCCCTTTCTCGAGCGGTCCGACGGGCCAACGTTCTGTGAAGTCGCGCATCACGAGGACATTCGCAATGACGCCCTGGTCATAGCCGAAGAGGAGTCCGCCTATGGAGACGAACACTGCGCAGCCGAGTGCGTAGTAGTTGCGTATGAGGCCTGCGGAGCCTTTCGGACCGTACGCGTACGAGTAGCCGTGTCCATCTTGGTGCAAAGTCAAAGTTCCTCCACGCAGCCTGTTCTCGCGGGCGAGAAGTGGCTCCGAGGCGGCATTACTGGCCTCGTCTTCACTGGAGGGTACCGCAGCATATGTGCCGCTGCGTAGGGTCTAGACGCAGCGGTCAGTGTTTTTATTTCGCACACCAAGGCATACACGCGCCATGAGCCGCTCCGGGCTTCGCGCTCACTGCTCAGATTCGATGTATGCTGAGCCACTGGTGTTACTCGCGAGGAGTTCTTAATGGGCTCTACAATCTGTAGACTATTGTGTTAATCAGCTAACGTATTATAGAGTTAGGAATATAAGTACATTAGATGTCGAGAGAAATAGGTGCTCTCAGCTGCGTTGAGCGATACAATAATTGGTTATGTTGTGGCAGTAGCAAACGTGTAGTTGCCTCATTGCCGAGGGTTCCATATCTTATCTGATAATATACGCGCTGTCATGGCACATTGACCATGAGCCGCATCATGATCTGTTCCTTCTCATCCCCGACATGGGGGTCCAGCATTTTATCTGATAATATCACAACGGGCCGAACACTCCTTTCATCTGGTACAGCTCGTTTGCAGCAGCGCTCGTTGGCACGGGGAAGTAGCAACTTAATCAACTCTGCACGTCTACTAACCCGCTAATTTGGAGAGAGCGCTGACGCGGCTGTCATAGAACAGCATCTGCACACGTAAACTGACACTGACAACCACTTGATTCCTCGTCGAGCAGCCAAAAGCCGACGCAGTCGTACTAGTCTCCGAGTCGCCCTGGCGGCGCGTCCGCTCGGCTCGGAGCCTCTTGCTGCAATGTGGACTCCAGTCGCTTAGTTGAGGAGCCGCGCAGCTGTACGAATGTCACCGGCAGGATCACTGGGCATTGAGGGTCCACCGTATATAATCCTCCGCCCTCTCGTGCAGTCCTTACTCTCTCCGCCGATCTCACATACACCTTAACCCATTCCGCCATCAATCCCGTTTAAACATGTCCGCCACGCAACCTCTCCCCGTTCTGATCGTAAGTATAGTACCACCCACCTCTCACATTAACTTACTATTGGGCTGTTCTCGCTCAGACTGGGGCTGGCCCCTCTGGCCTTGTATTAGCGCTGTCCCTGGTTCAGCATGGCATCCAGGTCCGCATAATCGACAGGGACCAGCAATTCCACATTGGACAACGCGGCGCTGGAATACAGGTAATATCCACTCTATTCATAAGGCACGTTATCAGTATCTAAAGCACAGCCTCTTATAGCCCAGGACTTTGGAGGCGTATAACATCTTGGGTGTCTTGCCCGATATTGTTTCCAGAGGCAGGGATTTGCGTCCGATGCGATTCTACAAGCTTCCCGGAGGTGTCGAGCCGTCTAAAACGTTCGACATGATGCCCATAGAGGAACCCACGCCAAGCACTCCATATGTATGCCCGTTTGCTCATATATTGATCCGCACTGTCCATGTTCAGCTAACACGAACTATCTAGATGAACTCATGGATGCTCGGGCAAGCGAAGGCGGAGCAAGTGCTGCGCGAACATCTGGCTACGTATGGATGTCACGTTGAACGCGGCACGGAGCTGTGCAGCTTCGAACAGGATACTGAACATGTGGTGGCCCATCTCATCAAGCGCGATGGTGATGAAGAGATCGCTGAAACCGTAGTCTGCCGCTGGCTTGTCGGGACCGACGGGGCGAAAGGTTGAGGTTTTCCTTCTATCTGTAGGTTCTATATGAACCTATTGCATACTTTCAGGCATCGTGCGGAAGCACCTCGGTCTCACATTTCTCGGGGAAGCAATTGCGGGAAAGATTGTCTTTGGTGAGATCGTAGTCAAGGACCTGACCCGCGATGTGAGTTTCCATCTACAAGATCATTGGGGGCTTTCCTGATGAATTGTTGAATCATAGTATTGGCATTGTTGGGGCGACTTTGGTTCTCAGATGTGCGTCTGCCGCGACAGTGTGATTTGAACTACCTCAGCTCTTCTATTTTATTATCAGGGCAATCTTGCGTCCCACGGAAGATGATGAGATCTACAACTTCATTGTTTCGGGAAACATCGACTTGGAGAAGATCTACGAGGATTATGACACACTGGTTCAGACATTGAAAGAGATATCCGACAGGCAGGATCTCATTTTCGGCGAGATCAAGTTTAAATCCAATTACAGGTGCGTTAAAAAGTTCTGTTGCTTAATGTCCAATTAATTCGTATCTAGCCCAAATGTTCGCATGGTGGAAAAATTCTCCGAAGGCCGGGTCTTTGTGGCAGGAGGTAAGCGACGGTATGTATGATCTGAAGACACGCTTATGTCGCCTAGACGCTGCACACGTACATAGTCCCGCCGGTGGCCAGGTGTGCTCATCATGACATATAGGTAATAAGGACTAATCATGGATTGGCTCCAGGGTATGAACTCCAGTGTGCAGGATGCTGTACGTTCCCAGTCCACGAAAAGCATTATCACGAACTGATCAGGATCGATGGACAGCTCAACCTCGGTTGGAAGCTCGCCCTTGTCGAGCTGGGCTTTGCTTCCCAATCTCTCCTTTCTACATACACAGAGGAACGCCTTCCCGTCATCTCACACATGCTCAAAGAAACGACGACGTTGCTTCACGCGACGAGAAGTGCAAAGGTGGACGGCGATGTTTCCCAAGGATGGACGCGGAGTCATGATTTGAAGATGCTCGGTGTTAACTACCGCTGGAGCTCTATCCTGCTCGATGAGCGTCACCTCCAACAGACGTCCGGGAAGGAGAAGCCACTTATAGATGCATACGGAACGAATACGAGCGATGGGCTGCATGCCGGTGACCGAGCCCCGGACGCCCCAGGTCTCGCCGTAGTCGAGACGGGCAATGTCGGGGCCGAGACGACGTCGTTGTTCCGCATTTTCAGCTCCACACGCCACACCGTCCTCATTTTCTCCTCAGACAGCGATCAGATTACAGCCGTACTCGGATTGGCGAAGAAACTCCCGCCTCGCTTTGTCCGCACGGTTGTCGTTCTCCCACGGGACTCAGCTCCTTTGCCAGCGGCATCTGGTGCGGATGTTGTATGCACCGACCAAGACGGGCATGGGCATACGGGGTACAGTGACGGGACGGAAAAGGCCACTGTAGCTGTTGTGAGGCCAGATGGCGTCGTTGGCGCTCTTGTCGCCGGAGCGACAGGTCTGGAAGCCTACTTCAAGAACGTGTTCTCGAATGTGAAGGCTTGAAAGTATGTCTGCCAATGTATTTGTCAAGCGAGATCATCGACTCACTGGTGAGTCTCACTTAGATCGACCTCCTGTCGTCCCCTCGTTCAGCTGCCGTATCAGAATCGCATCCCCACTCCATGTCAGCTTATCTATCGTAATTATCATGACCGGCATATACCTTCAGATCGCAATGTATTCACATATAGCTATTGTTTCGTGGCTTGTGACAGAACTGTTGATCCTTTAAGCTAGGCATGCCAGAAAGAATGGATTCACCAGCAGAACATCTTCACACATTGCTACATTATTGAAGGGTGCTCACTTAATGAGGAAGTGCGACGAGAGCTGTGGCAGACGGGAATATGTAAATAGTGTGACCCATGACGTTCACAGGTCTGTGACGCGTGACTGGACTGTTGGTCGAATTTATCGAACAATAATTTCCCTACATGTTCTTGGAATTTTCCTGTCCCATCGTCTGCGGACATATCATCTGCTCGTTACTGGACAATCACTTCTAACTCCAGTTGTTGCAGCGAACTCAAGTAATAGCGTATGCTTGCCACTGCCCGTTCGACACTCGTGTCGTCAAGATTCAAGTTATTCCCCATTGGCGATTGAAATGAAAATTCGTTCGTGCTTCTCGCAGTGAGCGCCGTCTTGATAATTTCCTATAGCACTCCCATGAAGGCCCTGCAGAGACTTTACAATATGTATGTACAGCTGATAGAATCGAAAAGGTCGTTCTTTATTCACTGCAATCATTGGACGACTTCCAAACTCTGCTCAATTATGGTGCATGAGTATTCCTGATACGATCAATACCGATCCCGTTCTTCTACCGTCCTTGAGCGACTCAGCCTCGTCCGATTTCTCCAACTGAGAAATGTGTCTCCCTTCCGATTAAAAAAGTTCGCCTCTTCAGCCTTCTTCGCTGCGCTGTGTCGCATCATGGCCTCCACCGAGTCGAGAGCGCGACCTTTCTGAAATTTCAAGACCTACTCTCATTCGTCACCGCCTTCCGTAGCATTACTCATCTCAACTTACTCGGGCTATATACTCCATCTTCAAGCATGCCCACCGCATCGGCGCCGCTTCGTGGCAGGACAAGCTGTACGGCCTATTGACGGTTTGCTCTCACTACACTTCGACTCTTTGTAGCTTGAAGCTCGCAGTGCTTCCACGCCTGGAATCAAGCGGTCATCACAATCTACTCAATATTAGCGAGATTCGGACTCTTGGAGTTCTCGATGCAGACATATGGGACAGTCTGATCACACCCGATTATAGTGCGTCCGTTGTCAAATCTTACCACGATGAGCCTGCTCAACAAGTTCTCGATTTGCTTGACGATATCGGGATGCTCGTGGACAAATGTCGCCAGATGAAGACCTTTATTAGGCACGTGAACCTTATGCATCGACATTCCACTACGATCCAGGATGGCTCTTCAATTCTCTTGCGCACCTACTCAATACCATTCGAATGCGTATCACTGCGGAGACATATGTCAATTCATCATCTGACTTTGAAACGCGCAGGGTGACTGAGGATCACATGTAGGATAACTGGAGCACATTCGGCTGGGGTGTATAGACAGTCGCTGCAGGATGCTGCTTCCCTTAGCTCGTTCATCGTACCTCCTGTGGGGATGTCGCGATAATGCTCATCATCAAGAGTGGATCATCCAACGGTTTAGCCAACTGAACCTAGCGGTGAAAGGCATATTGCGTATTACCTTCCTAGATAACTGTATCGAATCCAGTGAGTATATATTATGACATTGATGATAGCTAAAACACGCGATTGCGTATGTCAACAGAGCTCATGGAAGTGAGGATAGACTTGTTGGATACATAGTGACAGTATGTTCATTGTTTTTTTGATTGACATCTAGATGGCCGAAAACTCTGGATATTCCATGTTGGTTAATAAAAGGCGTCGTGCAACGTCCAGAGTCTGGCAGACCCTTCGAAGACACTCACTGCCGGGAGATGTCCGGAGCATGTCTGGGCTGCGGTCAAAGGGTCCTGTCCACGGTGAGAACCGACTGACGGAATCTTCACGATCCCGGGGACCAGTCGGCGGCATTACAATCATCAAAAATTCAAACAGCCTAGCGCGCGACCCCATTTCTCCTTCAAGCTCACAGGATCGCTGATCTCACAAAAAAGCAAGCAAGTCTCTATGAACCATGGTTTATGTTATGGTCAATAGCGCACCTGTCTTAAGCGATTCTCCTAGGCGCTTCCGCTGGGCGCGGGTGATACTAGCATATCATCCTCAGATCATCACGTCTGGCAACCATGGGAATGGCTTCCTGATCAACCACCCTGGCGGCGCCTCGTACTGCAGTGAGGATTCCAGTCGCTCAATCAGTGAGAAGCTGGGGACCTGTACAAATGTCACCGGCGAGATCCCTGCAGGTACGGTAAACTCTCAATGTCCAGGCCTGGGCATAGAGGGTTTACCGTATATATTCTTCCGCCTTCTCGTGCAGTCCTAACTCTATTCGTCGATCTCACGAACAACATAACCCGTCCTGCCATCGATCCCGTCTCAATATGTCTGCCACACAGCCTCTCCCTGTTTTGATCGTAAGTATAGTACAATCCACCCGTGCATTGACGTAATATTGGTTTTTACTCGCTCAGACTGGAGCTGGCCCTTCGGGCCTTGTATTAGCTCTATCTCTGGTCCAGCATGGCATCCAGGTTCGCATAATCGACAGGGACCAGCAATTCCACATTGGACAACGCGGCGCTGGCATACAGGTGATTTATTCCTCATCAATGGGGAACGTTATCAGGATCTAAAGTTCAGCTTCCTATAGCCCAGGACTTTGGAGGCGTACAACCTATTGGGTGTTTTGCCTGATATCGTCTCCAGGGGCATGGACCTACGTCCGTTGCGGTTCTACAAGCTTCCTGGAGGTGTTGAGCCGTCCAAAACGTTCAACATGTTTCCCCTGGAGGATCCCACGCCGGGTACTCCATATGTATGCTCATTTGCTAATACTTTGATTCGCGCTGTCCATACTCAGCTAGCACGGACTATCTAGATTAACACACGAGTGCTCGGGCAGGCGAAGGCAGAGCAAGTACTGCGTGAACATCTGGCTACGTATGGATGTCATGTTGAGCGCGGCACGGAGCTGTGCAGCTTCGAACAGAATACCGAACATGTAGTGGCACATCTCGTCAAGCGCGATGGTGACGAAGAGATCGCTGAGACCGTGATCTGCAGCTGGCTTGTCGGGACAGATGGGGCAAGAGGTTTGAGATTTTCCTCTTGTCCATATGTTCTATATTGACTTATTGCATGTCTTTAGGCATCGTACGTAAGCACCTCGGTCTCACATTTCTCGGGGAAGCGCTTGCAGGGCAGATTGTCTTTGGCGAGATAGTAGTCAAGAACTTGACCCGTGACGTGGGTTTCCATCTACAAGATCATCGGGGACGTTTCTGACGAAGTGTTGGACTATAGTACTGGCATTGTTGGGGGGAATTCGGTTCTAAGATGTACGTCTGCCGCGACAATGTGGTTCTAAAAGTATCCCAACTCTGCCGTTTTATTACCAGGGCAATCTTGCGTCCCACGGAAGATGATGAGATCTACAACTTTATCGTTTCGGGAAACATCGACTTGGAGAAGATCTACGAGGATTATGACACACTGGTTCAGACATTGAAAGAGATATCCGACAGGCAGGATCTCATTTTCGGCGAGATCAAGTCGAAATCTAACAACAGGTGCGTTAGGACATTCTGTTGCTTAACGTCCGATTGATTAGTATCTAGTCCAAATGTTCGCGTGGTGAATAAATTCTCCGAAGGCCGAGTCTTTGTTGCAGGAGGTAAGCGATAGTATGTATAATATGAACGCACGCTTATGCCGAACTGTAGACGCTGCACACGTACACAGTCCCACTGGTGGCCAGGTACGCTCATTGTGGCCTATGTGCGATGAGGCCTAATCATGAAATGGCTCCGGAGGGCATGAACTCCAGTGTACAGGATGCCGTACGTTCCGCGTTTCAAACGAGAAGTACCATCATGAGCTAATCACAATCGATGGCCAGCTCAACCTCGGATGGAAGCTCGCTCTTGTCGAACTGGGCTTTGCTTCCGAGTCCCTCCTTTCCACATACACAGAGGAACGCCTCCCCGTTATTTCTCACATGCTCAAAGAAACGACGACGTTGCTTCACGCTACGAGGAGTGCAAAGGTAAACGGCGATGTGTCGCAAGGATGGACGCGGAGTCATGATCTGAAGATGCTCGGTGTCAACTACCGCTGGAGCTCTATCCTGCTTGACGAGCGCCACCCCCAACAGACGTCCGGGAAGGAGAAGCCACTTATAGACGCATACGGAACGAATACGAGCGATGGGCTGCATGCCGGTGACCGAGCCCCGGACGCCACAGGTCTCGCCGTAGTCGAGACGGGCAATGTCGGGGCCGAGACGACGTCGTTGTTCCGCATTTTCAGCTCCACCCGCCACACCGTCCTCATTTTCTCCTCAGACAGCGATCAAATTACAGCCGTACTCAAATTAGCGAAGAAACTCCTGTCTCGATTTGTCCGCACCGTCGTCGTTCTCCCACGGGACTCAGCTCCTTTGTCAGCCACCTCTGGCGCGGATGTTGTATGCATCGACCAAGACGGGCATGGGTATACGGGGTACAGCGCCGGGACGGAAGGGGCGACTGTAGCTGTTGTGAGGCCGGATGGCGTCGTCGGCGCTCTTGTCGGCGGGCCGACAGGTCTGGAAACCTACTTCAGGAACGTGTTCTCGAACGTGAAGGCTTGAAAGTATGACACTCTACCAATGTATTTGTCAAGCGAGATCATCAGCCCACTGGCGGTCCTCACTTCGATCGATCATAGCCCTCGTGCTATGTAGTGTCAAAAGAGCATCCCCACTCCATCTCAGCTTATCTATCGTACTTATCATGCCCAGCAAGTACCTTCAGAACGCAATGTAACAACATATGGCTATCGTTTCATCAGTCATGACGGAACTGACAATTCTTTGAGCTAGGAAATAATCAATTAACCAGCAGAGCATCTTCAAAAGTGACTGGGGACCACATCATTCAAGGGTGCTCACTGCTTGACCAATGACTAATTTTTGACGGGAAAGTGCGGCGAGAGCTGTGACAGACGGGACTGATAAATTGTGCGACACACGACGTTCAAGGTTTAGGACGTGTGACTGGCCTGTTTGTGTAGAGCAATAATTTCCGTGCTTGTTCTTGAGATTTTGCTTCTTCCATCGCCTGCCGACATTAGATATTTTCCGCTACTGTCTGGAGAACCACCTCTAACTTCAGCCGCTGCGGCGAGCTCAAGTATAGCGTAAAGTTGCCATCGCCCGTTCAACATCTGTGTTAGTGAGATGCTTTATTGGCGGTCGAAATGAAACCTCATTCTTGCTTCTCGTGCGCCGTCTGAATCTTTCCTAGACCACTCTCGAGAAAGTCCTGCAGAGACTTCACAAGACGCATGTACAGCTGAAAGGATTGAAGAGGTCGTTCTCTATTCACTGTAATCATTGGACGACTTCCAAACTCTGCTGAATTATGGTGACTCGATATTCTTGATTTGATCAATACCGATCCCGTTCTTCTACCGTCCCCCGCTGCTCACCGTCCTTAAGCGACTCAGCCACGCCCGAATCTTCCACCTGAGAAATGTGTCCCCCTTCCAATCAAGAATCAACAGAGTTCATCTCTGCAGCCATCCTCGCTGCGCTGTGTCGCTGCTCGCATCATGGCCTCCACCAGCATCTTCTCGTCGAGAGCTTGACCTTCGCGAATCTTCTCTCACTTGTCAACGCCTTTTGTACGATCACTAGTCACGACCTACTCGAGCTATACACTCCAACTTCAGGGATGCCCACCACACCGGCACCGCGTCGTGATCTCAAATATTATCCAATGTAAACCGTTATTAGGCACGTGAACCTCATGGATCATCCACACCATCATTACGATCCAGTGTGGTTCTTTAAGTCTCTTGCGCACCTACTCAATACCATCCAAGAAACTTGAATGCATATCACTGCGGAGACATATATCATTCTATCATCCGTGGAGTGGAGAGTAGTATGGGACTTTGTCAATCAGACTAAAGATAATTGACGTCCAGATACTCTTAGCGTGCGGCAAATCACCATCGGCCAAATTTGCTATCCAGTCGGGAAGGGTGTTCGCTATGACATCTTTGTGGAGAAACTCCTCGCTTAGAAGCTTCACTTCAAGTTCGCGAATCTCAGAGAATCTAAAGGTTGCGTGATGGCAGTTCATATCCATTCTAATGCAGACGGATAATCTCACCTCGATGTGAACTTGGAGAAGACTTCCGGCAAGACATTGTCCGCAGTCAGTTGACTACATATGTTGTCGTAGGCGAGCTTCTTGAGTTCCTCCAGACCATACTGTTTCTGATGTTCAGTAACAAAGGTTGTTGTCTACTCGATACTTATATGTTCCCACCTTATCTGCGAGGCGATACATTGATTTCGGCGAACAAAGTGGAGGATCAAAAGGGTGGCGCAGGTTCACCGTATTGGTTCGGTCGTTGCTTGACTGTACGGCAGACCTCAGTGGTGCAAAGGCAACACGGCCAGTGTACAAATATGATAGGAGCGCTTGCCACCTACATTTGGTCATGCAAACGTTTCAAACACAAACAAGGGCGGGCTCACGTTTTGTAAGCAATGTCCTTTACGAAGACTGTCCTCCCGGGGCACCGAGGTCGAATACGAGTAGGAGGCCTTGATGACTTGTTTCCAGATTCCATTGCCAGATCAATGGCTTCGCCAACGTCATGCTGAACAACCACGTTAGGTAACGGCTTTGTTGATGAAATGGCTACGTACATCTGCCTTCTTCAAGACAGCATCAGGTGCAGCGGACATTCCCGCGGGCTGGTTTCCGCTATCCGCCGTCCCTAGTTCGATCTCGACATCGTCGTCTTCCAGATCGCTATCAGACTCATATCCGTATTGAGCATCTGTTACCTCCTGCCCCTCAATCTCAGTATTTTCCTCAAATATGTCTGACAGCACGCTTTCGGAGAAACCTCCTGTCAGCACTGTCAATATTGAGCCAGTGGTTGATCATTCAACATCGCGAGTGAGATAGAGAGCAAAACTAGCTGACGTTTATCCAGCTCCGGGGAAGCTTCAATCAGCGTCGTGCTAATAGCAAACACAGTTCGTGGTTTGTCTATAACACCCGAAGGCCTTCGACGAGAAAAGAGATGAAATCTGGTGTCCAGGAGCATTCCCCCGACTATCGACTGGTTTAAAGCGGCGTGCATCGATTGCTCCCGAGTCATGGGTGGTAGTGATAGAGGGGGTGATGGTGTTCTGGGTGGAGCAGCATCGAGCTCCCGTGTGGCGGCCCGCGCGGTCGATATCGGTTTCTTGCTTTTTGCTTTCATTAGAACCTAATTCTGATGTGGCGATGTACAGCGAGTGGGCAGGTTCTAGTGGGCAGGGCGAAGGAAGATGAACTGTAGGAAACCGCTGCTTAGTAGCTGCTGCGTAGAGGATGTCACTTTATAGAATGGCGAGAACACAGCATGGCTCACTGAGACGTCCAGGCGAGAAGCGCACACCTCGATGATCAGTCCAAACATCACCATGGGCCTGTCTCATTACACGAGGATGTCAGCGTGCAGCTACAAATGACTTCTCTCGCCTTCGCCGAATCTGCTGTCCACGTGCAGAAGTCGTCAGTCGTCCCGGCATTGATTCCAATCAGGACTGTTGGGTGTATTGTTCCCACCACTTGCATAGAAGGAAGACGAATCCACAGGTCTAGCGAGAGCCATGTCATCGATTAGAGCGTCCTTCCGGAATGCGCAAGTCGTTTTGACACTTCCCGACATCTCAAGACCTCATGTTTGCCTCGCGTGGGAGGGACAGCTCAAGCGCCCATCATAATTGGATACACTTTAAGTTAAGTCCGTTTGTGAGGGTCCCGCAGTCCATAGACCGGCAATTTGATGCTATTCTGTACTATGTAATGTGGTCCGTCTCGCGCACAGGCAGTGGATAAGTTTTTAAAGGGGTGTACCGTGACTGAGGAGGATAAGATTGCTCGGAGTGTTCTGGGTGAAAGCCGCGCCAACGGTGGAAGCTGCGGTGGGCAGACGTCACAGTGCAGTACGGTGGTTCAAGAGTGAACTGTCAGCAAGGCTGGCTCTTTCGTGTTGTGATGCTCCGAGTAACACATGTGCTGCTGGGGGACTACTTGAACCTCGCAATTGCGATTCGTCTACCATCTAGGCTCAAGCACTGAAGAGCGTGAAAGGATAGTGCAAGCAGGCCATGAGAGATGTAAAGTGTTTTTGGTATCTTCCCATCTTGCATCACTAGCACGAAGTGCAGAGCATGAGAGAGCATCGAGACAAGATGAACTTGTGACCGGGCAGGTAGTCCTGTGACGAGATACGAAAAGTGGCAGAATACGAGAATGATTGTGCAGAAATGGAATACGGCTGCACTACTTGGATAAGATTGGATCAAACCAATCGCGTGAGACATCACCGGCATCATCATTCCTCTTCGGCACAGTTTGGCACCCACCTAGGGCAGGTCCTGGAGGTATCTAGTAGACCCCCATCGGGGCGGTGGGAAATGGGTCTAACGAACACCATCCCCAGGGGGAGATCAGGGCCTATATCCCGATATGGATATAGGCATGTGCCTGATCGCACCCTCGAGGCGGGTTAGACGCCCGCCCGCCCTCCTTGGGACACTCCTCCGCCGTACCTTAGGACGCTCCACCATCCCCAGCCTCTGTGTACCCTCGCCATATTTGTACCTGTCTACATCTTGATGCCATGTCTTTGCTATTTCAAATTAGCTCCTATGCTCTCTCGCCTGGCTATATTCTCGCTTTCACCATGCCGCCACCTAGTACTCTCCAGATCGGCGACGACCTGCTCCCATGTCCTGCGACACCCCCCCGATCGCAGCCACCGAGGACGCGCGATAACCAGAAGGTCATCCCCCGCACAGGGGCGCACTTTTTGACCCCCCAAA